CGGTACAACCATTTAGGAGGAGTTCAGTGGCATACCGTGTGTATGAATACAGAAGAATTATATACATAAAGAATGAGCAAAAACATCAAATATGTCATCGTAATAGTTTTGTCTCAGAGTGTTCTAATGGCTTGAAAAGTTTATATTTCACAATTACTGTTCGTAAAGAATAATAGAGAAACTTGAAACAGTCTCTTCCCGAGTATAGCCAGTACAAAAACATATTAATCTCGCCCGGATTATTCGATGACTAGTACGATTGCGATTGGAGTTCAATCGTTGCCCGCGACGTCAACTCGATTAACCTTTGAACATGAAATACAATCGCTTTGGACATATCTCATTTCTGTACCTGCTTACGTATCGGTCTCGGGCCATTAATACTTAACTAACCTATTACGGGAAATAGGCTTCGAGCGCGCACCAGACGTCCCGAAACTATAATGGTACGGCTAGCTCTATCGTTTTTGTTTCCAATATGCAATAAATAGGGCAATAAAGAGGGCGCGCGCGCCGCCCCGGCGGGGGGCGCCGTTGGGCCTTTAATTGTTTGTAATTAGGCACGATCTTCGCCCGCGTTTATTGACTGTTTATTGCTTAATATGCGGCGAGAGACGGCCCCGGTGCGGCCAGCGCGTTCCGCCGGGGCGTAATGGCCGTGCGCAGAGCCGACAGAGGTCCCTCGCCTATTAGAGACCCACGAGGAGCGCTTACGCGAGATCCGAGGTCGCAACGACTTAGGCGTGGTACACGTTTCGGTTACAACGAATCTCACGATTTTATATCGAATCATATCGCACGTACCTCTTAAATGAGAGTCAGCTTAGATTCTGCTTCCGTTGTGGCTCAAACTTTAAAATATGTACCAGTTTTGATAACGTTTATTTCATACGAGTGCTGATGTTGATGAAACTTTTGTGCGTGTTCAAGTGGATTCTAGGATTGTGAATATAATCACACTTTGGTCCACAAAAATGCTTTTTTAGCAATTTTTTTTTTATTTACCAGTTATCGGATTTAAGACGTGTGTACAGTGTTTTCGGCTAGTAGTTTTACATAATAATGTGCGGTCTCGATTAAAATATAAAATTCGATGAACTTTTCTGCAAAGCTCTCCGCAAAGCCGCATCTCCACAAACTTCCAACACCGATTTATTATTTCCTTAGAGGTGAAGTTTTCGGAAATACTTTAAGAAAACGGTTATAAACAGAAAACAGAAACAAATAAATAAACAGTTTATGCTTACACTGTAAACATGCAAATAGCAATGTCACTAACATAAATTCAAGTTACGCCATACGCAAAGCGTTAATTTTCACGCTAGTTTTATTCTTTTTATACATACAAGTATATAATACACACATTTCCCGCAGCATTTAAGCGCCTTTTTTGATTTTGTTTGTAGTCATAAAATAGTAAAGCTTAAGCGCAAATACTTTCAGTAACTATTTTTAATTTTTAGCATTTAAAAGCTGCTCTTTCTTATATATGTCTTTTTTCTTAACGTTTAAAGTCATTGTTCTTCAATATGCATAAGGTAGTACGCATTCTAAATTAAATAAAACGTTGATTGTGGAATATCTTGACAATGTAGCTGATGCAATGTTTTCCACTTGCTGAGTCCAAGGCAGCTTTTAGTTCTACTTTCTTGTGACGATATGACTTTTTTTAAGTGAGAAGGTGGCAGGCGATCTGGCGGTTCACCTGATGTTAAGTGACAACCGCCGCGCATCGACATTTCCAATATCCGTGCGGTTGCAGACGCGTTACCTTATAATAAAGTAGGCCCAGCTACCTCACTCGCCTGATGAAACGCAGAAGTATGACAATTCCACATCACGCGGGTCTTCTGTTAGATCGTGGTACATACAAGGACGGACCTGCACATTCGTGAAACAGCCGTCCGCTATTGAATTGGCATACCACGGAAACAGATTGCAAAAATTCAGACAGGCCACCTTAACTTCCATCTCACCTCCATAGTAATTGGTAAGTAGTGGTCAGTAGTAAAGGTAAAAATAGCTTATCTACACTTGCAATTAAAAATTAATTAGTGCTGATTTCTCTGCTCCTTAAGTGCCGTTTGGGCTGTCAACCGTCAAGAGTTAAGGGCCAGCTGAGCTTCTAGTAGTCGACAGTGGTAGGCGATGGGGAATTCCGGCACATTACACAATTATTCTATGGAATAATTTTGAACTCAGCTGTATTTCTTTAGTTGTACACATGATGTGTGTAAATTTTTCGAAAATATGTGTTTCCTTCACCGCTAAGCAAGTGATAAGTCTTACAATTTCTTCTCGTCTTAAGCTCTCACCATCAACAAGTTCATCGGAATGTGAGGTCGCTGGAATATTTTGAATTAAAAGCTGACGGGACACAGCTATCACGGCTCTGTCTGCCTTTTACGTGTTATTTATTTCACAGAAGTATTCATAAACGATACGTTAATTTGTATGCAGCGTTAGAATCTCACGTCTCGAGTTACACACTGTTTTGAAAATCAGTTATGCGGAATTCGTAACCTCGGCACTCAACAGACAGTTCGAGTTGATTTGCTGCAAAAGCGTATGCTTCGCGAAAAGTTGGCGCTTTCGAAACCAGTACGGTGGCGTCGCATGAACTCTCTACTCACACGCATGCACTGCGTTTCAGTGACGTCACTGTAAACAACAGTCGGCCCGACACGCCCAGCCACGCCTCGACACCGGCGCCCGCAACTGCTCACCCTCCCGACGAGAAGCTGCTATACCGAACGCAACTTTATTGTACGAGAAATAAGATGCAATTCGCTTTGCGTATCGGTTTCTTTCCATCTTCCAAGTAATCCGACGCTGAGTCTTGTTTGTTTTCATTTATTTGCAAAATGTCGGAGTGTCATTTCGGCTGAAACTGCAAGAGAGTTTTAGGAGATCTAAGATTCGAGGTGAAAATATCATACCATTCGAATATAAACAACTTATATACATAGCTCATGGCTTAAAAGCATTGGCAATAGCTTAATTTATTAAGCAACACCAAGTAAAAAGTCCGTAAACCGTAAAATCTTTTTGTTGTTTCGGCTTTTTGCGCGTCTCACTGCATGAAAACAGCTCAGGGTACCGTTAGTGCGACATCTGATAAAGGTCGCACTATTAAAAATTCAGTTATTGGCGAAATAGCGATGGACAAATATATTAAATAAAAACATCTAATATTCAACGCGTTTCTATAACTGAAAGGTGAGTAGCGGGAAGGATTCCAAAGCGACAGATAGCGTCGCCCAATGCGGTGAGTTTGCCTCATATTCATATCCACCACCGGACGCCTTGCATTCCCTCGCTGTATCGCATCTCCGATCGGGAACTGTGGACCCATTTAAGGCGGCAATGCATAGTTTTTGTCCCCAAGTCCACTCACCGATTGATGGTCTCCAAACGAATAGTTTATTAATAAAACATTTCGCTGCATTGTTATTTTTACGCAAATTCAGCGCGGACAATTGACGGTTCTGACTGCGCATAACAAACGTGAATACCTACGTAAGCGGAGGTCACCATTCGCTTTACAGATAGCTGATAACATATTTTAAATACCTGCACCGTCAGTTAACTTGCGCATAAATGCATTATAAATGTCACTTATAACAAATAATGGTCCTTTTTTTATTCAAAACTGGCCAGCACTTGAGTGCCATCACATCTGCGTAAGCAAGCAGCCGTTGATGGTAAGTTCCCTATCTCAGAAAAAACCTATTCACTTTTGCCTTGAAGACGCCTATCGTCGAAGTCGTCAGATCGTCCAAAATTTTGTGAGTGTCCAAAATTTCACCTTGGTGTCATTTTTAAACATTTTCTTCCTAAGCGCTATAAGATGACATTACAGTGGTGTCGTAAAGATTTGTGCAAAAAGTGCAAATTTAAGCAAATCTTAATCGTTTAGAAACATTGGTATTAATAGTAATTTGCTTTTATTAAGAAAAAAGCGGTAGCACTGTTGCAAAAAGTACCTTCCGAAGTTCAGTTTATTAAAGATCAGATTTTCAGTTGTTATATTTTAATTACAAACTTTAGCAGCTCGAAATGATGTGCAACTTGCATTGCTATTGGGAGATGAAAAAATTTTACCGTGGAAGAGAGTGACAATATGCAAACTGTTTTGGTGTAAGCTAACAACTGTTAAGAAGCGAGCAGACGCATTCCGCATGTCCAACGAGGCCATATTCCTTCGTCTGTCATGATTTAGTTGGGAGTAACTTATTTCTTCCCCGGAAGAGGTAAGTTACTACGGAGAACTACGTAGCTGGTGCAAAAATGGCGACATGAATACGCCGTCCACTTTCCTGCACTCCGATGTGAGTAAGGCGTAAAATCTAATGCAGTTGTGTTCAAAATTCAGTCCTCACTGAAGTCACTTCTCCAGTTCAGAATCAAAATCGTTGGATTTTAGAATATGGCAGCATTTGGAGGAAAACGCTGGCTCAAAGCCTCATCCTGATTTGGAGTCACTCCAGGCATCTTTGATAACAGCAGCCGCTGAAATTTATTTGATTCTCCTTCGTGCTGCTGCTGTAGACGACTGGCCGCACAGATTGATAGCTTGTACTCAAAATAACGGAGGTTATTTTGAATTTGAAGAATTTTTTAGTCAATTCCTTTCGAGATAACTATAAATGGTCACTGTAAAATACATGTGTCAATAACTTACAATAAACGTATGACAGAACTTATGACCCGATATGGTATGGACGAAACATACCTAATGTTTCGTCCATACCATATCGAAAGATTGCCGCGAATTACTGCTATCGATTTGTAAAAGTGGACTTATTTTGTTTTATGTGCATTGCTGGAGGCCATCACCTGCTCGGAGCTTTGTCGATTTTTTCGCGTACCTTTTCTACCGAGTTCGGTGAGATGGTGATGTCGCGAATCAATTGATCACATTCGCAGAGAGGGATACGAGTGGGTCGCGGTACGCGTGAATGTCGTGCGCTCGCTCCTACGCGACCGCAAATTGACTGATGGGCCCCGTGACGCGGTCGCCGGGAAAAAACCCGCGTGAACGGTGTGAGGCTGCGGTGCCCCCGCTGCGCCTTTGTGCCGCAGCGCCCGCTGCCCACCTCGCTGACACGCACGCCATTTATCTCCGAAGCCATTGTCGGTCGGCCGAAGCGTCGAACGGCGAAACGCTAGTGATGGGGCGTTCGCGCGAAAACAAACAAGCGCTCCGGCCGACCCGGCTGCCGTGCCGACTGTACCGGTGCCCCCGAGTGTGCCTCGCAATTTGGATGTCGGATACGAAGCAAAGTGGCACCCAGTCGCGAAGATTGCCGTCCGTTATGGTAATCGCGCGGGGAAAATGCCTCTCGTTTGTGCCGTATTGTGACGGGGAAATTGACGGGTGACGCGTGTTGTTTTCGCGGAAACCGTCTGGTGTATCGAGTGTTTCTCAGCGGAACAGTACTGATTTTGCTATTTCCATTTGTGAGATATTAAATGAGTTATTTGATAGTTAAACATTCGGCGTAAAACAGATTTAGAGATGTTTTGATGTTTGAAGTGTTTTTGTAACGGTATTTATTTAAACATGATCTACTCATATTCAAATAGAATATTTATCTGATATCTCATTCTTCCAGCTATCAGGGTCTACGAGGATTAAATTCACAAGGGTACTTAGTTTAAATAATATTCGTATGGATGTAATGTGTACAGATGTAGAGTACATGTGCAAAAATCTCATGGAAATGTGCAAATAATGGGATTGGATATTAATATGTTAATAGGGCATCGTGTAAACAATCTTATTATGTGCTAACGCTTCTTACCTCGAACCCAACGGTCCGTAAAATTAATCGGACACATTACGCACTGAGCGGCGCTGTCGCATGCAATCGTCAATAGGAGCGCGCAGGGAGCCGTGGGTCCAACTCTCGCACCCGCCGAACTTAATCTCAAAAAGACATTTATCATGTTCGAACGATAAAAACGCCATTGGCATCCGTCGGGCACAATGAGCTACAAGCTCTCCTTACCTGATAAGGGGCCGAAAGTCAATTATATTCAAATATAAATCGGATTTGCGAACATAAGCCAGTGACAATGGGCTGGGCCGGCGCCGCAGTGCCACCTTTCGGTGAACACTTGATAATGGAAGGCAACAATGCACGGTTAACTTGCTCACAATGCGGGGCACTGTTCGGGCCTTCTGCATACCCTACGCTAACGTCCCGTGCCCCCGTGTTGTTTAGAAACCTCACATAAGTTATGGTCTCTATAATGGTTTGTCAATGGTTTGTCAATGATAGGCCATAGCGTGGTTAGGACGTTGCTAACATCGGCCACGTGAGTTGCACGATGCATGCTAACCAACGAATACTGTGTGAATTATTATTTTCATATATTTTAGGCTATTGATTTTTTTTTATAAGCGATTACAGAACATTTGTATAGCAATACGAATAAAACATCGTCTGGAAGACGTAAAGAGTAAGTGGATTTGAAATGAATAATTCGCTTAAAGTCCCGTGCATTTCCATTAACCGATAGGGATGTCTGCGCATGCAAGTTATGTAATAAATATACCAATACATAGTCAACGATTGCACCCGCATTTTTTCGTTGAATTCTTCCACATTGGATTTGCAATTTAAGTGCCGGTTCATTCGTTTATGTAAAGTCATAGCTAAGCTTGCTTTGTGTAGTGTGAGGCCCCATTCTTTTAGCCGAGCGATTAATGATTCGTATGAAGTAAAAGCGATTAATTAATGAAATAACGGGAATAACAACAATTCACTTGGTAACTTTTTCGATGCTACGTAGAAATATGAAGGGAGAATTCACATACGCCCATTCTTCAGTCATAAACTGTATGAATACCGCGAGTTTATCAATATGCAAGTATCTTATTACTGTAAATTTTTAGGGTCCGCCTGTCTGTCACCCGGCTGTATCTCATGAACCGTTATAGTTAGACAATTAAAATTTTCACAGATCCAGTACCAATGTCTGTGGCCGCTATAACAAGAAATACTAAAAAAAATTGAATAAAAAAATATTTAAGTAGGACTGCCATACAACAGACATGATTTTATTTTGCCTTTTTTTTATAGATAATGTTACGGAAACTTTTGTGCGCGATTCCTATTTTCACTTGGCTGGTTTTATTTTTATTATACGTCACTTGTAAACATTTTCAGTGTAAGTATTCCTATTTCTGCTGGAATAGAAATTAAAATTAACTTTAATCATTCCTTTATCGGCTAACTAGATATTCTTCAAATAGTGTTTGAATTTCAATGATTGCTTATTTTCTTCTTATGTTCTTCAATTATCTTTGGAATCTATACTTCTTTTGGCGCGTTTGAAAAAAATATGAGAGTAAAATTGCAATTGAGTAAAAAATATGAGAGATGTGCACGCACACCGAACCCCAATAAGGGCTAAAAATCGCCAAGTATGTGAGCTTCACATCAAGTATGTGCAAGCCATTAAAAACTTTTTGACCTTTACCAATGATTGCAGCTTTTTAATTATACCGTTATCAATTGTCTTTTTAAATTATCTATGTCTCCACTACTCTTTGTGAGAAGACAAGACAAACAAAGAGTAGTGGCGCAGAGGATAAAAATTTTAGTTATTTTTCTTTTGTTAGGCTAAAGAAATGTAACTTTTTATGTGCGTACATGAGTACACACACACACACACTTTTTATTACTTCATAATTTATGAAACTATGAACTGAACATCTCTTATTGATTATTTGACACATTTTAAAATTAAGCCCTAACATATTTAGAGCGCATAGCTCGAAGAATCGATGGCCGTTGGGGCAAAAAGGTTCTAGACTGGAGACCAAGTGACGGCAAGCGCAGCGTAGGAAGTCCTGCCCACAAGGTGGACGGACGACCTAGCCAAGATCGCAGGGACGCGTTGGATGCAGGCCACTAACGACCGGTCGAAGTGGAAGTCAATGGGGGAGGCCGTATGTTCAGCAGTGGCCGGCTGATATGATGATGATGACGATGATGTCATATTTAGTATAATAATTTTAACGAAGTATGAACAGAACATTTACTAGGAAGCAACGCATTGCGTTTTTTTTCGTGAGTGACATTTCGCGTGTACGAATCCGAAAATCATTGACTTCGCAACCGCGTCCAAATCGATAGCGAGCGAATAATGAAGTCGCCCGATCGGCGACATTCAGCTGGGCCGGGACGCAGGGGGAACGGTCACGCCCGCCGAATCATGGCACAATGTGCGCATCGTGACACTCGTCTCTGTTACGTACCCATTCAGAGCGGCTACAGTCAGCCGTCGCGGCCTTTGTCGACCTCCACTGGATATCAATAACACCACGGACAAGGGATTTTGCGGCGACCTGTCATTTTCCGTCGTTTGGGCCCGAACGTTTGCTGGTGTTGCGGCTGCGTGAGAATATATCTATGTCTTCGAGTTTTGATTATAGAGTTGTCCCTTTTGATCTTTTGTACTCATTCGATGGATATTTTATGATAGAAGTTCGATTGTTATTATATGTTTTATTTTTTGTAATATTACATTTCTGGCCCCTTTACTTACTGCACTCGTATTAATATCACAACTGTCTACTTATAAATATCAAAACCTTATTTAAATACGAAGAAAATAATCTCCAGTTTATAGATGACTAGCGACCCGCCCCGCACGGGTACAATGTATACATATAAGCCTTCCTCTTGAATCACTCTATCTAATAAAAAAACCGCTAAAACCGCATCAAGATCCGTTGCATAGTTTTAAAGATCTAAGCATACGTAGGGTCAGACGGACAGCGGGTCGACTTTGTTTTATACCATGTAGTGATTCTTGTCTTTTGGCCCAAATTGCGAGACGATAAAATGTGTACGTTGTTTTTATACTTAACAAAGGCCACGTTTTACTTTTCACAGCTACCGAGAGCAGGTAGAGGCTACTTGGATCCTTCCATGGCAGACAAAAAGGTGTAACGCATTAGCATAATTTCCAGCAAAAGGCAGAATAAACAAACCCTTCTAAATGACGTATTAAACACAGTGAAATAACGTCATTATGCAGGAGTAGCTCGACTGGCACCGGGTGCGAGAGAACTGTCACAAAAAGGATATACGTCAAGCGAATCCCGAGTACAATGAGCCCACCGCGGCGCCATTATATACCCTCAATGGGGCTCTTAAGAAATTTGTTAGGAAAAGTTTGATAGGCACACACAGGGCGGCCATGTCACCAAGATAAACAGGATATGTCCCACTGGAGCTTGGAGATATACCTATAGCGTTAGTTTCTAGCAATCATAAGACATGTTAACAGTTGCATATCGTTTTAAATGCTATTATCAACATCATGATGGCACAACACATTAAAAATCACCGTTAACAGTATTATTCACTATTTAGATATATTATACCACGGACAAACTTGTATAATTCTTAACTCTAAAAGCTTTAACTAATAAAAATAAAACTAGCGATTTCTCGTGCCTGCAATATATAGATATATTCGATAAAAAATATTCTTATAAAACTTAAAACGTTTCCTTTAAATTTTTTATAGTAATCAAACAAATCAATTTTTTTTTTAATTTAAAATTGAGTAAAATTTACATAAGTGAACTGTAAAAAATTAAGTCCGCACCTCGCGGTAGAAAGCATATTCCGTATATATTTGTTACAAAAAATCTTAATTTTTTTCGACAAACTAACTGTGTAAATCAAAGAATTGCTCATTCCAAGTTTCGTTTATTTCTTAAGCTCGCGTATTTACGGCATTCTAAAAAACTACTCCTGGTAACAGTCAAGAGCAACCCCTATTTCTGCAACATTATGACTGGGGCGTAACGTACTATGCGGTTGCTTAGTTGACGGGTGTTCGCCATATTTATTGCTTACAAAACGCTGTAAATTTGTTATTGGGGTGTCGGTACTGTCGTGAATATTATCCCTCATTGTTTGTACGCCCTGTCCCGGTGTCGCGCGGAACTATGAATACGACACGGCCGTTGTGAAGTGGGGATCGAGTGGAGATTTATTACACCGGATAAAGTCGAGGGCTTTCGATCGCGAAATGATACTGTGATCGGAGTTTTACGATGGAAAACATAGAAACATATCTTTTTTAACCGGAACGATTTAAGACAAATGCTCAGAGTTTCAGCCGCTGTGACCATTTGATTATTAAAGTTGTCTTTCATTAAAAAAATTATGGAGCCTATACATTTGTATATTTTATGTCAAAGTAAGAATTAATATCCAGTTACAATACATTTATTACTATCTCTTCAATTAGTCTTCTTTATTCTTTTCCAAAAGATATCGTAGGCGAACATGAACAATAAACCAGAATGTAAAAATATGATATTACGGAAAAAATTAAAATTTATGGAAATTATAGAAAGTATCGAAGGCACGTTCAATTAAAAACATATTTTGCAATGGTTGGATAGATTTGTGCACACATGTCATTACTACAAGCGTTAAACATTATAACAGTTCTTAAAATATCGTTTCGATACCAATATAAAGTTTGTAAGTAACAGACTTATCATCACTACGACTTAAGCGTAGATTACTAGCGCTATACAGTGAACTTTTTGAATAAATTGCCTTTTTAGCACTTTTTTTATTTTGGATTTAGAATTATGATGAATTGCTATACTTGCTGAGCTATTGGCTTCGGCGTGTGTTGTAGAGGGTTCGATTTCCACACGGGCCAATTTGTATGACCGATGTTATAGATTATTTTTGCGCTTGTATTTGTTTCCTAGGAGAGTTCGCCGATCGTAGGAAACCTAGCCAAAACCATTTAGTGATCTCCATGTTGTCTACGACCATCTAGGGAATGAAATGATGACAAAACTGCCTAATTTTCTATTACGTAACCGTTTATGGTCAAACCACTAAGGACATGCCCAAGACAGGCTAAGTTGTTTTTCGTTTCACGTTTACGTTATTTTAAAATTGGAATGACAGTTTGTGATCACGTGATGCACCGCCCCAACCGTTAAATTAGATTCGATAAACTGCAAATCCTCGCAAAATAGCACCATTGCACACAAAGGGTGGTCAGCGATAGTATCGAAATAAATAAAAGTCCCAAATTCAAAAGGGATTTTTAAATAAGATGCAAGGCACAATAAGCTCTTTTTGCGTAGACTGCAATAAAAATTCTAATAAATTACTCTAGCTACTCTAATTGTCCCGACACAAAATGTGGGTAATATTTTATAAAAAAAAGTAAAACATGGTATAAAAATATTTGTAATTTTTGCATTCATAAATTCATATAAATTAATGTATTCATAATATTAATTCTCAATAGTGCAATACAAAAAGGAAAGTATAAAATAAGGAAGGTCTGTAATCTTTTATAACGATATAAATAAATAAATATTTTAGGACACATTTTTACACAACGATCTCTAGTTACTAAGCAACGCTTGTACTATGGGTACTATATAACTGATAAACGTACTTAAACATACTTTTATTTTGTAAATAAATACATATTATACATATATAGACACCCAGACACTAGAAAAACACAACGTTCATCACATAATATTTTTCCAGTACTGAGGGTCCAACCCACACTCTCTAGCGCAGGAGGCAGGTCCACAACGCCATTCGGGTCGTCAATATAATTATGATATACAATGTAGATAGGTATCAATTAGTATATGTTAAGAAATAAATAGATTTTTATTTATATCAATTAAACGGCTACATCGCCACTTACCATCAGGTGGGATGGCAGTCAGTTTCGTACCGACATTGTCTCCATCATCAGCCGCAAGACGTCCACTGTTGAACATAGGCCTCCCCTTAGAACGCCAATTAGACACTTTGCCATTTGCATCCACCGGTTGCCCGCGACTCTTATGATGTCGTCGTCCACCTAGAGGGAGGCCTTCCAACGCTACATCATCGGTTCGTGGTCGCCACTCGAAAACCTTTACTCCCATCGGTCATCAGTTCTTCAAGCGATGTGGCCTGCCCACTGCCACTTCAACTTGCAAATCCGGAGAGCTATGTCGGTTTCTCCGGTTCATCTGCGAATTTCCTCGTTCCGGATTTTGTCGAGCAAAGAAACTCCGAGCATAGTTTCGTATAAAAAAGACATATTTTACAGGTTTCAAAAATCAAAGCTTAAAGAATATTATATAATAGCTTTATAATATTCCCAGTTTAAGACGCGAATTGTGCAAAAATAATGTAGTCGTTTGTTTCGACACAGGCCACGAAACGAGGAGAGCTCCCGCCCACGCCATGTGTTAAATTAGCGAAAACAACGTTGAAATTCATTTCAGTCACGTCACAAATATTTGACTAAATCAATTTGGCCAACGTTTGATTATCGCGAAACGCGAATCAAAAGGGGTGTTCTGTTTGTGCAACGGCTCCATTAGATTATCTGCCACCCCGCCACCATCCGCTGTGGACAATCGAATCAAATAAACAATGTCACGCCCCGGTTTTGTCCGCGCAAACACATGTAATGCTACTAAAATTATTGTTCGACTAATTTCCACTCGCCAGTGTAGTTGTTTGTTAAGGACGGCGGCATCCATATTGGGTTTTGAAAATTAAACGTTACTTTTTTGAAGTACTTACACTGTAGAGTGCATTAATAATAATAAACAAACAGCGGAATTTTATATCGTTCACAGATTACATATCTATTTTCTATTATCAAAAATGTGCTATATGATTATCACTTACACGAACGGCCAGGGCCGTCTAGTTTGATGTATATAGCCTATATATATTCCATTGTTTGGCCTTATCTACAGAGGGCACTTTAAAATAATCAGTTTTACTGCGAATTTACTTCAATTTATTATTCCCATATGATTTCTTTCTTTTTTAATATGAGAAAGTGATGTTAAGAGGTCCGCCACCCATGGACATTTGCAACACCGTAGCGTTTCAGATTTTGCAGCCTACGTCACATCAGGCACGTGCTAAATAAAACATTGCACTTCAGACTTCATTCAAAGTTTACATAGAGGATACTTCATAAAAAAAATGAACCCCTTAATTGATACGTCTTTTTTCAAATTTCTACAACATATTAAACCTTAATATTAAGACTTAAACAGTTAAGTTAAACGCACGGCATTCATATGAACTCTACCTTCGAGTTTACGAGTTCAATTTATAACCTCCAAATCTGTCGTTCTTGTTTCGGTTGTTAAGTTTGACACCGCGCCATTTGCTCGCACTGTTCCAGACGGAGCACCGCACTTGCTGCGCGTGCGGGGAGCCCATAGCTGATCGGTTCCTGCTGGAGGTCGGCGGTGGGGCTTGGCACACGAGCTGCCTAAGATGCTGCGTCTGTGCCGTGCAGCTCGACCGGCACCCCTCGTGCTTCCTGCGCGACCGGCAGGTCTACTGCAAGCAGGATTACGCCAAGTGGGTCATTCGCGGCGAACGGCACGCGTTTGCTCTTTACATGTACAGCCTAGCTTTATGTGCAGGAACTCCATGTGTTTATTCCTCTGCTCTCTTCCTAATGTCTTTTAATTAATACAGATTAAACCTCCTCCGATTTTCATCTGCGTCAACATGTTCGCTTGTTCTGCTGGAGTCACGTCTATGTGTTGTCATTTATTTTGTCATACGCTTTATTTATACAATATCTTTATTAGTATCATATGAATTAATCCACTAAACTCTTGTATAACGGGTACATCTTACTTTAATTTTAATTTTTTTTAAATATGTTATACATGTCGCTTATATTAAGACAAGGATAACTTTGCATCCGCAAAAAAAGAAAAAGAAATTGGTAATAGGTAGAGTCTCCAGAATTACAAATATTTAGATGCTACCCTCTTTATACACTCAAACTAACAATTTGAACAATTGACCTCTTAATAATATTGCTATAGTTTTGATTTCTATTTCATTTAGAAGGGTTGATATTACATTTCAATTAATAAAACTATTTTTGGGAAAAGTTTGAGGTTTGTTTAAAAATAAAATACAGTGCGTTCGCACGAAAAACTGAATGTACACTGCCTTGTTAATGTTAATATTTACAGTTTATTAGACCTTAGGCACCATAATCATATTATTATTATAATGCAAGGTCTAATAAACTCTGCAATCACTCGTGGGAGAGTTTACGTATTTTAGGTCTGACTTTTGATTGTACCCACTCGTATCCACTTCACCGCACAATAAAAGTATTAAAAAACAATTTAAACTACATACGTCTTTAGATAGTATCCATTACAGCGAAGGACACAACTAAAATATGAACTAATTGTTGTGTGATTATAAACGAATTACTTATTTTTTTAAATTAAAATGGATGCTAATACTTAAAAATACTGCAAGTGGCTTTAATTCCGTTTTCAGCATATCTACAAATAAAAAGATTTTCTCTAGAGTCTGCTCTTCTTTCGGAAACGTCAACCTACCTAAAACTCTTGTAAATGTATTAAATTGTTGACTTTATTAAAATTTAATGAGTGCTTTTAATGAAATTGGTTTAAGTAGTAATTAAAATTTTTAATAACGATATTATATATAAATACGACGTATATGACAATAGCGCACCGAAAATGAGGCACTCAAATAACACCAATCGGTGTAATTAGATTGCAATTCTATATAACGCTATCTCTTTCTGTAACATACGTTCTATATCATCTGTCGCGTTCACTTACATATTTATGCGCCGCGCAGTATGGACATGCGCCATCTATATACCATGAAACATTATTGACTTAAACGATGCATGCTTTGAGTATGGCCTCTTTCCATTTAAAGCGCCTATTGGCCTGTTTTTCTTAAATTTAACATATGACTAGATTATGAAACAAAACTTAAAATAAGTTCAACTTAGACTCAACTTCAAAAGAAGTACTTAACAAATAATAATTTCTTTCCTATGATTAAAAAGTTGAAAGTTGTGAATCTAAAATTTGAACCTTTAATAGACACTCTCAATTCAATGTCAATTTTTTATTCTATTATAGCTACATTACACATCCTTTATTCTTTTTTTGTGTGAAAACGTGGCAAATGAGCTGACGGTTTATCGGATGTTAAGGAATGAAATGAAATGATAATATTTAAAGAATGCGCACAAGAAAGAAAACGGATCAGAATGTTTATTCTTGTCCTTTAAACAACAAAAAAAAATTGTTTGTAAGAAACAATTTCACGTGCGCTAGTCACTTAATCGTTTAGCCGGTCGGCTTAATTCCTTTACAATACACTGCCTGCGTCCAATTAACCTTCGACGTACTGGAAATAATCAAAGTCATAGTCATTTTCCTAGTCATCCGTAGCGGTATTATGCCGGGGAGTTTGGGAGGGCGGGCGATTGTTGCCGCACTTGGATGCGAGATACGAGTTTGTATTGGTCGTATAATGGGTGGTATGTGTGGTAGAATGTTGGCAGGGTGACCTGTGACCCGCGCGCTGTGTGGCCGGCGAGAGCACAATCTGCGTCATCGCCACGATCGGTTTCAATGCGCGCGGACGCTGACAAGAAATCTCCGGGCCGATACCCACCCGGTCAATACATTCCTACAATATTTGAATTGGGAACGCTCAACACGGTTCCGCTTACGCCCGGTTTCTGAAACACTGATCATCGTAGAAGTGAACTAACCAGCTGTCAAATGGATTTTCTAATGTTATTTGAGTTGCCAAAAGCATTGTAAAACTCTGTGAATTAATCATTCTGATCATTAAGAAGATTATTCTGATCCATTCAGAGAGTTTACCAATTCTTTTGGCAACTCAGATAACATATGACAATCCATTTGACAGCTGGTTAGTTGACTTCTACGATGATCACTGTTTCAGAAACCGGGCGTTAGTGTTGTACTTAACCGACAATTTAATGCATTTGGTTTATATGAGGTTGCTGCTCCTGACGATAGCTTTTCGTTAATCGGCAGTTTGCCAATTTAATTAGTGAATTTTGTAATATGGCTTAGAATCGCTTCCGAATCCAATGTTAATAATGCACCATTACATTACTGACTAGTGACCCGTCCCAACTTCGCATGGATACAATGTATTATACATATATATTATACCTTCCTCTTGAATCACTCTATCTAGTAAAAATAACGCATCATAATCTGTTGCGTAGTTTTAAAGATCTAAGGATACATAGGGACAGACAGACAGCGGGACGACTTTGTTTTATACTAGGTATTGGGGTAGTAAATTATAAAACTTTTATACATTGGTGATATAATATAAAAATGGCGTCCATTAATTTATGAAGATAGCACATGCAAAACTACTCGTAGTTATTTCGCGTTGGTGCAAATCTACATTCTAACGTGTAGTCGATACGTGGAACGATGGTGGACAGATACAATCTAAGACGAAATTGTGGCATCTATTGACTCCACCATAAATAAACGGTGTAAACAACAGGTGCGTGAGAATCGGCGCGATGGACGAAACGTAGGGGGAAAATATGAGGCCAATGTCCCTAAAGCGGTATTATTGAAAACCGCCGCTCGAGTGTGGCACAACAAAGCGGCGACGGGGAACGTTGCCGGCGGAGAAAAAATACAGCCTGCCATGACTTGCGGTACTGGCCGTTTTCATTTGTCATTTATTTTGATTGTGATAACTTGGCGCGACGTGAGACGATACGTTTTAATCGGGTTGGTGCCACGCGGCTGAGTCCACCTCGACGGCGGAGACCAAGTCGCTTCGGTTCTAATTAATCATAAGTTCTGATTAACATTAAGCAGACGTGCGAAATTGACATTATTATACGGGCGAATGAACCGCTACTCTGGACTCCCGTAAATCAGCAAGGGATTTTCTCGGAATAATAGTCGGAGTAAATCTGATCCGAAAAGACGCGTGCTATCTCCCAATAAAATTATGCATTGAAGGTTATTGACATGTATAGCTCAGCAACAAATGAAAACAACAACAACAAAAATTGATTTCAAGCTAAACGGGAATTTGTTGAAGAACATTTAGCTAGTGCCGCGCAAATTCATCCCCATATGATACGTTGATGAGATACGTAGTTGCTATCTCGATATTTTAGAGATGAATCATAATTTTAGGTTTTCTATTTCCTAATCAATCGAGTTGGGTAGCTACACTAGACGCGTAAAATATAACCTAGCAAGTATGCAGCTTCGTTTTTGATAAAGATTGTTTTGAGAAAAAAATCTGATCGCCATTACTTGTTGTAGTACACTAGTTTCTTCAAAACTTACGACTCTGGAATATTTAAGAGGTGGAGTCCGTATGATCTTGTCTCTTTCAACAGGCATATTTTCGTACTTCACCTGTTCATTGGTTGAGCAAGATTCGACACTGTTCGGATTGAACAATACTTCACAATGTGAAATACAATCTGTCAAGGTATAAAAAATTAAACTTCTTAACATTTTTTTTGTCTATTAAAAAATGTTGATATTCGTTCATTTGTGTGACCGATATAAAATTTCGATTCTTCAATTTCGTCAGTAAAATAAAAATGAATATTTTCTTTATTTATGCGATGTTCCTAGACATGATGATTATCAATCGGAAAGTCTCTTTGGTAAACTCGAGCTAAGCAAGAAAAATTATGACCGTATAAATATGATAAACCTTATACAGTTATTTAAAAATACATACTGAATCAGAAATGATCAAAGAGTCTAACTCATAAAGCCCGGTGCCAAATCGCTAGCTACATTTGCTAGCTTGAAGATATGCTTTACCTTTGAGTGGGAAAATGACTGCCCCCTTCTCATTAATCGAAACTAAAGTAATGATTCTTATAAAACCTGTGTTTTTCGGCGACCCCAACGGCTTAAACTGTTTACATCAGAAATATATATTGATACCGTAAGACATTTTATTCTTGTAAATAAACATGTATTTTAAACGCACACTAAGTTATGGGTAAGTTTGTTTTGAGTCACGAACGCGACAGCAGTCCACAGGAGGCATTGAAATGGAGGGTCGCGATGACGAAAGTGTCTTGAATAATAGAGCGTCGAATATTTCTATTAACAAATGGATTTGAATCGCGGCGTTGGGTTACGGCGTGTCAAGTGGTGTGGACGTAACGCTAGCGGCCCACGTCAGATCCTCCACCCTTGACATTAAGTGCTGATGATGCCACGCACTCGTGGATCTATCTCACTGTATTTAAGGCGCATCGTATGTGTAATTAGTGTCTTTGTTGTCCAGACATCGGAAAGAACACAATGAAAGAGCAGAACTCGACCTCTAGGCCGCCACATGGGATGGACACTTTCATCACTCTATGAGTTGTTAAATTTACGAATATGAATTTTATAAAATTTAATTTGTATAATAATATTTCATTTACGTAAATATCAATCACGTTTACCTTAATAACTACTATATAAACCCACTTATACTTCTCACGGGCTCATAATTTCAATACAAATAACAGTTTATGTCCTAGGCTTAACGCCGCGGCTGGTGACAAGAGAGCTGGTTCTTTTCTCGCTCAAAGGTTAAGCATAACTATTCAGGGAGGAAATGCAGCTAGCGTTCTTGGCACCATGCCCCGTGGATTAGGTTTATTAGATAATATGTAATTTTAGATAGATTTAATCTTGTAAACATTAGATCAATAAAGATTGTAAAAGTTCAATAATATCCCAGTAACTGGTACTCACATGTCCTGTAACTGAAAAGTATAAATATATAAAATATGTGAATTGTTTTATGGTACCTAGCATATTTTCGTTTACATCATTCCATAATTCTCAACATATAATGGTGAGTTGTGAGGATACATAATTGGATCTTAAAAAAACACACACCACGATCTCAACGGCTTTCCGGCACATTTGTAATTACAATTTTTCCATATCAATGCATTTTTTTAAATTATAACAACTGGATTATTATAATATTACAAAACTAAATGTTATAATTAGTGCGCTTCTTTTGATGGTAATAACGAATTTGTTTGCGTTAAATTAGCACGAACGGAACAGAAGCCATTACAAAACAATGCACTGCTGATTTGCAAATACAATATGAATACATACGCATCGATCATGACATGACGAAGGTTGGTAATTAAATGCACTGAACGGAACTGACTATAGCAGAAGCCGATATGCACGTCGATAACAGTGCAACAATACCAATGAAGCGCTGTTTGTGAATTTGTTGCCATTAAAATATATTGAATTATTTAAAAAGCTCAGACTGTCAAAATCAAAGTCAAAATTTCTTTATTCAACATAGGTTTATTTTAAGCTCTTATTGAACGTCAAAAATTAACACCGGTTCACCAAACTAGACCTGCAAGAGAAAAACCGGCAAGAAACTGCGGTCATATGTGTATATATATATTTTTCTTTTTTTTTTTTTAAAACAATTTAAGTATATGCACAAAATTACTTTAGTATAATTTAGCAGGAGCCAGGGGACCTGCAAGTGCAGAGAAAGAGTCTTTTCCGCACATCTTTGTCCTCAATGTATTCCTTGACATTATAATAAGCCCCTTCCATTAAGGTGGCTTTTACAAAATGTTTGAAATTATTTACACTTAATTGTTTGTGGATGTCACCTATTCTATTATATAAGTTAATACATCTACCAAGAAACGATTTCCTGGTTTTAGCTAGTCTAAACCTCGGTATTTCCAACGTGTCACCACGGCCCCGACGGTATGTTTTTTTGTAAAATGGTGTGTATGTTATTTCGTACATACATGATGTTCTCAAGTATGTATAGCGACGGGAGCGTTAAGATGTTTATTTGTTTAAAAATGCCGAAGGGACTCACGTGGACCCAGGCCATAGACAGCCCGTATCGCTTGCTTTTGCAATACAAATATTGTGTCTAAACCGGATGCGGAACCCCAAAGTAAGACACCATAAGACATAATACTGTGAAAGTAAGCATAATAAACTAATCACCAAACTTCATCACGGCATTGAAAAAGATCAGTGGGATGGAAGAGTGTGACGCTTATGTAATCTTATCCTTTAAAGGACCAATTCTTGTATATATATATATATAACATAGATATTATACAAAGGTGTCATATTAGTATGGTTGAAGTACATCGATGTAACTATTCACGAGAACTGTTGCCTACAAACTGCATCACAGTTTGGCAGAGAATAATTTATGTTATTGTACTTTATTACTGGATTAAATAAATAAAAAAAACACATGCATTGGTGACGTAGAGTCCATGTGAGGTGCTAATCACTTTACTACACCACCCGCTTGCTACCTTGTCACACAATTGTCAAAGTCTTCTCTGTCGTCTATTCGACTCTAGCAACGCAACTGAAATGGAGCAAGCGTCATTTGTGAAGGTTTTCAAACAAGTCAGACATATACGCGGCGACGTTTCGTGGAGCAATACGCGGGGGGTGCTTTAAACGGGTTCCATTCAAAATAACTTTTTCTCGGTGAACATAACGAGTGGTTTTGCGACGCGAGTAAATCGGCGGTCGCCGGCGGCGTCGCGCGTAATTGCTTTCGCTGATATATAATCTGTTCATTGTTTATTTAGTGGGCCGTTTTGACTGAGGGCCCGGCCGCCGACGCGAGATTGCCCCTTCGTTTCGTACTCTTGTCCGAACGCCTTTCCTTGTGGTGGATATCGTTCTTATAAATGTAATAGACCGAGGCGCCTTCAGTCTAAAGACTAAACGAAGCTTCCGTGGCAAGGCTATGGAAGTGCGAGTTTCCACGAAGGGAGTATCCCGTTTTTTTTTTAATTTGAAACTGGCTACCGACTGCCATCCCAACTGATGGTAAGTGGCGATGCAGTCGTTTGGAAGACACCGACATAGGCCGCTTTGATTGAGATCAAGTGATTAGAAGTTGTGTTTCTATCAGGCTCAGTTTCCTAATACCATCGAATCGTGTACCGTTTTCAACTTTTCTAATAAACTTCGGTTCGTTTCGGAATTTATACGATATGCATTTTGCTCTTTTTTTTTAATGTTGCCACTTGAATCCATTTAAATAAACACCGCACACCAAATGCAAATGAGTCTCGGGTGAGAGCCAAAAACCATCATGCCGGGTTACTCGCTAAGTATTTTACCAAATTAAGTTTAAAACAGATTTAGTCATTGATTCAGATTTGTCTTTCTTTTCGTCGTTATAAAAACTGAATATATAATGACGTAAATCAAAGATAAGGCACGCAGCATTTAGAAATAATTATGAACCAGTCACACATTATCATACCATATACTTATTAGGCCACAGACGTGTTTAGAATTCACTCGCAGGTAAATAGAGGCACAGAGAGCTGCATTAGGACAATGCTAAATTTCAAATAATTAAAGTCGCCGGGTGAAGTATGAAATTGCAGTTAATATCTGAACGTTGTATCGGGTGGCACTCACGCGACGTCGCGCCCACACTGCTCTCTCTCTGCAAATGCGCGCGCCATGTCTTATGTAAATGTACCATGTCGCCCCTGAGTTTAATTAATCTCTAGTCACATAAATAAACCTTTCTTTAATCGATTCACTCTGAATATTAAACAATGACCATTCGATTTGGGCCGCAATCATAACGTGGCCCCGACGCGTACGCAAATAGATCGACGCGCCCGAATTGGACTCACAATCGATAGCACATCGATTCCGTATGTTGCTCTGTTTAGTCGTACATTGCTCAGACTCGCCGCAATCCGCTTCGGACGCGTAAATTCGGTGTTCAATGTACACATCCAATTCCATATTTCCTTTTCGTTTCTCCGGCGTGTTGACGTTTTGTGAAATCCATTAAGGCTTTATCGTTTTCGTTTGGGCCGAACGTGATTGTTTCTCGGATCGGACACAGCTATTCTCCGTTTAATTTATTTATAAGTTTCCTCCTTCAACCCTTTTATTGGACAAAATTGATCATGGACTTTTGGTTGGCATCAAACTAAATGAAAACTAATCGATAAATCCAATAAATACACGAATAAAGGGAAACTTTATTAATTTATTAATTTTAAAACACGTGGTCAAATACATGTCCAATTGTTTACAATATTTATTGCGTAGAGAAATAAAACTTCGTAAGCATTCATCAAGTAAAGAAAAACAAGTAATTACTTATGCCATATCATAGACAATATCTTCATAGTTAAAGTGACAATCCTAAATTAGGTTGCCTCTTGCTAACACCAAGTAGGCAACAGTATTCAGTCATAGGGAAATAATCAATGGCGCTGGATCGCCCGCGTTCAATAGCTCAATAAGCGAAAAGCAATTAAAGCACGCGCGTAAAGCCATCCGTCTTAGGCGTTCGGTGCGCGGTCGGATTATTAGGTGGGCATTGTGGTCGCGCGCTCGATTTGTCGACGCGTCGCCGCGGGCGCTTCGCAGCGCCGCGGGCGCGGGACAAACAAAAGTGCATAACAGCCCATGTATCTTAGATTGGGTTTTGTATCTAAAACAAATAATTTAAGCCGCGTGTCCAACTCCGGCTTGAGAACGACTCGGGAGTAGGTGGGGGCTGGTGTAATCAACGAGTGTGTATTTACGACCAGCGCCGGAGGCAACCACGGCACCGCAATCTGAACGAACACCGTCAACAGAGCTAAGCATCACATTAGAGTCTACGGGGACTAGTTATCAGAAATAATCTCAATTGATATATTATGGCAAAATTGTAAATTCGTATAAGGAAATTAAAACAGGATGTTATCGGGAAGTGTATAAAATAATTGTGGCATTTCATTTCATTCTTCTCTGATGTGACCACATGAATGTCCTTAAAATAAAGTGTTTGAATGACAAGTTTCCTTATTTTTTAAAGAAGATCTTTTATATTCGAACTATTGCTGCTAACATTTTTCACAAAATTTTAAGTTATTTATTCATTCTTTTACTGACTTTTTAATCGCTAATATTCGTTTTAAAAATATCTTTCTGTATGATGGATTATGATTGAAGGTATATATTTCTATTGATAAAGTGTGAAAGTACGTTTACAATCTGTAATATACTCGTATTATTTGGTTATGCCAAAACAATGTTCATCCCAATGGGTATCTAATCTAATCTTCAATTTTCTAATCTTCTCTTCTATTTATTTTTTAATACTTTAAACGAGTTACGGAATTGGCTCCAACGATTTTCATGTAGTTTTTATGTATTTAATATGCAGGGCCTTTCGGGGTCGATAAATCGATCTAGCTAAGATTCATTTTTAGAAAACGTCGTTTTATCCGTGTTTTCAGGCAATGAAAAAATGCTACAATATCATTAGAATAAAATATTATAAGGTTACAATAGCTCAGGTGGGAACTCGGGTGGTCTCTAAACAAGAAGACCCTTTTAGAATTTTTAAAGAATTTTTATCTTTTTTTCCTTTTTTTTCCAAATTCCTTTTCTTGCGAGAAAAAGCACCGAGTAAAGCTCGGTCATACTGATACTTATTACTTAAAACAAATAAATCATAAATTGTTGTTCAGAGCCATACAGCGTAGCAATGCTAGGTAAATGAATTCATGAAGTATATCTATCGCCCGATTGGATCCTTTTATTGAATTCCGTTTTTCATTTCGTCACAGTCCATCGATTCATTTTCCTCGCATAATTGCGGTTACATCTTTTTTCTTGGAATTAGAACGTATGGGGTCACCCAGCTGTCCGAAATATGTGACGTGATCTCAGATTTAGTAAATCATACCTGAAATCTTTCTAAAATCATTTCTAATGTTTTCCCCGAGGGTTTTTGAGGTAAACTAGCTAAACGGTTAAAGTTACCTTCATCGTTGGCTCGGTTATCAAATTTGATAGGCTTCACTTTAGCGTTTTGCCACTACATCCATCAATTCAGTGTAATTTTTTTTCAAGTTTGCGTCCAAATTGCAAACAGCGACTAGGGCTAGACATTGACGCGTTTTCTTAGCGGTGTTGAGCTTAAATGCGACACGGAAGTGAATAAGGAACTCAAAGTAAACTTATAGGACGGCGAATCTTCCGCACGCAACCATGTTCGGATAGGCGCAAGGGCCACCGCACACAGGACGCATCTCGCTGTTTATCTCCGGCCACTACGCGACATCTTCATTACCGCCGAGTGTTAAAACTTGTTGATCTGTCACTTTGTTAATTACTATGCGAGGGTCGCGTTCGGCCGGCGACAAAATGTTAATAAGTGTTGATAACGCGCGCGGCCGACGGTAGCGCTGCGTCTGAGAGCGCGGGGTTTTGAAATGCAAATTGCGCTTTTGAAACATTGGTCCGGATAACGTCGATAAGCTATACGAGGCAAATTAATGTCTTAGGTGCACGCGATTCTCCACCCTATTATAAGAGGGCACTGTGGCGTTTATCGTTGAAATCACGTGGCCGCGCGCCGCACAATTGTCGGGTATTAAGTGCATCTGTTAGTCTCGGTGGATGTTTCAAATCTTTTCAAGAATGTAATGAATTTATATGACGACGGAGGTTGTATTATCGATTAAGTGTGGTATATATAGTTTAATTTAGCTTTAGTTTTTACTAGTAACTTTGATTATTAAATGCTATAATCGTAAATTTAAAAATAGTGATATTTGGTTTTTGATAAGTACATAAGCCTTTAAAAATAAAAGTTTATTTCAAACGAAACGTTATTGTTGAACTATACTTAAGAAGGTTTAATCATTGAAAGTAAATTAAATCAATAATGAAATTGAATAGTAAATCGATAATGACACATGGAACTGAGACCTTGATCAAAGCACAAAGTCGCTCAGCGAGCTATGGAGCGGCTATGATCGGTATTTCTCTGCGTGATAGAGTCCGCAATTAAGATATCCGAAGTAGAACAAAGGTAACAAACATAGCTCAGAGGCTTAGTACGCTGAAGTGGCAATGGGCCGGTCATATAGCTAGATGAACCGATGGAGAAGAAAGGTTCTGGATTGGCAGCCACTTATTGACCATACTAGTATAAGAAGACCCGCTGTGTATTTGTGCATTCAGGTAGGTATTTATGCAAACTGCATTACCATTTGTTGCATGCTTCATAGACAGTTATGACAGCCGCATGTTTAAGATGACTGAGCAAAGTATCCGTAAGATTTTATTACACTCGCCTTATTAGTACCGTTCGCCCAATACAATATATTTATTAGAAATCTATGCCTATTCAAATATCCTACATAAGTAGGCAGCTGTGGCGAAATTGTTCTCTGCCGCAGTGGCTGACCATTGCGAGAAATCCTAGTGGTAACGACAAAGTCAAAATAACATCTGAATACCGTGTTTCTTACTGAGGACCGGGTGTTTCTTTATCGGGCTTATGTTATCAAAATCACGTCCTAAGCCGTGTTGCGAGCCTTGTATTAATTACAAAAAGAAAGTGCAATAACATTTTTATCACATTCGGAAATCCGAACGATATTTATTGGATAAATTTTACCAGGTTCCATTATCAATAAATATACATCACATCATGTAAAAACGTTGGTTATTTTCGGCATTTTTTGCCTTCCTCTCGCCGGAGAGCTTATTTTATTGCTTGTTACGCAACTAAGAGGGCACTAACTCGACTTTTGATCTTGTAAATTGATGTAACTCATACGCGATAACACCAAGTCTGGTACATGTAAAGAAAAATGTTTCATAATTAAAAAAGACATCTATTTTACTTTCAATGGCTTTAACAATGGTATATTAATAGTTGATTTATTTATTTATTAACCTTACGGGTGATACGAGAAGTTGAGGTAGGTACACAAATAAAATAATAAATAACAAGAGAAACGAATACCTATAAATTAGAGACTAGTTGTATTATAACTTACTAGCGACCCGCCCCGGTGCAATGTATTAAACATATAAAACTTCCTCTTGAATCACTCTTTCTAGTAAAAAAACTGCATCAAGATCAGTTGCGTACTTTTAAAGATCTAAGCATACATAGAGACAAACAGACAGCGGGACGACTCTGTTTTATACTATGTAGTCACTATGCAGGATAACTGGTCACAAAACTACACTAATCTACTTGCATTAATAACAATATAGACAAAATTATGGAAGTATACATATGCATACACACACACACATGCGTTCATACATACATAAATACAAATACATATCAGTAAAGCAGTACGGTGAGAAGTCAGAAGAGTTTAATATTATGATAACTCCGTGGCGCAGTCGCCAAGGTATCGGCGCCGGGGTTCGTGGGTTCGATTCCCACACGGGACAACTATTTGTGTGACCCACAGATAGCTGTTCCGCATCTGGGTGTGTGTCCGCGTGAAATGTATGTTTGTAAAAACGTCCTTACGCCACAGGATAATGTTATCCCAAAGTAAGGGTTATGTTTAAAAAAAAAGAAAATGAAGAGAATAAAAAAAGTGAAGGTTACCCTAGCAAATCGCGGGCGGGTCGCTAGTAATATAACAAATAATAAATGAACATCGATTTGCAATTACTGCACCTGTAGCAGATATTTAAACCTAAACCATGGAGATGTATACAAGTCCCACTCCTGGGTAAAGTCCTTCTCCGAACAGGGGTTATTAGGGCTTAGACCACCACGCCACCAAAATGCGGATTTGCAGACTTCACAATGTCTTTGAATATGCAGGTTTCGTGAAAATTCAGCACTAAAAAATTGACACTTTCATTTTTGTTGATCCGTTGAGCAACAATTTCATTAATACTACGATTTGAACTCAGTTTGCTCGAGTATATTGAACTAAAAGCAAGTGTCCGAACCCTGAGCTATAACGCCTCACGGCTTATCTATAATGATTTCTTAGAAATAGCAAAATTGTATTCACTTCAAAATAGTGTTATAAGCAACAAGCTGATCCGGCAAACGTTGTTTTGCTATATAAATTATTTGTAGGGTAGAAAATTGTTTGTGGTGGACCACTCTTAATAACACACAAAATTTCACGAAAATTGGTCGAACCGTTTCGGAGGAGTTCAATCACCGTGACACGAGAATTTTAGATTTTAGATTTAATAATCAAGCTATACAACATGATTTATCGATTACTGGATTTAATATAATTACTTAAATTTTTTTTGCTGAATTTATTATTTTTTTCACTTCTATTCGGAAGAAGTGCATATTAGGTTTTCCACCGTGAATATCGCAAATTGTTAATGATTTATAGTTTTATCACTTTTCACTCAACAAATAAAGAATATTATGTAACAACAATGGGGTTAAACCATCGACTTCCAAACCGCAAATGGGTTTTTGAAGTGATCTAATTATCCTTGATTGAATACTTTGATGACTTGCCGTTAACGTTGGAAAGGACAAAGGAAACAGTTACTTAAGGTAAATTATAAGTTATAACGTCGTTGTCGTTCAAGGTAAATTCAAAAGGCGGAACTTTGGAGCTATATAATAGAGCGCTGGATATTGTCCCACCAATACACATCTTAAGTGTAATTTATGGACTGAATAGGATAAAAATTCAAATGCAGCTCTATCATTCTCATTTTATCTTATTTCAACTGTGGTAGAGCCAGGAAACAATTTTCGGTGGCACGAATGGGCAGGTCTGCCCGAGTAAGTCCTCACAAAAGCCACGACCTCACAGAAGACCAGCGTGAAGTGGAAGTGTATGCGTCTTGTGTATATACGATGAGTGAGGTAGTTGGGGCCCACTTTATAATAAAGTAACGCATCTAGAACCCTACGGGTGTTGCAAATATCTATGGGCGGCGGTTCTCACTTAGCATCTCATCGAAATAGGAGTCACTTTCTTTTTATACAAATTATAGTCGTGTTTCTTTTATCGTTCTTTATCGTGTAGTGCTCTACATTTTTTTTTTGTGTAATAGTAGATATATTATAAAATTTGTCTTCAAATAAAAAAAACATGGTAAATATTTCACAGCATTTGTTTCTTATTGGTTCTTCTCTGGCCGGATCTAAATATATGAACCTATGACCAGATCTTATTATTCATGTATTAAATTTTTATTGTTTTCCTTTGTTGTTTGGTGTTTTTTTTTTAAGAGTGTGACGGCAATCGTCACCGAAGGATGAGATTATCTTGTGTTGTATGGACGTGTTGTAATTTATGTATGTATACATAAAATTCATGTAGACAAACACCCAGATCAGAAACAATTGCTCGGTTACACAAATATTTGTCCCGGACTCGAACCCACCACTCCCGACTATATAAAAACTGTTATCGGAATTTCAATGATGCAGACAATGATATATTTAATACATTACTTAAAAGTCCTTTGACATGAATCCTAAGCCTACGGTTTCGCAAACTACCAAAACAATTGTCATCGTCGCATAACTGAATTAAAGTGTGATCAAATTGAAAATCCATTACGTTGAATTCCTTTAAAAACCGTTCAAATACCGAACTTAAGTATTATCGGCGAGTAACGGTCCATACTATATCTCCATACGGAGTGACCGTGCAAAGTGCCCTCGGAATCCGCGATGCCAAAAACAAACACGGCGTTTTAACGTCGGCGGCGATATGATAGCGTGTTAATGGAGTGTTGCACGAGTTTATTTAATTAATTAAATATTAAGGGTCCGCGAAATGGTAATGAGGCGGTGTCGCGATACTGCCCGCAGCCGCCGGCCCGCCGAGCTGGCACCTTGTAAGCATTGAATGTACCTTTTTAGGGTTCCGTACCTCAAAAGGTAAAAAAAGGAACCCTTATTCTCTTAGACTCGTGCCTCGATAGTAGCACAGATACAACGGCGTCTGAGACGATAATATTAATCTCTACAGAAGTCCTCGTTTTTTTATTGGATATTCGGGAATCTGGGCGAAAAATGTAAACAAGTTAAAAGTTTAATCTCAGCTAGGATCAATTTAAGTTGTTCTAAATTTCAGTTCAAATAAATTCTGCCATTCAAGATACCCGTGCAATTTGTAAATATTTCGTTAATATTTTTTTAAACTAGCCAGCTCAGCTAGTTTATAAATAAAATACATTTTCATGAGATTAAGAAACAATTTTAGGTCAAGAAAAGCGGCCAATGATCATACATTGAAATTATTATATGCTTTCTTGGCTAAATCAGATAATGAGTAGATATCGCGTTGAACAAAATAAACTAATTTATACGCAGTCGTATAAATTTATTTTGTTTCGTATCTTATAAGTATATATAAAGTCAAGCTTCATTGACTTAGAATCTCTGTCGTAATCCGAAGCCCAACAGACAAGGCACGAACCTCTTCAGAATTAAGATACCGGCATCGTTTTGACTGCGTTTTTAAATAAGATTTCACTTAAAGCTTTGGATGAAAAAAGATGTTCTCGAACCCTTTCTAATTGAAATATTTTAAGCGAATCTCTCAAAAAAACGGTAAACTCATTTCGAGTTTTTAGAGTTTTTGTGTTTTATCTTTCACTACTCTCATTGCGTTTTTTAAAAATTAAAAAAAATATTTTTTAAATTGTATAATAAAATCCCACAGTCGATATTAAGTCTGCTACTTGATGAATTTAAACGAAAAATTAAAAGTAAACTTATGGCTAAAGCAAATTATAACATTGCGGAATATCTTGACGACGCCAATGTTTGCAGTTAATACTGTTGATACTCACGTAGGCTAAAACAAGACTATTATACCTGGACAATTACAATGTAAACTGACCTTTTAAAAAAGAGCAACTGTTGAGTTTCTTGCCGGTTTCTTCTCAACAGAAACTGCTTTCCGAACTGGTGGTAACTTACGAACGTATTAATTTCTTTTTAAAATTTCGACGTTTCATAAGAACGGTCAAGCGTCTATGTGAATAAAGATATTTTATTAATATTATATTATTGCAAAGGTAAATATTAGGTTAATAAATTAGGAATCAACTTAATAGGAATTATTTACAAATAACTTTTTTTTGTATATGGGTCGGACGTTATTTGAATATTTTTCCGCAAGGTGCAGTATTCCCGTCATGGAGTTAATGAGGAATTGAAAGGGCTTGTAATTAAAAAAGTGCGTCCATAACGAAATTATTAATATGCATCGTGTACTCATAAACTCAGTATAAACAATAAAAACGATCAGTAGTCATCCGTACTTTTTTGCAATTGCGATAAAGTATAGATGACTGCTTTAATGACTCTTAAATACATTACTCAGCTCATTTGCCACATCCAATAGCTGATAAGTTGATATACTTGCTCGAAAGTTTATTTTCAGTTGTCTTTTTATTGATTATGATCATGATATAAAAATGCTCAGCGAATGCGCTTTTTTGTCTGATTCTTTCCTATTTTATTGGCAATGCGATCGTTATTGTGTTTGCATTACTGCAAGTTACATTATCATTATTATTGCATTACATAAATGGCTATAAAATACACACTATGTTTTAACATTGCCTTTTGCGCGCGTGGCTTATCTTGCCGTAAGGCGTTTCCTTCAGCACTTTGCGCGATGACCGACTCAACGGGAGGCTGTTTATTGGCAGGAGCTTCGGTGCCAAGTGCTCCAAATGCTGCCGCGGAATTTCCTCCTCCGATTGGGTGCGAAAGGCGCGAGAGCAAGTTTACCACCTCGCCTGCTTCGCTTGCGACGCGTGCGGTCGCCAGCTCTCCACCGGGGAGCAGTTTGCGCTACACGAGGACCGTGTACTCTGCAAACCACATTATCTGGAGACGCTCGACGGAGGTTCCATTTCATCCGACGGTGATTATTTCTGTATGACTCTAGACTATAGACGCTTAACCACGCTCGATTGCTTTTCTACATTAAGCGGAAAATGCTTTTATATACGATACGGATAAAAGCAAAAAGGGCACATGTCGCAATTATTAACTTAAACCACATATTTTTTTTATTTCTTCATATACTTATAAATCTATATTTGTAAAGAATTATGTGTTTAGCCGTTTTCTAACGTATTTACAATATCTTGTAGACGGATGCGACTCGGAGGGTTACCACAAAAGCAAGGCAAAGAGGGTTCGAACAACGTTCACTGAAGAACAATTGCAAGTACTCCAAGCAAACTTCCAGCTGGACTCGAACCCGGACGGTCAGGATTTGGAGAGGATTGCCCAGGTCACGGGGCTAAGCAAGAGAGTGACACAGGTGTGGTTCCAGAACAGCCGCGCCAGGCAGAAGAAGCACCAGCACACTGGCAAGGGAAAGCAAAACCAACGTTAGTATCGTAGTGGCAGTTTGCTTGATATTGATAGTGTCTAAATGCGCATTTGATACACTGGTACAGAATTTTCTCCGTATATGCGTCATATTTTATTTGCGTTTATTACATTAGAAACTGAGCGGTGAAACTGCGCAATGGCGAATGTCCTATGTATTGCGAATTGTTATAATCTTTTAACAACGTTAAAAACTTCATTTGCTGTGAACTTGACGTGTTTATTGCAGTGATGACACGTGACACTGATCCGGCGGGGTTTGGGCGGCCCATCAACCTACACCTCACCTATTCTTTCCAGAACAAGCCGCCTTTTGTCCCAATAGGTGCGTACCTACAGATCATCTATACTTTAAAAAATTATAGAAATCCCCCTGAATAAAATTTGTCTTTAGTTTTAAATTTTTAAATTTTTTTAGAGCCGTGATAGCTCAGTGTCCGGGCGCTCGCCTTTAATTCAATATACTCGAGAAACCTGAGTTCGATCCCCGGTGCCGGCACCAATGAAGTTTTTAACTTTAAGTGCTGACTTATCACGTGCTCCGCGGTGATGGAAAACATCGTGAGGAAACCTGCATGTTTTCGAAATAATAACAAAAAAAATATTTCAAAGATATGTGAAGTCCGCCAATCCGCAGTGCGGCCGCGTGGTGGACTATGCCCTGATACCCTCTATATAGAGGAGGCCTTTGCCCAGCAGTGGGACATGTATACTGCTGTTACTTTTAGTTTTAAATTCACAGTCATTGGAGGATTTAGTGCCAATTGATTAATATTTGATGTTATTAAATGTTTTTTAGAGTTCCGTAACCAAAGGGCGACCCTATTACTAAAACTCGACTGTTTATATGTCCGTCTGTCGTCAGAAGGCTGTATCTCATGAACCGTCATAGTTGAATTTTTCACAGATGATGTATTTCAGCTGCGGCTACAACAACAAATACCCAAAAAATAGAATACAAAAATATTTTAGTGGGTCTTCCTTACAACAGATATGATTTTTTTGTCGTATTTATAGATAATGGTACGGAACCCTTAGTGCGCGCGTCCAACCAGCACAGATATTTTTTTTTGCCGCTATACCAACAACTATTAAAAGACAGAATAAAAAATATTTAAATGTTGCCTTCGTACAAGAGACATGACTTTATTGCCGTTTTTATGGATAATGGTACGAAACCCTTCGTGCGCAAGTCCGACGCGCACTTGGCCGGTTTTTTATATACACGCTGTGTCACACGGATTTGTCACGTTTACTTATTATGTTAATTTCCGATGTTTCGAACCCTTAACAACAATCACGGAACAGATTGGACTACTATATGTCATTGTTAGCCCGGTCTCTCGTCAGTATTTTTAGGTGGTTCATCATCATCATCATTTCAACCTATTTGAGTCCACTGCTGAACATAGCCCCCCCCGACCCCCCAAAAACTGCCATGAAGTACGATCCTGAGCCACCTGCATCCATCGACTTCCCGCACATTTGCACTGGTCCTCACTCCATTTAGTGGTTAATACTTTAAAAATTATAAGACTCACTTTTATGTAGGTGTAACAAAATTTTAGAGCGTTTGTTACAGATAATCTCTTCAACCCTATTTCTTCAAGTTACAAAATTTTACACGTTAGTTGAGAAATAAAAACATAATGCTTTCAAAAATACCAAATACTGTAAAACAAGGTTCAAAATGACATATCGTTTTGGCATTAACTGATAAAAATAGTGCACATAATTTATATGTTATGAAAGAGAAATTTTGTTGTTAAACGATTATTTTATGCTTTTCAGACGGAACATCTTTCACGGACTCTTCAATGGATGAGCTCTCCGAGGACTCGTCGATCCACTGCATGCAGAGTGAAGTTTGAACTGTCAAACCTTCGTTAAATAAGCTATATCTTGCCGATTGTCGACCCGTAGATAATTATCACGAATGTTGTTTTAAAAATATATCCTATCTAGCCTTCATGTGAATCCCTTATATTTATTATTTATTAATAAATTAAATTAAAAAAAAATAATAGTCGGAGATTTAAAAAAATAACTTAAGTTTGCTTATTATGCGGAAATGGATATTATGCTTTATTTAAGATATGTACGTACTCACCTTCGTTGCTTATAAATATATCTTAATTTATTTTACACTAAGCATTCATAAAATAGTTCTGTGAGGTGATTCTCATCACGCTTATTCTTATTTCATTATCCTTGAACGTTATTTTACTTAATAGAAGACATAATTTCCACAGACATACTCCTAGTCTCATTCTAACAAAAATGAAATAACTCACTCAATGTTATATTTAGTCATGTTATAATTATCTAACGTTACAATAAATTACCGTTATATATTTATGTAAATAGTCAACTTTAAACTGTAGTGAAGTCAATTAGAAAGTCACTTTTAATCGTCAAAGTTTTAATCCACTATGTAGTCGAGTATATAAAATATGAATATTTTTTTCTTACCAGCGATTGCAATCATTATATAACAATTTAATGAAATACTATAATATGTACTATTTACAATTAAAATTTTCCATAGATAAATTAATGAAAACCCGTGCACTTAAGTTATTTTTTATTATTTCGGGCTATGCTTGTTTACGAACATAATTTTTAAACTTCTATAAGTTGAATACACTTTCTAATATTATTCTTGTTAAAATAACCTAATTTATCCTGAAGCATTCTTGTAAAGAAACTTTAGTCGTACTTAATAATAGTTTAATTTGTATAATTTTATCTTAATTTGTATTTGTAATATAAAAAAGCAGAAATTAATGTATTTCGTAATACCTTAATTCAAGAATTTTAATTTTGTGTGTTGTTGTAAAAAATATATTTATTTATTTATTTCTAGTAACTGTGATACATTTGCTGACAAGAAAATCTCGTGAATTAAACTAAATATATAACACCTCACATATTTTTTAAGATAATTTATAAAACAGTCATCAATTTGCTGCCAGTATCATCAGTGTTTGAGTTAAATCACTTTACTTACATTAATTCGCCTGAATAATTACAGTTATTAGGCGTTATTTATTATTTCACAATAATTGCAAAATATATCATTAATAAGTGGAGTATCTTTGTATATAAGGATATTATTCGATGTAACGAATATTCTTTGATGCCCCAAAAAATGTTTTAATTGAAGAAAAGTTTGTTGTGTGTAAAAAATTGGCATCAAATCATCAGCAATAACAAATATCGATGGTCTAATATATAAATAAAATGTTATAAATTTCCTGATAGCGCTTGATCTAACTGTAGATTAAGAATATTCGTTAAAGTGATCTCCCTGCGAAAAGTTTTTGAATTATTTCTCTTGTAAGCAATGGAGCATAATCTGCCATTTATGGATACTTTTATGTACTGACTGAAGTACTCATCTAAGTAGTGTTGTGCTCTTTAGCCCACAGGGTGCGCAAATATCAAAGGGCTGATGATGATGAGATATTGACGTCTAAGATTCTCCTTTATTCTGGAGTCCAAATTGTTTTTCTTGCATCCTCTATCATTGGTGTAACATTCGGATGAACGTTTTTAATCAGTTATGTGAGCATAATTGTTGCATACACAGTTTCTATTAAAAACAAACTTGAATCCCAAACTCGACTGTAAATGTGTTTATTTCGTTCTTTACTTCATTTTCTTCACCGTAGCCCACTTAAGTCGCTATATCTTACCGTTTCAACATTTTTGCATTTAAGTTTTGACCATATCTTCATTCTTACTACATACAGCTTTGTTACAACAGTTACAACCTTCAGTATTGTAAATAAATTTAATATATTTCCAAATTTCTCATGTAAATTCGATAAGGCATCTATTTATGATGTTAGTCTGCTAGAGTGTAATTTTATAGTCTCGTCATTTAATAGATGTAGTTAGCCAAGTACTAGGTACTTAGTTTATTCTGTACAAATTATTAAATATATTATGTTGGTTAAATAATTGTATTCGTTTTATTTATCATTTCTGTGTATCAGAAAAAATAAACTTTCTCGACTTAAATACCCTGAAATTAAACAGGTAAAATTAAGGCTATCTAAGTGTTAGGGCACATTCAAATTATAGGGCACATTAATATGTACGGTTTCTAAATTCCGATAGGAAATTCCAAAGACAGGGATAGCTTGCTTCTATATTTCTGAAATAACAACGCGGTAGTAAATAATTAATATTTATTATCATGATTGCTAAAGTTTCATGCTGTAGATAAAATATATTGCCCCTGTTCTTATTACGTGAATAGGAAATCTGGCTTAACATTATTATATTTACATTAGAAAATTAAATAATATATCTTTCTTAAATGTGCGGCTGCAACCATAAAACCATCCTTTCACAATACTCGTAAAAAGACCGTAAAAAGTCTGTTAACAAACAGGCTTTCAAAAATCGTTGGCTCAATCGTTTAATCGTAGGCTAGAATGTGTATTTTAAAGTCCTTAACATGAATTTATTTTAAAGCCATCTCAATTAATATATCCTCTTTAATAAATACTATCCTAAAATATAAAATCCATTGAACATAGATATTGAAGAATAACAATTTCAACATTATTTACATAATCTTATAGTTAAAATATTTAAAATTCATAATTTGTAATATTTGAATATTTTTACTATGTTATGTAATATCATTACCTACCTACCTAGAATTAATAGAAATAGTAAAACAAAACAGCTCTATTGATTTTAAATTATAACTGCATCGTTTGCTTTCAGTGTTTTTTTTTTCGAAGTACTTAAAATACCATTTTCTTAAAAATATCTACAATTTGTCCATAGTGTTCAACAGAAGATCCATTTCTTGATGCACTTCCTTAAGGAGCTCTTTCATTTGCCTCGGCGAGTCCAGAATGTCTATGCTCTGTGTGTAAGGATTGTACCTTACACCAAAGTCTCGTGGAATGGTTTGTGCGAATTTTCTGTAAGAAGATAATTGTTTGTCATGCGTTAAACGTAATGGAGTAAATAAGCTCTCAGCTTATTTAGTCCTTACGTGGTGGCATTACAAACGTGATATAGTGAATAAAGTGATAGAGTTAAGAATAAGAAATCCGGAAAACAACAATTCTGACAACGAATCAGTTGCGTTTGATGTAACTATTTTTTTTTGTCAAAGTCCGAGAGTTCACTGCCTTATTGTACTAAATAATGTGTGTCAGTAAGTGATAGAGCCATTACATTTCTTATATCTTTATACATATAATTCTTCTGTACGTGTGTATATCACTTAACTCCTACTAAACAACTGGACCGATCTTATTGCTTTTTTGTGTGGCTTCGGGTCGATTCGAGAATGGTTTAGATTCGGTTTTAAGTTATCGGATTTAAGTCTTGTGTACAGGACAACGTCTGCCCGGTCCGCTAGTGTAGTATATCTCATTATTTGTGTTTTGTTTGTATGTTTTTTTTTATAATTAATTAATAGGTCCGTCTGGGTAGTACACGTAAGTATCACGACCTCACAGGAGAACGGTGTGAAGTAAAAGTGTAACACTTCTGCATTTCATCTGATGAGCGGGTTAGCCGGGTTCCACTAGATTTATTAAAAAGTTGCAATGCAGCCGCAACTCTATGGGTGTTGAAAATGTCAGAGGCGGTTATCACTTAAGGTCAGCTGAAACGCCTGCTCGCTTATCACAATCTCACATAAAAAAAACAATGCATATGTACTGCGACTTACATCATCTTCTCTTTGGCATTTTCAAAACTTTCAGCTACGAAGTAGATGGGCTGATACTCCGTAATAGGGTACTTCTGCTCGCCAGTGATCTCGGGATCGAATGGCTTCAGCTCTGGCTTGTCTGATAGGCAGTACTGCAGTTCTCCAAATGATGACAAAAGTCCAGCCCCGAAAGCCTTAAGCTTGCCCTCTTGACGGCATAAACCGAACTCCACCGTGAACCAGAAACACTGTGGGGATAGATGTTAAATGAAAAATTAATATTTAATTAAAAAAAAGTTTACCTCTTTGCTGTACTCTACTATTTTAACTATGTTTTCTTTAAATTGAAGTGTAATAACGTTGTTTATTATGAAAAAAGTTTTTTTTAATCGGCTACAACCGATCTAGTACATTATTTAATAAATGCATAGTCTTAAAGACTTTTTTATGTTGAATGGAATAATAATAAACACTTTTGACCTTGAAATGAATTAAGTTAATGATATAAACTTAATTTACCGTTGCAAGTTTTTCTATGTAATCGTCCGGCGCCCCGAGGGACGCCAAGCCGATCTCTTGTGAGAATTGTGCGAAAGCGGGATCGGCGAAGAGCGGTGCGTGACCGAGCAGCTCGTGACAGACATCGGGCTCCGGTGTGTATAGAGGCTTGGACTGATGACGGATGTACTGAGTACTATGAAAGACGCGGAAAGCGAGCCCAGCCAGGAAGTCACGCGACGACAGAAGCCCCGCCACTGGGCGCAGAGTGAAACCGGTGCAGTCTGAAAATTAATAACATCAAATTTGTACAATGTGTCACCAATGTGTACTGTTACCTAAATGTAAGTAAACACTATGGCCGCTTACCCTTTAAGAAGTTAGATACATCTTCCAACTGGGGTACATTGTCCTCCCGGTAGCCGCAATTCTCAATTAACAGCGGGAACACGTGGTTGTGCTCTTTACACGCGTGCGTGGGGTAAAGCTCCGTGAGCTTCCTGAAGACTACGCCCCAAGTATCGATCTCGTCTTTCGTGTAATGAACATGAGGCAGAGGCTGGCCATGCTTGTAGTTGAATGCGATATCGGCGAAATACTTCCTGCGCGCCCGGTACACGGGGTCTGTGAAGCCTGGATGGTCAGAGTCGAGCTCAGCGCCGTACGACAGGATCTGGTTGGCGAAGCGGTCCAGATCGCGTATACGGCGCGGGAACCACGGCACCGCACCTTTCGCAGAAAAATCTTTATAAAAATAATTTTTGTTTAATTACCACCTAAGCAGTTTCGAAATTAAAGATTGATTCGTTTTAACGCCCATGATATAACGGAGCACGCTACTCACATCTGTTGTCCTTGTAGTTTCTGGATATGATGTTAAGATAACCGACGTTTCTCCTCAACTCCTCCAGAGCGGCGCCGAAATCACCAGCGCCGTGCTCGCACTCCACCATGAACTCGTAACCGGGCAGCCTCGCGGAGGATCTTGACTCTATGTGGCTCAGGTTCACTCCGTGCGTGGAGAAAATGTTCAAGAATCGCGCCAACGACCCCGCCTCGTCTCTCTCCGGTGAAAACAACAGCCAAGTGGACTTCGAATAATCCTGCACCTCGCGAACGCCTCCGTGCATTAGCTTCGGCTACGGATAAAACCAAGATTCGTTTTCTATTTATATTTACGAGTAACCTTGGATCCAAAATTATTCTAGCACCCTCGAATTGCAACAATATTCAATTGTTATAAAATTGTATCATAGGTATAATTTTATATAGAGTCCACAATTTAACTGCCCTTTTGTTATACACAAGTACAGGTGTTACACTCGTACCATTTTTATGAATTAAATAATTCAATTATTCAATGAGGTCGGCACCTTTATTTAAAGGTGGCAACGCATTTGCAACACTACGGGTGTCCATGGGCGGCGGTTATCACTTAACATCAGGAGAACCGCCAGCCCGTTTACCACTTTTTCACATAAAAAAAATGATGACATCTAAAAACTTGAAAAACTTATTACTTTTTCTGTCATACGAACAATACATGTTCCCCAAAAATGCATCAAACCGCTTCATAAAATCGGCAAATTTAAATACGTCATTGCGGCGATAAAAAGCAAAGCTTAATTAACGATAAACGGTGGCCCGCATTGCGCGAGGCTTGGGTTACGGAAAACTGTCTGATAACCCCAGGAACCGTCAGTCGACGCCCCAGCGATATGTGCTATCAACAAGTTGATGGTGACGTGACAATTCCAACCCTACCGTTGCCGATTTCATTCCAACATGGAGTGGACAGGAACTGTAAATAAACGTGGTCTAATAACCAACAGTTTCTATGAAAAAGGCTATATCCACCGATGTATTTTTAATTTTAAAACGAGGTTATCTTTTATAAATATAGATATATATATATATATATATATATATATATATATATATATATATATATATATATATATATATATATATATATATATATATATATAAGACAATAACAAACATTCATTTTTCATGTCTTATGAAAAAATTTAAAAAATTGACTGATAAAGTCTAAAAATAACACTTTTCTATATCCCCTACAAAAGATTCGTAATAATACTTAAAAGTCAATTTAAACTTTAATACGATACGGTACCATAAAGTTTAAGTGTTAGTGGAGCAAAACAAGTGAGTGACTGTGGCAAAATGTCACTTGAAATGTAAACGTCTCTTTGCTGTGCATCACTACATAGTATAAAACAAAGTCGCCCCACTGTCTGTCTGTCCCTATGTATGCTTAGATCTTTAAAACTGCACAACGGATCTAGATGCGGTTTTTTTTACTAGATAGAATGATTCAAGAGGAAGGTTCATATGTATAATACATTGCACCCGTGCGAAGCCGGGGAGGGTCGCTAGTCTTATATATTTCCCGTGGTTGAGCTGATTGGGATGCGATTTTGTATTGAGGTGTAGTTTTGCCTTTCTAGTTTTTTCATTTAGGTGTCTTCCCTGAAATACGTGATTGTGACACAGGAATTCAGAAATTCTTCATTTAAATACGTATAAATAAATTAATTCAAGCCTTTTTGCTTACTTTTGCTCCATATATTAGTAAAATAAACACAAAACAAAAACACAAATTTGTTTGTACAGAGAAAACAAAATCAGTATTATTCTATCTTAAAGTTTTCACCCATGATACAAGGTATTAGAGGTTTACTTAAATACTTTGTATAACTAGTTATATATAATTATATAATAGCTTTTTCTGCGATGATAAGGCTGTGCAGTTACCTTAGACCAATAAAAATATGCCATTTAGAGATAATTCAACAAAGCGATCTGCTCATGTCCCAGTTTTGAGTAATAACAGAATCAATTCAATAAATAACAGCGGCCGTGTTTATAAACTGTAACATGCTGATAATGTTATCCTTTGCTTAAATTACGTGATATATATTTGTTTGAAAATAAGCGGCGACATTAAAATTATGAGTGTTGATAGCGAGGATGAAACAAATTGCTAGAATGAGATAACGCAGCGCGCTTCTTTACATCTTGAGCATTATCATATTCGTGAATAATCAATGAATAGCTTACTTTTTTAATTCACACAATTTGACGTTAAATCTTTATTAGTAACAAATATCAATTATTTAATTAGAAAGCAATAGTAGTCCCTGTTATAAAATGGCTTCCTCGTACACAGAGCTTCATAATAGAGCATTGCCTGCCACGTGGTCTCTTTAAACACTCATAAATATTCTGCTGTGTTGTTTTATAATATTTCTTACAAATGCAATAGATTTCATTCAGCGCTGAGCAGTGGTAAAACAACATTCGCTATTAACTATTTAATTCATTTCAATTCATATTTGATATTTATTAGTTCTTATCTTTATATATATAATTCTTCTGTGCGTGTGTATGTCACTGAAGTCCTAAACGACTGGACCGATTTTAATGAAATTTTTGTGGGTCTTCAGGTCGATTCGAGATTGGTTTAGATTCGCAGTTCGTTTTATTTTGTTCTTTTTTATTTATAAGCTGTTATCGGATTTAACTTGCGTGTGCAGGACAATGTCTGTTGGGTTCGCTAGTAAATTATATTATATATATATATATATATATATATATACATACATACAATAGCCACACCACGGTTATAATGCTTCTAAAACAGTATTAAAGAAACATTTATTTATTGTACAATTAAAATCATAATAAAAAATGGGAATTCGCAGTGATTTAAAAGTAAACAAAAACTGTGTGTCTTATAAAATAAATTATTTAGTACCTGATATTCTAAAGATTTCAATTTTATTCCCACGGCCTACCTACATGCTCGCATGTACTTGTCACATTTAAGTTTCAAGACGTGTTTTTAATATTTAAAAATATCTTTCGTTGTTACAAATGATTATATCATTTATTATCGGTATAATTAAAAATTCTTTTTTTTAATTAAAAATTCTGATGCCAAATTAATAAAACAACTATCACTTGATTTACCAAAACCTGATTTATATGTACCTATGTATATATAGATCAAGTTTTGGTAAATCAACTAAGTCAAAGATTTACCAAAAACCGATTTATATATACCTACTAGCTGACCAAGCCATATTATTATATTGCCTGGTCAGCTAGTAGGTATATATAAATCATTATTTATATATTGTTTTACCATATAAATTATTTGTACGGTAGAAAATAATATTTGGGGTGGACTATCCTTAACATTATGGGGGATGAAAAATAGATGTTATCCGATTCCCCACCCTGGCCGATATGCACACAAAATTTCACGAAACTCGGTCGAGCCGTTTTGGAGGAGTTCAATTACAAACACGGTGACACGAGAATTTTATATATTAGACGTATATAGAGATCAAGTTTTGGTAAATCATGTGATAGTTGGTATTTAGTTTGGTCAACTTTTACTAAAAAAAAAAAAGAAAACGAAAAGTGTTATAAAAACTTAATAAAAGTAAAGTCATAAAATTAATGTAACTATGAGGAAATAAGGTCTATTAAGTATATAATTTTCGGAAAATAGCCATTTCTACTTTTAGTAACGTCAAATCTCATTGTTTTACCTTATGCGGAGTTGAGCCCGAGACCACTGGCTCCGGCGCTTTGGCACTTTCTACTTGCATCATCTTCTAGAATTGTAAAGGAACTACAACAACAAAGGACGTGCGAACGCGGCTGTTCAGCGCTTATAATTCAATCGCGAGCGGCGAAAGGTTCGCTTTTATGTCGCAACGTGACGCTCGGAATTATTACTCGCACGGCGCGATATATGGATGTGGTATTTAGTGTCTTGTTTTTTTTTTTTTTTTTTTTTTTTTTTTTTTTAATTTCCGACAATTTACTACATATTGGACGGTTCAATCTAATCAACCGACTTCAAAAATTAAGGAAGTTCTCAATTCGTTTGTATTTTTTTTTATTTATTTATGTTTGTTACCTTAGAACTTTCAAGTTAGTGAGCCGATTTTGATTATTCCTTTTTTATTTGAAAGCTGGTGCTTCCCATGTGATCCCATTTTAATTTCACTGGTATTGGATCTTAGGATCCGGAGGTACTTAGGGAACACCGGAATATCGATTATAAAATGAATACAGAGCGAGGTTTTCTTCATTTTGTTAATATAACCAGTTTTTATTGAGAAGCACCATCTTTCAAATGAAAAAAGAATAATCAAAATCGCTTCACCCATTCAAAAGCTCTGAGGTAATGAACATGAAAAAAATACAGTCTAATTGAGAGTAACAGTCCTTTTGTAGTTTGTTAAAAAATGGACTTGTTTAATTTCTAATCTAATGCGGCAGATTACACAAAGTCTCTTTTTGTTCCTTGTATTTGGAACTTTAACCATAATAGTTTTTGCAATTACAATACAGAAATTATACTGTACATTTCTAATATTTCAATTTGTATAATGTTTTACCTATGTGACAATTAATTTTGAAGCATTTTAATGAAAAACCCTAGGGCAACGTAAGGTGGTATTGTGATTTTACGATGGTCGAAACCACATAAATTCAATATTTATATTATTACAAAAGTTTATTTATAGATTCAAGTGATGTTATTTTTATTTCTCCTTTGATGGCTTCTATCACTAACTAGGTAGTAAAATTGAAAATAAAGGTAAAATAAAGTTTTACCCAGATATCATTCTCCGTATTCCTCGCCCTTGTGGCTGACCTTTCAATAATACGAAAAGTTCAACACTATCAAATCAACTTCCGTACTAACTAAATTTCTAATTACTTACATATAAAATATTTAGTAACAATACCGTATCAATGAACATACTTCCCTTTTGCCTGCGATGACATTGGAAAAAGCCCGTTCCATGCAATACTGTGTCCATGTTACGCAGATTTTTTTATTGTTACTGAATTTCAAGGTCAAAAAAGGTTGCCGATTTTGTTAAAATAATATATAGACGGCATGTTTTGCTCGTATGATAAAAATATTGAATACAAATTATAAAACAACTTTATAGGTCTTAATTGTTATAAATAACATTAACATTTATGATATCAGAATGAAATACATACCTCGCATGATTAATGAAGATGCTTGTATTTACAAACAGTTTTATCCCATAATATAAAATCCCTTAATGAAATTGTTTTTTTCCCGACCATATATCACCACCTACCATTAAAAGGGCAGAGTCAAAATAGTGCCATGACCTTGGCTAAACCAGATTGATAAGTTCTTAAAAGATTTAAAAAGATAAACCGAGATAGGTGCCTACGTCATAAAAAAGAAAAATGTCCTAAGGTTAAAGAAAAGTTTTATAATTGATTTTCAGGGGTTTCCTAAGTAGAGAATCCACAAGATACTCGTCGGGTAAATATTTATAATGCGGGAAGTATCTAGACTAGATTCTAGAATATAAACAATCATACATACATACGGTGGATAATGCATATTATCGCAACCTAACCATTTCATTTGATGAAGAAGATGCCTTTTCAATCTCAACCACATCAAATGGAGAGAAGAAAAGGGGGTTGAAAACCCGGTTGAAACCAATCAACAGTTTTTAACTGTGAGAACTTTAACAGTGAACTTGATTTGGACGTCCAAAGAAGAGTAACAAAGTGGCGTCATCCAATTCAAATATTCTGAAACTCAAAGCATGGATTATTGATACTAAAACGTTCAGCGAACTTCCAAATATCTCTAGATGAATAGGAAGCTATGTTATTTAAAATATGTGAGCATTTAGCATAGGAACCACCCGGACTGTCGTTGTTACAATCGTTTTTAAGTTTAAGGTAAACACAATTGTAGTGATCCAAGGAACTGGTAGATGCTTAATCTTGACACATTTCTTGGGAACGTGTACATAGTACAAGCCGAGCACGGCAATATTAATTAAACTGATTTTCTCGTCCACTTTGGTGTCTGGAGCAATAAAATTGTTCCAGATTTGTTTAGATCTTCATGGAGTTTCTTGTTATGTGTAGGTAAATGGAGTCGTAATAAGAGAAACTAGGTGGTGGGTGTTGTTCATGAGAGGAGACAAGTGAAGGTTCTGAAGTAACAAGTCAAATCAAGTGACTTAGATTTCGAAGTGGAGAGGTAATATATAGGCTGGCTGAAGAATTTCTACGAGGCTCTACAATTCGAGCAAAGCTTTCTTGATTTCCGTGCTGACAATCGGGTCAGAGCTGTTGTTAACCTACCTATTCCCTCCTGTAAAGTAAAGTAACCGCCTATATATGTCCCATAGCTAGGCAAAAGCCTCGTCTGTACTGAGGGTGTTAGGGCATAGTCCACCATGCAGCCCCACTGCGGACTAGCAGACTTCACATATCTTCAAAATATTTTTTTTGTTATTTATATTATGTCTTTTAGAGTTATTGACGGCTGCCGTTAAGCACTGGCCTGATTCTACCTTGTTTTGTCTTCAATACGTGTCGGTGCAGTCAGACTGCATCCTGGCTTTATTTATGGCACCGACACGAAGCACCCAACAGTTTTCTCATCGGGACTGTTTCGAGGGTGGGAGGTAGGGAGCAACTTAAGGATAACGTGATCCTGTGTTGTAAGGGCGTTTTACCAACATAAATTTCACGTGGACAAACATCCAGATGCGAAGCAACTATATGACCCACAGTCATACAGACAGTTATACCATGTGGGGATCGAACCCACGAGCTCCGACGCCGAAGCCAACACCTAACCGCTGCGCCATGGAGTCATCATTTGCGTTTGCAGACAGGTCGGTTAAATTAATTTAATAGTTTTTACCATTTCAGATGGCAACTCGTTTTCCATGTCAATAATAAATTATATGGTCAAACCAAGAAACAAATCTCGTTTCAAATTGGCAAGTGCCAATATTAAATACTATAGACCAAGTAAAACTTCTAATAAAGCAGATAACATTACATATGTCTAATTATACGCCAAGGAACTTAGCTGACGCGGTATTTAGTCCACGCCGCACGAAGCACAGTAATCAATAAAACAGGTATATTAAATAACAGAATGGACTGTTAAAACCGGTTGTTAAGTAAAAACATCCAATTATATCATTTTATTATCCAGTAATACTTTGCTAATACGTAAATAAATGTTCATAGCCTGAATCAAAATAATAACAACAGGTTTTGTTGCAATAAGTCTCTTTTAAATAATAAGTAGGTCATAAATTGCACAGCGCTTCTAGGAAGTCCATGAGACGGGGGCTATGTTTCTGATAATGAAATTTCATGACCGTCGTCAAATTATTTATTCATAACATTAGATTATATTATTCACACATAAGAAACATACATTTCATCTATCGTCACTTTTTTCCTACCACCGTTTCGTGGCCATCATCATCATAATAACCCGGAATAGGTAATTACTTTTCTCGAGTAAGAATAGAAACCATTCTCAAAATTATTTGCTAAAACAATCGGTTATTTAAAAGGATCCATAATTTTACAATACCGATAACTTTCTTATCCTTATATATATAATTCTTCTGTACTGGACCGATTTTAATGAATTTTTGTGTGTCTTCAGGTGGATTCGAGAATGATTTAGATTCACAAACTTATTCCAAAAGTTTTGGAGTTTTTGGATTTAAGACGTGTGCACAGGACAACGTCTATTCGGTCCACTAGTTTTATATATCGCGTAACTTGTGTTTGCGTCGCAATAAGTAATTACTAGCGTGGCGAGAGCGTATGACGCGAGTGCTGTGCCCCTTCTGGGGTTTTCTTCGTATAATAAACATTTCTGTTATCCTCAATCAGTCACGCGTGTGGCGTCATATAGAGGTCATATTTTTTTTTTTTTTGGTTGAACTACAAATCAAATATTTCTATACAGCTAGATTTCCCATTCCATAGATTCTCTATCTTTAAATTACTTTTGGTGTCGTGTAGTCACAAAAAAAAATTTAGAGATTAAAACTTATTTATGAATGCAAGCATAAACAATAATTTAGCGTAAAGTTAATTAAATGAAAATTTAATATTTACTATTTACCTATTTACCTATTTAAACAATTTAACGACTGACAAACAGTTTTTACTCTAATTCAATCACAATCAAGTCATCAAAAAATAAAAACGTATTTATTTCGACACATTCCTTAATGTCAATTTTGGCATTACATGAATAGCGAGCTTAAAATATCGCCATGGTTCAATTAAAACAAGTATCTATTAGATTGAAATCTATAAACAATATACAAAAGATCACAAAAACTATGAAGATGGTATCTGCCAGCAAGTAATCTATTAGTATTTCATCTAACACTGATTTATTTATTCAAGGTTTTTTTGGCGTTACAATTGCCTAATATCACATGACGATGATACGGCTTAAAAATGCTTTGCTTTCATTCAATGAATAAATCTACAGATTGCTAATAACAATTATTTTTGAAAATTGTCACCTCATTTGGATAGAAGACGAAGTCCTTTATTGTAATAAATACCATGGCAATTGAAACTATGTGTTATGAGTACATCGGATTTAATTAAACATATACGTTTCCGTGTACCATTAGGAAACTGTTCTATTAGAATACCGAAATTGAATAAGAATTATGTAACGATATAAAACGCTGAATTTTAAGATTCACGAAAGCCGAACGCGAGCTGCAAGCGGCACGGGCCTTCGGCTACGGGCCGCGCAAGTTCTACGTTTCCAGCCACCTGCAGAAGGACGCGCTCGAGGACGAGCCAAAAGTGAAGAGAAACGAAGATAAGGACCCATCAGCTCCGCCGCCGGAGAAGACGCCGCAAGCGCACGCCGAGGAAGACAAGCGCAAGATCAACAGGATCTACATCGCTGTGACGTCGGACCGAGGTGATTTAAAATTTAAAAAAAAAATACAGTAACAGCCTATATGGCCCACTGCTGGGCAAAGGCATAGTCCTCCACGCGACCCGACTGCATTGGCGGACTTCACGTACTTTCGAAATATTTTTCGATAATATTTCGAAAATATGCAGGATTCCTCACGACGTTTTTCTTCGCCGATAAGGCAGCACTTAAAATTAACAATTTCATTGGTGCCGGTACCGGAGATCGAGCTCAGGTCGCTCGACTGAATTGAATTAAAGGCGAGCGCCAAGACACAGCTATCACGGCCATTTTCAGTGATGAAGTATTTTTGAACGACTAGAACGTTTAAACCCACAGAAGCAACACATAAGGAGGAAACACAAGCTATTGTCTTCTAATTCTGTTGTTCGATGAACAGTCACCGCCTCTAATAGAATAAGAAGTGACAGATGTTCATCAGGTTCAGAAAAATACATAGTTATGTTCTATGTAATTTTGTAATTACAATACCACAAAAATTGCGTTAGCAACTTATCTGCTTGTCGGGGATGGATTATACCAACGATATTTGCATAATATTATTTTATTTATATTGATTAAAACTTGAGGACACCAAGGGTCAACAGATTTGCAAAAAAAAAACAATTTTCTTTTTATTAACAATAGTATATATTTTATTAGTATATATTATATATATTATAGTATATATTATACTATAGTATATATAGTATATATTTTATTTTATTAACAATTTCATATTAAATAAAAAAAAAATCGTGGTACACTAGATGTAGTACTACATATGGGGATACACCGAAACGATGTTCATGACAGTCAGAAAATTCATCTGAGTCATGTTATGAGCACCATGCTTCACCCGTTATCATTACTGCTTCCACAATTAGCGTGAAAGTAAAGAACTAATGCTGTATGTACCTCTGTTGCATTAATGTCTTTCGCGGATGCGGCATCGGACTTTTATGTAATTAGACATTTGCTGTCATAATTAATATCAAGATCGGTTTCCAGAAACGTCTCCTGTAAAATCGATGTGCTCAAAACTGATTCTCTACGTATTTTTCGTGTTGTTTTAGTTTTCACAAGTTTGATTGTTTCAAACTATTTTCCCACACATAGAAACTTCGATTAAGCTATATCAGATAAAACAGCAATTACTTTTTTTTTCAGACAAAAAGAAATAAACTTGATAGCCTCAATGATAGTTTTTACACTTTGTTTTGGACTTGAAAGATAGCTGGATAGTGAAATACTTTTTCAAACTACTTACTTCCGAAAATTCGCTTGTACGGTCTTTAACTTTAAATCGGGGTATAACGAAAGAAGTTTTGAATACTATTTTTTTAATGTTCTCGCTGAGTTGTGGGTTGCGATTTCAGATAGTAAATCTTACGAAGCGGACCATCGACTATCCCCAATCCCTACTTAATATTATAAATGTGGATGTAAGTTTGTTTGTTACGCTTTCACGCCAAAACTAATGAACCGACTATCTTGAAACTTCTGTACACATATTCTTAGAGATATAAAAAGGACATAACATAATTGTTATTAAAAATATATATATATTTTAAAAGAAAAATATTTATTTCAACGCGAGCGAAACCACGGGCGAAATGCTAGTGTTTAATAATTAGACAATTATATTAAATTAGCTGTGGGTGAATTTTGCGTTAAAGTCAAATCGTAAAAATAGAAATTATTTTAAGTCCGCCAATCGGCAGTGGAGCTGCGTAGTGGACTGTGCCCAAACACCCTCTGTACAAAGGAGGCCTTTGCCCAGCAGCGGGATATGTATAGGCTGTTACTTTACTTTACTTTTTTAGACATTACTTTACATTTTTGATTACATTTTTTTAATATACTAGCGGACCGACACACTTTGCCCTGTACACACGACTTAAATCTGACAACTTATTAACAAAAAAAAAATAAAAATGAAACATTTTAGTGGACCGAATTGTGAATCTAAACTATTTTCAAATCTATTCGAAAGCACACAAAAAAATTTAAATCGGTCCAGCCATTTATGCGGAGTTCAGTGACATACACACGTACAGAAGAATTATATGTATATAAAGATTATTAATATTTATATCTAATACGTGTGCTACACCTGTTGCATTTATTGTATAGTACCTATTAATCACCTCATCTAATTGAAAAAAAAAAATCAATACGGCCCGGTGAAGACGAAACGATCAAAATGGTCTCAAGGTTTAGGTTCATGGCTAATACAATTCGAACGTTTAAACATAAAAGTAATTTCGTATGAACGCGACGTTTCATGAAAATTTGCTTGCCGCAATAATGTTCCGTGTTTCATCACAAATTGACCTAATCGACGCTGACACCGTTTCTAGTGCCGACCAATGGCATATCATTTGAGCACGAGCTAAAGACAAAGGCTAAATGCCACACATTTCTACGCATTTAACTCTTACAAGGAGATAATTATGTAATCAAATTTGTTCCATACTGTTAACGGGCAAATGATTTCTTATCTCAGAAAATTCGTCGCCTTAAAACGATTACACCCGCGATGGGATATTTCTCTTATTTTCCGCTTTAGCAAAGATTGTTCAAAAATATAAAAATCAAATGGTTTGATCGGTGGAATAACTTTACTATAGAATCATAATCGGACAGCACTGGTCTACTGTCCTATGAGTTGATGTAAACTATTCTGCTGTGGTAGGGCCACGCAACGGTTTCATTTGTACTAATGGGCAGGCTCTTCCAAAAAGTGCCATGGCGTCATATTGTCATTTTGATACATTTTCGTCTGTGCGGTGTGATAATTGGTACCCGATCTTTCACCATTTCACAACGCCACTGGTGTTGCAGATGCCGTTGGTTGGCTTTGCACACAGTTGAACCATCTACCCGCTTTCCTCCTTCTCACTTAGAAAAAGTATCGGTAAAATGAGTATATGGAGGTGAGAAAGGATTTTAACGGCTTTTGCGCGAGCAGACCGTATTGACTGGGGTAATATAATGATATGATAAAAGGGTGGAGCGCTGAAAAATATTTAAAGTTTTTTCACTGTTTGTGATGTATGCCCGGCAACAGGCATATAAGGCAACAGCGGCGGGTAGGTACCCTTCTAAACTTCTCGCTCTATCGTCATCCTCCATGTTTGCCTACGCAAGAGTTTCGAATGTAGAGAGATCATTTGCAGGCTTGTGCGGCGGCGTGCACAGTGGCGTGACGCGTCGCATTCGGCACACGATGACGGGCCGCAGCGCGGAGCCGTCTACACACAAACTCATCTGCATCGGCGAAAAGTCGCGCACGATGCTCAAGTCAACCTATTCGCAACATATCCTACTGTCTGTCAAACAGGTTAATACGCAGTCCTCTTTTACAAATGTATTTTGCATTCCCATCGAAACAAGGGCTAATAAAGCAACAGCTCTATATGAATCGCACTGCTGAGCAGATGCGTAGGATATAACGGCATAGTCCACCACGCGATCCCACTCTGATTGGCAGAATTCATATGTGTTCCAAATATTATTTTTTATTACTATTTTCAAAATATTCTATTCTTATATGGTTCTCCGCCAGTACTTAAAATTTCTATGAACAAAATCATTGGTGCTGGCACCGGTGTGTTTAAGTAAATCGAATTAAAAACGCACGGGCTTAACTATCGCGGTTCAAGGGTTAATAAAAAGGAAAAGGTAAATAATCTAACCCATTATGTTGGTACAATTAATAAGTATCACTTTCGTTATATTTGTTTGGTTATTTTTATATAAATATATTTTATATTGTGGTTGGATTACTTAATTTTTAAAATGGGTAAATGGTTACGGCCAGATGATGTTGATTAAGGGTACGCGGCTTAGTTTTACAGTCTTCATTGGTTAGGGTTAACCAATGGAAACTGCAATACTAACAATTTTCAAAGTTTTTTTTTTTCACATCATTCAGTAATTATGTCTTTGAGTAGCAATGTGTCCTATTCATGCTGTACTCTAAATTTTGCGAACCACGTGGATCTATTTTCTTGAATAAACTTATTAACTATATAATATTATCTTAAACATATGAATTGGCATTCTTTCTTATGTACATTATAAAGCCGAATTTCTTTTTCTTTATAAAAATTATAACTGAAGATTTAAGGTCGAGATGTGAATACTGCCGAAATAGATCACAAATGTTAATTTTCCGCCCATTTCTGAACATTTTGCTCCTTTTTCAATCTTCGCTCGTTGAAAGTTCTCAATTCTTTGGTTACCCTGCCAATTAAGGAGAAGTAAGCGAAGAATGAACAAAGTGGGTTTTAACGTTTCAGATCGGTCGTGTATCTCCAATATTCAAAGACGCCTCAAGTATGGCCGTCGCTATAACGGAATCTGGATACAAATACGAGTCTGCTGAAATTTATTACAATAAATATCATACCCCCGTTAAATATGAGACGACTGTGATACCGGCCTTCACAAGAAAAAATATAGAGGTAAAATTAATTATAAATCCTATCAGAAGCTTTATTTTACAATAAATGACACCTTTTAATGCAATTATCTAATTTTATTTAAATTTCGGAAACAAACAACATTTTTAACAGTTATTCTTTAGCAAGACCGATATTATTTGACTATTATAAAATTCCTTGCTACGACATAAACTGACGGAAGTAATAAACGAATGACGGCTTAAAATATATCACTAAATTGAATGCTTGTACATATTTCTCAAGACGCAGTTTGTAATGTGACAGTCATGAAACTACTGACGCCGTAAGGCAACACCATCTTGGACGTCATCTCTTCTGGTTTAATTCCTAGCAGTTTCGGTATTATTGTATATCAATGTTTACTAGATATCACTATATAGTATGAAACAAAGTCGTCTCGCTGTCTGTATGCTTGCCTATGTACGCTTAGATCTTTTAAACTACGCGACGGATATTGATGCGGTTTTTACTAGATATTGATTCAATAGGAAAATTTATATGTATAATACATTACACCGGTGCGAAGCCGGGGCGGGTCGCTAGTATAGTATATATCTAGAAGTAGACCAATTTACCGTGCGCGTCGTTAATCGCAGAGGGCGCCCAACATGGCCGCGTTTGACGACGTAGAGGAGGATCAATTGGAGAGCTACGCGGAGTGGACCCTGGCGGCGATTATATACTACGCGCTGAAACAGAGTGCCGCATCGGAGCAGTCGTCGCGAATGGCGGCCATGGACAACGCCACCAAGAATGCGGCCGAAATGATCAGGAAACTCTCGCTGCTGTACAACAGGACGCGGCAGTCGGTCATCACGAAAGAGCTCATCGAGATACTGTCCGGCGCGGCGGCCTTAAAATAAACGGTTTTCTTCTATTTGTATTTTTTCATCATTTCGTCTTTACGTTTACCCCACTCTAAAGGCCACCCCAACAACTTGAAATCATGTATCATTTTATTTATGTGATAAGTGGCCAAGCGAGCAGGCGGTTCACCTGTTGTTAAGTGAATACCGCCGCCCATGGACATCTGCTACAGCCGAGGGTTGCAGATGCGTTGACAACCTTTTGAAAATTGGGCTCCGGACACCTCACTCACCAGACGAAACGCGAAAGCATTATGCTTCCACTTTACGCCGGTCTTCTGTGAGATCGTGGTACTTACCCGGCTGAGGAGCCGAGGCTGCTGCGTGGCCCTACCACAGTTAGTATCACATTCTAGTAATCTCGAAAGAAGGCGAGGGTTAATAACTTGCAAAAATCTTTCTTTAATAAACTTGTTAGATAGAAATTGCTGCCAAGTGTAATATTTTTAATGCTGTTGATACGATAGATAATTAACGAACCATATTCTAACTACTGGGTTGGTTTATCTAAACGTATTTATTATATATTACGCTATATGCACAGAAATCAAGATTACAATGCCAAGATTGAAACCCATTCATGGTTTACACATAATTATACGAAAACCTAATTTGCTACGTTTGATACTACCGGAAAACAATGTATAATATATATAAATTCGGTATAAACAAGATGTGTCTGACAAATGTGAATGTGCAAGATAATAAAAAAAAATATTTGAACGTTTAACAATTGCACAATTTAATTGAGCTATTTTCTGTCGTTGTCGTTATAACTCAAAATTCATTAATAAAAATAACATGTATCCAAAAAAATCCGCCTACTACCTTTGATGGGCGATTAACTTTTAACTCCCTTTAACTCAAAATAGTACGTACACTTTTACTTGTACGTATCTACAAGTTCATTTAAAGTAACAACATCGATCAATACTGCTTAGCTTAGGTCTTATTGGTAAACTATTTAATTGTTAATAGAAGTGTCAATTTCATGTGAGCATTCGTAGTGGGATCTGTTCCGTTTGAAATAATTCTTGTCTAAACGTGACTTTTTCTAAGCTCCCTCTAGAATTAGATCGCTCAAGGTCAATGCGATTCTTCTAGGTATTTGTCGTAGGCCGCCTGATCCATGAGCTGTTTCAACTCCTCAACACTGGTGAGCTTCATGCGGAACAGCCAACCGTCCTCATAACAAGATTTATTTATCACCGAAGGCGTTGACTCGACCACGTCGTTTTTCTCTGTCACCTGAAAATTTCAGAGAGATAAAACAATGAGTGTAAAATGCAAAAAATTTTGATGACTCCGTGGCGTAGTTGCTTGGCAAATTGTATTGGCTTCGGCGTCGAGGGTCGTGGGTTCGATTCCCACACGGGACAACTATTTGTGTGACCCACAGATAATTGTTCCGAATCTGGGTGTTTGTTTGCGTGAAATTTATGTTTGTAAAACGTCCTTACAACACAGGATAATGTTTTCCTAAAGTAAGGGCAATGTTTCTTAAAAAAATAAAAACAATAAATAAAAAAAAATGAAACAAAAAAGGTGGTGCGTGCTTCTTTGGTGCTATTTTTACTGAGAAATATGTTGATAGATTTCTTTCAAGTCAGGGAAATACTGACTAGAATGTTCATAATCAACGATAAACTAAAATTACGTAAATATCATTTTTTTCCGGTCCACTTAAGAAATAATACTTATTGAAGAAGTAAGTCATTTAGGTGCTACTGGATAAATGAGATAAAATGGAATTAGTTTCATCTCTTTCCAAGTTATTAAGCAATTACTACTGATCACATCTGTATGTACATAACAAGCTACTAATTTACAATTTGACAGCACATCAGTTTAACCCGTCGTTGTGGATTTGTATCCGGGTCCAATTTTATCAAGTTACTTAACACCGGGTGAACCGCCTGCTCGCTTGCAAACATCACTTGAAAAGCTTACAGTTCCAGACACGGGCGTATAGACTTCGCTCGCCGCTTTGACGCTCTCCAGGGCACCACATTCCTCGCCAGCTGCCACCTGTCGGCCGACATCGGGAAGCTGACAGAACACTACCTCTCCCAAAGCGTCCTGAAAGTTCAATGTATTTAATGGACTCCAAGTCATTTCACAGTGAGTAGCGGAATGCGTTATTGATTATCGTTTCTTAGTCTTCCCTCGTAAGGCAGTCGATGAAAGTTATATTGCTCTTTCGGTGACGTGACCCACGAATGTCTTATAGACGAAGAGCCAAGGCAGAAAATGCTCTGAATATACTAAAGTTGATGTTCTGCGTTGGCTATAGTTGGATATAGTACTTATGGTACACACATATTGCATTCAGTCAATGGAACTGTAGAACAGGCTTCTCTCACACGTTATGAAAAATTTATTATTTTGGTACAATTTAATTCAAGTTACTACTACTACTTTTATTTTAAATTCTCTAGCTGTGTGAACTTCTTGTATGAGCTTTGAATTCCAAATTATAAAACCTCAGGCGTAGACAAACACTAAAACAATTACACATACGGGTCCAGTATACAAACCAATATCTTATCGGGTTCTTGCGCTCAAGTGACCCGGTCTGTGGCAACTCGTAGATAACAATGGCTAGGGAGCTTAAAGTCAATGGTCGTGGTTTGTGACGCCGCAATCTGCTTCAATCGGGTGACCAAATTTTATATTTTTACGGTTATATTTATAGCTTGTCTACAATTCTTGATATACTCATTCAAAAGGAACGATCGAGTAAAAGTTTACAGTATTCGTATTATATAGAATAATAATACTCGTATCTGGAACTATTATCAGTAGGTTACATAAATATTTTTCTCTGATTGGAATTAAACCCATGAACCCCGGCGCTGAGGTCTATCGCAAAGCTGCTGTGCCGATCGGGTTATCGATTATGCATCACATCGCACATAGGTAAAGGAATATTTAATTGCAAGCTTTGTATTTGAATAAGTTACAATAACATATTTGTCGCAATAAAGAATAGGTACACATTTTAATGTGCTATATAGAATTGCATACTCTCTTTTTCCCTCCTGGCTATGTATCCAATATGGTAGTGGGGTCAAGTTTCTTAAATTTTCTCCTATCTATCCCCGACATCGTTATCGAGAAAATAATAGGCGTTACCCACTATTAATATACCACCATTGATTCACATAAACTATAAGATTTATATAGGAGATGGTGTTTGTGGTTTTATAAGTAAAGCCTTTACATGAAATGGTGGTTATTAGCTTGTTAAAGTGAGATTGAGCACTAACCTGCGCATAGCTTGATATACCAATGGTTCCAATATCGCCGTTCACCGATACCCACTCGTGTTTTTTCGTGTAATACCGAGCTAGAAGAGTAATTAAAAAGGAATTATAAAAATAACCTGGAAGAAACACATAAAAAGCGAGCTGGAGAAAAGTTAAAGCGAACTAGTGTTAGGGAGTGATAGTGAAGAAATTTTGCCAAAGTATTTTTGTTCACATTTGAGTCACGGAAGCCTTGAACCAATCACTGGATTTATTATTTATCACGAAGATTATTCATGAAGATTTTTGTGAAATCAAAATCCCGTTCATATTTACTCATTCATTGATTTTTAACCTAAAATAAAACATTCTTCGTAGCTTAAGTTCTTAAAGTAATAAAATAGGTGGGTAATGATTGCCATGGCTAACGCCCTGTTTCTGAAACACTGATCAGCGTAGAAGTTAACTAATCAGCTGTCAAATGGCTTTTCAAATGTAATTTGAGTTGCCAAAAGGATTGTTAAACTCTCTGAATTGACCAGAATGATCAACGACTTCTACGATGGTCTGTGTTTCAGAAAACGGGCGTAAGAGTTTTAGCAAAGCATAAATGGCCCACGAGAATATTAACAAAAAATGTAAACAGTAATGTATATTCGGACAATCAAAGTAGACAAATAATTAACTGTGGTCCATTTATGAATCATTTCGTAACGCAATTAGGCATGTTTATGCGGAGTATGGCTGTATCGTTCTGATAATATTCGAACCGGGAGTGTGAAGGCTGACAGTTATTGCGCAAGTGGCAATCGATATACATACTTTTCTACTGTCCTCGAGATAACTTAATTACAAATCGTTAATTACATTCGGGGCAATTATAAATCATTACACGAAATATTATACAGCACTGGCTAAGGTAACGTCGAAATGATTAAAAAAATTCCGAGCTTCGACTAAATTAGAAAGCTGTCCTACAGCCAAACAACTCGTTTATGTGAAAGTATCTTTTATTTTGTCTATGTTTATAAAAACAATAAGTAACGCAATTTAAAATACGATTCTCTCTTACTCTGTCAAAACTCTTTCAAGTTTCTTCACTCTCTCTCTCGCTTTCAACATTCAGTCACAACTTTCAACTAAAAGGTTAATGCAGACTATGAATGCAGTTTATAAATACAAGTAAGTAACAGCCTGTACATGTCCCACTGCTGGGCAAAGGCCTCCTCTATACAGAGGGTATCAGGGCATAGTCCACCACGCGGCCCCACTGCGGATTGGCGGACTTCACACATCTTCGAAATATATATATTTTTTTGTTATTATTTCGAAAATATGCAGGTTTCCTCACGATGTTTTCCTTCACCGCGGAGCACGTGATAAGTCAGCACTTAAAGTTAAAAACTTCATTGGTGCCGGCACCGGGGATCGAACTCAGGTTGCTCGAGTATATTGAATTAAAGGCGAGCGCCCGGACACTGAGCTATCACGGCTCAATACAATGAATTCATAAACTTTCCAATTCCAGTTGGGCCCACGAAGAGCAAAATAAAAATAAAATTAGTTTAGGATAGACAAATTGTGACATGTGAGATTCGTCTTTGCCATCTTTTATGAACGAGTCTATCAAATGTCTGTATGCAACTACGTTCGATATTTAATGTGTTCAATACTTGTTGATTACAGTCTTCAGGCGTTCGTCTTAAATTAAGTATACTTCTGTTGATGGTCAAGCTGACCCAATACTAAAGAAGTAGTATGTTTACTTTTGTTTACTGTCTGGTGAATTAGGTTGGTTACAGTCAATATAGCCAACGCAAATGCGGTGTGGTGCAAAAGATGTGTGGTTTTTCATTGGCGGTTAAAAATACTTAACTCATCCTTTTGGTATAACTTCGGGCACATGCATATTGCACGTCATAGTACATCGAAAACCCGACTATTAGCAGGCTATTTAGAAAATACTAGTAATTCCTGATGTAAATAAGCCATATTCATATCTGGAATTACTTGCAGTATATCATCTATTCACAATTATTTTAATTTAATTTTGGACATCTTAGTGCCTAGGCGATCGTTTTTAGTTCAGTATATTCGAGCAACGTCCATATTCGTATTACAGTGGTGGGAGCACCAATAAAATATTTTACAGCGGTGAATATAATAATAATAATACCACTAAGAAATATTCAAAAAACATATCGAAAGTACATATGATGTCTCCTAATTCGCAGTGTACATGTCGAAGATTATTCTTACAATTTATTCGCACTTTACAGATGAAGGCATTGTTCAGTCATGAGACGTAATTATGATGAATGCGGTTTATTTTATTTTATCTTGTGGTAATAAATTGCAATGCAAAATTTTAAACATTAATATTAATAACATATTTGTTATAGATCTAATTGAAGGGAAAAAAAATTGTCACGTAAAAAGTAAAATCGTCACAATGCAAAAGTCAAATAGAATGCACTAAAATGAGTCAGATTTAAATCATGAAGAAGTGTTAAACGGATGTGGTTTAGTAAGTTTAGTAGTTAGCTCGAGGTTCATGTAAATTATTCTGAAAATACCATAGTTTTTGTTGTTGTTTTTCTGTATAATTTGACATAAAAATGAGAAAAATGTTGTGAAAAAGTGAGTTAGAAAATTGTAGTAAGGCCACATCAATAGCATGCATGTGTGTGTACGAATGCGTCACTTCGTAGACTATTTGAATTGCGTACATAGATACCACGTGATCTAAGTCGATTGAACACATTGAACACAATATCATGACCAATAATAAAATTTGACGGTCCGTCACAATCATACAATCGCGTTGCAGCATAGGCACGCACTAAATAAACAAGATAACGAAACATTTATTTAAATCATCAGATAACTAAGTTCAAAAAAGTTTTTAATTATTATGACTAAAAGCCTGCAAAAGATTCACTAAAGTTTTGGCCGTTCAACGCATTTTCGAACTCAGTAAACGAGGAACACGTAAAACATAAAGCATTTTTCCTTTTCACACTAAAAAATATTTTAAAACCTGATCTATTCTTTAATAAACGAAAATCCTATTAGTGTCATTTGGAATATTTCTAACAAAGTGTATAGACGTTCATAAAAATACTATCTAATTTGTAAACATTATAAATTACTGAAAAGTTTTTGAAATTGCTGCAGACTGTAAAGAAATTCCATATTTGATTAAAAATATAATTCAGAAATTGCACCTTTTTACTTCTAAACAATAAATAGGTGTATTTAATAATAAAATTAAACAAAACAAAAGAGTTAGTGGGACAACCAGTTGGAACGAAGTTCCTTTCGCCCTATACATATCATGAAAGCAACTATAAAAAAGGAATCGTAGTTAAATTGTGATAAGTTAATATTAAAAAAAAGTCATTTAAATCTAGTTAGTCAGCGTTGTTAAACAAAGAGAGTCGCTGAGATTTGAATGGAGGGATCGTAACGCTTTTTTCTTACGTGACCATTTCTACCAACCACACCTTTAGAACTTCTTTCCAAAAAGTTGCCTCAAGGCCTTTTTATCGCTCAGCTGCCGCTAACTAATTTCACTTGAACTTATTACCTTTACACGCTGTGCTGTACCACGCTGCGCGACAGCATTTGTTGGCAACTTTCGATGTTTTCACACGAACAGCTGCACGGATGATGCTGTTTAAGACCATTTTTAATTTCAGCTCCTAAAGGAAAATTAAAACATTTATTATCCGTCAAAACGGCATTAAAAAGTTCATCTCCATAATTACAAATTCAAGCTCGAAACCAAATCGAAAATTCATAACTTAAAACATTTGTGGCATTTGAAATATTTCAATACCATACATTTATTAAACAACATATTATTTTGTTTATTAAATGTAATTAGAAAAATGTGATATTGCCAGTCGTTATGAGTGTTGCCTAATACTAGAGTCAAATTAGTAGTTATCTGTTTGTGAATGATTAAAACTCGGAGATACCTTAAGGTCCGTTTAAGAGGCAGATACAGCCGTGCGATGCTCTCAGTGCTCGAGCTCCTAGTGCCCTGTTCGGCGGTCAAACTTGATAACACTTCCAATGACTCAATGTCACTCGAATTTTACTGATATCAGATGGGAACACTTGTTCTTGCAACATCAAACGCCAACAAATTGCTTCCGAGCATCTTTGTATCTTTTCCGAGCTACTTGTTAATAAAATAAATTTTTAAAAAAATGTATTCCTCATGTTTCAATGTCTGGGAATTCTTAACGATAAATTATCAAATTATGAAATCCTGCCGAACGGAGATAAATCGCTATGATGCCAAAATGAAATTTAAAAAGAATAAATTGGAATATTAGTTTGTACATACAAATAATGACTGTAGTTTAAAGGTAATGCCTCCTTAATATAAAAATAAATATTGAATAAGTAGACTCCTACGCATACAATTTAGGTATGGTAGCAATTTAGGTTCAGTTCCCGTGATCGTAACTCTTTATATAAACGAATTAACTACGTTGATAGTAATATGTTCTTGCCCCTGCCGAGTGTGCTGTTATTATTATACCGATAAACTGTATCATCATTAAGTTGTTGTGTTAATATAGATAGTAAGATTAAAATCGAATGCCATATTGCGTGAGTTTACATGAGAAATGTCAATGTGTATAAAGCTAAATGATGAAAAATTATCAATACTTACAAATGGACCTATCGATGTATTTGTAATGTAGTGTATTCCGAAATCAACATCAACAACTTTATTTTTTTTATGTAACTATGAATATCTTTTTATTAGGGTTCTATACCCAAAGGATAAAATGGAACCCTATTACTAAGACTTCGCTGTCTGTCTGTCCATCTGTCACCAGACTGTATCTCATGAACTGTGTGTAGTTAGACAGTTAAAGTTTTCACAGATGATATATTTCGTACATCCATATTATATATTCCCATACAACGGGCATGATTTTATTGCCGTTTTTATAGATAATGGTACGGAACCTTACTGCAAGAGTCCGACACGCACACGGCCGGTTTTTTTTTTTTACATTGGTGAAGCTACCGTGTTATTATCCGTGTACTGGATATTGAAAGTTATTATATATGTCAGAAATATTTGAAATATACTGGCAAATGTAAAAGATCAAAATTTATTTCGTGCTTAATCGAACGCGTAGAGCCGTGATGACTTAGGGCGCACGCTTTTAAATCAATATATTCGAGCAGAGTTCGATCCCCGGTGCTGGCAACAATGAAATTGTTAATTTAATTAAGTGCTGACTTACCTGCTCAGCGATGAAGGAAAATATCGTGGAAGAAACCTACATATTTTCGATATAGTAACAATTTTTTTTTTCGGGAAATATGTATAGTCCGCCAATCCGCAGTGGGCTCGCTAGGTGGACTATGTCCTAATACCCTCTGTACAGAGGAGGCCTTTGCCCAGCTGCCAGACAAGAATAGGCTTGTACTTTTTACTTTAAATCGAACTCAAGACCTTCGGATTGTATCATATACTTACTCCCAAGGAAGTAGGAACGATTTAATGCTAAAAAAATGGCTGTATAATTTTCAATCATCAAATAAATATTGAATACTGGTGGCAGTGTCGATAAAATAAAACAGAAATTTTGAACTATATTTTAATGCATCATAATAAATCCTATAAAATAATAAGAACATATTAATAAGACAAAAGGTCGCAATCTATGCAGTGTTGAAATTTAAGCAAATGTTATTTAATTATATTATTAGGTATATTAACAAATTAATATTATTGTTGGCTTATCTAAGATTGACTTTTAATATTTATTTATTCTATGTAACTTAACGATAGTTTAATCAATTTAAATTCGCATTTAACTTAATTATATTTCTCGTAAGGAAATTTGAAAAATAACAAAAACAGATATCGAACCACAGTTTAAGCAATACTTAGCATGTACGTAACGTAGCATTTTCCATTATTTAATACGATACGTAGTTGAGACAAGCTTATAAATAATATTGTAAGAAAACATAAAATGAAATGTATAAACAAGAATTTATAATGTGCTGATTGTATTCCTTTGCCTCGTGATCTAATTTAATTTTAAAACATGTACTGTATGTGTCGCCTAACGCCCATATGTAACATTCATCCAATATTTTAAATACAATCAAAGAGAACACGCAGCCAGAAACTCAACCATTACATTTCTTTGAACGGTTTCATGGTGCAAATCAAAGTGTGGACGTATTAATGAAGTAACTCTTCCTTAGATACCGTATTGGCGCTGCTACTTTACCTAACCGTGGTATTAGGCAAGAAATAATATAAATTCGATGGTATTCCTCTTAAAATAAAGTACCTAATGAATGTGCATTACTGTGTACAACTTTGATCGAATTCTATGTAGTACAGAATCTTATATTCAATTACAATATTGTCTAATATATCTACACTAGGTACAAAATAGTTAAAAATATAATTGAAAAGTGCTGAAAAATTAAACGCAGGGGTACTCCACTGTGGCTGTGAAATCTGTTTTATGCGCCTATTTCAAATAACACGGAGTGGCCTGCGAGGTGCTGAAAATGGCACTGACAGCGGCGAAGGTAGCAGCTGCCCCACCCAAGACTCCAACGACGATAATCTCCCAGCACACTAGTTTCTTCCAGCCAGGAGTTTCACTGAAATTGGCATTAAATTGCATGTATCGAACATATTAATTTTTCAGTTTTTTTGCAAATTCATATATGTACAATGTTTTCATTCAATAATAATTATTACACACAAAAGCTTTGCGTTGACACTTTAAATTGATGATAGAGACATCTAGTGGTAAATACAGTTATTTCTTTAGTAATCAACGCAGTTGAGGCAATAGAATTTATTGAAAGAAAATTTTATGTAACTATTACTAATATACATTGGACGGATATACGAATGGACACCGCCATACTTTACACAATTTGTTTCAATCAGCGTTATGCCTAATAACACTGTTGTGGTTATAAAGCATTCACTTTGCGAAATATTACTGGGTTATTCTCATAGATGGCAGTGTAATAATAAAAATAATATTCCCGCCATGGATGCCGCTGCATGTGGGTTAAATAAAAAAAATTGAGTTAAATAAAAAAAACGAAGTTTATTATTTTAAGTATGTACTTCCTTTTACTGTTCGTTGTCCATTCTAATTTGGAAATATGATTAAATTATCTAAGGACTAAATATTTTTTTGAAATACATTTAATCAGACTGCAAATCAATCTCGTGTAAAGTATCAGCCTATACATGTCCCACTCCTGGGTAAAGGCCTCATCTGTAAAGAGGGTGTCAGGGCATAGTCCACCACGCGGCCCCACTGCGGATTGGCGGACTTCACATATCTTCGAAATATTTTTTTTATATTATTTCGAAAATATGCAGGTTTCTTCACGATGTTTTGCCTCACTGCTGAGCACGTGATAATTCAGCACTTAAAATTGACGATTTCATTGGTGCTGGCACCGGGGATCGAACTCAGGTTGCTCAAGTATATTAAATTAAAGGTGAGCGCCCGGACACTGAGCTATCACGGCTCGGTGTTGTATACAACGGCTGTTGTCTTTTGTTATATATTGTTTATCGTGGTATACAAATCTACAAATCACGCTTGTTTTGAATGAACTCCAATGGTTTCACCTGTTTCTTATAATTTTTATCCAATCGTTGCCTACAAAACACATTTTAGTTTATAGACGGCCAAGAAACTCCAGGTATTGACTTTTCTGGTGACTTTTTATAATAAAGTAAAGCAAACAAACGTTTACGTCCGCTTAATTTACAGTCAGTTACTTACGTAATGGGCTCGCCTTCCCTGGGAGGCTGGCTGACCAAATTGAGGTAGCAGTAGGATGGCAACACGAAGGTGAGTAGGGCGACCGTGGTGCCACCGACCAGAGCCAAGATGGTGTAGAATCGAGGAATGCTCTCGCCAAGAAACAGGACCGCACCCATTATCGAAAGGCGCACGAGGGCGCGGTAGCCGACCGAGTCTATAAAAATATTTATGTATATTATTTGGATATTAAAAGCTACATATTTTACTGCTTCTTAGCGTATTTTGTGGGTTAAGCAATAGATGTTTATATTAAGATATCCATTAAACACTATTCTGGCCATTGTATTTAAATTCATTTTAAATCGAACAGTTATCAGCAAACGCGCAGACATTGGTATTATTAATGTTAGTAAATCTTCATTAAACAATACTAAGGTATACCTAATAATCTCATTCCCAGACAAGAGTATTATAGTACGTCGAAGTTATTAAATAAAATTGTAAGCTCACATCATATCATATCACAGCAGGGCCAGATTTAGAGATCTGGAGGCCTCAGGACAACAAAGGAGTGGAGGCCCCTTGGCCCAAAATGATTTTCTTTTTTCCTATTGTTTATTAGTCTGAATTAGAATTAAATTTAAATTTAAATATTTAGGACACATTTGTACACAACATTTTCTAGTCCCAAACTAAGCAAAGGTACCATGGGTACTAGAAAACTGATAAACATACTTAAACATACTTTTCTTTTGTAAATAAATACATATTATACTTATAGAAACACCCAGACACTAGAAAAACACCGTCACACACGTTCGTCACACAATATTTTTCCAGTAGTGGGGATCGAACCCACACCCTCTGGCGCAGGAAGCACGTACACTACCCACTACGCCATTCGGGTCGTCAATTTTTTTCCGAAGTCTCCATCGCGAGAGCCCCTCGTTTGTGAAGGCCCCGGGGCTGTTGCCCCGGTTGCCCTCCCCTAAATCCGGCCCTGTATCACAGATTCCTTTTACATTTTTATCGCTATACTTGCCTCTAGGGATGTTGTACAACTCTTCCATCTCTTGGCAAACCGGGTTCACAATGATAATGAAAGCAGACAAGAGGTGGACGGCCATGAATATGTTTCCAACGAGTGTCAGAGGGGTGGCCGAAAGGGAGCCAGCCACGTTGGGTGCTACGGACTCCCCGTACACGCTGTAACCGGCTATCGCAATTGGCAGGTACAATGCGAGGATAGCTGTGAAAAACAGTTTTCTCATGAAATGTAAGGTTTACGTAACAGCCAGGGCGGACAGTCAACTATATGATTGGTTCAGAGACAGATTCCTGAAATCTGCCAGGTCTCTTTTACACAACATTTATTTCAAAAGTTGCAAGCGGTGACCTCTTTCAAGGCTACAAATTTGGCATTAACAGTGATTTTTACAGGTAAGAAATTCCTTTTTGTACCTTCCAGATGGAGATTGCGAGTTGTCGGGTAAACTTTATTAAATATTTTATGCGGTGCTGGTTCATCATAAATTATATATGCATACGTTAGAGATTGGACTTGTTTCAAAATATTATTGTGTAAGGAAATATAAGTTAGACCTAAAGATCTCACCTAGGAAACTGTACTGCACACTCTTGGAGAACTTGGACTTCTCCACCATGTCATTCTGGATGGTCGGGAATGCGGAGGCGCCGCCGAATGTGAACATTATTGTGCCGAAAGCAAGGAAAAAGTCCTTGAAGCCATGAATTCCCCAGCGGAACACGAAGGGTTTGATGTCATTCATCATCTGGATGAAGTAAAGAATACACGCAACGACGCTCGCGAAGAATGCTACGACTCCCACGAACCTAAAAAAAACCGGACAGTCAGACAAACGAGAAAGTTTTCCTAAATATTCTTATTCGTGTTAATAAAACGGTTTACTGACTTAACATGACTAGCAAAAAGTTTGGAAAGAATTCAAACAAGATTAAAATACTACAATCAATACTGTATATACTAATTATTAAGAACTAGCTGAACCGCTTCACGGTTTCTTTTTTTATTTCCGTTAGAACTTCGGAATAAAAAGTTTGGAAACATTGGAACACTTTCTTGTTATTATTATTATATTACTATACTAACTGTTGCCCGCGACTACGTCCGCGTGGACTAGGGGGAAGGGACAGATATCTATACATATAATAAAAATGTAACTTGTCTTTGTCTATAAATGGAAGACATTTGCGAAAAACTATTATTAAAGATCCCCCTTTATCAACGCAATAAAACCCAAAACAATGGTTGTTAAAATTGTTATCTATGTGTATGTGCGTTTGTGCGCGTTAATCTCAGAAACTGCTTAACCGATTTGGGTGCATTCGCTACTTTCACTGATGCATTGTAGTTCTTCACTTAACATTTAGTGTTAGTTTCATTCAAATAAATAAAAATTTATATCAACTTAAAAAAATAATCGCTACAACTGAATGGGATGCAAACTCTAGTTAACTATAATTATATTATGGTCTGTAAAATGATGATGATTGTTAGATTATATAAATTTAAAAACCAGCCAAGTGCGAGTTGCAATCATTCACGAAGGGTTCCATACCACAATCTATTAAAAAGGCAATAAAATTATGTCTGTTGTATGAGAGCCCCACTTAAAAAAAATATTCTGATTTCCTTTATTTGTTGTTATAGCGTCAACAGAAATACATCATCTGTGGAAATTTGAACTGTCTTAATATCATAGTTTGTGAGATACATGTAACAAACCGATGCTAGCAGTCCAGCTAGAATCTGTCTTTTTGTTTGAACTCGCTAATCTCAGCGACTACTAGTCCGATTACAAAAGGTCAGTGATCAAGCGAGTTGTATGCGCGAAAAATCTTTATGTATAAAAATTTCTGCATAGAAATATGTACTGGCACAGAAAAAACTCACGAGAAATCCTTTGGTGTTCCGAAGAGCATGAGGGGCGTCATGATACCGCCCACGATCAAATACCAAGCGCAGAAGGTGACGGTTGGCACTAAGGATAAAAACACCTGCTCGACGATTTGCGCGGCGAGCAGCAGGTAGACCACGGCGGCTCCGAACAGGGACACTATTATGGCCAGGGACACGGCGGCACTAAAAATATTTTCAAATATTTAATACAACTACATTCAGGGCTAACACGACATATACATATAAAACTAAACCAACTAAAAACTGATATGTCATGATATATAAGCGTTTCTTATTTGATCACAATTTACAGTTTACGTATCTCACCGTACGTGAAATACATCCAACTTTTATTCTTCATATCCGACTAGTTTATGACGGAACAAAAAAGTGGTATAATTATGTTTTTATGTTGTTTGCATTAAGTGTGCTAAATGCTAATTTATTATTCCGTCATCCAATATCGTGGGAGCGGTACCTCCATGTTTTTCCCAGTGCCTGATCGGCGATGATTGCGTAGGGGTTTCTCTTCCTGCTCCTCATCTCGGGGTCCCGTCCCTCGATCATGGACCAGCAGTCGCCCAGGCGTTTCCCGCTAAACGCGGCCATTATGGCCAGCAAAACGATTATCGGTACTCCGATCCAGCCTAAAACGAAATAATAATAATAATAAAATAATGATAAAGTATCTTTAGTCACATAGACGCTTGTGCGTTCTTATGAGACGTCCAAATTTTACAAATAAATTAATACGTTCGTAAGTTACGACCGAATGTTATTACTATAGCGATAAACATAATTTTAACTTTATCAAGGTCAAAAACTAAATGTTTTTGTTTAATTTAGGCGTATTTCAAGCACTAATGAGCGGTAAAGCTGCCACGGTATTAAGACCGGTTCTCGCAGAACGGACAAGAAATTAGGCGGTCAACTGTACTACTTACATCATATTTTTTCCTCTAAAAATATGACAATAAAATCAATATGATATAAGTCGTAGTCAAAAAAGTAAAGTAGCCTTTTTTATTTTCTTTTTTTTTATAAAAACATTGCCCTTACTTTAGGATAACATTATCCTGTGTTTTAAGGACATTTTACATACATAAATTTCACGTGGACAAACACCCAGCCTTTGTATGTCCCACCGCTGGGCAAAGGCCTCCTCTGAACAGAGATACTCTTTGCAAAGCTTAGTCCATCACGCGACCCCACTGCGGACTGGTTGATATCATAATATCTTCATATTATCTTTTTTGTTTCAATTCGAAAGTTAATTTTCCTCACGTTTATTTCACCGCTAAACACGTGATAAGTAGAAACCCGAAATGCTCCGACTAGTGTAGTAAGAGCACAAAATACCCAGTCTACAGCAAAGGACATCCAATTGGGCTTGTTTCGAGTTTTTGGGTGTAGGAATATTTTATTAAACGAAAGATTTTTTACTACTGTTACTTGCTACGCATTTTCATCAGTTTCTACGTATCTGACCTAAACAGTCTAACGGATCCATACGCCAACACTTCACAAGAAATTGTACTGAAAAGTGAAGATAAGTAAGGCTATAATATTTTCAGCTATTGATTTTTTGTTAAAATGTAAGCTGTGGAATGTTCGTAAAGATTTTTTCTATTCATCGTGTACATTATTCCTAGAAGTGTGATGATGCAACTTAAACATTTTAAGTTGTTTTTTTACGGCGAACCAGTTTGACACAATATTAAGTATCCTATTAGTTTATTTAGAGCTCGACCTTTCGCATTTGCTTTAAGTTACAAGCAGTTTTCATACGTTGACGTATTTTATCCAAAATATAATATGTATTTGTAGGTATACCGTATATTTAAGATTAGTTAATCGAGAACCACACTCAAATGTGTGTTCAAGTTTCACCTTATTGACTGCGGGAAATCGTTTTATATCAAGTCATTGACCGGGCATCTAAAGCAACCAGAGACGTGTCACGAGCATTGCGCGATGAAGGTATTCCGGTTATATAGACTAATGAATAAAGAAGACATATTTGTGAAGGACAGGTTGTAACACGATGCTCGAACTATTTAGGGGCTTCATTGGGTACCTACCTACGTATTATTTTAAAACAACAATTTAATTGGCCAATAATACGGTGGTTGTTTATTACAAGGGGGCACTAATAGCAAGAAAATTGCTATGTAGGCATATGTATGTATCAACATTGATTAATTAAAAAAAATATTACTTTAAAGTTTACACAGAATAAAGTATATATAAGTAGAATAAAGTAGTAAATATTTAAAAGTTACTCAATATCACAAGGATATATAAACTTGTATTTTACCAATTAAAACAAGTATTTGCTTTCAACGGCCCTTTTCAAGAAACGTGTTGCGGGCACATGACTTTTTAAGGTAATGTAACTGATATTGAACAAATAGTTGATTATCTTTATAATAATAATTTTGTGCATATCGGCCAGGGTGGAGGACATCATCTATTTTTCATCCCCCTAAATGTTAAGGGTCGTCCACCCCAAACATTATTTTCTACCCTACAAATAATCTATATTGCAAAACGACGTTTGCCGGTACAGCTAATATGTTCAGCTAATTGTACTTATGTATTTACCTGGACCGATTTGAAAGAAATTTTTTGGGTGTTTTCATTTGGATTCGAGAATGGTTTAGATTCACAAAGTTATTCAAAAAGTTTGAGATTTTCGAATTTAAGACGTGTGTAGACGAGAACTGTCTGTCCGGTCCGCTAATCTTTATATATATATAATTCTTCTGTACGAGTGTAACACTGAACCCCTCCTAAACGGCTGGACCGATTTTAATGAAATTTTTTGGGCGTCTTCAGGTCAATCCTAGAATGGTTTAGATTGTTAATCTATAAAATCGATCCAATCATTTTTTTTTTATTTCTAAGTTGTCGAATTTAAATCGTGTGTACAGGACAACGACTGTCCGATCCGCTAGTTTATTATATATTTTAAAACATATGACGAGGATACTACACGTGGATAAATGAAAACTATTTAACGAATTTTAATTTTATTTAGTTATATTTCCGACATTATAAACACTTTACAACATTCATTTGCGTTGTTTTATCCCGTAATATCAGAGTGGTCACATGGTTTGGCGTCATTTATTCTATTCTATTCTGATCTACGCAAAAGAGCTCTCAGTATCTTAATACAATAAATATTATAATATATCTAAAAATATTTATGTGATAATATTTAAAAAAAATATTCTTTTTTTATCGATGTATAATTTTTTAAGTATAAAATCTGTTGAAGCCAGAGGACTAGCAAGTGTAGAGCAACAGTCATATCCATACATCTATCACCCAATTAATATCGATATCCGCTCGCCTCATAGTAACAGCTGCTTCATCGAAGTATTGAAGATACTTTAGCTACGACGATGGTGTAGCTACCAGCGTCATGATTTAGTCATATAAAAGCAAACTAGATGTGGTAAGAACCATTTTTATAAAAAAATAATAATTTGTTACTTATTAAGGCCATAGTTTTTTCTACGCATTCTTTTTACTGAGTCGCTAAGGATAAGGGACAAAAAACTTCTGACCCGTTTTTGTCGAGTTGTCAATTTAATAAATCAATCAATTTAACCGCTGTCGCGTTTCTTTTTAAGTCTTATACATAACGTTTAAAACGAATTTATTACAAACATTGTTTTTAAGAATGTTTTTAAGCTAATACATATGTCCGACTGCTGTTCAAAATTCCTTGTCCTGTTGGTAGTTTGTGTAGATAGGAAGATGACATATCGCATCTTTCGAATTATAGAGACCTATTTAAAAATAACAATTTTTGGAAAACGTAAAATAAGGATTTGTGGAACTTACCTGAACAAACGCGCTAATTGGGGGGAAGTGAAAGAGACAGAAGTATACGTTATGTAGCTTTCTAAAATCGGCCCATGTTTTAATAGGATTCGAAAAAGGTGGTCGTTTTAGGTCGTTTCCTGACATCATAGAATGATCAGGGAATGAAATTAATCGCCAAAATCATGATTTTGATAATTAATTTCATTCCCTCCAATCGCCAAAATCATGATTTTGATAATTAATTTCATTCCCTTTAATTCTAAAGGTGCGACATATTTTCGTAAAATTTTTACAATGCTTCTTAAATATGCTAGGTTTTTCCTTTCCAGACAAGCACGAGGTACATCAGTACATACTTAATGCATATGTCAAAAAGAAATTATTTTCTGTCGCCACCGGAATTCTAACACGGTCCACTTGAGTAATTTGAATTCATCATTCTGATCAATTAACAGAGTTTAAAAATCCTTTTGACAACTCAAATAACATTTGAAAGCCATTTGATAGCTGATTAGCTGACTTCTAACATGATCAAGGTTTCAGTGACCTGTGAGCTACAGGGGCTCAATGCCACACTCCAACAAATACCACAAAACCTTCGTAAGGTTTCAACGATCAAAGTAGGTAATTCAATAAGACCGTAACAATAACTTAACGACGGGCACATTAAAAGACTATTATAAAAATACTGGTTAAAAATTCTAGTCGCGTCGAATATTTCCAAAAGCGGATGTTTTATTTATCATTCTGATGTTTTGGGTGCTATTTTCGACTGTTAGGATCCAATGGATCCCGTGGATATTGTCTCAGTATCTTGTGCCAGGGAGGATGGTTTCTGGACCCACTACCAAAATAATATGTGTCTTAACCTAACAGTACTGAATATAAAATATTACGTATGAACATTATAAAAAATGTTACATAAATACACATAACATATTTGTATTTTTATAACATCATCTTAACTTTATGTTAAGTAAATAAAACCAGCCAAGTGCGATTCGGACTCGCTCACGAAGGTTTTGTATTTGTTATGTAGGTTTTGTATGGTATATATATATTTACCCGTTTTACCTTTAAGGACGGAACCCTAAAAATTGCAGCTCATCCAATTCATTCCCCCCCCCCCCCCCCCCCAAATATTTACTTTTGAAGAAGCATGTCTTTTTTAACTGACTAATTTGTGATAGATAAACAAACGTACTCAAAACGCATTTAAAATTCAATTACCACGTTTCCACTGATAAATCATTGTACAGTAATGATCAAATTCATGATGTTTCATCGATTGAATTACTATCAAAAATTTCATGCCATTTCCACGTAAATGTAACCCACATTTTGAATTTGTGATATTGGAAACAAATTTGCTTTTTTACAAACTATGATGTTCTTGATATGGAAATTGAAATGATAGATTCCTGTGTTAAAAATGTTTGTAAGTTTAACTTTTAAAAATACTATGTTGCAGAATTACCATCGATTTTATTCGATGTGATTCCAAAATTTTCATATTTTTTTAATGTTACATTATAGGAGCGACGATGAAGATAATTTACTATCGAAACACAAGGCGACTTTGGGTCAGGGTCATTGAAACCGAACGGCTAGGACGAACTACTTTTACTACTTAGGTTATCATTCGATGTTTTCACATGCCTAGGTAATGGCGAGGCAACTCCAAGTGGTTATGGGTAAAAAAGAGGAGAGGCGTACCAAAACAAAAATATACATGAAATGAACACCAAGAAGTTGAATAAATCATTGATGTTTGACACATTAAAAGGAAGATTCATAACGACATATTAATAGTTTTATAACCTACTAAGGTACGAATTGTAGCTGTGCGCGCCGTCCAATCGTAACGGCGAAAAGAAGTACCTATAGCTTCAAAAAAAGCATTTATAAATAATCATAGCTAGCTGCCTACTTATCTGTCCAGTCCAATCTTTTCTAATGTTGAACGCATACATACAAATGTACTTAAAATTATGATATACTGTATTATTATAATGCAATATACTGTAACGTTGAATTGAAAAGTTTAATTTTGTCCTAAGCTTTTACATGAACGATATGTAATTGTATCGCGTGTAAGGTCAAAGCGTAAAATGTTTATGGTAGAAATATAACGTGTTCCATCGTGCCACAGCTGCTTTTATGTGATAATTTTAAAATAACTCGCCAGTAATTGGCACTTACGAGGAGACTACTCGTACATTGTTTGTTTCATTAAACAGCTGGTGAATTCTAAAATAACTTCATTTACAGAAACTTTAGCGACTGGCATTTCCACCTTTTTTGTGTGAGATGGCAAGCGAGCTGGTGGTTTACCTGATGTTAACTGATATCCGCCGCTCATGGGATTTTAAATGAATTGGGTCAGATATATTTTCAAGAATCACCTCCAAGCATCTCCAAATAGACGATTGCAGTAAATCGACTATTTCTACTACTAATTAATAAATTTCGACTACTACTAATCAGACTTAATTGCATAAATAACTTTTATCCGATTCAGCTATTGTAACGAAATAAGTGTCACATTTTTTACTTGGTAGCCATTGTCTGATTGCCTGTGATTTCATCCAATGGACGGTACAGACCACATGACATGCCGCTAGAAGTCTAATTTTTATTAGTTTCCTCGAGTTTCTATTAAAATACAACATTTAAATGTTTTAGACATTTAGACTGAGCTTTATTTGGAAACTGTCGTTATACTGGTAGTTCCATCAAATTAGCATATCGGAGCGGACAAACAGGTTTCCATAACTCCATCTCCTTCGTCCGTGTCCACAAAAGTTGAGACAAACGACCAAGTGTTAAAACTTTGAGTTATCTATGTAACCATCTTATGTTAATATAAAATTGATGTTGAAATTTTTGCCTACGGTAGGCGTTTATTTTCTAAGGCGGTTTGAGACTAAGGCAATAATTTGAATAATAATATATTTGAATAGTAGTAACGTATTCTTAACTACTATATAACTAACATATTTTTAAATACAACTATTTTATTGATTTGATCGCGTTTAGTTTTAGGTTTTGGTTCGCAGCGTTTTAAACACTTTACAGACTTGGTCTATGAGTGGATGTAAAATAGAAATATGCATACCATTAAACAGTTATTGTTTGATATTTTGGTGATTAATTTTCATGTTATAGTTTATAATGTTGGTGTCAAACAAGAAAACGAAAATAATACATGTGATTTCAACTAAGGAATGTTTTAATGGGATCATAAGGCTAGCCGCAATCACTATAAACGGAAGGTCCACCGGACCTTGAACATCGAAGCTCTCAAAGCCACAAGTAATTTTTATCTATTCGATTATTGTCACAAGTTAATTGATTTATAATTATAGTCGGATGCTTTAAACAACAGCATCACTCTTACCTCTGCACCTATATTTTATGCTTATTCGAAAATTTATACAGGCAATTGCACACTCGCTACAAGCCAAGTAAATTCGCATCGGCGCTGTAATAACACGGCAGGTAATTGTTTTAGCTGGGCAACGCCACACGAACTTAAATAACAAAATGAGCTTGTGTCTACGGGAGAAACATAAGCCTCTAGACAACGTCGTGCTTATCCTCGTTTAAATATTTGTGAACAACATCTCACGATCCTTGTATTTGTATGGTGGCTGTAAATAATTAAACAAATAACTGCTAAGAGGCAGCGTATATAAATTATTTCTTGAAGTACCCACGCAAAGTAATGGTGTAATCGTTTAGCATTTACCCTATTGCACAATATTGCAATATCGGGACGAGTACGCCGTCTTGTAAAATTATTATACTAGTAATTATAGCCTCCGTTTATTTGTTTTATTCAAGATAAAAAAGATAGAATAAAACGTAACGTGAGGTGTGGAGATAAAATTAGACGCTCCCCATAGTGTAATGTCTCAGAGAACATACCTATGTTACTTATAGTTATTATATTACATATTATATCTAATTGTAATATAATAATCATATGGTATAAACTATTTCGTTCGTTCAAATTAGTTGATAAAGGCATAGGAAACTTTTTGGTGAAAGCTTTCCGAGTTTACATTTCAAACCAGTTTGTTTCTTAACGCAGAATTGATATGCATGTTACTAAAAGGGAAGGCGTATATAGCGTATATATAGCGTTATTTTTTAATCGGGTGTCTGTACCATGATTTTTTATATTTTTTAATTTCATATTCGTTAACATTTTTAAAAAATAATGATCTATTTCAAAATGATTTGCCCAATTCAAAAGAAATATTACTTATCACTATGATGTTTCTTTCTATGAAATACAGTTTATATTCAGTTTATATTTCTCTTTTAAAATATTTCGTCGAATTTATCCGTTTTATCTTTCTAGAACTACATTCGCAATGGCTTTCGGTGATTTTTACGAAGGTCTAAGCATATTAATCTCTCACCAGTTTTGACAAGGGCGCGTGGCAACGCCAACACCCCACTGCCAGCCATCTCGCCAGCCACCAACAACGCAGCCTGTTTCACGGAGAGACCGCTGCTCCTCGCCGGGCCATTGTCACCGTTTGGGTCCTAAACATTATGGTCTTTTAATTATTTCTTACATCAAACGCCCGCCTAAAACAAAATAAAATTGCATTTGCGTGATGTTCACATCCATTGCGAAGCCGTGGAACAAAACTAAATGGAATAAAGAAAATTTGCCATTTGCTTTGAATAAAAGTGCAATATTATAGACAAAAGGAGAGAAAGGAGAAGGATTCAGAGTTTGTTCGTTGTCCAATATTATTAGTTGCAGAATGCAAATATCGGGATAAGCCAACTACTTATATCATCTTAGTAATTATACTACATATTAATGTATGTTTCTATAATAGAAAAATATTTGAATTCTTCAACGAAGTCATCCATAAATTTTTTTTATAACGTAGTATTATTTAAAATTAAACTAAAGGGCAAATGAATTACGCGTAAGGACATTACGCAGTTCACCCGTTCTCTCTACTACTAAAGTTCATTTTAAATTTTCAAGAAACATTGCATCGCCTCTATATTCCGCACTGTGAACGGTAATATTATGTTCGACATTTTTATCACGAGGTTACCACAAGAAGATAAGGGCTAATAATGCCTCTTTCTTAAGCGGTGTAGTCAAAAAATATTCTTAGACAGACCTCCCTTCTTATTTGAAGCTTATACCAACAACATGTTGCAATATTTAAGACTGGTTTAATTAATTGTATATTTTATGAGACAAATTATATTTTTATCCGCCAATACCAGAACGTGGATAAAGAAGACATGTAAGTATTTGAAGAAAAATGTCCTGAAATGTTTATTATTTAAATAGTGTTTTTCTCTGAGCTTCTTACCATATAATATTAAAATATAAGTTATATCCCACGATATTAATATATTCAGTGCTTGTAATCGAGTGAATTAATTATGTACGTATAGAATAAATAATTCTATAAAATAAATTTTCTTTATCGGTACATTTTTGTGAATTTAGACCGTTTGGAGGACTGAAAATTTAAAAGCAAAGTAAATTATAGTCTTTATAGGAAATCCTGTAAATATTATTTATGTCAAAAATAACAGAATTTCTGCTAAATTTAATTTTTTAGCCTCTTACTGCGATTTCCTTTGTATAATAAAAATAAACAAAATAAAATTCTAAGATTTTGCATAGGATATAACACTTTTGTTAAAGTACTAAAATATTAGATGAGGTAATTAGCATCGAACGGGTTCAAATCAACGTTAATGGAATGCAATCAAGTAGTGAATTGTGGTTTTTACTCAAGCATGATAATTAATGAAAAGTTTATGGTTTTCTTTTATCTTTTAACTTTAACCGAAATTAAAAAAAAATATGAAATTCAATAGATATCGCCTATCTAATACAAATAATACCAACGTAGGAAACGTAATAAAAACGTGTATGACTACGGTTACCACTTTAAACGGCCAAACTTTATTCCAATAGAAATAATTTGATAAACGTTACAACAGCTACAAAAGTGCGTAAAACTCATAGATTTATAAGTATAATTTCTGTTGTGCTTACTCCTTTTGGCACTAACGGTGTGGTCTCCGACGGCTTGGAGCTGGTGGTCACGGCTGTCGCAAGGCTGCTCTTCTTCGACATCTCGATCTGTTATCATTTAAAAATAAATTAAGATAACGAATAAGACATTTAAACAGAGAAGGATTATAAGGAAAGTTTTACTGAAAGCTATTCCGCAACAATCACATAACGAGAACAACAGCGTTAAGTATCCCCTTCGGTACGTACTATAAACTGAATAGAACGTCGGCTTTGTGGTTAAACAGAATGAAAAAAAATGATGAGCCTGCACTATCGGGAACAGGTTCTTAGTCGCCCGACGGGCGGCCCAAAAAGACCGATTAGAGCTCCAGATGTGGACGAACTTCCTGTGTATCAATAGGTTAAATTGCTCTTACGGCTTCCACTTACCGGAGCTTTTGAGCGCTGGGGAGACTACCTACACACCCGGCCGACGCGGGTCTCGACACGGAACTGGTAATACTTGCCGGCCGACCTCTTCCCGCGGTCTTGCGGCCGCGGCACAAGCAACTGACATGTGTGCGTGGGTATACTGTGTCTAGAAGAAAAAAATATCGATATATTTAATATTACCGTACGCACAAGACTGAGCACGTAGTATTAACACGTTAACCTGACAAAAAGTCAACAAATATGTTTTAGTGTAGCAGTAGTATACGATAACAATAGATCGATAAAGTGAGTAATTTGCTCTCAAATACATTCATCATATTGGCACTACTTTGCTCATGTTTATTAGCTGAATGGTTATTTCACAAAATATTATGCAATGTAATAGTAATTTAATAATTATTTTGGTTATGGATCACTAACGTTTGCAACAGGTAGGTAAAACCTGTGTTACAGGTGACCAAGCAGTCATAGAATCTTTTGCAATTATAATAGCAAAGGTGATTAATATAATTCGCATCGTCCACACATAACGCGATGATGGGAATTATTTTTATCATGTTTATCTTATAACAGTCATGAAGACTACACTTCTAATCCATCTAGTCTAGCTGTGGTAGCTCAGTGTCCGGGCGCTCGCTTTCAATTCAATGTACTCCAGCAATCCGAGTTGAAATCCCGGCACCGGTACACCGGGAGGCCTTTTGAAACGCAACAGTGCGACTATAAAGGCAGTTACATTGCTTTCTTAAAATCTGGTCCATAATTTCTAGAAAATCCCCAACTCTTAAAACATGCTTTTCGATTTATGAAATTGAATATTCCTTTTAAAATCATTTCACGCATAAACTGTTACACATCTTCTAGGTCTGACTATAATCCATATGTGCCACTCACCGCTCGCACTAATATATTTAGCCTAGTTCCTTAAGCGTTCGCCAAACGTTGGAACAGACAAAACACGTCTTTATTTCCGAATAAGGTGAATACATATTTCCAATTGAAGCAAAGAATAGAAAAAAAAAAACCAATTAAGTGAAATTGTTACAAGTGTACCACATGTCGGTTATACGATATTCTTGTCCTATATTCGCGAAAGTGACCGGAATAAGAGTGATGTAAATCCCAAACCCGTGGGTTCTGGCTAGCCCACCGGTTCTGCGTCAGATGAAGCTTTAATAGTCTCTGGACTGAAAGCACAAACATCAGTTAATACAAGATGCAAGAAGTGATGTAAATCTGTCTCGAAAACAAAAAATAACGCGAATAATCGCCCTTTCGGCGAGCCCTAACCGGCATTCTTTTACGAGGTTCGTTAACGGGGTATCTATGTATCACTTAGTGGCTAAAGATTATGTCAAGCTGTTAAGATTCCTAGCTTTAAAAATAACCGTCACGTTTGAGTATCCACGCTGCGGCACCATAAGAGAAAGCAGGTAGAACGAACTGGTCGAAGACTTTTGTGTTCAAGCATTGTGATATGGGCAAAGAGAAAACTGGAAAACCTAACTGAACGATCAGCTAATTCTTTCACCGATGTAGTTATTTTTTAAAATATAAAGCAGTTATGTAATTACTATAGTTAAAAATAAAACTCAACAAATTTTTAGTGAATTATAATATGTTATTAATGTAATTAAAGTAATTCCAAAATACTATATCGACCGAAGAGAAACTTGTGCAGTGTTTAAGGTAAACGACATAAACAATATTAGTGTTCTTTATCTTTATTGCTTTCTCTCAAACTGGTTTTAATGTTGATGTCAAACATTAAAGATTATTTCACTTACTATGTTGTGACCTCGTTTTATACGTGAATATGTCTGTATATTACATATTATCTTTTATATCAAAATGTTCATATTTTGGACTTTGGTGATTCTTATTGCAAACCTGTGGGCTGTGAGTGACTTCTAAATTTCGAAGACTGATTTGTATAATACAAAAGTTTTATCAATAATATAAATTCCAAGACGAACCTACGGGCCACGTGACGGCTCCGGCTGCTGCACGAACGAGCTGGTCCGTCCGGGTGGGTACCACGACCTCACAGAAGTGCTGCGTGAACTGGAAGTGTTATATTTCTGCGTTTCGTATGGTGAGGTAGCCGGGGTCCATTTTGTTGAAAGGTGCCAACGCATCTGCAACCCTACGGGCGTTACAAATGTCTATGGGCGACGGTTATCACTTAACATCAGGTGAACCGCCAGTTCTCTTGCCACCTTCTCACATAGCAAACTGCAATCAATTGGTCTTTGGGTGTAAAATTAATCTACTTCGGCCAATCATTAAGAAACCTTCTTTCAAAACGAGAGCCCCGCAGAACAGCAGCGGTCGAGCTAGGAATAGCACTACTTGGCAAGATCGCAATGAAAGAACCTAAGTTGATACAATGATGAAACAAGAACCGATAGGGTTAAAATTCACTTGACGTGACGACAATCATATATCAATGCCCGATACCTTCTCGTTCAGCCATCCGTCATGCAAATAGAAGTTGCCAAGGCGCGTGCGGCGGCCGCAAAAGCGATGGGATAAAATGCCGTTTTGTGACGAGTCGCGAAGACTGGATCTATAGACATCCACAACTTCCTGGAGGCAGTGAGCCGCTGATATTTGTTCAGAAGGTTTATCTCCAACCAGGGTCAACAGAATAGTTAGGGCGGGATCTATGAAGGGTCGACGTACTGAGCTAATTTTCATAAATGCAATGGTGAACCTGCCACTTGCGCCAGAGCGTGTGGGTTCGATCCCCACTACTGAAAAAATATTATGTGATGAATATAGTGTTCTTTCAGCATGGGTTCTTTTTTTTTTATGTGAAAAGTTGTCAAACGAGCAGACGGTTCACCTGATGTTAAGTGAATACCGCCGCCCATAGACATCTGCTACACCCGAGGGTTACAGATGCCTTGACAACCTTTTGAAAATTGGGCTGCGGTCACCTCACTCACCAGACGAAACGCGAAAGTATTTGTCATACTTCCACTTTACGCCGGTCTTCTGTGAGGTCGTGGTACTTACCCGGACGGGCCTGCCCATTCGTGCAACAGCCGAGGCTGCTGCACGAATGGGCCACCATGGGTGTTTATATATGTATAATATTTATTTATTTACAAAAGAAAAGTATGTTTATCAGTTTTCAATACAAGCGTTGCTTAGTTTGGAACTAGAAAACGTGGAATTGTAGAAATCTGTCCGCAAATATTTTATTATATTTATAGACGCTGATTCTTATATGCTATTCGTTGATCTTTTTCTTCCCTTTTCACAGACTGTTGGCTCAGATTTTATTCTGATACACTACAATGCTGTGCATCCACCATCCGATAAACGCACGATGTATTGAAATTTTATGGGGGCGATTAACGAAAAATTAAATTAATAACCTCGTAGACTCGATGAATCGCCAATGTTTTCCGTGTCTTAATAAACGCGGTGGCGATACTTTCTATTCATAAAAAATATTAAGTTCACGTATTTTTCTTATAAGTACCAATTTTTCCTCTGGATTTATTTATGCGACTGTGTTGTGACCTTTTATCGTTTAATGCTTTATACTGTGATCTTTACTTTTTTTTTCACTAAAATTTCGCCAGAAATTATTATATTGTTTATAATTGATGATTTATCTAGCAACATTATTTATTATTACTGTTCGGTTGGCATCACCACTTTTGTTTAATGTAGTCGCTAATTAAGTGTATTTCGTTAGTAAAATCGAAATATGTTCAAATAATCAACGTGTTAAATATTTAACACATTAGATTTAAAAGAAAACTGTAATTAAAATGTAATGTTAAAAATAGAATTGTAAGTAAATTTTAACGTAATAAATATTTATGTAACCGAAAATTGCCATTCTTTCTCTTTCAAAGTAGAAATTCAATGTAAACTTATCTTCAAACTTACAGATATATTTCTATTTTGTATTCATCTCTTGGCTGAGTTAAAATGGATTATTGTTTCTTCCACAAAATAAATCAAGTTTATTTTTCGACAATCAGGTAGGCCAGGGCCAGTATTTCCGCGGAGGGAAGCAATGAAACATACAGACAATAGTGGTAGATTGTTATAATTATAGTACATGTCAAGAAATAATACACATTAATACTAATTTAACGTGGAATCCATTAGGTATTAATTACGTTAACTCATTCGGTGATATTTTATCAATTGCCTGTGATAAAACATGTGTTTATAATTAACAATATTTTTACTTCAATACAAATATACAAAAAAGATACAAAGATGAAAGCAGTAAAGAATGGGATAGCGATAATAACCCTATTAGTAGTATCAACTAAAACACACTATCAAAGAGCTTAACTTTATTTTATTAAAATTTATTTTACTTTGACACCAGTAAAACAGGCAACGATACCAAGATATACAGAAAACTTGAATTTTGTCATCTAGCACACAAACAATTTGGAATCAAACCGAATACATATGATCTGATCGATTAAGTAATTATATTTAAAAATGTGAAATAGTAACAGCATTAAAAAGGGCTTTTAGAACAGGTTTTATAAGAAACAAATTGTAAACAAGTAGCAAACTCGCCGTACGCATAAAATTATTATGACGTAGCCAATTAATTCCAAAGTGAAAAGTTTACAAGATTTTTTAAATATAACTTAAGACTAGAATTTTTTAACTTGTTATTTATTTAAATTTACAAAGATTTTAGAGGCGCATATAAAAATATATTTCTTCGTTTAGACCCATTTTTAATGACGTAATGACGTTTTTAATAATTTTTACGTTCAATTTTAGTTTATATAAAAAATGAATAAAAGAAATATAAACAATTCTCTTAATTATTTCATAGTTAAACAACCCTTGCATTTGCATTGCAAAATAAATATATCTATTGATTCGGCGTGAAAATTTAAAAAAATGTTTTTTATAGACAATTTTATTTCGTTATTTGTAGTAGTTATTACTGTGGTAAATCAATAATGTGGAAAAAATTGACCAACGATAAAAATATCTTACAACAATACGAGATACACCATAAATAATTATTCAATATATTATAATTTCTAACAATATCCATATCTATTTTATATACACAAATCAGAAGAAGACAAATGGAATGCGGCCCGGTGCGTGCTGTGAATGAAACTGCATAATTATATTACAATCAAAGTCGATGTAATCGAATTAGACCGACGTGGACTCGTCGATTCTCGCCAAATTCACGACTGTACGGAGGCGTCGGGAGGGGGCCTCGGCGGGACGGCGGGGGCGTTCCAACGGCGGCGGTCGGGGCGGGGGGGCGCGCCGCTAGAGGAGCGGGAAGTGCGCGGCGCAGTTGTGCTGAGCCGCGGCGGCGAGGGCGTCGTGCAGCGAGTGCGCGTGCGCCGCCACCGGCCGCAGCAGCAGCGGCCGCACCTCCGCCCCCGCCCCCGCGGCGCCCCCCACCCCGGAGCCCCCCGCGCACTCCGCGCCCCCTCCCACCCCCGCACCAGTGTACCGCGCCACGCGCGCCATCGCCGCGGCGCTGATCTGCACGCGTATAGCAACACTTTGTATTTCTAATATAGGCCACGCATGGGTTCACATTCACACTCAACAGCTATTGTTACATTTGTATTTATTTGATTTTTCTAGGTGTGGTCTTTGCTCTATCGGATCGGTGGAGCTAAGTGAGCACGTTTGATCACAATGACATAGAATTTGTACGTGACCTCAAGCTGTCAAGACGAAGTATGATCACTTAAAAGCCACCGACGATTACGTGCGTGCGATATTATATTTGGTATAATAAATTGGCTTATTATAATTTAATTAATAATAATAATTAATATGTCCTTATTATAGCCTAAAGTCCTTTGTAGTTAAATACTTTAATAATATATCCCATATCCCATAGCATTATCAAGCAAAAGTTTAAATAACTATTTTTACGTACCTGATACTCATTATCTTCATCGGTCGCTCCCCCCCTGCTCTCTGTCATCCTGGTAGTTCGTCGTTGCTTAACCAGCAACTGCGCAGAAAACAGTTTCGGTTAAAATCGGTTAAATTCCAGGTCGCCAAAAATAACATTCATAGTATATTATCTCCGTAACATAAGCCAGTTCTTTTAAGTACTCATAGGAAGCTAAAAGCAAGGCAAACGTAGAAATTGGTCAATAGGTCTAATTCGTACCTCTATGGTGTGACCCTCCAAAGGCTGCACCGTGCAGGTCTTCAGATCAATCATTTCCACGATACGTTCCGTCTCGAGATCGGCTACTACCAAAAACTGCGAAAAAAAAAAACAATTGACCAATAAGAGCTATGAAACTTTTGGTTCCTTTTGCAATGACATTATAAGTCATCGAAAGTTATTTAGGTAAGCGGGTGATGTTCTGAAGGTAGTAGGTTTGACATAAATAGTTGGTGCTACCCGTACGGGTCGCTAGTATATAAACTGAAACGTACGGATGAGCGCGATGACCGATACTATGACCCGAAGTGCGATTGAACCGTCCGTCCGTAGGCGGTACAATGTCCGTGGACTGCTCCGCGTCCTGGGGCGGAATAACGTCCGTGGGCTGAGTCACGTCCGTGGGCCGTTCCGCGTCCGTGGGCGGTACCGCGTCCGTAGGCGGTTCTCCGTCGGCACAGAGGCCTCGGCCGTTGCGTGGCGTACCTTGTGCGTGATGACTAGCAGCAGCGGCGCGTCCCCGAGCAGCACCCGGAAGCCGGCGAGGGCGGGCAGCTCGGCGAGCCGGAACGCCCAGCGCACGCACTCGCGCCGCCACACCTCCGCCCCCGCGCCCGCGCCCCTCCCGCTCACCCCCTCGCCCCATTCGCGCACCTGCACCGGACATTCCGTATCACGCATCTCATCACGGGCTCGTGATAATACTATATATAAATTTACATGTAATACTTCGTTATTGTAATGATCACAATACAGAAAAAAACATAGAATACGCATTGCAAGTGAATACCGTGCTGAGTGGCACGTCGCTCGCTTTCAACTCAATGCACTGAGCAATATGAGCGCCAATCCCAATGACAGTGCCAGTGAAAATGTTAAACGCAATTCACGCGCTCAACGGTGAAGGAAAACACCGTAAATAAATACGTACAGAGGAGGCATTTCTCCGGCTGTATCATATTTAAGGCTTTTGATTTACTATTTACTTAATTCGTGGTTTAGCATTCATAATTTAATTACACAGTATTACGCTATTACTGCGAATTACTATTTCCCAGCACTTCCATTACAAATATTTCTATAAACATTTGGAATATATATATATATATACATATATACATGCAAATGAAATTAAAGACTTAATATAGGTCTTTGTTCACACACCTGTGGGACAATGTCCCAGCCAGTCTGAGCCAATAGGCCGTGGCCGGCGTATGCCACCAAGTCAGCCGTTGCACTCAGCGGCTTGGCTAGTGCGCCGAGGAGGCCGCGCCGTAGAGCAGCCCCACCACCCGCCTCGCCCACGCACACCCCCACCACCGGGTGATGCGCCAACCCACCCACCGCGCCTAAGCAACGAGCATTAAAAATATTTGCGGACACATTTTTACACAACGTTCTCTAGCCCCAAACAAAGCAGCGCTTGTACTATAGGTACTAGGAAATTGATAAACGTACTTTTCTTTTGTAAATAAATACATATTACAGATATATAAACACCCAGACACTAGATAAACACTATGTTCATCACACAATATTTTTTCCATTTCTGGGGATCGAAGCCACACCATCTGGCGGAAGAGGCAGGTTCCCTACTCCCCACGCCAATCGGGTCGTGGTTCGAGTAAATAAACTAATAATAATAAAAAACATAAATCTGATTTTCACCATAACAATGTATGGAATGCCATTAGGCATTAATTTTTTTATGTCAAAGGTGGCAAACGAGCTGGCGGTTAAACTGATGTTAAGCGATAACCGCCGCCCATGGACATTTGCAACACGCGTAGAGTTGCAGATGCGTTGCCACCATTCTTAACTTGGCCACGGCTACCTCACCAATCGGATGAAACGCATAAGCGTAACGCTTCCACCTCGCGCCAATCCTCACACGGACCTGCCCATTCGTGCAACGGCGATTACTACCACAGTCACCCTTAGCTTTAGGTGTAACAAAAAATTTAAATAAGTAAATAAATACCAAACAACACTTGGGACAAATCATCGTCGTCATCGATGTTATAATATTGAATATAACTATATGCCCCTAGCGAAATCATCCGAAAACACGGGCGCGAACAATTAATGCTTTTATGTGACAACGCGAAACCTCACCGAGTATGTTGATGGCGAAGTTGGTCAAACCGGCCGCGAGACCCGCCAACAAACTGGGCGGCGGATGCCTCCTGAAAATTTCACAAAATTAAGTTCTTGATCTATTAGTTTCGTAACCCGAAAAAGAACACAGTCAGGTATATCGTCGTAACTACGCTCTGTCTCATACAATGTTGTATATTGTTAAATAATCACTTGCTTGAATCTATAAAAAATGAGGCAATGTTGAAACGCTGCAGGCGAGAACATGATTGTTCTTCATTTGCATTTTTTTTACTTTCTGGCTTCTTGTTATCATTTAAACCAATGAAGAGTAGTTAAGTAGTGAAGTAGCAGCCTATATATGTCCCACTGCTGGACAAAGACCTACTCTGTACAGAGGATATCAGGGTAGATTCCACCACGCAACCCCAAGGAGGTTTGTCAGACTTCACATATATTAGAATTATTTTTTGTCATTTCGAAAATATGCAGGTTTCCGCACGATGTTTTTCTTCACCGCCGAGCACGTGATAAGTCAGCAAACCAACAATTACACTGGTGCCAGCACAGGGAATTTGGACTCGGGTTGCTCGAGAATATTGAATCAAAGGTGAGCGCCAAGACACAGAATTACTTGTGATGATGACGCAATTACAATTTACACCAGCAATGTTATCAACTACTAAAAAATCCCCCGCTACGCAATCATCCGCGACCCTAGCGCGACTTTGGGCATCGTCTCCTAAGCATCCGTGTCGGGCGAGGGGCAGCCCTATGGCCGCCGCTCGGGGCAAGGCTACGCTGAGACCTGGCGGCCGCGGCGCGCTGAGCGTGGTCGTGGTCGCCGGCGAGCAGGTCGAGGTTCCGCGCCAGCGAGCCGGCGGCGGCGCTCAGCGAGCGGAGCAGCGCGGCCGCGGCGGCCGTGGCCACCCCGCGCACCCCCCCGCCGGCGCCCCCCACCCGCGCCGCCAGCGCCCCCGGCGCCCCGACCAGCTCCAGACCGCCCACCACCCAGCCTGTGGACGTGGAACGTTAATGAGTCCCACCTCCTCCCTCTATAACTTTACGCGCCTAAGACGCGGTAGTTGTTCATTCATCATCATCATATCAGCGCGTTACGTCTGCCACGCAGCACGATCCTAATCACGTGCATCCATCGACTTTCCAACATTTGCACAGGTCATCCTACACTGCGATGGTAAATACGAGGGTGCCACTCGAGAACCATTCTTCCCCATCGGTTCCCCACTTCAGGTAACCTTCTGAATTCTGTCGGTTATCTTTGTTCTACTGCGGATATCTTCGTTGCGAATTCTATTACCATTTTTAATTTTCTCTTTTCATTATTTTCTAATTTCTTTGAAATTAAAAAATTTTCTTCACTCACTGCTGGAGTGTCGTAGTTTTTCTAGTGAAGTGGAAGTATGAGCTTTGCCAAACTTAATGCCGGCTGTAACATGGGCACATGCAATTAATTGTACTACTGTACTGCTCGTCACAAAAAATATCCTATTGTTTAAGGCGATAGATGTGTTCCATGTGTTCAGTTCGTAGGTCATTAGATTCCTAGTATAAAGTTTTGGAGTGAGTGAACAGTGTTCCAAGAAGTTCCAAGGTAGTGTACCAATTACCTATCTACGAAACAAAAATACAAGAAAAAAGCTCTAATGGCTTTAGCACAAATATTTTTGTTTTAACAAAAGTATATTTAGCCGACACAATATTTTGTTAATGTAATAGTGCTAAATTTAATAACATTTAAAAAACAACCGTGTAAGTTAAGTAAAAACATCTAGTCGTTTTTTAGATAGTTATAAGTTTAAAACAAAAAGTAGCAATAGCAAGTCTGACCTTGAGCAGAAGTGCGCCAAAACGGGCAGCGGGCGAACGCAACGCGCACACACGCACACGCATACAATTGCAGTGGAAACGAGCGTGATACTAAAGATTGCTTACTCACAATTGCTTACCATCTTTCTGAATTCCCTCGCACATACCTATATTCGTTACTGCGCACCGTCTTACCCCTAACTTCACAGCCGGCCATATCGTTTGAAGCGACCTACGTAACAGCTACGCTGAAGTTAGCAGTTTGTACTTAGAGGTGAAATTAAAAAAAAATAACGAACGCCTAAATGTAACTATCTGAGAAAAGGTTTGCCAGTGAAAATATTTCAACAAAATTTTAAGACGAATAATTTGTAACGAGCATTGCGAACCGGCTTATAATAACGTTAAACATTTCACGTGTTTGTTGTGGTAACACCAGTCCTTATTACAATAAACTATAATGTAAATACTGAAGTGATTTTTATTGATAAAAAAAAAACAGTTTTTAAGACATGGAGTAACAATGATAATGAATTTAAAATGATATTAATAATGAAACGTTACCGGCGCTGAGCAGAGCGGCTGAGAGGTAATGCACGGTAAGTGCGTGCGTGAGACGCTCCGTCGAGGTCATCATATCGCGCAGCTGGAACGCGCCCAGCCGGAGGGGACTCTGGTCTAATGCAATGTACATGCGGACCTGGAACCAAATACTATAACGCTTAAAAAACTTAGAACGGAGTGTGGGTATCCTCTTTTTTGGCATGATAAAGATATCCAATTTAGAACATAGTTAAATTATGTTTGTACATTGATATCGTTCACATCAATGTTATTGTCAAAAGCTCTTGTAGTCGGAAGTTGGTCGAAGCAAACGGTTCACCTTAAATGAATATCACCGCTCATCTGCAGTTTTCGAGAGTTTTCTAGCAATAGCTTAGAAGGTAGAGACATGTGTGCACGCATGGGCACATGAAAGAAGAGCCCTCACAGAAGGCTAGCCCACCGGTTCTGCGTCAGATGAAGCTTTAGTAGTCTCGGGACTGAAAGCAAAAACATCAGTTAATACAAGATACAAGAATGAAGGTAGGTAAGCCAACTGTGGTAACTGTTGCATGGCCATGCAACAGTTTTCGCTGTTGCACGAATGTGCACGTGAAAGAAGAGCCCTCACAGAAGACCGGTGTGAAGTTGTAGTGTTATACTTCTGCGTTTCGTCTACTGAGTGTGGTAGCCGGGGCGCACGTTATTATAACGTGGCAACGCATTTGCAACTCTCCATAGGTGTTGCAAATGTCATGGGCGGCGGCTATCGCTTAGCGTCGGGTGAAAAAAGAGCCGAATTATAAAATCTAATCGTTTGATTCCAATAATCGATAAATATCGTCGAATCGCACCGCTGTGTGCAGGGTGAGCGAGATGTCGAGAGGGTGCACGGTGAGCGCCCGTAGGCGCAGCGGGCTCTGCAGCGTGCGCGCCACGGCGGTCGTGTTGGCGCGCGCGTGCTCGCCCGCGGGCCACGCCTCGCGGAGCAGAGCGGCAACCTCGCGCACGTAAGCGTCCTCGACGTACAGCGCCAGTGGGCCCACGCGGATCTCCACCTCGGTCAGTTCTAAAACGAGGCATAATGTTTTATTTATGAACGTCAAAATAATTGTGTGATGAATCACAGTGATTATTTTGATATCATGTTTTATTTATGAACGTTTTTGACAATATTTTTATTAAAAGAAGTAATATCCGCCATATCGAATGAAACTAACGCAAATGTTTTTGACAATATTTTTATTAAAAGATTTAATATCCGCCATATCGAATGAAACTAACGCAAACGCAACTTATAAATTTGATATTCAAAGTTCCTACTTTCGATAACATTAACGGCAACCAAGAGTTTGGTGTGTCCCAGTTTCCATAACATAGACGACAACCAAAAGTTTGATGTCCCTGATCACACAGGATCACACTTGCTTAAAATACCTAACGACCTACTCGCTGCGTACAGATATAAACAGGAAGACATACCGGGGAAGGCGGTAATTATGAAAGATACTGAACCATTGAAGTGTTGCCGGGCGACGCACCACGCGTCGCTGATGGTGTCCAGCTGTATGGCGTGCTCGTGGGGCTGCTGCTCGTGGGTCTGGTAGGCGGAGCCCCACAGCGGCGGCCACCGTTCGCAAGGCGGCCGCGGCGCCCGAGATGCCACCACCACCGCGAAGTCGAACTGCCCGCTCGCGTACTGCGCATTGTCCACTTGCAGCGACGACACCGTCAACGAGCTGCGCCCTCTCTGCGGACGAAGGCGGGTCGAATGAATTAATAGTGTATACACGAAAAGCTGATATGTTAACTGTTACTTGGATTCAGTTTTTTCAACTACAAAAAAATTTATGGACCCTAAAAAAAGCCCAACATGGATATTTCCGCCCTAAATTTGGGGCTAAAAGTCCAAGACTGCTTGGAGTGTGCACAAGCAACAAATGAAACGGGACGCTATTTTCTTCCGCCCCGGTAGTATTACAATCATATAGAATACTACTATATGCAGCGTTCGAATGGATCGTAGCTTATAGCGGGCCGTACTCTGCCGTCATCTGTCATATAGTCAAAAAACTAATATGACATTTTATGATGTTATTGGGTTTTATGTATAGATTCCGAATACGTAAGTGACTCATTTTTGTACAAAATGTCATATACGTCTATTGCTCCGTATCCCGTCAGTACTACGTCGGCGTACGTACGTGCGCTTCGGTGCGGTGCGATGCACGCACGTTGTCCAGGTGCAGCGCGAGCAGCGGCGCCCGGTCGTCGGTGAGCGAGAGGCGCACGCGCAGCCCGCGCACCTCGCAGCGCACTCGCTCGCACGCGGCCGCGCCGCCGCACGAGGGGCAGTCCGCCCCTGCCGCTGCAAACGGGCGGCCGCGTGAACGATCGCGACTGTACCTCGTCGCGAGGATTTAGAAGAGTACAGTCGCGCACAGTGGTCTTTTGCGATCGGTTTTCGTTTCGTTCATTTTTCTGTTCTTTTTTTACGATTCGGTGGCGCGTTCTGGTGGTTCGTTACTAAGCTATTATTACTTAGGCTTCGGCGTCAGTGGTCGTGGGCCACGCGGGACAAAGATTTGTGTGACCCATAGATAATTGTTCCGGATCTGGGTGTTTGCTACCCAAGGCGACCCTATCAGGCAGGCAGGTTTTCGGTAAAAAACACAGCCAAAACCGCTTACAACATACCGCACTTGTGACGACTCCACATAGGTTGGTTAAGGGCAGAAGGATGATGATGAGATAAGATGACTCGGTGGCGAAGTTTCTAAGATATTGGCTTCAGCACCTGGGGTCGTGGGTTCGAGTTCGATTCCCAAACGGGACAAATATCTTATGAGACCCACAGATAATTGTACCGGATCTAGGTGTTTGCTTCCAAAGGAAGGTTGCAGGAGGATGATGATGATGACGATGATAACTTCTTTTTTTAGGTCAAACCTTGTATGCATAATGATCTAAAAGTCCTAAAATCATTGATCTATAACTGAATTTATATTTTTAAATCGTTTTCAGTGATGTACTTCATATCTGTGTACAGCACACTTACAAAGTTTAAAAACAAAAAACCTTACCCGTGTCGTGGACGCCGCGTGGCATGAACGAGGCATCGGATTGGTCGAACTGCGCGTTGTCTACTGCTAAAACGCTCGTCGTCTGCATCCTCTCCACACTTGCGGCTGGTGAAAAAAAAATTTTTTCGAAAACCAGTTTAAATGACATTTTCATGCGTATTTAGTTGCCAAAGTACTTGACGTTAAAGTTCTCGAAGATACGATACGATGAAATATATAAAAAGGCGTGAAGCTATGTTAACTAAATCTTAATCGTAGTACGACAACCTCATGAGTTTGAAGATGTTAGAAAGTGCAAAATAATAACATGTCATAAACTAATTGGAATGTTACTCATTTCTAGGTGTTATATCGCTACGGTTACGAAACTATCTGTTAGTTACTGCTTAGAGGCTACTTATTATTACATAATAACGTTTATTAAATTATTATTTTAATCATTATTTCGGTGAATTTTCATCGTACCCAACTGTGACCTTTCAGCTGTACTGGAAGAAGCTGTCGTTCTACCTTCGACCGCATCTTCGATGATGAAATCGTTTTCCGTCTGGAACGACTGTGTAGCATCCTTGCGATGCTTTGAAATCTCCAGGACTAAGGCAATTTTTGATTATCTTAATGAACTTTTGCTCGTATTAAATTGATCGAGTACCTCTATAGAAAAATTATTGTCGGTCCTTAATGAGTAACTGGTAAATGTTAAGATTTATTCAAATAAAAACCGGCCAAATGCAAGTCCGATTCGCGCACGAATGGTTCCGTACTTATTATCTATAAAAACGGCAATTAAATATTTGTATGGGAGACCCGAGAGAGATATATTTTTATTCTGTTTGTAAGTATTTCTTGTTACAACGGCAACAGAAATACATCATCTGTGAAAATCTCATCTGTCTAACTATCAGGGTTTATGAAATACAGCCTGGTGACAGACTACGAACAGACAGAGAGACAGCGGAGTCTTAGAAATAGGGTACCGTTTTACCCTTTGGATACGGAACCCTAAAAAGGCCGGTGCGATATAATAAAAAGAATTTAATTTATAAGAACGGCAGTAGACGTTTGGAATGGAAATACCTTGAAATAGTCAACATTTAATAATTTGACTGTATGCCATCGTAAACATGATTTACAGTCTTTTGTCAAACTTACGGTTCTCCACGCCGCCAATTCGTTGCAAGTCATTTGGTCCATAGTCTGTTGTATGTCTCTGAAATAATTAAAAGTTACTTATAGAAAATATTGATCAAACATATGGATTAGACTTGCCCCCTCACACTACCACGAAGTACGACCCTAATCCACCTGCATCCATCGACTTCCCGCACATTTGCACAGGTCGTCACTCCATCTAGTGGGGGATGGTCCCACACTGCGATGGCTAGTAAGAGTCTGCCCCTCGAGAACCATTCTTCCCCATCAGTTATCGCTGTTACAAGCTATATGGCAGGCCCGTTGCCACTTACGCTTATTAATTTCAATTATTTGATTGGTCAGGTATTCTGTTAGTGTGACTTACTTGCTCCTGCAGCTGAACACTGGACGAGGAGCCGACGAGACGCCGTCGTATGTCGCTCGCTGATATATCGTGCTGAGTGGTAAAATGAAAATTTGTATAAAATTAGAGTTTGTTTTCCAAAAAAAAAAAGGAAAATAAGATGATTAAGATTTGATTTACATACATTACCGTTTTGCTCAAGACATAAACGGATATCCATACGAACACTGTGGACAGTTTACTTAACTACTTTGCGTTAACTTCGGTCTGTTATTCAAATACAAATAGACCAAAAACCTTTTAATTGGTATTACACTTCAGCAGTTCGTCTGGTGAGTGAGGTAGACGGGGTCCACTTCATTAAAAGGTGGCAAAGCGTCTGCAACCCTGTGGGCGTTGCAAATGTCCACAGGCGGCGGTTATCACTTTACGGTGGTAGGGCCACGCAGCAGCCTCGGCTGTTGCACGAACGGACAGGCTCGTCCGGGTAAGTACCACGCCCTCACAGAAGACCGGCGTAAAGTGGAAGTATAATACTTTCGCGTTTCGTCTAGTGAGTGAGGTGGCCGGAGCCCAATTTTCAAAAGGTTGTCAACGCTTCTGCAACCCTCGGGTGTAGCAGATGTCTATGGGAGGCGGTATTCACTTAACATCAGGTGAACCGTCTGTTCGCTTGGCATCTTTTAACATAAAAAATTACATCAGATAAACCGCCAGCTCGCTTACCGCCTTCACACATGAAAAAGGCAATTATTTTTATTTATCTCAACTTCAACGCCACTTCAAGTTACGTCATACATTCGATCACGACCCGAGTTTTATCTGTGTTTACTTTTTTCCGTGGGTCACTGTAGATTAGTTTCCTTATGTCTATACGCCGTGAGCAACATAATGCTCGTGTCGCTTCAGCGCTCCACCTGCTCTATGTCCTGCAGCTCGAGCAGCGTGGAGTGGGGCGCGGTGCGCACGCGCAGCTTGAGCGTGGCGCCGTCCGCGAGCTGCACCAGGTGCTCGCCGTCCGCGACCGCTATCGGCGGGCACCAGTCGGGCCGCCGCTCCGCCTCTGCGAGTGACAAGTGAAATTACTCTGTGACGAATATATTGCGTGCACAATGATCGTAGTGTAGTGTAATAATAATAATAATAGCCTGGACGAATTTGCTCTTGTTAACCATTACTGCACGACGAAATTACTCTGTGTCGTATCAATAAAAATATAATTGTTTTTGAGCCATAGTAGCTGTGGCCGGGCGCTTGCTTTTAATTCAATATACTCGAGCAACCTGGGTCCAAATCTCGGTGCCATCACCAATGCAATCGTAATTTGAGTGCTGAATTAACACGTGTTTTGGGGTAAACGAAAGCATCGTGTGGAAACATGCATAGTTTGGAAATGTTTTTTTTTTATAATATATCATAACAAAAATATATTTCGAAGTAACGTGAACTCCGCCAATCCGCAGTGGGGTTGGGTGTCGGACTGTGCCCTAATACCCTCCATACAGAGTAGGCTTTTGCCCGGCAGTGGGACATTTATAGGCTGTTACTTTACTTTACTTGTTCTACTTTCCCCTGCCCTTATCCCATACTAGATGGGGTTGGCGCAACAAATCCTTTTCTTCCCCTTTCCTCCATCAGCCATCATCTCAATACTGACCTTTCACAGACATATCATTCTTCACACAGTCCAGCCAAATCTTTCTCGGTCTTCCTCTAGCTTTGCATCCATCAAACAGATTCATATTCATCACTCTTCTAGTCACTTGACTTTCATCCCATCCCCAACCATGTCAACTTAGAACTCCTTATTTTCTCAGTCACTGGTGGCGAGTATGCAAAAAATACTTAAATGCTCGATTCTAGTGGACTATGCCCCAATACCCTCTGTACGGAGGTTTTTTGGCCCGCGGTGCGACATTCATAGGGTGTGTCACTTTGCCTTTTTTACTTTACTTGTCACAGAGAGAGAGATCTCACCGGTGGCGTGGGCGAATGTGAGGAACGCGAGGGCGGGGGCCGCCAGCGGGTGCGGGGCGGGGGGCGCGGGCGGCGGGTACCGCGCGCAGTGGCCGGGCGTCGAGTAGTGCGTGCTCTCGCCGGCCGCCACGGTGCACCACCACAGGGCGCCGGCACACTCCGCCGCCGCCTGGAAACGACCACCACATCCACATCCACACTGGAGCCGATTCGACCTATCGCTACATGGTATAGAACAATGTCGTCCCTATGTATGCTTGGACCTTTAGAATTACGCAACGGAATTCTTTTTTTAATAAATAGAGTGATTCAAGAGGAAGATTTGTACGTATACATTGCACCCGTGCGATACCAGGGCGGGTCGCTAGTTTTTTTTTTCTCAACACATCGCTAGCATCTTCGAGGCGTTAGGCGAAGTGTTCAGTAGTTACAAAGTTTTTAAAGTTTTTAACGGTTTTAAGAGCGTCCTTATAGCAGAACAATGTTATCCCACAGCAGAGCGGTAATGTTTTCGAATGGAAGACTTCAATAGATTTTTCTACGTCGATGGGACTCACTGTCCGATACCTATCACGCGAAAACACCTTTTTTTTAACAACTAGCTTATTGCTATATGTTCACTAATGAGTGACGTCATGTTACCACCACAGGAGCGGAAGGGTCGCGGCCGATTTGCGCTGGGTCTGCGTACTGCGCTACGGCGAGTGTGGTGTTGGAGCGATTGTACAGCATGAACTGGGGGCAGGGGTCGCGCGCCACCATCACCTGCCAGCGGCCCTCGTGCTGTTGTTGCGTCACAACAACAGCGACCTAAACACGGGGGCACACCGTGCCTTAACTATGGCTATGACTAACTATTATAACAATAATAAAAATAAAATAATATCCTAAAAAAATAAATATGCAGTCACACATCGAGCTATGAAGAGAGCTATGCTCAAAGTTTGTTCGCGCGGCGAAATTCGATACGAGGATATTCGGCGAAAAACCGAATGTAGCGACATAGCTCGTTCGAATAATTGATCTTCAAGGCTTCTTAATGGTGGACCGAGTACATCGTAAGAGTTGCGGGCAAACGCTGTATGCATGAAAAAGTTTCGGCGAGTTATGGCGTTCGAGTGTGGGTTGTTGTATTACTGAAAGTTGAATATGACGATGATATGGTAGGGTCCCGCAATGGTTTTTGTCGTTGCACAAATGGGCACGACCTCACCAGAAGAGGACCAGCGTTAAGTGAATGTTTTATACTTCTGCGTTTGGTCTGTTGAGTGAGGTAGCCGGGGCCCACATCACTAAAAGGCGGCGAAGCATCTGAAATCCCAAAGGTGGTGCAAATGTCCATGCGCGGCGATTATCACTTAACATGAACCGTCAGCTCGTTCGCCACTTTCCCACATATTGTGTGATCTAACGTACACTCACGCAAAAACTTAAACTTACTTTTAACTTGAAATAACTGAAAAAAATTCAACGCCACGGTAGCACCGTGAAGTCGGGGTAGCTTGTCAGTGTCGCGCATCACTGCCATCATTTTCCCGCCAAAAGGAGTTCGTATAGCCTCGAAAAGAAAAAAAAGTCGCGCCCACCGATCGGTCGTTGGCGTCGCGCAGGGCCAGTGCGCGTCGGGACGGCGGCGCGGCCAGTCGCACCGGCGCCGCCGCGCCGCCCGCCAGCGAAACGCACGCGAACGCGCGCGCGCACGCGCCGGCCCGCCAGCGGCCCCACACCCACGCGCGGCAAAGCGGCACGCCCACCTCCTCGCCCCTGCACGTGCACCCACGGGGGCTCCCGTCAATACGCGAACGAGACCGTACCGCGGAAACGCTCACACACGCCGTCACACCATAAAGCAGCGTGTTCGAAAGAACACGAGTAATAAAGCATTACGTAGTCTTATCACAAACAACCATGGCAAAATACGAGGGGATAGGACTGAGTTTTCTAAATACAGTTGTGTATTAAACTAGTTAGGAGGCCAGCAATCATCATCGTCAGCATCGTCATCAGCCCACTACCAGGGCTCGTCCCTCTTATGCCATTTACCTATCTCGAGCGGATCGGTCTTATTCGGTCATTAACTTAAGGAAATATTTTGTTACTATTATATTATTTTCATTGTAATTATTAATAAAACTTCTTCACAACTGACCGCCGTGTAACCAGAGAAACACAAAATAGAAAAAACTAGAGGTTTGCAATTTTCGAACTTACGCGCCGAACATTGGCGGAAAGCTACACAATAGCGAATATTAAGAATGCGCGGAAATAATGAGAATCAGGAAGGTGGATGGCAAGAATACACCCGAGCGGGATTAGATGACTGACCTGCACAAAAAAATTATATGCATGTGGGCATAGTTCATTCGTACGGTACACACTTTGGTACGGTACGGTGCGCAAAAGCTCGCTAGCTCAGTATCGTACTTCGTAGTAGTCTGAGAGTGATGACAATATTCAGCAGTGGACTCTAACCGGCTGAAATATTGTTGTTGATGATGATGATGATGAAGGCCTATAGACGAGGTATCTTGCCTATATCTATTTTATTCAACTTTATTTTTGACGCGAACGTATATGTCGTACCCTCATTTGTAATCGGACAGTTTAATAATTTTTTTGGAAACGTAAAGTCAACTAAATGTCTACTCACGGTTCAACATGAGACAATGCATCAGATTAATTGTATTAAAACATGCATCGTACCCTTCCATTATAGATGGTGAAATAACTTTGAAAGTTTTCGGCTTGAGCACAACCTCATCGTCTGAACCCTCTGGAACTGCAATGGTTGACACCTGAAAAGAAAGGCAACGGTAGATGACACATATCATTATGGTCGTTTATTTGATTCCCGCAAGGGACAAGTATTTGTGTGACCAACAGAAAATTGTTCCAGACCAGTGTTTATTCCCAGGGAGGGTTAATGCCAGTCAGTGATGATACATATGATGCGCCCAACCCACCCAGGTGGGGTAAGAAATGTATGGGCAGGAGAAAGAAGATATAGTAACCATTCAATTTCATTTTGAACAAGTACTGAGCATACGATGCGGTGATTGTCAACGTCATAAAAATGTCAGAAAAAATAAAATCGAGCGCGTAAATGATGAAGTTTTCAACTCACCATAATATCCGTGTCCATTTTGTTTATTAGGACATACGTCGATGTGATGCCCAGAACGTTTATGTCTTCCTTTATTTCGTAGTACATCGTGAGCAACGCGACCTGCAAAAAACCGTAAGCGTACAGACTAGCTAGTTTCACATACTTATTTTGATCTTAATGAAGACCGTTTTTACTGGACGTTTTCAATGTATCTACGTAAAGTGTCATGGGGTAAAGAGGCCGTGGAAAAGCTGCAAACTTCTAATAGCTTAATGTTCAATAGTCGCGGAAATGACACACGCGTGCTTTGTTCAACAGGGCCCCCGCCGAACCGCTTGATAGTTTGTAATCGCCTCTGACGAAAGGATTATAGAAGCTATACTTCTTTTGGCGCGTTTGGAAAAAAATATGAGAGCAACATTTGCGCACGCAACTGTAACCAATTTAGTCCACGACGGTATCACCGCGGCAATAATTATATGTGTTAATGAATACCTATAATTTCAAGTTATCTATTGCATTTAATGTCTTTTTCAAAAAGTACAAAGGAAGTATCTACTTCTTACAGTGGATAAAATATTTAGCTTTTTTTTTCTTTTGTTACACTAAAGAAATGCAACTTCCTACGTGCGTACATAAGTACACACTTAATTCCCTTTTTAGGGTTCTGGACCCGAAAGGTAAAACGGTTACCTATTACTAAGAATCCGCTGGCCGTCTGTCACCAGGCTGTATCTCATGAACCGTGACAGTTAGGCAGTTGAAATTATCACAGATAGTGTATGTCCGTTGCCGCTATACCACAAAAAAACTAAAAAAACAGAATAAACACTTTAATTAGGGCTCCCATACGACAGACATGATTTCATTTTGCCGTTTTTATAGATAATGGGTACGGAACCCTTCGTGCGCGAATCCGACTCGCAGTTGGGGGTTTTTTGATTTCACGACAGTGCAGGGTTGCCACCTTCTGGTTGCAGTGTATGGCGATGTTCGCGCCGTGGTCCAGGGCGAGTTGGCCGGGCGGCGGTGCGCCGTAGCGGCCCGGCTCGCGAGCGCTCACGCTCAGCGGCTCGCTCACGAACGTCTCACGGCCAGCGTCCAGCGAGAGGAAGAACGGTTTCTGAGGGCACAAGAGAACGCATTTACCTATTGGTTTGTTCACGCTTTATAATAGAACACCAAATAGTTACGAAATGGAGAAATGGTTTAGCTTTGAGCTATTTTCTCTTTTCGGAAACATATTGTGTTATTCTATCATGAGAAATATTTTTGAATGTCAATCTTAGATTTAGTTTAGTAATTTGTGCTCGCTCTGGTGGCGTTACCGTGAGCAGCGTGGAGGGTGGTGAGACCGCATGGCCGGGCTCGAGGCGGCACAGCGGCACGGCGTCATGGGCCCGCAGCGTTAGGGCTAGGGGCGCGGCGTTGACCAGCAGCGCCGCGGGGCATAGGCGCGCCTCCAGGGCGCACCCGCCCCCCGCCCGCACCGCTGCGTACCGCACCTGCGCGCGAACGGCTCTGGCGTAATTTACAATCTCTACGGCTATCTTCGCAATGGTCAGTGTTTTGCAAGGAGAGCTGTTAACTCTAATAATGCGTCGATGTTGGCCAACAAAATCGGCGTTGAAAGTTTATTATTTTACTTGCATATGATCAAACGAATAAAATGTCTAATGATGTAACGAAAAGAAAAAGAACATTATTAGGCTTTTTTAAGATTATTTTTCTCGCTGTGTTAATATTGGGCTACAACCTCTTCGGAGAGTACATACATAATTATCCTTATATTTTATTGTAAATTAATTCCGATACCAAAGAAACCTTGTCATTAAAAGCGAGGTAAAGATCAAAATGAGCCACAAGTGTTGTTATAGGCAACATTCACATCGCATCGTATTTTCCTCCAGAACCCGTCAACTTACCGTGACGTCACAGCGGGGCTGCAACAGCGCCGGCTGCCAGGTGCCATGCCAGTGACTTCGCACCAGCGTGTAAGGCCACTCCGATTCCGCGTCCCGGCTCGACTGCTCAAGCCTGCCGTACACAAATATCTTAGTTCGACATCATCGTCAGCATCATCATTGTGGCCTGTTCGAGTCCATTGATGGACATAATGCCAGACTGTTGAGAAGCTCGATCTTGAGCCATCTGCATCCGTCGAATTCCTCTTATTTACCCCACCGTAATTGCTTAAGCTAAATATAATTCGTCCCTCCCCCCCCTCCCCATAGATTCAACCACGTGCAATAAGCAGGCTACTATAAACTTCTAATATATTACATCATTGAAAATTTTCTGAAACTATTTTAGCTGTAAGGAATTTTCGGGTCGATTCCACTAATTTTCAACCAATTAAAAGTAAGGTAATAGACACTTTCTCCCTCAATATTTAGTTTTTCCTAGTACCTCCTAAAATATACAATCTCCAAAGGCGAGTAGAAAATTTTAATAACGTTGTACAAGGAAAAAAAAAACGGGGCTATTGACAAAATTTAATTAAGCTAAACCATTATTCGGAATGAATTGATTTGTGTGACTCCGTGACGCAGTCGCCAAGTTATTGGAGCAAGGGGTCGTGGGTTCGATTCCCAAAAGGGACAACTATTCATCAGACAGTTGTTTCGCATCTGGTTGCTTGTCGACGTGGAATTTATGTTTGTAAAACGTCCTTACAACACAGGGCATCTGGAACCCTGTGGTGTAGCAGATGTCCGTGTGCGGTGGTATTCATTTAACATCAGGTTCACTTCACTACATAGTATAAAAAAAGTCGTCGCTGTCTGTCTCTATGTACGCAACGGATCTTGATGCGGTTTTCTTTACTAGATAAGAGTGATTCAGATGAAGGTTCATACGTATAATACATAAAATGTAATCCTTAAGTAAGGGCGATGTTTGTAAAACAAAAAAGAGTTGTCTGTACCAGAGGCCGATGGCGTCCAGCACCTCGTCGATGTCCCGGACGGGCGCGCACTTGTTGAAAACGGACGTGTCGGTGACGCCGTAGTGCAGCGGCACAGCGTCCCGCGTCACCGGGCACTCGATATTCCTGGACGGGAAACGCGAACGTTACAGTTGCATTAAATTTTGGCGGTGGTGGGCAGGACTATACGCATAAACTATAGAAATTTATCTCTATTTTTGGTAGATGTGTTCTGACAGAAGTTTATATAATAAATAAAAAACATAAGATAATAGCGGAGAAATGTTTGTGTCGTTCACTTTTTTTATTTTCCATCGGGTCCCCAAATTTGTGTGCCCCAGGGCCCGGATAAGGCCTAAGGTGCCATTGGTGGTGGAGGTCCAGGTAAGTGCCCTGACCTCGCAGGTGACCGCCGTGAAATGGTAGCTTTGTACTTGCGCGTTTCGCTTGGTGAGTGAGGTAGCTGGGGCCCCACATTGCTAAGGGTGGCAACGCATCTGCAACTTCTGGGCGGCGGTTATCACTTAACATTAAGGTTAGGATTAATAATACGGATTTCGTAGTTTTTTAAAAAAATTGTACGTGTGTGTACATTGTAGTAAGCGATTTAACAGAACAATGCAATAGATAAAACAGACTTTACACCTTTATACCTTTATAGTACATAAAACGCAGGTAGGAAGCAAAAGTTTAGAGGGACATTTTCAAGCATATCTGCAATCTTTGGATGATAGGAGAGTCAGTGGTTATTGGGCTCCCTATAGTGACGAGGAGATGGGATAAATACTACGCTACTATTATATACAATATTTATTATTAAATCTACAAGATACGCGCATGACAGTGTGCGTTCGCTAGCTACTCGCGATGAACTGTACTGCGCTGCACAATGTAAGGCGCATGGGGCGTTCGACTACAATATCGATTCGTCATATGCATTTGGGCGGCCGACCTGTATTTGAAGGTGAGGCTGTGGCGTGCGGCGGTCGTGCCCGGCGCGGCGACGTGGATGCTGGCTCCGCGCCCCGGCGCCGTCTGCACCACGCCCGCACTCTGCGGCAGCGGCTGCCCCTCGCTCCCGTCGCCAGGCTCCGTGCCTATCATCACCTGGACACAAATCACTTTTTAATGCCCGGTTCCTGTATTCAACGAACGGCCGTTGGTTACATAGCTTCCTACCTAACGGCCGTTCGTTGAATATAGGAATCGGTCATTAATCATAACGTTCTATTGACATTAATTGTAGAAAAAATTTTCCGCCGCTGTGGCACATCTACCGAGATCGCGCCCAGACGCTTTAGTTCACTAAGCAAATGATGGCAATAAGAAATTTATCGAACAAATATATTATGACCTTGCCTTTTATTCTTTTTAAAAAACATTGAGTGCACTCCAGAAACGGATTATACAACTTTGTAAGAATCCACATATAAGTCGTACATTGACGAACATAACTTGTGCTGTATCGAAATTAAACTCGCTGACTGTGGCTTTGAGGCCGAAAACTTAGCTACCGCTGTGTTTGGAGCAATGTCCAGTTTCGACTCGAGAACCGAATGGGCGTAATATGTTTTATTGTCCACTATTATCATAATTATTACCGGTTTAATGTCTTTACTCATAACTAAATGAACGCAGTGTTAATCAGTCGTCTACGACGATCCCACAATGAGTACTATCTATTAATAATCACAAATTGAAAATCAACTCTATCTCTCTCTTATCTTGCTCCTCGTGCAGTCCCACACCCAATAGGATGCGGTACTGTCCCCAGCCTATGGTGTCTGGTCAGTGAAAAAGTGGAAATACCTGAAGTTAGTAATACGCAGACCTTCACGCATAGAGCCGGCAATAGGTGAGGGTAGTTTTTTTTTTGACGTTCAATTAGAGTTCAAGTTAATCTTATATTGACAATAAAAAAATCGTACCTGGTGGCAGTCTATGGGGGAGGCCTATGTGACGATATATACTGTAGAGTCAAACAGGCTGAAATGATGATGATGATGACAATAATAAAAAGTGCGTGGAGTCCTTTCGCGCGGAAGAAGTGAAAGTTCGAGTGAAACGCATTCACTCTCGCTCTGTCTCTTTCTATTCACCCTCCCCAGGAGCGTTGAACGTTTAACGCAGCAGTGCATTCATACCCCCCTCCCCCCCTCCATGGTAGCGTTAAACGTAAAACGTTTAAACGTTTAAAGCGTTTTACGCAACATTGTTGGGAGTCGCATTAGAAGTTTCACTTCAAATAGAAGAAAGAGAAAGTAGAAGAGCACGCACATCGGTGTCGAGCGGCAAATGCGAGCGCAGCACGTACAGGGGCCACAGAGCGGCCAACAGGCGGCCGTCAGTCTGGGCTCGCGTCACGCGGCACCACACCGACACGTAGGCCACCTCCCCACCGCTGGGCACTGCACGGCAATTCGCCACGTAAGCAACCGTCCCATCGAAACCACAGTCTCACATATAAGAGTTTGTGTTTAATGTAAGAACATGGCAAACTAGATGGCGCTTCAACTGATGTAGGTGATAACCGCTGCCTATGGATACTTGCAACACCCGTAGGGTTGCAGATGCGTTGCCACCTTTTAATAAGGTGAGCGCCGGCTACTTCACTCAACAGACAGAACGAAGAAGAAATATAACACTGGTCGCGGTACTTTCCCGGACGGATCAGCCCAATCGTGCAACAGCGAACCGTTGCGTGGCCCTACCACAGTATAACATGCATAGTATAAAATAAAATCGTCCCGCTGTCTGTCTGTCCCTTTATATGCTTAGATCTTTAAATTGCGGTTTTCTTTAATAGATAGAGTGATTCAGGGGGTAGGTTTATAGTTATAATTTATACAATATATAGTAAAAAACACTGATAGTTTTAGAGGTTTCTAATGCGATGCCAAAAACAAACATTCAGCTTTGCACTTGTGCGATGCCGGGGCGAGTCCCTAGTAACCAATATAAAGGACATAACTTGTCTAAACACTCGAAACGATTGTCGTGCATACAGCCCCTGATATGTGCCGTGACGGCTGTGTCCGGGCACACGCTTTTTATTTAATATACTCGAGCAACCCGAGTTCAATTCCGATTGCGTCAAAGATGATAGCCATGCATGCGTATCTCAAGCGCATTGCACCCTAACACTATAATTGTTTCATGTACATAATATTTCCTATAAATTTGGTTTACAAAAATAGCAAAACGGAGTACAAATTACACGTCATACATCACCCCTCGATCGCAGCGCCATCTGGATATTTCTTCAATAATGGAGTTCTCTTGAGTTGCTATTAAGATTTTATCTTAACTACTAAACTTGTCCTTGCGATATTTCGATCCAATGTTTCCTCAATACAAATGAGCTTTTATTTTTGTACTTTGTACTTAAATAAATGTCTTAACTTATATGAGTCAGGCACATGGTCGCATGGAGTAGTGGTCACTTATATTTCGGCTGCGTTCCCGGACGTCATATACTGCTACTAGTGCTGCTTGTCGTTATAATAGTAGTTAATATTCAAGTTCAGCAATAGTTAGATATATTAGAATCAAAGTAATAACGTTTGAACACTTATATGTCACATCATTATCAATAAAAATTAGTTCACCTTTGACCAGCCAGGGCACATTTTCTTTTGGACATTCCTTTACAGGAATATCGCCGGACCAACCCGTGTCATGTGAGACGAACTTCACTCTGGAACAAAGCCAATATAATCTAACAAACTGTTACATATTTTTATTCTAACATATTTAAAATAAACATCAAATTAAGTTAACGATTAAACGTTTTAAAAGAGACCCTGTAACTGATTGGTTCTCGTTTTTTTCTAAAGATGCTTACAAAGACGATTCTTTGTGTAAGTTCAAAAGCAAGCGCAACAGCCTATCACAGCACTATTGGACGTGATAGGTGAATCGACTGTGGTAGAGCCACGCAGCAGCCTCGTCTGTTGCACGAACGGGCAGGCTCGTCCGGGTAAGTACCACGACCTCACAGAAGATCGGCGTAAAGTGGAAGTATAATACTTTCGCGTTTCGCCTGTTGAGTGAGGTGGCCGGAGCCCAATTTCAAAAGGTTGTCAACGCATCTGGAACCCTCGGATGTAGCAGATGTCCATGGGCGGCGGTATTCACTTAACATCAGGTGAACCGCTCGCTCGCTTGGCAACTTATCACATAAACAATCAGAAAACAAGTACCAAAGTACCAACCAAAAATCAAGTTAGTGTGATAAAAAAAATAATTTTCTTAGCAGTGAGCCCTTACTTCAGAGCGAGGTCGGCGGCGGAGTCGACTAAGAGGGCGGGGCCGACACGCTCCGGGTGCAGTTCGCCCGCGCCCACCGTGCGCCACTGTTGCACCGGACATCGGGCGCGCACCTGGAAGCGGACGCGTACGGTTCGCAAGAAAATTCGTTGGAGTGAATGTGTTGGTACCGTAGAGTGCAAAAATAAAGCTAGTAATACTGTATGGTCGCAATAACTGCGGTTCGGTGTACCGTCGGGTGCAACGTCGCGTTGAGGGCAAGACGTAGAGCGACCGGTATCGCACGTGTACCGTCGAGTGCAAAAATACAGCTGGCAATACGGTGGCAATAATTGCGGTTCTGTGTACCGTCGCGTGCAACGTCGCGTTGAGGGCAAGACGTAGAGCGACCGGTATCGCACGTGTACCGTCGAGTGCAAAAATACAGCTGGCAATACGGTGGCAATAACTGCGGTTCTGTGTACCGTCGCGTGCAACGTCGCGTTGAGGGCAAGACGTAGAGCGACCGGTATCGCACGTGTACCGTCGAGTGCAAAAATACAGCTGGCAATACGGTGGCAATAACTGCGGTTCTGTGTACCGTTGCGTGCAACGTCGCGTTGAGGGCAAGACGTAGATCGACCGGTATCGCACGTGTACCGTCGAGTGCAAAAATACAGCTGGCAATACGGTGGCAATAACTGCGGTTCTGTGTACCGTCGCGTGCAACGTCGCGTTGAGGGCAAGACGTAGAGCGACCGGTATCGCACGTGTACCGTCGAGTGCAAAAATACAGCTGGCAATACGGTGGCAATAACTGCGGTTCTGTGTACCGTTGCGTGCAACGTCGCGTTGAGGGCAAGACGTAGATCGACCGGTATCGCACGTGTACCGTCGAGTGCAAAAATACAGCTGGCAATACGGTGGCAATAACTGCGGTTCTGTGTACCGTCGCGTGCAACGTCGCGTTGAGGGCAAGACGTAGAGCGACCGGTATCGCACGTGTACCGTCGAGTGCAAAAATACAGCTGGCAATACGGTGGCAATAACTGCGGTTCTGTGTACCGTTGCGTGCAACGTCGCGTTGAGGGCAAGACGTAGATCGACCGGTATCGCACGTGTACCGTCGAGTGCAAAAATACTCAGTAATACAGTCGCAATTACAACGTTGCACGCGACGGTACACCAAATCATAGGTGGCAAGACATAAAGCTAATCTATACGAAGTACCCCTAGCACCCCGCGTTTCGGTGATCTAACATTCGAATACATAACGGAAAAAAGTTGAAGGATGTCTTGGAGGCTGAAAAGCAAGAATTAAGAATTTGATTGATTAATTCAGCTAACCACTATAAAAAACCAGTGTTCCGGATATCAGGAGTCTTAATGTTTTTCAGTGGGCAATATGAGGATTTTCGCAAAGAGTTTGTAAAACTAAAAAATCCGCTCGCGACCATCACTTCTGAATTGGAATGTATAAGAAAAGAAAATAGTGTAGTACGAGCGAGTTTGTCGAAAAAACAAGACCTACTTCGGCGAGGTGGATTTCTAATAACCATTTTTTTACTAACGAAAAACTAAACCGACTACAAATATCTCGCTCTGTATTAATTTCACAATTGATTTTCAGGAGTTCCCAAGTATCTCCGGAGCCCAAGATCCAATACCAACGAAATACGCGACCGCATGGGGAGTACGAGCTTTCAAAAAAAAAATCGCTCAGTCGAAGGTCCATCCAAGGTGACCAAAAGGACAAAAAAAATACAAAACAGTCGAATCGAGAACCTCCTCTTTCCGAAGTCGGTTGAAAGCATTATGTACCTTGTAGAGTAGCGTGTGGCGCAGCATATTGGCCAGCGTGAGGCGGCCGGTGAGCCGCATCGTGCGTGACGCGCCCCGCTCTGTCACGCGCGCGTACAGAAATACGCCCGCGCCAGGCGCCGAGCCCGCTCCGCCGCCAGAGGGCGCGCACGCGGCCGCCTCCTCGACCCGCACGCGGTACGAACCCTCCGTGAACGGAACGCCTGTCACCAGTACATCACTACTTAATATAAAAACAAAGTCGTCCCGCTGTCTGTCTGTCCCTTTATCTTTAAAACTACGCAACGGGTTGATGCGGCTTTCTATAATAGATAGAGTGGTTCAAGAGGAAGGTTTATAGGAACTCATGCATGATATAGTAGAGAAACTGATAATTTTGGAGGTTTCTAACGCGTTCTCGATAACAAACATTCAGCATTGCACCCATGCGAAGCCAGGGCGGGGCGCTAGTATATATTACTTTATAAATATATAAATAACCAAATGAATATCGATCCGTTTATTAACTCACCGGCGATCGCCGTCATTACTAAATGCCACTTTGATACATAAAAAATATTAGCTTTATTCTATTATAACTCATGACTACTTGCAAGAACAGCATTGTCCTCCTATGCATTTTTCAACGAACATAGTTTAGTATTCACTTAATGTATTTATTTTTTCAACCCAGTACTTGTAAGCTTGTACCTAAATTGGATGACTTTGACCCCTGAGTAAATACTTAGTTTAAATAAATTTCTTTTCGTTTATTTTAATCTTTACACACTGCACTTTTATAGAACAAAGAATCACATAGAAGCTAACTATGTGATTCACGTGATATAAACTGGATAAGTTTATAAAACTATCTACAATAAGAATAGTTTGACACGTTGGTAGTACGCAATCTCTCCTTTATTTAGAATACTTTTATTCATTTTATTTAAAATAAGAATATTCTTTTTTTAAAATAGTTACGTAATATTTTTTTTTACGTAATAATTTTAAACATTTAAAGGAACTGAGTGAAGCTTACTGTTCGACCAGCGCCAATCGGCTGAGGGGTTCGCCAACGAAAATCGGAGCATTTTCGTTTCGTATGGTGAGCGCCACCTGAAATAACATTTTGAAATGACATACAAGATATATGCCAACTTTTTAAAAAATGACATTACAAGCCACGCATTAGTTTTAAGACTGAAAAGAATTCAGCAGAAAGAAGTACAGCGTAAAGTAAAGAAGTACACTATCAGCGTGTACATGTCCCACTGCTGGGCAAAGGCCTCACCTGTACAGAGGGTATTAGGGATTGGTTCACCATGCGGTCCCATATTGGTGCTGAATGGCAGACTTACGCATATTTTCAAGACTTTTTTTTGTGATTATTTCGCAAACACATGCAAGTTTCTACACGAAGATGCGGCACGTGATACCACAGCAATTAAAGTTAACAATATCATCGGTGCTGGCGCGGGGATTTGAACCCGGGTATAATGAATTAAAAGGGAGTGTTCGTACACTGCGCTATCACACTCAGGTTAATCGGGTATAATGATTCAAGAGCGTGTGATGAACCCAGCCGCTGAGCTATCACGGCTCGTAAAGTATGCTCCGGCGAATGCCAATACCTGTAGGCGAGAACGGCTGCGGGGCCGAGAGGTAAAAGTTCGTCGGTGGCGTGTTGGGAAACGCGCAGCGCGGACGCGCATTCGTTGTGCAGCCAAAGCGACACGCGCCCCAGTAGTTGCAACTTCAAATCCTCGGCGCCGGTAGGGCTGCCACGCGCCTCCGGCCCCTCAGCTGCCCCGTTCAATATGTGCTGTGTGCAACAACTCCGTGAATATTCCGATGCGACAACCTGAAGGGTGTAAACGCGAACATAGGAGCAATGCAGCGAAGACGCCGTAATTGTGAAGTGCTCTCAATCGAACATTTACATGCTCTTTGACCAATTGGTCCAGGGTCGAATTGGTATGGCGCAAAAAATAAGAGAGGCGTTAATATTACACCGCCTGGTGGTGCGTGGCGATGCAGCTGTGTCAACATTGTCCTGAAGACATCCATTTAATATCCGAACGTAGAGACAGGCAGCGATATATTGATTCAATACTTTGCCGTGCGTACACTACACTCACCAAACTTTGGAAGGTGGATGTTATTTATCGCCTATCGTTGGCCCCCAGGTGGGTCGCAGTGGGTAGACGTGCCACAATCCTGGCATCAGATAATAACAGCCGTTTAGAATGGTATAGTATTAATAACCAGCTGGTAGGCGTGCCGCCAGTCGTCAGCCAGTGCGAGCAGCGTCCTCAAGCGGGTCCCGTGCAGCGATACGCGAACCACGTCCGCACATACGCGCGCCCGCCACGCGCTCGTGGCCGGCTGCGACACCGACAGCTGCACGCGAAACTCCTCCAAGAAGGTCTTCATCTCGCCCGTGGAACACTCCAGTACGTCGCTCCTGCGGTAATCAATCAAGTTGCAAATGAGCATCCCGTATCGGGCTGGAATATTTTCTTTGAATTGGAAGACGATTGCCTTTTTTTTTTAATTTATTTAGACCAACATTAAAAAAAAAAACACAGTAAAAAAAATCGTAAACGTTCCAACAATTACAGGAGAACACAGCTGTCTTAACATAAACTCATACCCAAATTAAAATAATTTACTACAAGTGTGAGAATGTAAACGAAACTAAAACTTTAATATCAGTTATAACATATTAATAACTTTGATGTAAATAATTAAGGCAGTTAATACTTATACATATCGTACAACAAATAATCTAAGATTGTTTATAGAACTCGCTATGATGAACTGTGGTAGGGTACCGCAGCAGCCTCGGCAGTTGCACTACTGAGCAGGCTCGTCCGGGTAAGTACCACGACCTCACAATCAGCGTAAAGTGGAAGCATAACAAACACTTTCGCGTTTCGTCTGGCGAGCGAGGTAGCCGTAGCCCAATTTTCAAAAGTTTGTCAACCAGATGCGTTGACAAACCCTCAATGTGTAGCAGATGTCCATGGGCGGCGTGCAGGTGAACCGCCCGCTCGGATTTAAAAAAAATGATTAGACAGCTGAATAGACACTTACGAGATCCGAGCGTCGAGCAGACATCGACGCACTGCGGGCGCGCCCAGACGCAAGTGGGCCTCAGCGTCGTAGAGCACTAATGCCAGCACGCGATGGCATCGCCGCAGCGGACGCGACACGTAGTAGCCCTCCAGGCAGCTCAGCTTCTCACTGCAGATTGACGCATCCATTTTTATCTATTGTTAAGCCATTAAACGGCGCGAGAGGAAATCTACTCGGACCGATCCATTCATCATCTCATTCCGGATTATATGGCGAGAATACTTTCCAACGGTCTCAGGTAATATTGAGAAGCGGTTGTTTGTTATTATTCGAAAATATGCAGGTTTACTCAAAATGTTTTTCTTTACCGCAGAAAACGTGATGAGTCAACACTTAAAATTAACGATTTCATTGGCACCGGCACCAGAGGTTAAACTCAGGCTGCTCGAGTATATTAAATTAAACGCGAGTGACCGGACACTAACGACTTTACAGAAGATCGGCGTCTAGTGGAAGAGTTGTGAGTGAGGTAGCCGGCGCAAACTTTATTGAAACCCTTCAAATATACCCACTAAAACCCCCTCGGCGGCCACCTTCTGTACGGGTTCCCTACGGGTGCTTCGAATGTCTACGGGCGGCGGTTATCACCTTTTTTTTGGTATCGGGGGGAAATCTTCAAAAGATAGATATACGTTTGGAGAGACTCCGGGATCTCCCACGGAACGCACCGGTGTCCCTCAGTACTGCGCGTGAGCACTCCCCGAAGAAGGATAGCTTCCCCGGTTCCCTCACCATCTTGCAGCAGCTCGAGACCACTTCGAACTGCTGCCAATCCGTGTCCCCTTTTAGTCGCCTTTTACGACAGGCAGGGAATACCTTAGCCCTATTCTACAAGCCCGCGACTCCAGGGCTGGGCGGTTATCACCCAACGTCAAGTGAAGCACACAGATCGCTTGCCACCGTCTCACATAGAGAAAGACGCACCCGCGTAGCCGCGGCAGGTCGTTGTGCAGGTACAGATGCATCGCGGCCAGGCGGAATGCGAGCCGCAATGGTGGCAGCCACCGCGGCGCGAAGTACGAATCCACGCGCAGCGCGCTCCACAGCTGCTCCGTTGACACGCCGCGACCCGCTTCCGCCTCCGCTCCCGCCGCCGCCCCTGAATCCACGCCCACCTCGGCGCCCGCCTCCAGCCCCGTCTCCTGCACCGGTACGAATTATGCTACTCGCGCCTTCCGTTCTATTCAAGTTGAAGGTACTTATGCACCATGCGATATGCGCGAAACGTCTCTGAAACAGTTTTGGTATCGCCTTCTAGTCAGCATCACAATTTATATCCCTTTCCTTCTCGTTCTCACTACACGCTCACCTACAAGTACCACGACGCGTTCTCAAAAATCGTATTTATTTAGTTTAGTGAAGGAACAAAACACGGAAAACTTAATGGAGGCGCGGTTGAATTAACTCGCAGTTAATTCAGTGCTAGTGAGAATACGTAACAAACTCAAAAACAAAACTATGGACTATGACTTTGAGTTTGAGTTTGATTTCACTAGATGGCGACAGGTAATGATATTAATGCAACAGACCTCGATAACACTCTCATCGGTTGAATATATGTGAATGTAATGGTGTATCCACTCACCGGATCGGGCCAGAAGGAAAACTTGTTGACGTTGAACAAGAACGGCGGCGGCTCCGGCTCCACGTCTGGGCACACGCGCACGCGCCACATCGTCGCGAACACCATATCTGGACACAACGGGCACTATTTAAACCGCGCCTCCTGAACACACCTTCGCACAAATTCATTCGGCAGTTTGGAGCACGGAACATGCATCGTTAGCAGGAAGATACCGCATTCTAGATTTAAAGCCCGTCGAATGTGGCATAGCAACCATGCCGGTGCGCTTGGCGTATCTCATACACTTCGCCACCGATGGTCATCTTCTCCACTCCCACCATATACTTCTTTGCTTTCATGACACTATTTCAAAGAATCTTTGCTTTCATGACACTATTTCAAAGGATCGTTTGTGTAAAAGAACACAATGTATGTACGAAGTTTACTGAGGCATTTTCATGCCTTTGTACAATTAGTCGCGGAAAAACAGTAAAATTGTGTAATAACTAAAAACTTTAAAATACTGCCTTCTGATACACACCTGAAGGTTGAACGTCGAGTTTAATTTCGCGGGGTTCGTTGGTTGGTAGACGGAAGTAAAGGTGCGGCTCCCAGCGGTTTAGCGTCGACTCGAACAGTTCCAGCACGCACTCGACCTCCTCGTCCTGCATCGTACGAATTGGGCATTTATAACACGCAAAAAGTACAGTGCATAAAAAATTTAGGTTGACTTTAAAGGTTTAATTGACGTCAACTTCCAAAGAACTTCACGCCGACATAATTTGGGCCTATTTAATCTTATTATTGAAGTTAAACACTAAATATTGCTATATATTGGAATTTGATGCAAGCCATAATGTTTATTCACATCTGTGAATGTGGCTTTTAAGGTTAAAACTCACTAAAGTAACTAAATATCGTTTACTAGGCGACGAACAAGTGGAAATATTAGCAAACTAAACGGACGAGTGAATGATTGAATGATTCGTTCAATCATGATTTATGTGTGTGTGTGTGTGTGGGAATTTGAATAGAACCTACGTACGTTTCCGGTCACGGACAAGGCGACGGGATGCGTGAGCGCAAGTGGAAATCATAGTAAATTGAACGGACGAGTGAATGGTTGATTGATTGAATGTATTTTAGTGAGTGAGTGGGATTGAACAGTACGTACGATTCCGGGCACGGGGAAGGCTACGAGACGCGTGAGGGCGCGCGGGTGCGGGTAGCGCCAAGCGAGCACGCCCGCTGTCGCGCGCACCTGGTACGCCATCGGCAGCTGACCACCCCTCAGCAGTTTGAAAGCGCCGCTCCTGAGCACGAGCGAAATGATTCATATAATCTATATCTTATCCTTTAAACGATATATATATATATATATATATATATATATATATATATATATATATATATATATATATACAATTGGAATCTCGGAAACGGCTCCAGCGATTTTCATTAAATTTAGTATGTGTGTAGATTCGGGGGTGAAAAATCGATCTGACTAGGTTTCATTTTTAGAAAATGTCCTATTATCGCTGTTTTCAGGGAATGAAAAATATAATTCGAATATGACGGTAAATTTCGCCGCAAGAGAAAATGTCAAAATAGCTCGGTCGGTGATCTGGCGGCCTGTGGTTCGCGTCACGATCATTTACACATTTATTTTTTTACTTTTTTTTTCGATTCCAGATCATTGCTTTCTTTATTTTTAATTTTTTGTCGATTTGTTATTTTGTTAATTTTTTCCCTTTTTTTTAAAGTTCTTTCTTTTGTGAAAAACATCAGTTCATATTTTCATATTACTACGTCGGTAAGATCGAAAAATATTACTCAGTAATTTGTATCTAAATGCAATTTCCAAAACACACGATTTACCAAAAAAAAGAACAAACCGAGCAAAGCTCGGCCCTCCGGGTACTAACACGTTTAACGGTGGTAGGGCCACGCAACAGTGCTCGCTGTTGCACGAATGGGCAGGCCCGTCAGGGTTGGTACCACGAACTCACACAAGACCGGCGTAAAGTGGAGGTGGTAGTGCTATACTTCTGCGTTTCGTCTGGTGAGTGAGGTAGCCGGGGCCCACTTCACTAAGAGGTGGCAACGCATCTGCAACCCTAACGGTGTTGCAAATGTCCATGGGTAGGCGGTTATCACTTAACATCAGGTGAACCGCCAGCTCGTTTGCCACGTTCTCACATAAATAAAAGTCCTTACACAATCTATCCTAATCTTTCCACTAGTATTCGAAATGGTAGCACTAATTCTCAAATATGTTCGGATCGATTATATTTAAGTGTTTAAATATGAAATATGTAATTTGTGTGGTAAATTTGGAAACCCTTATAAGAGAAGGTTCACAACTAACCGTATAAAACTCGATGCAAAAGTGACCGTTGATAAAGATCGTTACAATCTCGTACTTTTTAATTTTATAATAAAATCAAAGTAAGCTATAATAAAATAAACTACACAAACTGCTTCGAGTGTCACACTGAGATTTCTTTTAGCAATAATTCTCACCGTAAATCGTCTTTGTAGTAATGGTCGGTGATCTCTTCCAGCGAGACGTTTGATCCACTGGAAACGGTTGTGACCGATTTGGGGATCCGTTCTGATTCCACGCTAACCATAGATTCAGACTGTGAGTCCTGTTAACGTTATGTATGAATAATTAATAATGTATTACTAATAATTAAATCGTAATTTCGTATGTTAAAATTACATCTCATAAACAATGAGACACACAAAACTTTACAGCATCCAATTTAACTCGAGGCATTTTCAAACTATTTCTAAAATATTCTTCAATTTTGTTTTAGCTTCAACCGAATTTCCCCCTTTGTCCCGTTTTGTCACACGACACATAACTGTTTCACTATTTCGAGACCAATGGGATTTTAATAAACCAACTGGTCAGTACGCATGCTGTACCATGGTAAAAATTGTAAACAAGTAACAACAAAAACGCAGTACTGCTACCATGGTAAAAAATAGTCCTTTTAATTTTGTACGCATCAGGTACACAACTGCTCGTACCTGCGTACCTTACTAACGAGATTAATAACAGCGTTAACAGCAATACAATACGATCTTGACAAGAATCTATAGCCATATAAGTTAATATACAGCCGGAGTACGCGGAGTGTGCGGCTTAAGGGCGAAATAGCTACGGGAGCAGTTAGGGTCACTTTGTCTGAAACATATTAAAAGTGAGTGTCTTCACGATGAGTCCACAGAAATAAAGCTGAAAATGGCATCTTTCGTTGATTTCACCAGTATTGGAAGTAGACTCTAGCACTGAAAGGAAATCATGAAAGTGTTAATATCTGGAGCATTGATTTCCTTTAATGCGTGTTTCTATACACGAGCTAAGTCTTAAGACCTTCATGACTTCATACAGACGACGGACACATTTGCCGGGGGCACTATTAATGCGATTTTACTACACGCCTCTCACTCGCGCACGTCTAAATGTTGCACTATGTGCTATTTTCTCTCTCGTTAGAGTAGTGCACTTAACATAAATTTTCTTCTCGCAATCTTTTATTTTGTCTTAGTAACAATGTCGCGCGTAGAAACAAGGAAGGGCAACTCACGTCAACAGTGGCCTGGACGACGCCCCGAAGGTGTTGCAGCGCGGCGTGCAACGCTGCCACGGACTCCATGTCGCCGGGCCGGAGCTCCAAAGTGATGGAATCCAGGTCCACCTCTGCGCTCACGGTGGGCCGCCGCGTCCTGCCACCGTCGTCCGACCGCCGCCACGGGTCCCACGTCGCCACCATTGCCATGCTGGAAAGTCAGTCGCACAATATGAATGTCCGAATCTGTGACTGAGATAGGTTCACGGAGCAGTTGCACGAATGGGCAGGTCCGTCACAGAATACCGGCGTGTAGCAATGAGAGACGTGGGCGCGCCTCACTTTATTAGAAGGTTGTAACACATCTGCACCCTATGGGTTTTGCAAATGTCCATGGGCGGCGGTCACCACTTAACAATAAAGTTAACTCCGCGTGTAGCAAAACCATAATCACTCCAAACACCTACTTGAAATACGAACATTATAATAATATAAACATAAAACTAAAAATACAAAAAAAAACAGGAATACAGTCGAATTGAGAACCTCCTCCTTTTAAAGTCGGTTAATAACGCCTTGCGACTTCGTTTATTGATGACTTATGCCCGGTTTCTATATTCATAGGAGTTAGTTTCATAGCTTCGTGACTTTCATAACGACTTGTAGGTAAAAGGCGTGGTCGCCCGGTTCCTGTATCAACGAAACCAGGCGTTCTCCTTACGAGCCGTTGCATTACCTACGGAAAGTGAGTTACTAGCGTTCGTTTAATCTACACGTAGTTATGAAAGTTACGAAGCCATGCAACTAACGGGCGTTCGTTGAATATAGGAATCGGGCATTAGGCCTTGCCACTTGATGAATTTAAACGAAAAATTAAAAGTAAACTTATGGCTAAAGTCTATTATGCTATTGCGGAATATCTTGACGACGCCAATGTGTGGGGTTAATACTGTTGATCTCACGTAGGCTAAAACAAGACAATTATAGCTGTACCATTATACTGTAAGCTGACGTTTTAAAACAGAGCAACCGTTGAGTTTCTTGCCGGTGTCTTCTCAACAAAAACTCCTTTCCGAACCGGTGGTAACTTACGAACGTGTGAAGTTCTTTGTAAAACGTTGACGTTACATAAGAACGCGCAAGCGTCTATGTGAATAAAGATATATTAATATTACCAGCTGACCCGGCAAACGTTGTTTTGCCGTATAAAATAGATGTTGTCCGATTCTCCACCCTGGCCGATATGCACACAAAATTTCACGAAATTCGGTCGAGCCGTTTCGGAGGAGTTCAATTACAAACACCGTGACACGAGAATTTTATACAGCGTGTCTTTACAATCGCGAAATAAATGAACATACAATATATAGAGGATAAATTTTTAAAATTGTATTAAACATTTACATTCTTTAAAAATCAATATTTACAGAGTTATTAAATTTTCCAAAATAAAGAATTTTAAAACACCCCTCCGTATAAAATTGTAACCGAAAATTCATTTGTAAAGGTCACAAAGCATATGAATGGGTTGAATGAATTTAAAAGAGACAAAAAATATTGTTAGAAGGAGAGGCTTGTAATGCGACGCTGTGGCAAGGATGGATAGGATGTTACAATTTTTTTTTCTTTTTTTACTTAATTAGTTCGTTTGAAAAATATATTTTTTAACGTTAATATTTTTTTATGATTATTGGCGAGTAGCGTTAGACGTGTGTTCATACATTCTCGCGATGGTAACGGCACGCTGTATATCGGACAATTATTAACCGGGCCGTACCCGAGCGTGGTCGGCAGTAGCAGGGGGCGGCGGCACTCGCTGGGCGCGCCGGCGGAGGCGAGCAGGGCGCGCACGAGCGCGCGCGCCGCCAGCCGCTCGGGCCGCGCGCCCCTCGTCACGCGCGCCTGCACCGCGCCCCACCCCGCCGCCCCCGCGCCGCCCCGCACCCCCACCTGCCCCGTCTCCACGGACACGCTGCTCAAGGAGTGGCGCGCTGCGCAACGAGTGCAGTGCTCAAGTGTACTCCAGAACAGTTAACACAACAGTTCGCCCTCGCCTCCGAGCACGGTGAGGCAACACAACGCGTGCACAAGGTACACGCGCGTTCCAGGGCTAACTTAGCTAACAACACATTCGAGGCCATCGAGGTCCCGGTCCGAAACGCGACCTCGATGGCCCTTAGATGATACACCGTAGTTAAATGCACGCATGAGCACATGCGTGGCCCTATCCACAGCGAAGGGCCCAAACCCGTGGGTTCTGGCTAGCCTACCGATTCTGCGTCAGATGAAGCTTTAATAGTCTCGGGACTGAAAGCAAAAATATCAGTTAATACGAGATACAATGTGTACTTCTTCATTCAATGTACGCACGGTTTGAACGTCGGATAAACTACAAACAGTTCACTAAACTAAGGCCTAGTTTAGTGAACCGTTTGTAGTTTATCCGACAGAGAGAAACTGAAAATTAGCTCTGCGGTTTTATTCTTTTTTTTTTTATATGATACAAAACCAGGCCTGTGCAGAGAAGGACCGCAGAATACACTGCGGGCTTGTCTTTTTTTTTTTTCTTTAAAAGATAAAAAATTGCTTAATTACAAAATCAGCGGCAGCCAGGGGACTTGAGAAAGATGCAATAGTATGCGAAAGAAGCGTAGCTCTACGTTAGCCATAAATAGCAGATCGTTTGTCCAGCATACGACGCCACACATCTGGCTTCACGGTGGTCACAGGAATCTTAAAGATCTCCGCAACTTATATCTATCTAAGCAATACTCTTGTGAGTTCAGTGGACCCATTTCTAGAAATCAGAAGTGAGATTCTTTAAATCGCCACAAATCTGAACGACAGCCTCTATTATGTAATACGAGTGCCAGTTAAACAGTCAAATTTATTTGAAAAACTGGTTATATACGCACTCATAAATTTCCGAAGTCTGTCCAAAATTGGGCCTCTTTCAATTTCTTCGGCGGCTACATTTTTTTCCTGACATATCATCTGCTTATTGACCTGAAAATAGGAAAGATACCTATAAATTAGTCTGCTGGTTCGAAATTTCATCGTAATTTCATGGGTATTGGTAAATTAGAATGATACCAGTTGCACGATCCGGTGAAGGCATACGAGACGGTCGACGCACAGGTCAAGTAATACTGGTCGTTCGACATCTAAATGCAGCGAGCCACATGCACTTCCGCCCGCTGTTGAACTGCCCACTGCAGACGCGGGCTCTGTTAACAAATCATTTTAATTATTACACATACATATTGTTTTATGAGTTATGCACGATGTAATTTTTAATCAACTATCTATTTAAGGTCATTTTTGATAATTTTTTTCTGTGGTAGGGCCACGCAACAGTTCGCTGTTGCACGAATGGGCAGGTCCGTCCGTTTCAGTATCACGATCTCAGCGTATCATCTGGTGAGTGAGGCAGCCGGCGCCTACTTTAGTATAAGGCGGCAACACAACTGCTGCCCTACGGGTGTTGCAAATGTCAATATGTGGTGGTTATCAGTAATCAGATGAGCCGCATGCTCGCTTGCCACTTTCCCACATTAAAAAAATATATTGGTACAGTCGCCTACTTCATCAAGAGCGAGTCAAGTGATTTATAAAGCGGCACGAACGAGAGCGATACCCTCTTCCCGTATATCTTATGTACCCGTTCCGTGTCTATAAATAAATAAATAAATATTTTAGGACACATTTTTACACAACACTTTCTAGTCCCAAACTAAGCAACGCTTGTACTATGGGTACTAGAAAACTGATAAACATACTTTTCTTTTGTAAATAAATACATATTATAGATATATAAACACCCAGACACAAGAAAAACACGTTGAAAGAAACATGTTCATCACCGAAATTTTTCCAGTAGTGGGGATCGAACCCACATCCTCGGGCGCAGCAGGCAGGTACACTACCGATTCGGGTCGTCGATCTATAAAGTCCGGCTACCTCATTTACCAGACGTAACGTAGAAGTGTGACGCTTCCACTTCACGACGGCCTTCTGTGCGGTCGTGATACTTAATGGGACGGACCCATTCGTGCAACAGTGAAGTTTGCTGCGTGGCCCTACCACATGATTACACAATTATGTAGTACATTGGTTCAGCTGCGGACATCGATATTGATTGTGATGGTGCGTTAGCTACATTAGTCATATCTCTCTCTCTCTCTCTCTCTCTCTCTCTCTCTCGCAACGGCTGTACTCAAGCGCAAATAAGTCATGTTATGAGTATGTGAGTTTATCGCTTACCGGCGTGCAGAGCCAGCTTGAGGGTGGCGAGGGCGGGCGGTATGTCAGTGTGCGGGTCGCGGGCGCCCCGTTCCGTGCTCAAAAGCGTTCGCCGGCATACACGCGCGCCCATCGACACGCCCAGGTCGAACAGCGACACCTGCCCTCAACGCAGACAACTTGTCTTACCAATACTTTGATACGAAATACCTAACTAGGCTAGGGGGTTTCGCAACGTAGTGATACAAAGGTATGTAGACAAAGATCCGGAACAATAGAATCTATGGGTCAAAAAAATACTTTTCTCATGCGGGATTCGAATTACGAACCGCGTCAATAGCTTAGCAAGTTCGCCACCGAGCCATATGTTAGCTTATCTAGCATAAGACAGCTCATCATCATCATCATCCTTCTGCCCTTATCCCACCTATGTAGGGGCTATATTTTTACGACCGGCCGCCTGCCTGACGTTAATCCTCCTTGGGACTCAAACACCAGATCCAAAAACATTTATATGTGCCTTACACAAACACTTTTTCCACGTGGGAATCGAACCGACGACCCCCGACGCTAAAGCCTAGATTGGCAACGGCGCCACCAGGTCATCCTTCCATCATTATGTCTTATTGTTATTATATTTAAGTCCAATGCATAATATTTAAAATTGTCGTAAAATCTTACCTGCAGTGTTTTCTCAGATGCCCTTCGCCAATAGTACAAGTTAGGCTGGTGCAATGTCACTTGGATGAGATGCAGTGTAGTCTCAGATTTCTTCGAGTGTGGCAAATTTAAGTTCTAGAAAAATATGTTAAATTGTGTCAGATTAAGTAACTTCAACTTACTCGTATGATTACCTATAAACTCTGCCACACATAAACTATGCCACAGTCGATTTTTCATTATATATACATATTGATTAACAATATATTGATATAATAAAGCTTACCACCAAATCGCGATGAACTTTCTCCACGCGTACTGGTTTTATACTGAACTGCCCCGACTCTGAGCTTCCAAGGGTCGCAGTATCCTGCGCCTCCTCCCGCCTCGTGTCCTTGCTTTCGTCTAGATCCGCCTGAAAACGTAAAAGTTACAGTTTTACGTTATAAGCGTGGACTACCGTAAATATACCGTTATAGGGATGTCGAAAAATTATTGATGTTTATAAAAAAAATTTGGATTCGATATATCGATATAAATATTCAATATCGAAAATGGTATCAAAAAACGATATTTTTCTAGTAAGGACATACGCGTTTTTTTTGGGCGTCGGGGTTTCTAGGAAAATATAGATATATATTTCTTCACTTTCGACATCCCTACTGTATAATACGAAATGCGTACATTCAGTTGCGGCTGATCGGCCGCTGGGCTGGAGGCGGCGGTGGAGGGGGCAGCAGCGGGGGCGGTGGCGGGGGGGGCCGGGGGCACGTGGTCCGGAGGGGGGGGGATCGCGCGTCCTCAACGGGGCCAGCTCCGGCGAGCCATCGTCCTCAGAGTACAGCGACGCCTCGATAACGCCCATCGTCACGAACACCTCAAGAAACTCCCACGGGTCCACGCTGTGCACACAAAGAAAGGTTACATAGGCATATAGTATTCATTTACCCATAAACGGGTGACTTCACGGTAAATTTTAAATCAACATTATTTCATTAGTAATCTAATGCGTTTCTGTTGTTTAAAAAAAATTATACATTTTAATAGGTTTTTTTAACTGTATCACACGTGAATGTACTTCCTTAACTAATGTTACCAGATTCGTATTTATCGCGTTTGATTAATAGGACACGGTAGAGAAGCACATTTCGGTTAGTAATATTCGCGTTTCCACTGAGTACCTTCAAAGTTACGTATTGATAATAATTTAAACGTGACATTTACAATTTTTAAATTCATTTGGCTCAAAATAAAAATTTGGGAAAATGATGAGCATAAATTTAACGATGCGCGCGCACACCGACAGATAAAAAGCGACACGATGAAGTTAGTTGCGAAGGGACTAACTTCACGGTATCACCATGGCAACCAATAACAAGTTTTTGACATTCACCTATAATTCCAATTTATTTAATTAAACCGTTATCCGTTGCATAAATAATGCCCCCTTTTCACAAACAAAGAGTTTCCTTGTTTTAAGCTAAAGTATAACTTACTCGTATTTGCGTACATAATACACACGTACTTTTCTTGCTCAGTTGCTCGTGTTAATCTCGCACTATTATATATCACTGGTGCTTCAATCCTTACGCCCGAGAGAGAAACTTACGCTTCGTCCGGGGCGATTGCGATGGAGACGCTCTTCTTGAGGGGCGGAGCGCCCTCTGCGGTGGGCTTCGGTGCGCCCTGCGAGGTGACAGAGTCGACGCCTGAGTCGGTAGCGCTGCGTGACGCTTCGGTTCTCGTCGACTCGCTTCTAGTCGCACGCGGTGCTATCGCCACGGAAAGATACAGTCGATTTGGGAGCCTCCTCCTTTTTTGAGTCGGTTAAATATTTCACATCGTGATCGGTATACGGGGCAATTAACTGTGGTAGGGCCCGTCGGAGAGAATCGTATCGGATGCCAGCTTTCTATTTTTCGTCGCTCGCTTTCGAGAAACTCTTCTCGTGAATCAAAAGGTGGCAACGCATCTGCAACCCTATTGATTGTTGCAAATGTCCATGAGCGGCTGGCTAACCGGATGGTTACCACTAAACATCAGGTGAACCGCCAGCTCGCTTGCCCTCGCCTAATATAAATAAAAATTGAGCGGGCGTTTCACCTAATCTATTAATTACCACTACCAATAACCAATCTAACCTAATTAAAAAAATAAAATTATTATTTCATTGCGTTAGAATCCACCGATGAACCACAAGCCCTGACCCACAGACTGCAACGTCCTGAGCCTAGCAACCTAGCTCACTAGACTTCTATTGCGTCTTTTTTTATCATAACTTCTCTCAATTAACACTGTACGGATATTAATCAATCAAATCGTTCATTGGAGAAAGCTTGGAGAGGCCATTGAGAGCGATATCTGAGTATTATCAAGCGTGCCGTATCAACCGTTCAAATCCCGTTCTGTGCTAAAGTTCTCCGTCTCTTTGGTGACCTTTCTTGGAACGAAGTCCGACAATGCACTCACGAGTAATGGCAACCGGGGGCGGCGTATCAGTGGTCGTACGCGGCGACTCTTGGCGTAGCCTGCCAAGGCCGAGGGCGGCGTAGGGGCACCGCGCCTCCTCCACCTCCAGCTCCACGTCGCGGCTGTTCCAAGAATTAATATACCTTAGATTTATAACGGATACGAATTTCTATTTTTTTTATGTGATAAAGTGGCAAAGTAGCTGGTTGTTCACCTGATGTTAATTAATAACCGCCGCCCATGGACATTTGGAAAACCCGTAGGGTATAGCAGTTGCGTTGCCACCTTTAAATAAAGTGGGCCCCGGCTACTTCACTCACCAGACGAAACGCAGAACACTCCTACTTTACGCCGGTCTTCTGTGAGGTTGTGGTAATTACCCGGACGGACCTGCCCATTTGTGCAACAGTGAAAACTGTTGTATTAATTTACTTAGAGTTTTTATGGTAAAAATGATCCCTAACGCTGTTTTCAATATTGAAAATATAGCCTAGAGGATGAGTCCTTGCGCCGATATGAATACTTAAAATCATAAGCTACTGCGCTAAGCAAGCAATGTGGATAAAAGAAAGGACGCGGAGTTAGTGGCAACCCTGGTCACCTGCGTGCGAGTGCGCGCCCCACGTCGTCCGCCAGGCGGGCGGCGAGCGCGACCTGCTGCAGGCTCAGCTCCAGCGAGCAGTCGGAGACCAGGTTGAACTCCAGTGCTGGGCCGCAGGCGACCGCGCCGCGCACCAACAGCGCCGGCGCCACCACGCACTCCATCTCCACGCTGGTGAACGTTCCAATTTTGAATTTGATTCAATCGACGAGGACCGTGTTAAATTTGGTGATGCGCAAGTAGCGACCTCTAAACATTCCAATTTTGAATTTGATGCCCGAATGGATGCGTTGGTCTCACCGAAGGACGGCGGTGGCGGAATACTATGGTAAAGGGTTGTAACCCAAAGCATTTTTTCCGTCTAATATAGCTTGTTGTCATTAACCAGTTATATCGGACGTACAGCTTGGTATTCACTTAACGCTTACCCTGTACTGTCTTTCTATTTAATGAAGTTGATAACATATACATAATATATGCGAACGTTATGGCGCAAAGCGTTGTTAATAGCGTTTTTTCAAGTGCTGGATTACAGCAAGGGCGGCGATGAAATTAAATAACAGTAAAAAAAATCGTTGAGTCAAATATATTAGTTAATTCGCAAAATAGTCGCATACCACCGTACTACACTACCGAGAGAGAATACTCTACTAATATTAAATTTTCCTATAGCTTTACTATATACTTATAAAAGATAATACACTAGCAGATCAAATATTACGAAATTCCATAAAACACTTACGGGTGCAGAATTGGCGTGATGACGGGTAGAACGGTCGGCTGGCTCCATTTTAGAGCCGGGTTTTCGCCACCCGTGCCTTTCATGATTTCCGCTTCGCTCGTCTTAATTGCAACATAGAAAAATACTGCATTAAATCCCAGTAACCATCTTCCTTGGACGACACTCTTGGAAAAAAAACGCCCCATTGTCGCGAGCGTTGTTTTACTCCAAGCTTGGATCACAGACATAAATTCTACATTTTGAAATATGGTACAAATGCGGAATCAGTACTTTAGAAATCACGGATACTTCTCAATTATTGATTTCGCATTTGACGCTGAATAAATTTACATTTATATTTTAATATTACACAAAATTTACCATTACGATCGGTAGATAAATAATTGTCCGGCTCGTCCGCGAATGTAATGCCTACAGATTGGCGCGGAGCAAAAACCTGCATGCATATCGTTGCTATTTGGACATGACATTATAAGAGCATAGAAGCGGATGTCGCCAGTCGCGACCAAGGACGATTACCACCTGACTTCGTTTGCAACCATCAACGTGAACGTATCGAGCGTAGCGTGACGGTTACACTCGGCTTCAGAGCGTTCGCCAACATCTGGACGGGTGGCAAAGTGGGCGTATCCCGGGCCCGCCAAACGGGGCCGAGTAGGAACACGCGGCGAATGTTCCAGCTAGTCCGACATAACCAGTCCTTGGCAAGGCGAGGCATTTGCGAAGTCATTACCCCCGCGTTAACAAAAGAGACGAGTCCTGGCCCAGCATCCTCTCTCTGGCTCACCTCCTGGCGCACGAGCTGGTGGAAGCGCGCCGAGCGGAGCGCCACGCCGCGCGCCAACGCCCCGTACTGGCGGCCCTCGGGCGCCGCCACGCCGCCCGCCCACGCGCCCACCTCGGCGCACGCGTTCACAACTCGCCTACCGTTCACACGTGATGGCTCATTGTCCGGCCGCTCGCTTTTGATTCAATATACTCGAGCAACTACCGAGTTCGATCCCCGGTGCCGGCACCAATCGAATTGTTAATTTTAAACGCCGACTTATCGCCGTATATCGAACGAAAACATCGCGATGAAACCTGCACACTTTCGGAATAATAACAAGAAAATATTTCGAAGATATGTGAAATCCGCCAATCCCCAGTGGGGCCGCGTGATGGACTATGCTAATACCCTCTGTACGGAGGAGGCCTTTTCTCAGCAGTAGGATATATATGGGCTGTTCCTATTATGTAACGCAACGGACTGTTAGATATGTGAACTACTTATGATATATAAAGAAACATTTTAAAAAATAAAAATACATTCTGTACATATACTTCGTATGACGCCTTTGGGAAAAATGATGTGAAAAAAAATTATGAAAAGCGTCACCGACTTCATGGTTACCGTGACAAACCATAACTGTTTTGAATTTCACGCATAATTCCTAGTAATTAAATTAAATCATTATCAATTGCATTTAATGTCTTTTTTTCGCAAACAAAGATTACTGGCATACGGTATAAAATTCTTAGTTTCATATTTCTTTTGTGGAGAAGAATATTTGTCGACAGTTCCAGATTATTGCGCACCATATATACCATAATAAAATATAAATACTATAATTACCTGCATATCGGATTCTCTGGGTGTGGATGGACGGTGATTTTGCCGATCTGATGAAAAAGCGACAACAATATTAAACAACCAAACCACGGATGGAAACGAAAATTTGCTAGGAAACAGAGGGCGCACGTACGACTAGCATGAACGTGTCGTCGTCGGTGCTCTCTTTCTCAACCTCGCTGGTCACCAGCAACCGCAGCCCTCCGGCCGTCATATAGAAGAACGGCAGTTGCCACGCGTTTTCACTGCGGAATCAAAACCCAAATGAAGAAAACAACGAGACCACCATCACAATGACGAGCATAGTAAATAATATAAACACGTGTTTATATCTGCCTTACACCGGCGCATTAAATGGGATCGGGAGAAAATTGCACCACAGATAGCTTGTACGTTCTTCAATTATTTTGAGAAACACGTGGGCTCCGATGCAATTGTAAGAGCCACACCCTGAGTGTTCGAAACCCCTTTTATTTCACACAAAATACAATGGTGTTTATTGTATTTTGTGTGAAAGGGGTTGGGCAGTAAGTCCCAACGACTACTGTCACCAAGAAAGATCTATTTTAGCTCGATAGAAAGATCTATTTCTTTTCGAAAACATTGCCCCATTATCCTGTGTTGTAAGGGCCTTCTATATATATTAACTTCAGGTGGACAAACGCGCAGATCGGAAACAGCTATCTGTTGGCCACAGCTATGAGTCGTGTGGGAATCGAACCCACGACCGCCGACGCGAGTCATCGACTGTTGGTTGTCTGACCGCATGTAACTGTGGTAGGGCCACGCGGTCTTCGCTGTTGTACAAATCAGTAAATTCGACGACTTTGCAGATGATCAGGCGTGATTTTATGATACTGGCACCTGCGCCACTGCGTCGTCATATCATTGTGAATTGGGGGCACGCACGTGGGGGGCGGGGCTTGTGCGTGTGCGTGCGCGTGCGCGTGCGCGTGTGCGTGTGCGTGCGTTTCGCACGCAGCGTTTGTGCGCGGCCTGAGCAGCCGCACCACCTCGGCCACGTGGCGCACCACGCTCGCCTGCACGACCGCCTCCAGCGGCGCCATCGTCGCGTACACCTCCCACAGGCTGTCCGCGGACTGCGAAACGAAATATGCCAGGTGCCCACCGTATAAGACTGATTTTGTCTATTCATTATATATTCGCAGGTCTTCTATTCAACTATTGAGTGAATTATATAACTTAATCCAATGTCCGCTATGTTGTTAAACATTTTAAACTGACTATTTAATTGATTGAATAAAGCGTTCGAACTTCAACTCAATTCACGCCGTAAGTTACTTTCATTGTGGGTGAAGCTTAAAGCATGAAAACAATTTTCTATTTTTAATATTTCTTTATAGTTACTATTGCAAGAAAAAGCCTAGTGCTCTATGCATTAGTTTATCTGACAATATCTTCATATTCATAAAATAAAAGTAAAACTCACAGATTTCTGTTCCAACAACTTGGGATGCAGTTCCTCCTTCCAGCTGACTGGCAGGTTTGAAATTCTGAAATACAGGAGAAATATAATCATAAAATATTCATGAACATTAAGAAATCAAAATTATGAAACAAAGGAACTTTTTACATCGTCTGTAACAAAAGTTAATTACGAAAACTGAAGCAAAATTAAATATAATACATTTCATGGTAATTAAGACCCTTCGTAATGTACATCCAACAGAACACTAACGTCAAAAAATTTTGCGAAAAACTGTAAGTGCCATTAGGAGGTCGGGTGTGGTAACAAAAATACCTCATATATTAAAAGTCTGTTCAGTCACCCTTGGGTGCCAACAGTTTTTCAGTAAGGAATCAAGATTATGACTGCGGCGGGTGTGTACAGAAAGACAAAATTACAAACTTTGAATTGGTACACTTCGCTGACTTGGGCGAGCTATATTAAAATTATACTCATCTCTGATTGGTGTCCACATGTTGCCACGTTCTTTTTTGTTACAGATATAAAAAAAAAGTCCTCGGAGCACCATTTGCAAACGTCTCAGTTCGATTGTGATATGATATCAGCTTGTTTCTGATTTTATATCAACGGGCCGGGCGTGATCGGAGCCCAACTATAAGTACCAACAGAAATCCTTAAACCCACGTGTTGTGTATGTTCACGGAGAGGGGTAGCTGATCAGAGAAAAGGGCACACACCGGGCCTGGGTGACGGTGACTGCGAGGAAGTGGTTGTCCTGCTTGGCGTCGGTGGGCTCCCGCGCCTCCAGCACGCGCCCGCCCAGCGCGCCCGCCTCCCACTCCCCGCTCGCCGACCTTAGGGACGCACAAAGCCAAGATTAACGGGTCCCACGTGATATAATGCATCAGTCCACTTCATTAAAAGGTGGCAACCCTACGGGTGTTGCGAATACGTGGCGGTTACCACTTAAGATGAATGACCAGCACTCTTGTCACTTTCGACCACCCAATAGGCGTAGGGTATAAGTGACCTTGCATCTTGCGCCAGAGGGCATGTCGTACCCCACTACTGGAAAAATATTGTGTGATGAACATAGTGTTTTTCTAGTGTTGTTTATATATCTATAATATGTATTTATTTACAAAAGAACATCATGTTTAAGTATGTTTATCAGTTACCTAGAATATATAATACAAACTTTGCTCAGTTTAGGACTAGATAATGTCGTGTAAAAATATGTCCCGAAGTATTTATTTATTTATTTTACTTTCTAACAGAAAAAGGATAACGTTCATCAGTGAAGAGTCGGTGTGTATATGTGGTTATGATAACAGCAACTGTAGCCATTTCATAAACCACCGTCTGTCGCCGGATAGTCAAATCAGGCGCGAGCGAATACCTTGCATGAAACACGGCATACCGTCTGTAGTGGCGGAGCGATGCGGAGGCCACCTTGAGCTTCAGCTGGCTGTAGTGCGGCTGCAAGTCCACCGTGACGATGAGGTCGTCCACGTCCGCCGCGAGCCTGGCGCGCTCGGCCGACACGGCGACCGTGGCCCGGGACACCACCCACTGCATCCACACGAACGTCTTCGTGCCGCCGACTGAGAGCGTCACGCTTGTTATTTTCCGCGGAACCAGCTGCCGCCGGCGGTCCCTCCGGGCCGTCACGACCTGGGAACCTTCAAGAAGAGACCTTTGCTGAAAGGCCTCTTCTTGAAGGCAACGCATTTGCAAGCCCTCTGGTAGCCCGACGTTCACGGGCAGCGTCGATCACTTACTATCGGGTGACCGCCCTGTCCGTTGCCCCTTTTTTCCATAAAAAAAACACTTTTTGCATTTTCCTACACCTTTCTTATTTACTTATACTTCTCAGCCCTCCACGTTTACATTTGAAACAATACCATTGTATAGCATGTTCTTAATTCAGTAAAGAGTTCATGTTAGTCTTGATCGACATTGAAAGCTAAGAAAACATAATCGCTGATCTAATTTTTTACTTTGGCTCTCAGTCCGTAGAGTATTTAAAGCTTCATTCAGCTTGATACTTAGCTTTCGGCATGTGCTCATGCATGCGTTATTTTATATGCCAATATATAATTTTATCTATCGACGAGGCGTGAATAGATATAACTATGCGCTGTATTCATGTTCGGCATGTGAACTAATTTGCAATGAATTATGTTACAACTATATTGCACCAATAACGATGTTTATGATTACCGTTTCATGTTAGAAAGATATGAATAACTTAATATAACTAAAAATTAATTTAAAAATTTCTTCAATTTACTCACCGTTCGTAGCACTGGATTCGTAGATTGGAATTAGTTCCGAACGGTTTTCACTAGCTGTCTCATCCGATGGAGTTTGCTGCTTATCTACCTCTGGCACCGACCTAAAATCATTTTACCTTAAAGCACTGAATTAACTATATAAAAACAATACACAACACAATACATACAGACATAATAATAATTGTCTTATGTCTAAATAAAAACATTCCATGCAATCACAACAAATATCAATGTTTTAGATTGTTTCAACCATTAAAACAGAATTGATTGCACAAAAACTTACTGAAAGGCCACCACCCAATGATTATTCGCAAAGCCATTAAAATTAAAATAAGGAAACATCTAAACCAACACCTGCACATGTGAATATACTGTTTATATATAATTAAAGTATCGGGATTCTAGATTAAAATGACACGGTAAAGACCCATTTACACGGTGCAAGTTTCTTGCCTGTTGTATACAATTAAATTGAAGCAATAAATGTGTTGCATGGTCTAAACAACAAATGGTCTAACAAATTATTGCGCGCAATTTATTGCATTCAATTATTGCTCTTGTATGTACAAGAAAATGGCATCGTGTAAATGGGCCTTTAGTAATCATATTGCATACAACAGAACAATTAAAACAATAATTATTGAACTTTCTAGGACAACAAATTACAGTTGACATGTCATATACTGTGATAGGTACATCTATCGGTCTGTGTTACTCACTTCTGCGCACCTTATACCGCATGCAGGGCGCACGACTATACTTAAACTGCTTTTATTTTAACTTTGTCAAAATTATGTCGAACGACTCTTTCTAGCATCGTTATGCCCATACTTCAGTTGGGAACACGACTATCATCCTCCTGAACTTCAGGGTCACATCCACCACTAGAGCTTGTGCGTGTTTCCCCTGCTGATGCGTTACAGGCGAGAGAGAAATGATACCCTTGCTAAGAAATACTAATGACATGCATATTGGGGTTGAAAACACCGTCAACTATCTCTAACACACGTATCATGTGTGAGAGGTCAACTAAATCTTGGATGCCATTAGTACTTCGAAGTTGGGGTATAGTTTGTGCAGGGCGGTGCGCAGTGGTTGCAGTGAGTATCACGAGGTGACCCAATCGCTTCTGGACTACTATTATGGACGATATTAATCTCCAATGATCTGATGGTATTCCAGATCCTCAGGCGATGCTTCTTTGCTACCTCTTTAACGCTGCTACCCTGACGAATCTTTTATAGATTACTGTCGGCCGTAGTCATGTACACCAATTGTAGCAGATGCCACACTGGCCATATGATATTATGTATTATAAAAGTTCCACATCATGACGGAGTTCAAAGATAGCATGGAACTTTACGGTTGAAACATAGATCTTAACGCAACACTTAACACGAACTTATCAAGTTGAATTACCCTTAATGCCTTACGTGGTGACTTCTAAAGGTGCGAAGTAATCCGTTGAAGTGTAGGTGACCGTTGTGAGCCAGGGGCGCTTATGGACAATTTTCAGTCAATTAGGACCACCATCATCCTTATCGACTGGAAATCATCCACGAGAGCTTCTGGGCTGGGCTTCGCTGCAGTTAAGGTGACATTCTTCCGATGGCTACTTGATAGTGAATTCACGCTCCAGTTGCCTAAGTCCGGTCCAGTAGAGGCTAGTCACTGCCCATATGTGCTTTCGTCATCAACTAATAATGTACAAATCGGAGGAATTGTAAAAAGTATTTTTTCAAGTGGACGTAGATTCCCGTTCGTCCCTCTGGATCTTATCCAGCTATCACGACCTCACAGGAGACCAGCATGAAGTGGAAAATATTCTCTAGGTTGTAGGAAGGAGCAACAGACCGCTGCCGCCGGTGGCTTTTCGGCAGCAGCGTCGTTATTTGACATAAATTACAACACTTTTAAATAAACCTAAATAGGTACCTAAATAAAGCCATAGGTCTTGCAATCATATAAACAACATAACACACAAATTTTTGAATTAATCAAAACGGTAAACCACACAAATAATATAAACTCATTAACTCTAACTTACAACATGTGTAGTCATCAACTTATGTAAGTTGATACATTCAAACATAGAAACTATCCATACATACCATTTATTTTTTATTTATTTATTAAGGTACACCAAAAGCATAACTTACATTTATATATGTATATATATATATATATATACGTATATTTTTTTTAGTTACAGGTTTTGTTCTTATATTTACGCCTATTATAGGTATACCATTAAATTAACATAAATGTATATTTTAAAAAAAATTATATATATATACGTATATTTTTTTTAGTTACAGGTTTTGTTCTTATATTTACGCCTATTATTAACCATACCATTAAATAATACCATTATAGTATACCATTAAATTAACATAAATGTATATTTACAGACAATAAATTTATGAAACGCATAACTACCAGTAAAAAAATTGTATAGAATAATGTATATACATAATTATATCAAATATACGTCAATGCAAACGTCATAACAAAACAATCCAGTAGTTTAAATTATAATTAAAATAAACAGAATTTAAATCCATAAGTAAATTTTATGAAAACAATTTATACGAAACATAATGAAATAATAAAAACCGAGCAATAGTTTAGAAAAGTACAACAAAACGATGAAGCGAAGCGACATAAGCATATTTTAACAAGGACATTAGATCCATAGGCTGGGTGAACTGAGACAAAGAAAATAGCCGGGGCTAAAGCGGGTGTAAAATATGCACTGCGCGTGCAATGGGTAGACTATCTTCACGCAATGACTAGCAACCAACCGGTGGGTGGCCAGTGCCTCATTGCTCGATTATGAGCAGCCACTTTCGCTTAGCAAGCCAGTACAAGAAGAATGGCCATATGCCAGTACATAGAATCCAGTACAAGAGAAATGGCAGACCTGATGAAAGACCTGGAGACTGGTGCGGTAGTCGGCGCATCTGAGTACGGGGCTCGACGCAGCAGAGACAGAACGTGCGTGAGGCAGTGCAACGCCTCCGCCAGCAAGCCGATCTGTGCCCAGTCAATCGTTGCACTTTAATGTTTTTCTTTATTTGGTTTTTAAAAAAAAAAACATTGCCCTTACCTACTTTGGGACAACATTATCCTGTGTAAGGAGTTTTGCAAACATAAATTTCACGCGGACAAACACCCAGATGCGGAACATCTATCTGCGGGTGACACAAATAGTTGTCCCGTTTGGGAATCGAACCCACGACCCCCGACGCCGAAGCCGATACCTTGGCGACTGCGCCACGGAGTCAATGTTCACAATTTTTTTTACAGGACAAATTATCCAAGTTTTCTTACGTCGATATTTGATGAAATGTCGACGAGTAACATTTATGGGGAAAAAACTTGCGTCGTCTGTGTGCACTTACGTATGTCCGCTCGTAAGAATACTGCTTTGGCTTAACAAAGTAAAAAAGTTATTTCATTTCGAGTTTTTTTTAGTTATTGAAACGTTAAAAAAGGGACGATTTATCGACTAACTTCAAGGTAACAGTTTCAAGTCGCTGGTTTTTTATGTGAAATGTTGTGAAGAGGGCAGTTCACCTCATTTTAGTTGATTAAGGCCGCCCATGGACACCTGCAATGCATGAGTGCGTAGTAGATGCGTAAACAACATTTTAAAAAGTGGGCTCCGGACGCGAAAGTATAATACTTTTACTTCACGCCGGTCTTCTGCGATGCGCGCGCACAGCTCAGAAGATTCCGTGATCCGTCTCTTATTTTGTTTCAAAACGCGCCCAAAGAAGTGTGACTTCGTTAAGGTGCTCACGGTCGTGACTTCAATGAGCCAACGTGCTCACTCACCCGGTCTTGATTTCAATGAGCGCTAACGTGCTCACTCACCCGGTCCTGACTTCAATGAGCCAACGTACTCACTCACCCGGTCCTGATTTCAATGAGCTAACGTGCTCACTCACCCGGTCCTAATTTCAATGAGCTAACGTGCTCACTCACCCGGTCCTGATTTCAATGAGCTAACGTGCTCACTCACCCGGTCCTAATTTCAATGAGCTAACGTGCTCACTCACCCGGTCCTGATTTCAATGAGCTAACGTGCTCACTCACCCGGTCCTAATTTCAATGAGCTAACGTGCTCACTCACCCGGTCCTGACTTCAATGAGCCAACGTACTCACTCACCCGGTCCTGATTTCAATGAGCCAACGTGCTCACTCACCCGGTCCTGATTTCAATGAGCTAACGTGCTCACTCACCCGGTCCTGACTTCAATGAGCCAACGTACTCACTCACCCGGTCCTGATTTCAATGAGCTAACGTGCTCACTCACCCGGTCCTAATTTCAATGAGCTAACGTGCTCACTCACCCGGTCCTGATTTCAATGAGCTAACGTGCTCACTCACCCGGTCCTGACTTCAATGAGCCAACGTACTCACTCACCCGGTCCTGATTTCAATGAGCCAACGTGCTCACTCACCCGGTCCTGATTTCAATGAGCTAACGTGCTCACTCACCCGGTCCTGACTTCAATGAGCCAACGTACTCACTCACCCGGTCCTGATTTCAATGAGCCAACGTGCTCACTCACCCGGTCCTGATTTCAATGAGCTAACGTGCTCACTCACCCGGTCCTGACTTCAATGAGCCAACGTACTCACTCACCCGGTCCTGACTTCAATGAGCCAACGTACTCACTCACCCGGTCCTGATTTCAATGAGCTAACGTGCTCACTCACCCGGTCCTGACTTCAATGAGCCAACGTACTCACTCACCCGGTCCTGACTTCAATGAGCCAACGTACTCACTCACCCGGTCCTGATTTCAATGAGCCAACGTGCTCACTCACCCGGTCCTGATTTCAATGAGCTAACGTGCTCACTCACCCCGGTCCTGACTTCAATGAGCCAACGTACTCACTCACCCGGTCCTGATTTCAATGAGCTAACGTGCTCACTCACCCGGTCCTAATTTCAATGAGCTAACGTGCTCACTCACCCGGTCCTGATTTCAATGAGCTAACGTGCTCACTCACCCGGTCCTGACTTCAATGAGCCAACGTACTCACTCACCCGGTCCTGATTTCAATGAGCCAACGTGCTCACTCACCCGGTCCTGATTTCAATGAGCTAACGTGCTCACTCACCCGGTCCTAATTTCAATGAGCTAACGTGCTCACTCACCCGGTCCTGATTTCAATGAGCTAACGTGCTCACTCACCCGGTCCTGACTTCAATGAGCCAACGTACTCACTCACCCGGTCCTGATTTCAATGAGCCAACGTGCTCACTCACCCGGTCCTGATTTCAATGAGCTAACGTGCTCACTCACCCGGTCCTGACTTCAATGAGCCAACGTACTCACTCACCCGGTCCTGATTTCAATGAGCCAACGTGCTCACTCACCCGGTCCTGATTTCAATGAGCTAACGTGCTCACTCACCCGGTCCTGACTTCAATGAGCCAACGTACTCACTCACCCGGTCCTGACTTCAATGAGCCAACGTACTCACTCACCCGGTCCTGATTTCAATGAGCTAACGTGCTCACTCACCCGGTCCTGACTTCAATGAGCCAACGTACTCACTCACCCGGTCCTGATTTCAATGAGCCAACGTGCTCACTCACCCGGTCTTGATTTCAATGAGCGCTAACGTGCTCACTCACCCGGTCCTGACTTCAATGAGCCAACGTACTCACTCACCCGGTCCTGATTTCAATGAGCTAACGTGCTCACTCACCCGGTCCTGACTTCAATGAGCCAACGTGCTCACTCACCTGGTCCTGTTCGAGGCGCAGCGTGACAGGCGGCGTGTCGGCGTGCAAATGCACGCCCAGCGACACGACCGGGCCAGATACCGTTGGCGCTGCTTCCGGCGCCATTGTTGGCGGCGGCTTCGTCTATGTGATATAAATATTTTTTTTATACAAGAGGATAGCAATTGAGCTGGCGGTTCATGATGTTACGTGGTAACCGCCGCCCGACATTTGCAACACCCGTGCGGCTGCGGATGCGTTGCCACCTTTTGATAAAGTGGGCCCTGACTACCTCAGTCACCAGACGAAACGCAGGGGTGTACTCCCCCGGACGGACTTGCCCATTCGTGAAACAGCGAAGACTAGTATTTTATGGGCTACGGGCTATAAGCGCATGGAGACTTTAGTTGTATTAGGCTTTTCACTTTGTACACCCGAAGCGTGAATAAATAGAAAAGTGGACGTCAATAAACGTAACATTTTAATTTATCTAAGGAGTCCTATTACTTTTATTGAATAAAAACTCAAGATTTTTTATTATAAAATGTTACTTAGAAATATAAACTACTTGGACTGAAAATGAATCACTATATAGTGTAAAACAAAGTCGTCCCTCTGTCTGTCCCTATGTATGCTTATATCTTTAAAACTAGGCAACGGATCTTGATGCGGTATTTTTTTACTAGACAGAGTTATTCAAGAGGAAGGTTTATATGTACAATAAATTGTACCCGTACGAAGCCGGGGTGGGTCGCTAGTGAAAGTATAAATTAAATTTATGCTCACCTCTGCTGCTGATCGTTTATTCCTGCAAAGAAAAAATTAAATTAACATAAGAAATACAATGAACCCTGGCCGTGTTCACAAATAAATAAATCATAAAACGTACTTGGCCGGACCTCGAATGAATTCCTTCAATGTGGATGGTCTGAAGTCAACGCCGGATGTGAAATATTTTACTTTCTGCGAAGAGAAATTGAAATAAGTTGTAAATCCTTACTAATACTAAAAAGGTGAAAGTTTGTATGTATGGATGGATGTTTGTTACTCTTTCACGCAAATACTACTGAATGGATTTTAATAAAACTTTACAATAATATAGCTTATACATCAAAATAAAGATAGGCTATAATTTATATACATATTTTATGTACATCTGTCTTTCTATCTGAATATTACGCCTTCAGCCTATTCTACGCAGACGTAATTGGGGGCAGTAGCAACTAGTCATAAATAATAACACACACCAAGTGTTTACGTGATACAAAAACGAAACATGGTGGTCTTCCAATAGCTTATTAACTGATATTCAGGATGACAATCCCGGGACATTCTTTTCAAAAATTTTGTTTTTGCGCGTCAAAATAACAATATCGTGGGTCCCGTTTAAGGGTCACGTTAAGGCCGCAAGTAAAATTTTTGCCAGAAGTTGTATAATACCGTTGCTTGGCGTTTAACGCGACAACACAGTAGCGTGCTAGCGCAACAAGCGGAAACGTTTCAGCGACGATCGATTGTAACGAACAGCGGTGACGTCAGTGACGTGCGAAAACATCTTGGCTGCTAGGGGGTGTGACCAGCAGCGACGGTTGCCAGTGACGTGGGCGACGTGCCTCGTCGTGGGCGGCGTGGTGGGCGCGCTGCGCGACCGGCGGCAGGCGCAGCGCCAGCGCCTTGGTGACCACGGACAGCGTGACGGTGGTGGTGAGCAGGCCGAGGAGCGCGCGCGGCGCCACCGGGCGGCCGTCCTGCAGCTGCGAGCGGCCGCCGGCGGGCGCGTGCGCGCGCGCCTCCAGCGTGTAGCACGACACGTCCGCGACGCGCAGCCGCCACGGGAACGAGTCGGCCGCGGCTGCAACGGCCTCTGTGCGAGACGGTGGCAAGCGTGGCAACCGCACCGGCATTTGCGCGGCGTGGAATGCAACTGTTACACTTCTGCGTTTCGTCTGGTGTGTGCGTTAGCCGGACCCCACATCAGTAAAAGGTGACAAAGGTGGTGGAGTGACAAAATTGTAAGACTTGCTTTGGCGCGATGGACTTTCTTTCAGATAAATAAACAATTTTGATTCGAAGTTATTTAAATATCTCGTGAATACCGCATCAATTGTACTTTTATATCTCGTTGTGCTAATATTGCGTTGATTGGACTGGACATAGTAAAATCAAATTCTCTCTCTATTCTCAACTCAAAAATTCAAAGCACACACTATAGCTGCGTCTCGTAATGGTGTCGCGGGGCCAGAGATTTTATCTCATCCAAAAATATGCGTACCGTGCTAAAAGAAGTTTTCACTTCAAAAATCACGCCGATCTTCTGTGGTATTTCCCCTAACGGAACTTGACATTAATGCAACAGCGAAGTCTCCTGTTCCTACCACAGATACAAGTGGTCCGTGACAGCCAACAGGTGATGACTCGCGTCGCGGGTCGTGGGTTCGATTCCCGCACGAGAAAACTTTGTATGAACTACAGTAAAACGCCCTTTCAACACAGCAGAATGTCATCCTACAGCACAGGGGGAATATTTTCGAAGATAAGACTACGATCGGTCTTCCACGGTGTGGTCGATGGACTTAATACGTAATACAACACATAGCATAGCACATATTGCGCGAATGCCAAATCGCGCTCGTACTCACGGCTCTGGTCCGCCTTCGTGGGCAAGAATGTGGGGCCGTCGTGTCGGATCTCGCTCCACAGGTGCCTCATCACGCTGTTGGAGTGCATCGACAGATGGCCCAGGCTGAATGATGGAAAGCGAATTTTATCTTTCGGAATCAATAAACTTAGGTAAGTCGGATAACTGTAGTTCAACGATACGATTCTCATTTTCCTTTTTTCGAATGCGGTTCTAATCCAATTTGAAAGTAACAACTAGACACAACGATGCGGAGCACTGCCAATGATCGATGTAATGGAAACCAATTATTTGATTATTTAATACTAGTTGCTAGGAGCAAGGTTCAAAACAGGGGTACAACCGTGGTGCCGTTCTGCAAGAAATCAGTCGATCAGTTTAATGGTAAGACGGAAATGGTCTTGAGCTCAACGAACAGAGTAAGGTATCCTCTGTCTGTTGTCAATCGACCGCTATATGTGTCATACGAAATGTTTTATATGACGCATAAATGTTTTGCCACAAAATAGTAAGGTAAGATAAATCTTAACGTTAACAAACTTTAAAACGAGGGCCCCGGTTCGGCTTCTTTTTATTAATGAAGTAAAACTTCTTTACGTTTGCTTGACTTGAGGAGCAAGCCGGTGAATGTGTTACGAAAAGCGTGAACCGGCGAGGCGAACGCGTTACGAAAAGTGTTAACGATTATTAATTTTTAACGGTGGTAGGGCCACGCAGCAGCCTCGGTTGTTGCACGAATGGGCGGGCCCATCCGGGTAAGTAACACGACCTCACAGAAGACCAGCGTAAAGTGGAAGTATGACAAATAATTTCGCGTTTCGTCTGGTGAGTGAAGTGGCCGGAACCCAATTTTCAAAAGGTTGTCAACGCATCTGCAACCCTCGGGTGTAGCAAATATCCACGGGCGGCGGTATTCACTTACCACCAGGTGAACCGTTTGATCTTTTGGTAACTTTTCACATAAAAAAAATTAAAAAAAAAATTTTGCAATGAGAATCCATAGTAAATTGAAATATTTGTAGAAAATTCATACATGTATAACCTTATCCCATATGCATATACATTACATGTTATACATGTATATACATATGGGAAAGTCGAGAAGTGCGGTCGATGGATGTAGGTGGCTTAAGGTCGTGCTCCGTGGCGGTCTGTCGGAGAGGCCTCTGCTCAGCAGCGGACTCGAACGGGCTGCGACTCGAACATACATACACACGACGGAGCTAAAGAAGTTTTACTTCGTTCGTGTGCTGCAAAGCGCTCTCGGTGTGTTTTACGTGGGCGCGACCTGAGCACGAGCACGGGCCGCGTGGCGGCGTGCCGCTCGAGCGAGTCGCGCAGGCAGCCGCCGCCGAGGGCGGACGCGCTCGCCGCGGGCACGTACAGCTGCACCAGGCCCAGCTCGCAGCACGCGAGCGCGCGCCGCAGCCGCGAGTGCGCGCGCACCGCCCGCTCCCCGTCCCGCCACCACGCGCCGCCCCCCGCCTGCGCGCGAGAGACGCGGACTCGACTCCCGAACGGGACAACTGTCCCTGTCACCCACGCTGTTGCTACGGATCTGGGTGTTTGTGCACGTGGCACTCATGTTCGTGAAACGTACCTTACAACACATGATAATGTTATCCGACAGTTGGGTACAAGAAACTCTTTGACGTGGCCACGCAACCGAAGATTTGCTGCACGAGCAGTCCTAACCGCAGAGTACCAAGTGGGAAAAATATCGCGTTCCCACAGGTGACTGGCGTGAAATGTTACACTTTAGCGTTTCGTCTGGTGAGTGAAAGCATTAAGTCCACCCATTGCAGCCTTTAAGCTAAGTTGTAACAATGAGGTATAAATCTTATATATAAAAATGGATTGCTGTTCGTTAGTCTCGCTAAAACTCGAGAACGGCTGGACTGGATTTGGCTAATTTTGGTTTTGAAATATTTGTTGCAGTCCAGAGAAGGTTTAAACGATGAGAAATTATGGAAAAATTGTATGGAAATAATAAAAAGCAACAATTTTATTTTCTCCTATAAACTGTACCTGTCAACCTGTCAACTATGTCTGTGTAACCTGCCAGACACTTTATGCGTGCGTTCCGATTCCGCTAGAAATAATTTATATGGCAAAACAGCATTTGCCGAGTCAGCTAGTAAATAAATAAATGAACAAATAAATAAAAGAGGCACCGGCGGCGCGGGGGGCTCCGTTGTGTCCGCGTGCCGCCTCCTGTCGCTCGGCTCGCTGCTGGACGCGGCGCTGCTGCGGGGCCGCGCGTGCACCTCGGCGCCCGAGCCCGCACGGCTGCCGCCCCGCCCGCTCGACGACTGCGCACGCGCCCGCAAACGCGTTCACGTATCAAAAACCCAGTCCGTGGACGTAATGCGGCCGTACGGGAGACCGGCGTGAAGCGCAAGGGTCACACTCCTGCGTTTCGTTCCCTTGAGTTGGGTAGCCAGGCATGCTTTATCAATGCCCGGTTCCTATGTTCAACGAACGGCCGTCAGTTACATAGCCTCGTAACTTTCATAACGACTTGTAGACTAAATGAACGCTGGTAACTCAATTTCCGTAGGTAATGTATCGGCTCGTAAGGAGAACACCTCGTTTTGTAAATATAGGAGGAACCGGGCCTTTTATCTACAAGTCGTTATGAAAGTTACGAATCTCTGTAACTAACGACCTTTGAATATAGGAACCGGGCATAAAAGGTGGCAACGAGTCTGCAAACCTACGGATGTTGCACATGCCCATGGACGGCGGATATCACCTAGCATCAGCTGAATCGTCAGCTCGTTTGCCACATTCTCACATAAGCAGAAAGCCTCCACCAAATTAGGGGGCCTATACATACAGAAAATTGTGCAAGGCTAAAAATTGGTTACGAAACAATTAATGCGACCTCTGCAGGTACACTTTTTGTTTGTCAACGTGTGACTAAGTACTAAACTAGAAAAACATGTGTTCTGTTTTCATTACATTCTATTTACATTTTCTTTCCTTTGTGGCTACTTTTTGGATGTAATTTAAAATGAGGACATTGTATGTTACAAATCATATGCAGTAATAATATAAACTGTCATATTCATAATCAGATTTTCCAATGTTTACTTTGTATTGATGGAAGATTTTATGTGGAACGTTATTTGGTAGACATCTAAATTTGCGTGAATGGAGTTGTTACAAGAATGCCAAATGAAGTTGACAGTTAAGGAAAATAAATAAGGAGATAAAACTGCATTTTAAAAGAAGCCAACGTTACTAATATAAAAGACGCTATATGTGAATATCCACTTACTGGTGGTGTGGTCCGACGCAGCATAAAATATTGTGATGAAGACATAGTTTTCGTGGTACTCCCAGTAAATTGTGGTTCCACTGCAAACAGACAAGTAGTAAGGTTTGCGAAAAGACATAATTTACTTAATATTAAGATAATTTATAATATGATATTACATTAGATAAACACTTTCAATTAGAAAGCAAATAAATTAATCAAATATTAATCCCTAATAGAATCATCTATAAGACCCATATGGGTCGCTATTTCTCGCTCGTTTCCCATAATCCATGCCAAAGTTTAATACAACGACTTTAACATGACATCGATGTTGGTATCGTAACATGAAAAAGATAAAAAAGAAGAATTAAAGTAACAGCCTATACATGTTCCACTGCTGGGCAAAGGCCTCCACTATACAGAGGGTATCAGGGCATAGTCCACCACGCGGCCCCACTGCGGATTGGCGGACTTCACATATCTTCGAAATATTTTTTTTTATTATTTCGAAAATATGCAGGTTTCCTCACGATGTTTTCCTTCACCGCCGAGCACGTGATAAGTTAGCACTTAAAGTTAAAAACTTCATTGGTGCCGGCACCGGGGATCGAACTCAGGTTGCTCGAGTGTATTAAATTAAAGGCGAGCGCCCGGACACTGAGCTATCACGGCTCGCTAAAAAGAAGAATTAAGAGATGAAATTACTCTTTATCTAGCTCCATTGTCGTTTTCCTTCGATAGATGATGAATGTTTTAATTACAACTGACAATGTTCAAAGGAGTGCCAGTTTGCTTCTCAGACAACACATGCGATCACGCGACAGCTTACACTACACTGATGTCAATCAATGCGGCAGGGTCCCACCCGTTCCGACCATATTTATCGTTCTAGGGTTTCCTACTTCACCTGATTCTAACCGCAACACTGAGCATTGTTTCCCTTAAATAGTTCTTAGTGCTTATGCCCCTCGCTTCTAGTGGTGTTGTGTAGAATGCAAAACCTTCCTCAAATAGCCGTATAGTGCAGACGCGATGAGAAATGAACGGAAATATTTACGGGGCATCGGTAGGAATCGCGGTGAGTAGGAGAGTCCGGCGACTAGTAGCGGGTCGAGGCTTAGGGCGGTCGGTTCGAGCCAGGCGCCGGCGAACTCTAGCCCCTCCCCCGCCGCGCCCGCACCGTGCTGCGCGCACCACTGCACCGCCACGCGCACGTACGGCCTGGCAACGCGTTCCGTTTCAGTTTTCCACAACCACTGCCCGGTTCCTATGTTCAACGAACGGCCGTTAGTTACGTAGCTTCATAACTTTCACAACGACTTGTAGACTAAATGAAAGCTGGTAACTCAACTTCCGTAGACAATGTATCGGCTCGTAAGGAGAACGCCTCGTTTTGTTTGGAACCGGACGTACACGCCTTTTATCTACAAGTCGTTATGAAAGTTACGAAGCTATGTAACTAACGGCCGTTCGTTGAATATAGGAACCGGGTAGATAACGGTATGAGGACACCGTCGGCGCAGTGGATAGTGAACACGTCTCTTGCCATAGGGTGTGGGTTCGGTCCCAATGAACACAATATTTCCTCTACTGAGGAACACAATATTTCCTCTACTGAGGAATAACACAATATTTCCTCTACTGAGGAAATATTGTGTGAAGAACACATCGTTTTTCTAGTAGTCTGAATGTTCTATAATATGTATTTGTTTACAACACAATTGTATTTGATTACATTCATATGTTACATAGCATTTATGATGCGAGCTTTGCTTGCTTTGGGACTAAATAATGTTGTGTAAAAATATGGTACTGAAAATGTTTTTTTTTTTTTTTCGTGGGAAAAAAAAAGAAATATGATATTCTTAGCGACAAAAATCTGTGTTTGCTGCGTGCTCGTGCCCATTTTTAAGCGAGCCCAAAGAGTGAACTAAGTACTCACGATGTAGTTGGCGACTCGGGTCCAGAGAATAGCCATGCCTGTTTCATATCACCACCCTCTGAAATGAACATACATTGGATCATTTATCGGCAAACATGCAATAAAAAATGAAAGCTTTGACGTTTTCGTTCTTGGCATAGCTAGCTAGCTTATTGACTCTTTACCGAATTCGTAGTTTCGAAGGTTATTTTTTAAGTAAACAAATAGGAAAAGAAAAATGTAATTACGGAATTAAGAAACAAAAAAACTATGATTTTTAGATCAGCAGCGAGCTTGAAAGGTAGTGGTACAATAAAAGACAATGTCATTATGCAGTATGTAAGACCACGCACTCTACTGTTGCATGAATGCGCATGTCCGTCCCGGTAAATACTGATACTACAGAATTGAGTGTTGTACTTCTGCGTTTCGTCTAGTAACTGTGGTAGTCGAGGCCCACTTCATAAAAAGGTGTCAACGCATCTGCAACCCTACGGGTTTTGCAAATGGCAATGGGCGGCGGTTATCTCTCAGCATCAGGTGTACCGCCTGCTCATTTTCCATCTCCCTCATCCCATAAAATCCCCTGGTGTATCATAATCGTCACCGTCAATTCTGCCTGTTCGATTCCACTGCAGAGTATAATTCTGCATAAGTCCCACAGAATGCACGATCCTGAGCCACCTGCATCCATCGACTTCCCACACATTTTGCATAGGGCACAAATACTCCATCTAGAGGGGCGTCCCACTCTGGAAGGGTCAATTCGAGGCTGTCACTCGAGAACCTTTCTTTTCCATCGTGTATCGCTTGTGTATATCTTTATTTTTACCGTCAATTAATGTGCGCCGTGGGTCTAGTACATTAATTATTCTGAAGCATCAAATAGAATGAAGACAAAAATTAGGCTATGAGAAAGTCGACTGATGAAGTCCTTTGCATTTTGTCCGATGACTTCCATCATGAGGCCATCGGGCCCACACTGTAAAAGATTAGCATCGCTAATGAAAGCAATGATGTACATTTTCACGATTCAACCGTATGGTCATTTAACATCATCTGATGTTGTTACTAGTGATAAGGGCAAGCAAAATCTTCTCCAGCAACATTAATCGAAGTGACATCAGACTGTCAAAAACCAAAGTTTTTATCATACAGCTGCTTTTAGTTTTTCATTATAGTTTTTATTCTTTTATTTTGTTTAAAGAAATACAATTTTTTTTTTGTTTTTATTACATGTTAATGTCAGTCATTAATCAACAATTGTACTATGTGTTTGTTAGCATTTAATTATTTTTTTTGCTGTTGTCAATATCATAACGTTTGAATGTCGTTTCTCCTGTAATTAAAATACCATTTTGTTAAGATACCGTGTAGTTATTTATGTATTTCGAAGCATTTTTCGATGTGTATCTTGTTGGTGAAGTAAATAAATACATGTCATGTAACTGCGACCCATCTTTTTAGCATGTGGCCACGCATCAAAGGTCACTTGGCATCAATTAACTGCTCGTTTGCCCGTTTCGAAGAATATTTGGATTGGTCCAATTTCCACTCGAACGTCAAGAGCGATAAATTTTGTGGTTTATTGCGTGCTGCTACGATGTTTAACAGCAGAAATACATACATACATTTATGTGATGAACGATTGTGCGCCTTAAGGCTTTTGTAATAAAGACGAAAAATATAGTCACTTGGCGCGTGAAGTGCGATGGCCCTGGCGGCGTGCAGCGTCACTATGTGCGTGCGCAAACCGCTGGTGAGGAAGCCTCGCGCCGTCAAATCTTCCAGGGTCAAGTCCACTGCCACGGCCTCTGCAAATGGTGTATTTATGTCACAATAACTCGCTACTTGTGTGATTGACATTTAAAATCTTGCACTTTACACTTAGCGTATACACTTTAGCGTTACTAAACGTAACTTGCTCTCAACCACTAATGGTTAACTGGAAGAAAATACTACTCGGCATTAAGTTCGCGGTAGTACAAACTTTTTGGTGAAATAAATAATTTTATTTATTTATTCACCCTTTATGCACAGATGGTACAGTGGCGGACTTAATGCTAAAAGCATTATCTAAGAAAACAATGTAGAAGAATGCGTTAAGATTTTCGTCGGTGTGGCAATCAGCCGTTTAGCTCAGGGGCTAGAGCGTCAGGCCGCGAATGTCGAAGACGTGGGTTCGATTCCCACAACGGCGACAATCTTTTCGCACTCTTTCTACATATTTTAATGTTCAATCTTAAGTGCAAAGATTAGCACTATAAACAATTTAAATTTCTAAAAAAGCAATGGCGACATCTCTCGTTCGAATTATCGTTGTAAAACGATATTCGAAATTGTTTGTATGCTGGAAAGGATATAACAATAGATGGCGCCAAGCATTGCTTCAAATGCTAAGAAAACAATGTAGAAGAATGCGTTAAGATTTTCGTCGGTGTGGCAATCAGCCGTTTAGCTCAGTGGCTAGAGCGTCAGGCCGCGAATGCCGAAGACGTGGGTTCGATTCCCACAACGGCGACAATCTTTTCGCACTCTTTCTACATATTTTAATGCATTATCTCCCAGTCAACCTTGGGGTGATACAGAGAAAATTCTACCAATCGAATATGCCGAATCGTCAGAAATACAAAATCGCTCCTTACTTTTTACATTTTCTGAATCATGGGCCTCTGCGCCTAAGATTCAGTCCGTGGGTTCGATTTCCCCCTGGGACCTTTTTTTAAGACCCACACTAATGGTTTTCCACTCAGAACAACAGTATACTCTCACTTGAAGAGGTTGTTTAAATAATTTTTCACAAAAGTAGTAATTTACTAAAGGTAGGATTAAACGAATCGAAATGTAACACACCATCAGATCAGCGACCAACTAGCTTGGTACACTTGTTTGGGCTCATAAATTAATATAATTACTCACTGGATTTGCAGACGATGGGAATGGAACCCCGAGCCCCTAATAGTGGCAACCCTCGTTAGCAGACAATAGACAGGGTTACTTTTCTTGACTGTGCCGATACCAAATAAACTATATAGCATTAAGGAGAATCTTGTACGATGCCAAAACTGCTAGAAAAACTATTTTAGATGTTAAGATAAAGACGGTTAAGATTAAGATAATCTCGCATCGTGTACAACTAATTGTGTAAAACCAATTAACTGATCACAAAACTGTGTGTTGAGCCAATAGTTGCTCTGAGAATGGACGTACGAATTTCATATGTGTGTAATGTTTTCTTTAAATAAAAGAGATACCTTCGTCATTAAGTGCATCTTGCGCGAGCGTGGTTCTAGCAAGCAGCGTAGATGGGCGACAGCTGATCAACGATGAGATCACCTCTCGAGACGCCTGCAAGCGGGCGGGGGAACCACATACGCTTGCCTCGCCTGCCAAAGTTAAAGCCAGTCACAATCTGTTCAATTTAAGCTATTTACAAAATCTTAGATGTCTGCAGCACTGATAAAATTTTATTAGTCCAGGGAAATATGGGCAACAAGTTCTGCAGATTTATTTTAATGCACGATTCTCTTTTTGTTATAAATTTAATAAAATAAAAGATTTTGGCGCAAAATCAGCTGTATTCATACACTTTAAGTAATGCGCAATGTCATCGGACGTGATTTTAATGTTTGTCCAATTAGTCGGAGCCAAGCCATACTCCTGAGTGTTCCATACTCCGCAGTGTTCGAGCGCTCTCCTTTAATTCAATATGGTCGAGCAACCTGGGTTCAAATCCCGTTGGCAGCACCAATGAAATTGTTTAAGTGCTGACTTATTACGTGCTCAGCGGTGAAGGAAAACATCGCGAGGAAACCTGATATTTTAGAAATAATAAATGCCCCGAGAATATTCAAAAGACCGGTTTTCAGTTCCGCGTTTCAAGTGCCGAGTGAGTTGACGCGGTCCGGATTACTTAAAAGTTGACAACGCAATCGCAGTCGTCGAGGTCCACTGTTACCGATGACAATCACTTACCATACGTTTGCCAAAGTCTCTTATAGAAGAAAGTTTACATACTCCTCATCGCGTTAAGTGTCACCGACTCGCACTTGCGGGCTCAAGTTAACTTTACTCCAATGCCTCCGTGCCGCTGTTGTCGAGGTATTGGCGCCGGCGCCGGTGTGCGTGGGTTTCGATTCCCACACAGGACATTTATGCGACCGACAGACAATCGTTTCGGATCTGGGTGTTAGTCCAAGTGACATTTATGTTTGTAAAACGCTCTTACAACATAGGATAACGTTATCAAAATACACTAAAAGAAATGTTTATTCTGAAAAAAAAAAAAAAAAAAAAAGAAAGTATAATGGTTATTATCGATTGCGCTGACCTATATTGGCGTGGTAGCTGTTGAGCACGGTGGTGCGGTGCGCGAACAGGTTGCGGTGGAGGAGGGTGTGGGCGGCGAGGCGCAGGTGGGCGCGGGCGACGGGGCGCGGCGCGGAGGGGGGGAGGCGCGCAGGCCCGCCTGTGCGTCGCGAACGCTCAGCGCCAAATGCACGCGCGCCCCCCTCCACACGGGCCCCTCGTCCTCGGGCATCTGGCACGCGGCCGAGCACACCCTGCAACGGGGCGCACGTCGCAACTGTGGCAATGGCGGTCGTCGCCGTTGCACGAGCGGGCAGCCCCGTCCGGGGATGTACCACGGCCCCGCAGACGACCGGCGCTGTTGCACGAATCGGCAGCCGCGTCCGGGGCGTATCACGAACGCGCAGCCGGCGTCAAGTGGAAGTGTTATACTTCTGCGTTTCGTCTGGTGAGTGAATAAGCCGGAGCCCAGTTTACTAAAGGTAGGCAGGCGGCGGATATCGTTTGAAATCATGTGTAGCGACAAATCGTTGGCTACCTTCTCACTTTTAAAAAAAATGTTGAGTATCGCATTTGACAAACGTCACGGCAGTATGAATGATAGCAGTTAGTGCACGGGCAATGAGTATTGGTGACAATAACAATTTAAAGAGAATATAATAAGAACAAATGGGCAGGCTCGTCCGGGTAAGTACCAGGACCTCACAGAAGACCGGCGTAAAGTGGAGTGTTCGCGTTTCGTCTGGTGAGTGAGGTGGCCGGAGCCCAATTTTCAATAGGTTCTCAACGCATCTGGAACCCTCGGGTGTAACAGATGTCCGTGGGCGGCGGTATTCACTTAACATCAGGTGAACCGTCTCGTTTGGCAAATTTCACATAATAAAATTGTTCAAAGTTAAGTGTAAGATCCGCATTACTCTCTATACAGAGAATGACTACAAGTCCCAACAGTAGGACATATTATGTGTCATTCAACTAAGCAATCAATTTTCGCACCCAACGGCACGTTCATATGCGTCTCCTTCAAATGCCCACTGTATGCGTAGATTATTAAATATAAAACTACCACGAGCCCCTCGCCATTGCCGCTCACCTGTAGGGGTAGAGGGGCCCGGTCAGGGTGGCCTCCGTGTGCGGCAGCTCGAGCTCGAGCAGGAGCGGTGGGGCGGCGGCCCGCGGCGAGTGCTCCCACGGCAGTACGCGCACCCGCAGCCCCCGCACCTCGAGGCTGCTGCGCCTCTGCGGCAGGTTCTCCGACAGCGACTCGCACTCCTCGACCGTCAGCGTGCGTATCGGCAGCTCTGGCGCAACGCGGATGCTTAGTATTATATCATTTATATTACTGTAATAATCCTATACCGTGTGTATTGCTAACAGTGCCATCTAGTGGAAGAGGCGGAACACAACCGTATACCGTTATGTCCGATTTCATAGAAGACAATGCATTGTAAATATATACATCGAAAATTAGCCGTTTCGTTAGTCGATTGATCATTAGCAGACCTAGCTATGCCGAAATATCATTTAAATTATTGCATCGACATTATGTTTTACTTCCTTCCGCAATAGCCGAAATTGTTCGAATAAATACTACAACTGGATATTAGACAATTTATCAACACACTTTTAACAACGTAAAGACTCAATAATGTGTCTAGAGAGAAACCGTTTCAGCGCCGCAACGGGTATCAGTGCACCCGCAAATTGTATAAGAGAAGACGCTAACCAGGCGTTTGGTGTGGGGGCAGGTGGAGGGCGAGGTCAGTCACGGCAGAGAGCCTGTGCAGCAGCCCACCACAGACGACCACCAGCATAGGTCGCACGCGCACCCGTACACCGCTTTCCTCCGTCCAGTCGCTGTACCACATAAACAAAAAATTAAAAACCGGCCAGTCGAATCTATAAAAACGGCAAAACAAATAATGTCTGTTGTATGAAACCACCACCAACCCACTCAAATATTTTTTATTCGGTTTAATAGTATTTGTTGTTATAGCGGCAACAGAAACGCATAATCTGTGAAAATTTCAACTAACGATCACGGTTCATGAGATACAGCCTGGTGAAAGGCGCACAAACGGACAGACAGATAGACAGCGGCGTCTTAGTAATAAGTTTTGCCCTAGGGAACAGTTTTACTCCATTAAATTCTAAAGCCTCAAATTTTAAGACACTGCTCCTCAAAAATGTACTCTCCAATGTTCTAAATATTATCATATCATTTAAATGCACCTGTACTGGAAGTCGAGTGGCGGATTGTCGTAGGGGTCAGTTAAGGAGTTGGGTGGCGCCCTCTCGTGGTAACATTCGAGGAACACGACGGGCGCCATCTTAGTCCACAGCTCATCGCTCTCTTCGTCTTGATGATGCTCAGGGTCTTCAGGATTCTTGTTTGTTGTGCCCTATGATAAAGTATAAAGAAAGATTACTAACAGCGATTACTGAAACAGTAATACTGCGCATAAAGTATGATCATATCCGTAGAAGACGGAAATACATTCATAATTCGAACATCTATAGTTTTTTCAGTAAATGTTTAGGTTGAATGTTTTTAAATATTAGTTTTTCGTGTAAATCATTTATTCATATAAGCAATTTTTGACCTTAAGGACGCGTTTACGAATTCACGCGCTTCAATTTTAGGTACAGAGGCGTACTACTACACGTGCACGGCTCACGCACACAGCGACAAGCGCGAAGCGGCGAAACTTTATGTAACTGATGCAACTTGATACTTTTATTTAATTTGAAGTGATTTATTTTTTAAGCATACTTTAAATTGTTTTCAACAAGTTTAGTGAAATTTTCTTATATTATTAGATATCATTATTTAATCGATAATTTGCGTTTTAATTAATTATTTATTTAATGCAATTTTCTGTTCATAATTTTTATAAAAAATTCAAACAAATTTAAAAATTATTTCTGTAAATTAAAATTTCAATTTTAATTTTTTTTAAGAGGAGGAAGTAGAAACTTATTTCATTCATTTTATTTATAACGCGGACGGCACTGCAGCCCACTCCGAGCCAAGGATAGGAAAGACATCGAACTAATCGTTGATTATGCAAATAGATAGGTTGTATATGTATATTGAATAGTAGATAGATTGATAGTTTACGGATTCTATTGCATTTAATTTAAATTCCCGACGTTTCTAACCCTTTCCAGCGTTCATGAATTGGAATTAGCATGGCATATGAAGCCATGCTAGTAGCTGGTACCTAAAAATGAAATAAAAAAAATAATAACACCAAGAAAAGAAAAGTAGTGAAAAATTTATTGAATTTTTGTTTATATTATACTATCATCCACATGTGAAGAATGTACTCGTAGTTCCATATTTCTTTTGAATCTTGGGTCGATCAATTCTGGAAGGAGACAGTTCTTATAGAATCGAATTAGATGTGATTCCATATTCTCCTTCCAGAATTTATCGTCTTTGGATATGAATTCATATTTTATTTTTCCAGCGCCCGTCCAAATAGCAAAGACACAAGTCTTTTCCCCGGTAATTCGTAGCTGACCTTGAATTTGGAAATACCATTGATGTTTGGTATTTACAACCAATTGGTTTGAATTCGACGGGTATTTCCAAAAGTTAACTTTTTTTTGTCGTATCGCTTCTTCTGGGTCCATTTCATATGCCGACGACGGACATTTAATTTCTACTATCCCGTGTTCACACTTTCCATCAGGACTTGCACCGAGGAAAGAAAATTCTTTATCGATAGACAACCCACATTGCCAAATTTTTGTATTTAAAACTTGTTCAAGGTCGCGTATTGCAGTGTACTCATTGTTTTTTTACCGTGTTTGATGGATGGTATATTACTCAAATCTCTTCCATACAAAATCTTTTTTACTAAAGATGCACAACTGGAGCTTGGGCGCCGTTTACATACCATAGCAAACCATGAAGCTGTAAGCAACTTTCTTCTAATTTCTAACCATAGCGGACTAGCACTTTGTAAAATTGTGTCTTGCTCGATCTTATCTTTTTGTTCAGACGTTATTTCTAGGCTAGTCAAAAAGTCTTTTTTAGCTCTTTGATATTGTTTTTCATCCATGTCGACTTTTTGGCATTCTTCTCCATAATGAACTCCCTTTTTGGTGGTAGGTTTGACGACTTTCTTTTTTTTTAATTTTTTTTTAATTCTTTTTATCATTAGTTGTTGACGAACGCTTTCTAACTGAACTATTTCATCGTTTGCATCAGTATCAAAGATATATTTATGAACGGTCGACTGTAAGGCACCCGAATTAAATGATACAACAGCTGCAGCACAGCGGCCAGAATATGATCCACGTTGCGAAAAATTCACTCTTTTTCCGCCAACAAATTTCGCTACTCTGGCGTTAAAGCTCTCCACTAAGTTGTTGGTTTCGTTGTGTACGAAGCTGTAGGCGTGGAACGATAAACGATAAGCCAAATCTTCTATTTTTTGAAACAGTCCATTTACTTTCAATTCCGGCACCATATTTTCGGAACGTTTCTTGATTTCATCGTTACAAAAAATATGATGCACATTTTGAATGATCTCCGAAAATGTGATAAGGACCATTAGTAATATCATTTTTAATATTTTCCATTTTTTCGGAAAACGGAACATTTTGCTTGACCCAATATTTGACGCTACTATCTACTCCCCATCGTATCCGCAAATAATTATCTTTTAATATTTTTCGAGCTCTTATGGGATATGCAGTATTGCTCGATATTGATAAAAGCCCTTTGCAGTAGTTTCTGAGCAAATGATTTTTGCACTCTACTTTACCTACAGTCACACTTTCATATGGCCTAGCATTTCGGATACTAATATATGTACTGGAATCACCATCTGCTACATAATGACTATAGATGAGTCCGTGACTCTTCATTGATGTTTTAAAACCCTCTGTTATAATAACTGCTTCCATCGCAGTAGAAGGCCCTTGAAAATTTTTAAAACAACTATGTTTCGGTGATTGTACTCCTTTGGAATGTGCTCGAGAACAGATGATACACGTCTTATTTTTTACTCCATAGTAAAGAACTTTTTTAGAAAAAATTCCTACAATAGTACCAACTCCAGAAGACGCACTGTAATTTGTACCATACGAACGTTTGGACCAACATGCGTCCCCCGCTACAGCTATCATTGGTAATCCTTCATCATTTACGCTTCCAATAGATAAAGCATGATTCTTCTCTTCCTTACCAGCCTCTGCCATACAGTGCTGTGCAGTTTTTTTCCACAATCGACAAATTATATCATGTTTCATTTGATATAATCGTACCGACATAGGTGGCATATTTATATGACAAAGAATTGTGTTTAGCTGTGTAACTCCGGCACCAATAGTCATAGTACCGGCCACGACTTCTTCGTTCACATCCATTTTATTTTCCGAATCTTTAGAAGATTTTAATATAAACTTTGCGCCACAAATTTGACACTTCATTTGAAAATTTGAATTAAGTCCAGTCCTTTTTTCATGTAACATTTCAACAGTACTTAAATTACATTTAAACATGGAAGTATGGTTTCCGATTTCTTGAAGCTGTTTCATAAAATAACCTATTTCTACGAGCCTTCTTCCTGAAACCTGGAACGGTTCTGTTTCCTCACTGTTCAGGTTCTAAAAAAAATAATACAGAAAAATAAGACAAGACAGTGAAAAAAAGTATTAGAATGAACAAATCATAACAGCAATTTATAACTTACGTTAGCCATTTCCAAGTTGTTGTCATCGGAAGTACTACAAGTGATTCGGTCATAGCTTTCCGGACTCGCTTCGGTCGTATCAGTCACGATACTCAAATCACGACTACTTTTTGCCTATGAAAAAGGATCCTGATAAGTAATATTTACAATAATACATGTATTTTTAACAATCATATAAGTACTAACTGTTTTCCCCTTTTTTTGCGTTACGTCTACAGGCATAAATTTTCTTACGCGAACTTTTTCCAAACGTCTTAAGCCTTGGCATCTAAAACAACAATTGAGTTATAAAAGGTATAAACGTTGTATCTAATCATTGAACCATGAACATAAGTCTTTGATAATTTAAGTTGAGAGCCACTACATTTTCAGACCACAAATATTTTTCGTGTTTATTTCCCATTTCAAAGACGCTTTACTGTAGATACCAATTGTGTTAAGTATTACTTTAGGCAAAATCAATTATCACAAAAGGGGTGTTTTTTTTTTCAACATAACTAACAAAACAAACCCAAACTCGACACACGTAGCACTTCTCGTCTATTAGTTCCAGTAGCAGTTCTCGAAGTACACCTTCAGGTCACTCCATCTAGTCAGAAGGCAAGGTCTCACCATACCTAACAAAATAAGCCCAAACTCGACACACATAGCTCATCTCGTCTGTTAGTTCCAGTAGCAGTTCTCGAAGTACACCTCCAGGTCACTCCATCTAGTCAGAAGGCAAGGTATAACCATACCTAACAAAACAAGCCCAAACTCGACACACATAGCTCATCTCGTCTGTTAGTTCCAGTAGCAGTTCTCGAAGTACACCTTCAGGTCACTCCATCTAGTCAGAAGGCAAGGTCTCACCATACCTAACAAAACAAGCCCAAACTCGACACACATAGCTCATCTCGTCTGTTAGTTCCAGTAGCAGTTCTCGAAGTACACCTTTAGGTCACTCCATCAAGTCAGAAGGCAAGGTCTCAACATAACTAACAAAACAAACCCAAACTCGACACACGTAGCATTTCTCGTCTATTAGTTCCAGTAGCAGTTCTCGAAGTACACCTTCAGGTCACTCCATCAAGTCAGAAGGCAAGGTCTCAACATAACTAACAAAACAAACCCAAACTCGACACACGTAGCACTTCTCGTCTATTAGTTCCAGTAGCAGTTCTCGAAGTACACCTTCAGGACACTCCATCTAGTCAGAAGGCAAGGTCTCACCATACCTAACAAAACAAGCACAAATTCGACACACATAGCTAGCTCATCTCGTCTGTTAGTTCCAGTAGCAATTCTCGAAGTACACCTTCAGGTCACTCCATCTAGTCAGAAGGCAAGGTCTCACCATACCTAACAAAATAAGCCCAAACTCGACACACATAGCTCATCTCGTCTGTTAGTTCCAGTAGCAGTTCTCGAAGTACACCTTCAGGTCACTCCATCTAGTCAGAAGGCAAGGTCTCACCATACCTAACAAAATAAGCCCAAACTCGACACACATAGCTCATCTCGTCTGTTAGTTCCAGTAGCAGTTCTCGAAGTACACCTTTAGGTCACTCCATCAAGTCAGAAGGCAAGGTCTCAACATAACTAACAAAAAACAAACCCAAACTCGACACACGTAGCATTTCTCGTCTATTAGTTCCAGTAGCAGTTCTCGAAGTACACCTTCAGGTCACTCCATCAAGTCAGAAGGCAAGGTCTCAACATAACTAACAAAACAAACCCAAACTCGACACACGTAGCACTTCTCGTCTATTAGTTCCAGTAGCAGTTCTCGAAGTACACCTTCAGGACACTCCATCTAGTCAGAAGGCAAGGTCTCACCATACCTAACAAAACAAGCACAAATTCGACACACATAGCTAGCTCATCTCGTCTGTTAGTTCCAGTAGCAATTCTCGAAGTACACCTTCAGGTCACTCCATCTAGTCAGAAGGCAAGGTCTCACCATACCTAACAAAATAAGCCCAAACTCGACACACATAGCTCATCTCGTCTGTTAGTTCCAGTAGCAGTTCTCGAAGTACACCTTCAGGTCACTCCATCTAGTCAGAAGGCAAGGTCTCACCATACCTAACAAAATAAGCCCAAACTCGACACACATAGCTCATCTCGTCTGTTAGTTCCAGTAGCAGTTCTCGAAGTACACCTCCAGGTCACTCCATCTAGTCAGAAGGCAAGGTATAACCATACCTAACAAAACAAGCCCAAACTCGACACACATAGCTCATCTCGTCTGTTAGTTCCAGTAGCAGTTCTCGAAGTACACCTTCAGGTCACTCCATCTAGTCAGAAGGCAAGGTCTCACCATACCTAACAAAACAAGCCCAAACTCGACACACATAGCTCATCTCGTCTGTTAGTTCCAGTAGCAGTTCTCGAAGTACACCTTCAGGTCACTCCATCAAGTCCGTAATGAAATATGAACCCCTACTAATTTCTAGTAAAAATATGACAAAGTGTGAATTAAATTTACTTTTGTAGTTCGTAGTCCGAAGTCCGAACTTTACACAAGTATCAACTTTGTTACGACAAATATTTTGTATTCGTACAGCGATCTTTTTCCTCACGAGCTGCTGTTTATAAGCGACACAGTGACCACTCATGACGGCAGCCGAGCGCCGACTAATATTTCTTTAAATGTTTTTGTGGAATAAATCAAAAAAGTGACCAGTAAAATAACCTTTATGTCAATCACTTAAGATTCACGCGTAAGATATAAATGTGAAAGAAATAGACTTTAATCTTTATTTTTTTCTGAAACTAATTTCAAAAATTTTGATACGTAATGTAGCTACCTTTTTGAGTTGAACATGTGTGCTTACATAAAATATTTTTAAATAAAAAAATATGTTATTAAATAAGAGAAAAATGTTCCTAAACCCAACAGGATATCGTCCATTTTGAACGAAGTGGCAACGAAAATTCTCATTTACAATATTATAAACCAAAATTTTCGATTAAAAACTATCTACCATTTGAAGATCAAGGAGGGATCTATATGTGATAATTATTACTTACATTATATTCGTTTCGTTTTGCCGCAAAATGTACCTGAAAACCCCTTATTTTTGCAGATTCCGCGAGATTTCGCAAACACGCCCTTAACTAACATCAAGGAACAAAGAAAAACTTGCCATTTCTGGAGTGGCACGGAACTGCTCGTCGACAGCCACCGCCGTCTCTATTTCCGCACTGCCTATATCTTCCTCGGGCCAACTCCACGACTCCTCTGAGTTTTCAACGTTGCTAAGATATACCGTCGGTTTTTCGTCCGACTGTGGAAACATAATTATATATCAATAAAATAAAGTCAAGACCAAATCAATAAAAAAAAATCAAATTTAAATCTAAGCGGCATAAATAAATTACTAGGTAACATTCACCTCGTTGAGGTCGAAAGAATGGTGAATTTGTTACACGGCAAAAGCCACGATGGGTATTCATTATTACATGTCCATAACATTACATGTAAATAGATAAGGTTATCTTTTTGGTTTTTCTTTGGTTATTAACAATAGGTATTGTATTAGATAACTAACTAGATAACTAATAGTAATTTTTAATTGTATTTTGCGTGAAAGGGGTTGGGCAGTAAGTCCTAACCGCCGCTGGAACCTACAAAGATCTATTATAGCCTTCCTTTCGAAAACATTGCCCCCTTACTGTGGGATAACTTTATTCTGGGTTGTTAGTAGGTTTTACATATATAAATTTCACATGAAGGAACACCTAGATCCGAAACATTTAAATGTTGGTCACACAAATACTTATCTCGAGCCATGCATTCATCAACGTGATATTATATGGTTGATGATGGGTAAATCATCATCGTCAATAAATATCCGTCCTGAGAGCATTGCGAACTCGTCCCATGCGATAACTATACGACACTTCAGTAATAATACTGCTGTTCTTATCGTTTATTATTGTTTTTATATATTGTTTGGTAATTTGTAATTAATTGCTTATTTTTATTGAACTTTATATTTTCTGTTCATTTATGATTATTTAGTAAAACATTAAATAAAATAAAACATTAAATAATGTCTAATAACATTAAATAATGTCACACCTCCACCTAGTTACATAACATTATTGTGGCCTCCTGTTTTCAAGGGTCTGCTGGAAGAGAAACCTCTTCAGGGTTAAGCTCGCCTTTGTACACGTTTCTTGTCATCTGTCCCAATACCGATACAGATTATATTATATTGTGTGTACAATGAAGGGGAACGGACGAACGAAAATCAAATCAACGGCTGCACTTACCATCAGGTGTGATGGCAGTCAAGTGCTGGCCAGTTTTGAATTAAAAAAAAAAGTACATGAGAAAAATCGCTAACCGCGTAGTGGTGCGAGTGGCCGCAGACGCATCGCCCATGCGAGCGGAGCTCCAGCAAACGTGCCCCTCCTCGCACTCGCAGCGTGGTCGGCGAGCACATCAAGCTCTTGACCGCAGCGTGTGACGCCGCCAGCTCCAGCACCGCCCGCGCCCGCCTCTTGCCACCGCCATCAGTCTCCATCACCTGAGCAATTGCGTTCACTGAGGCTCTTCCTTAAAGGCATTGGTTATAATTTATTTTTAAGGTACCGTACCCAAAGAGTAAAACGTAGACCTATTACTAAAGCTCCGCTGTCTGTCTGCCTGTCTATCTCATGAACCGTGATAGTAAGACTATTGAAATTTTCACAGATGATGTATTTTTGTTGCCGCCATAGCAAAAAATAAAAAAAACAGTATCAAAAAAATATTTAAGAATAATAATACGACAGACATGATTTTCTTGCAATTTTTATAGATAATTTTAGACATTCTAAAACTGGTAACCTAGAACATAACTAGAAGCTTGTTTTAATTGACATTGAATCAAAAAATAATAGGCCTGCTTAAAAGCAAGAATCGCCTGCGCTGTGTTAAACATCTAGTCCTGTTTAGTAAACATCACCCCTAGTGTTTACCGATATACTATATCATTAACAGACACTCCACTATTGCATTACCCTGTGCTGCGTTTAATGTGCCACATTAAAATCCGAAACAACTATCTGTAGGTGATTGAAATACTATTCCTATGGAACCCAACCAACAGCGCGCAGCGTGAATAGATTAGGGACGATTTCGTTGGCAATATCCTTGCAAGGACCTTGAAAGTGAAGGAGACGTCGTCGAAGTAGGCGGCGAAGGCGAGGGGGGCCGGTGTGGGGGGCGCGGGCGCGTCCTCCCCCGCGGCGCTCTCCCACGCCGGCAACCACGACCACGCCCACTCGGACCAGCTGTCCGAGCGCACGCCCTCCAGCGAGCCCGTTGACATCGCTAAGACGGTATTTAAAGATATAATAACAATTTCTTTATTAAAGGAAAACAAAACCGACTTCAAATATCTCGGCTCTGTATTCATTTTATAATTGATTTTCAGCAGTACCCTATGTATCTCCGGAGCCCAAGATCCATAGCCCAAGATACAATACCAATGAAATCATATATACATCGTGTCGTTACCATCGCGATAATAAATGAACACACATATAGGGGATAACCTTTTAAAGTTGTATTAAACATTTAAATTCTTTAAAGATCAATATTTACAGTTATAAAATTTTCCAAAACAAAGAATTTTAGAACACCCTCACCTATAAAAGCGTAACGTAAAGTTCATTTGTAAAGGTCACAAAGCATATGAATGGGTTGAATGAATTTAAAAGAGACAAAACATACTGTTAGAAGGAGAGGCTTGTAATACGACGCTGTGGCGCAAGTTGTATAGGATGTTACAAATTTTGTTTCTTTTTTACTTAATTAGTTTGGAAATTTAAATTGTTTATAGTGCTAATCTTTGCACTTAAGATTGAACATTGAAATATGTAGAAAAAGTGCGAAAAGATTGTCGCCGCTGTGGAAATCGAACCCACGTCTTCGGCATTCGCGGCCTGACGCTCTAGCCACTGAGCTAAACGGCTGATTACCACACCGACGAAAATCTTAACGCATTCTTCTACATTGTTTTCTTAGCATTTGAAGCAATGCTTGGCGCCATCTATTGTATATTTTTTTTCTACATATTTCAATGTTCAATCTTAAGTGCAAAGATTAGCACTATAAACAATTAAAATTTCTAAAAAAGCAATGGCGACATCTCTCGTTCGAATTATCGTTGTAAAACGATATTCGAAGTTGTTTGTATGCTGGAAAGGATATAACAATATAATATATATAATTCTGAGGTAACAAACATAAAAAAAATCACAATGAGTTCGTTAAAATCCAATCATTATCACAAATTAGTTGGTTCATGTTAAAAATTTGAATAACTCTATCATTCAATATAGGCCAACCCTTGCCCTTTTCTCGGAATGCTTGCGAGCCAAATCCTGTCATAGAGATTTCTGCCGACATGTTAACGTGACTTGATTACGCTTATTACGAGCGTAATCAAGTCACGCTTAGTGCAGTCTTTAAAGCGGATCAAAGATTCAACCAACACTTCCCATCTTTTTAGGCGTGGCTTCTTAATCAAGGTGACGTGTGGATGACGGCAGAAGGGTCGCTTCGTTTGTAAACCTATCCATCCACTTTATACCATCCTAAGAACTACGTTCGCAGCGCCGAATAGACGAATAGATTGTTTTCCAATATTTAACAGTAAATTGGTTATTTTTCTTGTACTCTTGTATGTAGTTTCCTGAATGTGACCGATCTCCGATTCATTGGTTGATTATTTGACCTATTTGAAGATTATGAAGCGCAACTTGGCGGCAAAATCTAACGAGGTATTATCAACTAGGCTCTAGTGATATCACTGATATTTTTTTGGAGACTAGAGCGTGTGTCAGTGTTCTTTGACGGTCATTAATAGTGGACAACGTGTTCTGGTAGTCTTATGAAACAACTGGTCTATTATGGTTATAGCTCATTCTCCCTATGAGGAGGGACATACACAGCATTACCGAAGAATGCAGAACATAAAGTAAGAGAGTCTGACGATTGCGCAATAATTTTAAAAGAAAATGTATTAGTTTCCCATTAGTCTTTGCATGTACATTGAGGGATATACTGTCGGTCGACGCCCAAATAATTAAAAAAAATGTCATGTTTTCAAATATTGGGTAAAGATATGGAAACCTAATTATGATGATGGTTATGTAGGGATTTGTTTTTGTTTTATTAATTGTGTATCTATGCCCAAGAAATCTAAAAACGAGCTGACAGAAGACCGCCATGATGTGGAGGAGTTACACTTCTGCGTTTCATCTGATGAGTGAGGTAGCCTAAGCCCACTTTAATACAAGTCATCTGCAACCCTATGGGTGTTGCAAATGTCCATGGGCGGCGTTTATCTCTTAACATCAGGTGAACCACCAGCTCGTTTGCCACCATCTCGCATAAAAAAAATAATTATTCAATGATAGTCTAACTATCCGATTATCGAATTATGCGAACATTAAGTAAGGCATTCTTCGGCTGCTTCTGCTTTCAATAAGATACAATATGAAATAAGTATACAGTAAATTAAAAGTACATTTGATTGCAAACGAGCAAGGTGATGACAGTCCAAATCTTATTTCCAAAACTTAAATAGCCATAAAAAAAAACGAATGAGGAATAGCGTTTAAATTAACAAGAGCTCAGTGTATAAAGAAAAAGCAAAAAACTAAATCCTAACTGAAACTCTTAGCAAAAATAATTGCTTAAATGCCTGGGTGCAATTTAAATTTGCTTTTAATTAAGATGCATTCATGATATTTTTGAGCAATTACAAATTTATATACATTCAGCATCACCTGTTAATACACCTGTAAAACTTTTTAAATAACTTGTGTAAAAGTGCAATAATGTTTTATTAAAAAAATATTAATTTCTTTGCAGCCAAATGAATTTGCGTTGTTTAAATAAAAGATATAATAATTCACTGAAGACTTAGTTAATCTTAATAAAATTAAAATACAAAAAATTTATTTTATTCAGTATATTTTTAAATAATTTTAAGTTGTGTACATTGTACTAGGCATAAAATATGTTTATTGGATGTTTATTCATAATTATTATAATAGTATAAAATAGTTTTATGTGCAGTAAAAGGAATGTTGATACAGAGGTGTATGGTTGTTATTGAAAACAATAACCGATAAGTAATGTCATTATAAAACATAAGGACAGTACTAATTATAGAAACATATCAAGAACTCGGTAACCTACTTTATAATAAAACTGCAATTACCACTAAGGTATTTTGGATACTAAAGGCCTTCTTTATTTATTTTCCTGTATTAGGGGGAAGTCTTAAAAAGACCGCTTGGGGCCTATTACCCACAAAAACCTCCTCACTCGGTACGGGTAGAGGATCGCGCTTCGAGAAAAAATAAACCTTCCCGATTTCCTTGCTGCATTGCAGGCAACACAAGGTCACTGCATGATGTGGCCCCTACCGGGTACCCCGTAGGGCCCGCCGGATCCACCTCGATCGTCCATGAACCCAGGGTCTCCATTTTGTCGCCTTTTACGATAGGCAGGCGATATCTTTGCACTATAAGAACGAGACTGCGGAACTGGTTACTAGTAACCGTAAATTGCGCTGACATGACAAAAAATAAAAATGAGAAAATAGAGCTATAGCTCTTGCAACTTGTTTCGAAATTAATATCAAATGAATAGATACATAATACACAACTAAATATGCGGTATACATACTACTTGATAAAAATGTGCCTTATAACTTTACAAGTGCATTGTATCGCGTGAAAATAGCACAAATAATGTGTGTATAATGTATGTAATCATATACACCCATCCAGGCGCATGTTTCGCCGGGCGCAATTCGTTGGGCATAAATGAAGAAAATTAAAAATGATAGAATTTCAATCGCCTATTGCCGAATTGAGCACTAAAAGATGTACCGACCTGGGGCCGGCGGCGGGGGCGCGTGGGCGGCGTGGTGCGCGGCCGCCGGCGCCGGCGGTGGCGGTGGCGGCCGCTCGCGCACCAGCCGCGCCAGGAGCGCCAACTGCTCGCCACTGGCGCCGCCGGCGAGCCGCGCCGCGCGCAGTCGCACCGACACGCAGCGCGCGCGTCGCCTCGTCGCCGACACCAGCCGCGTAAGGACCCTGCACACAACCCCGCTTGAGTATATATAGGGGCCGCGCAAAAAGATCGATGTCAAACAGTATACAGGATTGGAGGGGATACGGCGGCGGTACGGCCGCTGGCTGCCCTGCTTAACTGCACGTATGTGTACAATCGCGAACAGCCTCGTTTCGCGGTTTCCGGGCCATATGATATAAAGCGCGAGCTCCTGAATTTTGAACGCGACGGTACATTCGCAAAGATCGCGCGCATCAACTCCGTTTATGAACAATGAACATTTATATAAATTTCGCCCAGCCACAATACTGCAAGAGCGTAAGTTTTGTTTGCAAAATGTTACTGAAACTTTCACGCCACAACAGGGTAGCCACTGATTATAATTTATTTATTTAAACAGGCTTAACGACTAACTACATAGAAAAACAATTATTATTCTGATTTATTGCAATTTAAAATGAAGTTAAGATTATGTATTTAAATTAAAGGTTAACACAACATCGAATAAAATAATTAATTTAAAAAGAAGAGTAAACAAACTTATTAAAACCAAATGAATGTGATTGCCATAAAATATCCATTAAAAATTTCACGGTGGTATTTGAATAATCGCAAAGAGCGGTTTAAAGTTTAAGGTAAATATATAAAAACGTTAAATTGATAGGTGTATTCAGTGTTAGGGTTAGGTATCATATATCAGAGTAGAAAGTTGTGTATTTTTAATGACGTTTATTTAGAAAAGCGTGTGAAAGCTTCTTGACATTTCTTATACATAATTATTTTCATTTACTACTGTGATTAAGTTCAATTGTTTATTAATTTGTTGAAAATCAGGCGCTTTTGCGGTATTTATATTAAATTTTCATATGTTTAATTACTACTTGTGCAATATGTGTATGTAATGTCAGGAAATGGTGTCTTCGATTTGGGAATTTTTATAATTCAATGAATATTGTACAATAGCCAATTGCATGCAAATGATATGATTGCACAGCTTGCAACACGATTAGAAATAAATAAATTCGCAAATATTATTATTCCCTGTAATGTCTGTACGATTGACATTTTCCAGACTCTGGTATTCGCCAGCCATTGTAGCAAATGAAGTAAATTATGGTTAATAGGTACACACAAAGAAAGTAATACAATATGTACATTAATTGATTTGATTGATTTATTATGCTATAAATTCTTTTGTTTTATAAACAGTCAACAATAACCGAAAGGTCGGAAGATATAATTTCAAAAAATGCTGACTATCTTGTTTTTACAGATACTAGCATTTCAGTAAACAATATTAATGAGCGACATTGAAGACAAAATATTGTCATAAACATGAACATACTTTCATGAAGATTGTGTCTTTTAAATGAGACAATCACTAATAAATCTTATTATTTAGCTATCTACGATTATAAAACCTACTTAACTTTTAGAAGACTAATAAAAATTAAAGTGTTGGTATATAATGTAAAATTCCTAAAACACCATACACAGTTCATGTTACACATTTAATGTGTGTCAGTTCTTTCAATGTAAAACTGATATTAAGTTGTTATGGATGCTGTAGATTACAACATCTGTGGAGGGATGCTAAAGCGAAGTTTGTAAAAGTGTGCTCCGGTAACCTCACTCACTAGACGAAACACCAAAGTATAATACATACTAATATAAAGAAAAGCAGGAAGCAAGGCACTACTATGGTTAACAATAAAAAGATCAAAACAAAGTGCGCACCAGAGGTAAATGTATATGTGTAAACTTATGAGAGATTGATAAAAGCAGTGGCAAGTTTGATTGTAGCAGCAGGTCATATCATTTCACTATATGTATATAATAAGTAAACAATCACAACTACTTTTAAGTCTCTTAATGAGCCACAATATTGTGTTTAGTAAACATAAATTAAATGAGTTATTAACACCCCTTCTATCTTCGAGAACACTTATAATCTCATGTATGACTTGTGGATATTTTAAATAAATAAAGAATCATTACTCTGTGTACATTTATAGAAAACAGAAAACTGTAAATAACCACACAGTAAATGTAAAATTATGAAGTTAAAGAAGACCTGAAGTCAAGCTGGCATCGGTAGAGCAATGGTTCCTGATAGAAGCGTATCTTGCCATCTGCATCAGCGCGGTCGAGGCAGAGTGTGAGATCATCGAGCCTAACAAGGCGCCGCAAAGCAGGCTCGGCCGCGTCTATGTCTGGAGTCAAATATTATAACTGTAGCATAATGTCCATCGATAAACATATGAAAAAAACATCCAGATCCAAGAACTAAACATGATATCAAGAAAGGAGCCAAATAAGAAGCATGTGTCAACATTATTAATGAACAAAACAGCGAAGTGTTTTGTACATGAATATGTACTGTATTTTGTATGGAATGGGTTACATAATAGATCACAATGAACACTGCAACTTAAAAAATCTATTGCAATTTTCCCTCCAAAAACATTGACCCTTACTGTTCATTTTCACACATAAATTTCATGAAGGCAAATACCTAGATATGAAACAATTATCCGTGGGTCACACTAGTTGTCCTGTATGGGAATCAAAGCCACAACCCCAACGCCGAAACCAATACCATGGCAAGTACACCACAGTTTCATCATACATCAATATGTTACATGAATTCCATAAGCAAGAAGACTCCACTTAATCAATAAGAAAATTCATTGAATAGTCTTTTACAGCTTTTTACAAATTTATAATGTGACTAATTCCTTACCAGCAAATGCTGGTTCCCAGCTGGGGCCAGCGCTGTCGACCGCAAGATGTTTCACATTGAGGGACAAAACAATGTCATCTTGGACATACTTCACAATAAGATGGTGTACACGTAGAGCTATATTGCTCACAACGCGTCTAACCAAAGCGCGCATGTAGCCAGGCGGGGCTTCCACAACTTGAGTTCTAAAAAAATAGTATCTCTCATGTGATAATTGTTTACAAAGTATTGGGAAGAATGTTATGCATAGTAAATTTATTATGTAAAAACATTCATCAAATATATAATGCAATGATATTTATCAAGCCTGTATTCTCATTCAGTATTCACATTGAATACTGCACAATATCCAGAACTAATTTCAATATTTCCTAACAGAATTACACTTAAATAGTACAGTATATTATGACAGTTGGAACATGATATTGATTAATTGTGAAAAATATATTAAACATTCACTATTCGAATTGACTTATTAATCTTAATTCTTTTATAAATAGGGGAAATAATTCACATTTTAATTACTTTGGGGCTTCTGGTGGTGGACTCTCTTCAGGAGGAGGATGTAGACTTAAAACACATTCTGCAAAAGAAGTTATTTACATTAAAAAATTTGAATAACCTTACCATATTAAAACATAAATTATACATATTGTTGTACTCCTGTGTTTCGTCTGGTGAATGTGGTAGCCGGGCTCGCTTCATTAAAAGGACATTTTATTTTTGGATCCAATTGGAGAAAACTGGGTCAATGGAAACTGATCACATAAATAAGAAAAGGGATATACCATCAGATTTTTGAATATGGGAGCCAGTTGGGCTATCTAATAATCATTGTGATGGTTGTATATTTTTTATGGTAGCTACAATACCTAACTGGTTGCAGTGGCATTTGCAGCATTAAAGAGTGGATAGTTACCTCACGAAATGTAAAAGAATAATACTTCCACTTCTCGCTGTTGTGTTTTGTGAGCCAGTGGTACTTCCCAAGATGCGGCTGCCGCTTTTGTGCAACAGCCGAATTTGCTGAGTGGCTATAGATAAGTGCAGACTTATCTCAGCAAACAAAGCATCAAACAATGCTGAGTGGCTTTGTTTGACCCACAACTAGTTTTATATGTAATTGTTCAAATAATCAATAAAAAATTGTATTTCTTTTCGTTTTTACATTGAAATGAAACATCTGACCCCTTCGATTCAAATTATAAGGATGTGTAACACACTTACCTATAGTGTCTATGGTGACAACTATTGGCTCGGACATTATCTTTGTCCATGGCACTTGGATTAAAAGCTCATGTATACGCCCTGAGACAAGTGTAAAAGGCAGTGAAACTTCCTGCTGTAGAACATCTGCTTTGAGGACCAAATTGTGAAGAGCTACTCCACCGCCCCATAGTGACAACTAAAAAAGATTACATAAATAGAATCTACTTTGAAATAACAAAAAAACTAAAGATATTGGGATCACTTTTTGTTTTCAATTAAGTACAATTGTATTCGAAAGGAAAAAAAGATACTGCATTCTTACTTGTGCATCAGCTGGTCTAAAATCTCTAACATATTTGTCGACATAGCTTAGTAATATAGGAGTAATGTAGGATTCAATTCTAAACATCTTTTAAAATTATTGCCTCTAAGAATTCAACATCTGCATGTCTTCTGCTGAATTATTCAACCCTGCAAAAGAGGAAAATTCAGATTTAAGTAACAAAGTAAAACACCATATAGAGCCTCCTTAACTTCTTGAAGTCAGATGAACTTATTTGAATTACATATCACCTGTTTTGTGATTTAATACCGCCAATAAAACCAAATGCCAATATGAAATAATATAGTACAACATAAGATATGTCATCCATATTTTACCACCATCTAACTTTATTGATTAATTGTACAACATACCATGTACCTATAAATAGATTGCAGACTTAGTTACAATAAACCATATCGTACATTACAAATTGAATTCTGTTACTTAAACTGTTGAGAAATATGGCACCTTGGCCTGTTGCCTTGCTTTTTATTTCTATAATCGCTCTAAGTTCACTTCAAAGGCTACTATTTCAGACTGGTTAACTTTATTGATTTTGTACACAATACAGTGTATGTACAAATGGATTACAGGACTTGTTACAATTAAACATGAAAATTTAAAAATCGGAACATATTTAAAAATCATTCATTAAAAAATAGAATTTAACTAAGTAATACGTATGATTTTAGTCCTATCTTTATCGAAAGAACTATGTAGTTTTTAATAAATAAAATATTATATCTTTAATTATTCAAAGTACCTATAAAAACACCGGCGTGTCAAGTCAAAATATGACTCAAGTCTCAACTCAAGAAGTAAAGATTAAACATATAGACTAAGTATATTTATCAGATAATATCAAGTATTTAAAAAGATATTCGAAGTTACATACTTTATATAATAAATGCTTAATTTAAATGTAGTTAAAGAAATTATAACTAGTCTTATTCCCACTTGTGCCCGATTTTCACGTAACAAAATATTAAATATTATATGCTTCATTTACCACGCCGATTTAAACAGGACTAGGTAATTAAAAAATATATACCTAAAATTATTCCCATTTATGTCCTATTTGCACGTGTTAAACATTTAATTCAAATGTCTTTCCAGAAATAATCGAAAATAAAATTTAGTCAAGCTCTTAGGGTCTCCTAAAGGTTAACCAAGTATAGCTTGTAGAAGCAATTAAAACAGTAAACAAAACCCCCTGGGTACCCCCTGGGTCTTGGGTTTGACTCTCCGACGTGCACCTGTCCAACTCCTAGGGCAGTGTGGAAAGACCCCGGTGTGTGTAAACAAAATTGTATCAAAATTGATTTTATCGAAGAAAAGGAAGAAATATCCGAGAAAGTTAAGAAATCTATTTAAAAAAAGCCTAAGACTAAACTAGGCGATGCAGCAACTGAATTTTGACTAAAGAGTGCATTTTCAAATATTAACATATTTGAAAATGCAACTTAAAAGAAAAGCCAACTTAACGTCAAATTTCAATAAACCCTATTTATTTCGTTAGGTGTACACCAGTGCGTATTTTTGAGCTTACTACTGGTAGTAATTTCAAAAATACGTACAGGTGTAACTGGTTACTAGCAGAATATTTATATGCAAATCACATGTTACGTGTGAATAGTGCAATAAACTTTTCAATTTTTTTTATACTAATGACCAACTAAAATCTATACAATGGTTTCCTTATTTATTTAATTAAATTAAATCCATAGAAATATTAAACGTAATGACTACTATATATTTTATAAAATTTCATGATTCTAGGTATTTAATTTCACATGTCCGTTTTTGCGTAACATTGATCTTAATCCATAATGATTAAATGAAGATGTCAGACTGTCAAGTTGTTAATATAGTACTATTATTTATCTGTGTGATAGAGTAGAGCCCCTGAGTACGATAGGAGAGGTCGGTGGGTCAATAAAAATGTATTTGTAGATTTTAGGTGTTCGTCATGGTATTTGCTCTTTGCACATTAAAATTTTAAGCTATGGCTTTATTTTTATGCATGTAAGTTGATTTTCATTTTTGTTGTAATGTTTTACCTGGGTTGTTTACTGTTCTGAGTTATTAGTGTTTGTCATTTTGCCATGGAATTGTATTTTTTTTTTGTATAAAGTTCGATTAAATAAAGTTATATAACTTTGTGTAAAAGTGTAAATAACCATTTATTTGTTGTTATAAATTACAGCACAGCCGAAAATATTATTGATGTGACAACTTTCGTGTTAATTCCTTTGTTTTAAATGTTTGTATAATTTTGTAGTTAAAAATATACATTTATCAATTTTACAATAATGATGGAATGTGTTTATATGAACTAGCATTTTAGAGCTTAATTGCTTTGTTAACTAAATTTAAATAGTTCAATAGAAGGTCCTTAGAGTGAAGAATGAAATAATCTTTTTTTCTTTTTCAGCTCTCGTTACTGAACATCACAGAGCAAATTCCATGCCACCCAAACTATTGTATACTTAACAATAAGTGACACAACTTTAAACTAGTCATGCATGGGTCGTTAATAACTAATCCTTCAATTTGTTAAAATGCTTTTCTAAATAACATTGTTACAAAGATATGCTGAAATTGACTCACAGTTTTTACAGATGTCTGTCATCCACATGTGAGAACATTAGTCATAAAATATCACATGTGAGAACTTTTTCACATCTAAGTAATAAAAGCAAGGCATGCACTACAGTATTCAATCAGAACACATCACTCATTCCATTAATTCATACCAGCCAACAGTGGCGGCAGCTAGCTAACATAAGCAAGAGGTTACACATTAAGAAATCATTTAGTAAATCAAATGAAGGGAAGGCAGTCAAGCAAATGAGTGATTCTCTCCAGCCTACTATAAACCATGTCAGTTATGGAGGTCAATTTGAAGTGTAAGTATGAAGAAGTATAAATTTTCTTCATTATTTATTTTTAAAGTTATAGTCAATACTTTAAAAGTATGTAACCTAAAAGACAAAGCCAGTGAGGAATAAATTATAAATTCAATATGTATATTACAAGATATTAAAGTAAAATTTAAATCATGTCATAAAAATGCCAATGAAAAAAAATCTCTTCGCAAATTTGAGAATTTATATTTTTTACTTATAATTGTTCTAATTAGTGAGCCTGAATATGAAGCAGATTCATGGATCCAATTGGAGGAGACTGGGTCAATGGAAACAGATAACTTAAATAAGAAAAGGGATATACCATCCGATTTCCGAATATGGGAACCAGTTGGGCAATCTAATAATCATTATGATGGTATGTTAATTTTTAATATTATATAGTTTTGTATTAAAAGTGCTATACACTACACTCTAGTATAAAGTTGAGTTATGTTTAAAAAAAAACATCTTGGTTTGCATATAATAATGTTATTTTCTATTTAGGTATAATGACATTATGGTTTGATCATCATCATCATATCAGCCGTAGGACGTCCACTGCTGAACATAGGCCTCCCCCATTGACTTCCACTTCAACCGGTTGTTAGTGGCCTGCATCCAATGTGTCCCTGCGATCTTGGCTAGATGGTCCGTCCACCTTGTGGGAGGCCTTCGTACGCTGCGCTTGCCGTCACGTGGTCTCCACTCGAGAACCTTTTTGCCCCAACGGCTATCGGTTCTTCGAGCTATGTGCCCTGCCCACTGCCACTTCGAGCCTGCTGACTCGCTCAGCTATGTCTGTAACTCTAGTTCTTCTACGGATCTCCTCATTTCTGATTCGATCACGCAGAGAAACCCCAAGCATTACCCTTTCCATAGCGCGCTGTACGACTGCGTGCTTCCTTATGAGGCCCATAGTGAGAGACCACGTCTCGGCACTCTAGGTCATCGCTGATAGCACGCACTGGTTAAAGACTCGTCTTTAAGGACTATGGTATTTTGGACGTAAAGACGCTGCACAATTTCCCGAACGCAGCCCAGCCGAGCTGGATTCGTCGATTGACCTCCTTCTCGAAGTTGGATTTGCCTTGTTGGACCATTTGTCCCAGATAGACGTAGCTATCAACAACTTCGAGTGGCGAGCCTCCTAACAATATGGGGGTAGGTGTCACATGGACATTTGACATGACTTTGTCTTATTTTATGGTTTGATATTATATATAAATTAAAAATTATATTTTTGTACATCATCTATTAATCTAAAAAATTTATCTCTATAAAGATGTATTTGTAATTAATGTATTAATAATTATCAAGTAAAATAAGTGGGTTATAAAATTGTTGTTTATGTACTATAATGCAATGTTAGTTTATTTTTATTGCTAATCTGCACTGAAGATAAAACTTAAATGTCAGATTAATAGATAATTTATGGCGCTGCCAGGCTTCGAAAAAGTGTCTCTTGGGCAAGCACCAAAGTGCTCAAACCAAGCTTAATGGCTGATATCCCCACACCGTGAATGTGTAGACAACTAGATAGTTAAAATAAAAAAAAAGAATAAAAAGTAGATTTTATTTTGCATTTTAAAGAAAGCTTTAAGCTACCTAGTGAGTTAGTTTAAAGTATACCGAAACAATCAATCAGAGCACAATTCATTCTAGTCAGTTTTATATTTAAAACTCTGATTTAAATTTCTATAATACACTCAAAATTGTTTTCAGAAAACAATGTTTAGAACCAACATATTTTTGTTATATAATACATGGTCTAAAATCATCGGTCAGCTGAATGCTAGTCTTGTTAAAACTCTCTTTTTAACAACATTAATTATAACAATAACTACATTGACCTAACATTTTCAGAGCACAATATACATTACAAGGCATGTCTATATTTATGGTATTAGTAGGTATCACATGAGGCACAGTCCAATGGGCAAAGGCCAAAGTGTCGAATTTAGGTTCTTATTGTGGTTATTTTTATTATCGAACGTATGTAATATATATTTACATGCAGTTAAACCAAAGCGCTCTATCTCATATCTCTACATTCAGTTTGTTATTATCAGTATGCACCATAATTTTTCGAGTTATTAAACTTCATATGTTGCAAAATAAAAGACAACATTTAAAACCGAAGAAATATCACGTATGATATTAAAGTAACAGAGCAGAAGTCGAAAAAAAAGGTTACAGACCAAATGACATGTTTAAAACAGACAAAATCTGACTTTTTTATATTGTCACATTAGACAGAACTTTTTAAAGTTGAAAATGTATGAAAATAATTTGAATTCATCGGAAATAATGAATAAGGTCATTATGAAATTGGGCCGCTTACTTAAAAGTAAATACCTAATAGAAAAATTCCTTTTGGTTTATAAATAATCCTGCTCATCTCGTTATAAGTATGAAGAACATTACACTTGTGTTTTTGCTACCAAATACAAAGCGCTTTCGTTACTTCTGTCCTGCATCTATTGGGGCACGGTGTTTGTTGTGTAGCTTTTAGAAGCATGAGAAAAAGCTCATCTGTATTAGACTGCTGGTTTTAGAAACCTCGTTAACAATATCCTCAAATGCTGCAGATGTGCCGTTTGCGCAACTGTTTTCTTTGCTTCAGCACAAAATTTATCACCTACTTTATCTGCTTTGGAAACAGAGCAGTTTATTGATTGGTACATAGCTCTATTGCAACTAGTGCGCACCAGCAACGGAGATTGGTATTAAAAAGAGTTCAATACGGAAACGAGGAATACAACTAAAGAGATCGAAGAACAATTTGTGTTGTCATATCTAAATGATGGTTTTAACGCCGCTAGAGTAACATTAAAAGTTTTCTTTCGAAAGAAACGTTTCAAATTCGTGTGTTCAAGAATAATGTTCCAAACAAGATTTTTTGTATAACATATTAATATGTTATTGTAATACCTATGGACTTACTAATCGAATTTGTACCCTATATTAGCGTTGGGCAGCCAAATATTCCTTTTGGTCCTTTCAATGTCGTTATAACAGGTTTTGGCTGTAGCATTTTTGTTTCACATTTTTATGTTACTCTTACTGATTTTATTGTTTTAGGAAGCAGTTTTAAATTTAAAATAGTGTCGTACAATGTATTGGCGCAATATCTTTTGGAGTGCCATCCGTACTTGTACACACACTGTTCACCCCGGGATCTCAAATGGAAGGTGCGCGCTGCGCGCCTCTATAACGAGATCTTAAGCCTAGAGCCCGATGTAAGTAGATTCAATCAAACATATTTTGAAATTAGTTCTTCTGTATATACAGCGTGTCTTTACAATCGCGACAATAAATGAACACGAACATTTACATTCTTTAAACATCAATGTTTACTGAGTTATTAAAGTTTTCAAAATTACGAATTTTAGTACACACTTATAAAACTGTAACGTAAAGTTCATTTGTAAAGGTCACAAAGCATATGAATGGGTTGAATGAATTTAAAACAGACAAAACATACTGTTAGAAGGAGAGGCTTGTAATGCGACGCTGTGGCAACGAATGAAAAAGTCTCTGAATGTATGAATCAGTCAGTTGTAGTTGTATAGGATGTTACAAATTTTGTTACTTTTTTACTTAATTAGTTCGTTTGAAAAATATTTTTTTTTAATTATGGATTTTTTTCACGTTAATATTTTTTTATGATTATTGGCAAGTAGCGTTAGACGTGTGTTCATTTATTGTCGCGATTGTAAAGACACGCTGTATATATTTATATTATTTAAAAATTCTGTAATCCAAGGAAATTGGACTATAGAATTTTTAAAGCTGGCTCGCACCCATCGGCGAAAATCGGTTATAAGGAGATTTCCGGAATTTGCTTTATCAAGGCAATTTAAAATGCCCTGTATAACGCAACAGAAATATCGAGTATTCGTGTATATATCATAAGAATCGTATCATTCGTTAGATGTTCCTCTAGTCCCTAATTATTGTCTTATTCAATCAAAATCAAAACGAATGGGGAGGTCCGTCCGGGGAAGTACCACGACCCCATAGAAGACCGGTGTGACCTAGAAATTATACCTCTGCGTTTCGTCTGGTGAGTGAGGTAACCGGAGCACATTTTATTAAAAGTTATCTGCGACCCTACGGGGTTACCAAAATGTCCATGGGCGGTGGTTACTTAACCATCTAACATGGTGGGTCGTTTAACATCAGGTAAACCGCCAGCTCGCTTGCTACATTGTCACATGAATAAATAATAATAACTGATCCGTTTTGTTATTCTGCACCGTAGATTCTTTGCCTTCAAGAGGTTCAAGCGTCGCACATACAAAGCTTCTACTCGAAGTTCGAAGAGATCGGCTACTGTGGTGTGTTTAAGCAGAAAACGGGTCACCGTCAAGACGGCTGCGCGATATACTACAAACGCTCGATGTTCCACTTGGAGGACCATATCAGTGTGAGTTGCGTTCAGTTGGATTGATTTATTTTGCCCAATCATAATATGCTCGACCAATCGACCAATCGTGCAGCGTTGCAAATCTGTCACCATAGCATTGTCTAAGTAACTTCTAACGCTATTTTTATATAAAATTTATCAAGACAATTTTAAGTAACATTTACGTATGCGTGCGTAAGGGAATATAAAGTAATTTCGAAAAATATAGTTACAATACTATTTGAGTTGATGATAGTGATGTGGTAATTATAATCTGGTAGTTTTGCACATAATTTGTGGCTTAAACTCCACCGACAAGTCTGTCCACTACTGCTGAATTTCCGTCTACTAATGTGTTTAGTCCGTGTACTATGTGTTTAGTCTGTATAGAAATAACCCTTGTAAACCAACCAGCCTTAACTGATTGAACGACCCGAAACGGTTTATATTTCTCAAGTTTTCTCAAGAAATGTTTTCGTACTATAATATATGTATAATACAGGTTATATTTTATGTTAAATATAAATTCATAATTTTATGCTATGCGATTTTCTTTTCCGATTCATACAAAATGGTAATAAAAGTAATGGTCGACTAATATAAATTTACGCGTGACACAGGACATGACTTAATACTGTACTTATCTACAGTTACGAGATAATTTTTGGTTACTCAATGTTTAATCAATGTCGTAATTTCTCTCGAACTATCATGCATTCAGTTGAATACAAATTTGTATTTGAATCACGTTCCGTAAATTAAGGCCTCGTCTGAATTGTCTATAACAATTTTTATTCAATCGGAAATTAACGTCTGGCCACAAATAACAGCGATTAAGTGAGTCAAGGCGATATATTGAGCCTTACACATGGCGTAGGTATACATACCGACTAGCCGCTCTTGAGACCCCGATTACCAGAATTGATAAAGTACAGTACATATGGTATGTGGACCGTTGACTTAATTATCTCTATTACTAAATGAAATGATATATTAATATGTACTTACTGACAACGATTCAATTCAACCTTTTAAAGTTAGCCTGCGACGATGTCTTGTTCTATACGTGACCCAGTTTACGCGGCGTTTTAGCGTTCCTCTCGTGCAGCGCGTTTGATTAAATGTTTGCTGTGTCTTTTTGCCTTTATAAGCAAGCCGCTTTGATTTCCCGATAGGGGCGAAGCTTTTCTATACGCCAATACATTTTCAATACGCTGCCGTTCGGATAGTTTTAATTAATATAAGAAAAATGGTATGTGGAAAAAATCCCCGTTAACTGATTCTTCCACGTGTAGACATAGACGCGACCTTCGATACGAACGTGCTTTATCTTGATGCGACTCCTAGACCCCCATTGTATAATTGACGTTGCAAGATTTCGATCCGTGACGCCTTTGTTCAAAGAAACGAAAGGCAATGAAATATAACTATTATAAAGAATTTACTGCTCATCATTGAGATGCCTTAAGTTCGAATTTATTAGATTTGGACATTTTTACAAATAAATGATACAAGCAATATTCGAATCTTGGTTGTACTAATAAACATATGAATTATAAAATATATTTCCTTTGCAATCCACCTGGATAGAGGAGGCCTGAAAAGAAGATTGCATCTTCGTGTCCTCGTCATATGCGAGAGGGACAAGTGCAATGTAGGTAACAATTTTGACCATCAATTTGAGGGATCTATATAGATTTTCCTTATGCAAAAATAAAATGGAAAAAATTTACGTCCTAACTTAACGAAAAAACTTAACGAAGTGCTTCTTAAATTTCTCTGGACCACCACAAGGTTGGATGGTAAATAATGCTGATAGCATTATATCTGCCCTAGTGTATGAAGAATAAATAAATAAATAAAGTAACCCACGACGGAGGGTCACTAGCTATACAACTGTGCTGCTGAGTCATCTGACATCACGCTATCATGCATTTTTCATGTGTACGCGCCTCGAGGAAAGAGTGAATAGGTTTTTACTGAGCTAGTGCGCTTGACAGCTCCATGGCCACTTACCATCAGGTGGGATGGCGGGATACCAGGCGCTGGCCAGTTTCGTAAATGATGCTGTGCCCATTTCATTCATAACTATATAATTGTCTGTGATCTATCATTCACGATACGCCTGATTGCGAATTGGGGACTGCTATCCCCCCTAAAACGGGGAGTGGTGAGGGAGCGGAATATGCCACTAAGTGCTGACAACAATATTACTGCACATATGATAAGGCGTCTTGTTGTGATAGCTATGCGAATGTGTAGCAGCCATTGTCTTGTCTAACAATAACAAATCGAATGGAAAACATAAAGTGCTCTATACGAGATACTGAAGTTATTACATTGTTGCTACTAAATAACTATATTCGACTACAATTGTTACAAGTTTGTGTTGTTTACATAATCTACATTTTTACTAATTAGGGTTGCAATAAATAAAAGTGTGATTATTTCAATGAATTTAAGGTTTGCTTTGTCGTCATTAATAACAACGCGTTTTTTTAAGCAGTTGGAATTACATTCATTAAATTATACGAGAGGTAAATTATGATAAAATATATAGTAAAAACAACAAAATGTACCGATTGGCGATTGATCTATAAAGCGTATCTGTCTGCTAAAATAAGTCTCAATAGAAGTTGTACTAACGTTCAACCTCGATGATAATCTGTAATTGCTTAGCTTGCGCGAATCGCCATTGCGCGAGAACGCCCGGCCGTACCTATAAGCTAGAACCCAGAGCGATCGACAGAGGGGGCGACCGCGTTGTGACGTCGAGACGTTGTGCCCAGGTCGAGTTCTACCAGCCGGAGCTGCCGCTACTGAATCGCGACAACGTGGGCCTGGCGGTGCGCCTGCGGCCGCGCCACCCCTCCGCCCCCGGCCTCCCCCCCGCCCCGCCCCTCGTCGTGGCCACCACCCACCTGCTCTACAACCCCAAGCGCACCGACGTCCGCCTCGCCCAGATGCAGCTGCTGCTCGCCGAGATCGACCGCTTCGCCTACTACCGCGACGGCGCCCGGTACCAACGCCTGACGCTAACGTCACGTGTAACTGTGGCAGGGCCACGGAACACTCCGCCGCCGCACGAGTGGGCGGGCCCGCCCGGGGAAGTACCGCGACCTCGCAGAAGGCCGCCGCGTAGCGCAAGTGTAACAGTTCTGCGTTTCGTCTGGTGAACGAGGTAGCCGGAATAGCATACGGTTGTTGAACATGCCCATGGACGCCCATGGGCATTTTCAACAACCGTATGCTATGCCGGGTATCACTTAACATCAGGTGAACCGCCAGCGCGCTTGCCGTCTCAAAATAATACAATATATCGTGGCCTAATGAAACGGTTGAACAAAGTGCAATCGTTGTACGACCGACTATTTTAGGACCTCGCCCCGTCTGTCACTGAGTGTGGGACTCGCTGTAGGATGATACGGAGCGATGGGTGCGACCGCTAACACATGCCAATCACCCTGATGACCCGATGATGATGATACACCGATTAGGCGCGATTTCAGCCGTTTTATGGGTTTGTTAATAATGTTTCACGAAAGATAAAACTTCACAGCGAGTCCTCACCGTCACCGCTGTACTTTTTTCTGTAACAAAAATCGACTGTTTTTAATGTGCAAAATCGGCAAGCGAGCGGGCGGTTCATGTGATGTTAAGTGATTACGGCCGCCCATAGACGTCTACTACTCCTAAGGGACTGGAGATACGTTGCTGTTGGGCCGCAGCGTTTGATTTTTTCCACATATGTTTGGTTTAATGTATTTAATGTATATGTGCAGTATATAATAGAACCGTTAAATTTTTATGCAAGTGGTAGATTATGAAGTCCAAAGGGGCTTGAATCAAGCAGCAATTGTCTGACAACTTTTTTATTCGACTTTGTTGTTTTGCGGTCTTACAGTATTAAAATGTGTATATAACATCCTATATACTATATCCTTTAACGACACCACCTAAATAAGAGAGTTTTTGAGGTTCTTCGATCCTTTATCAAAGTCCGCTGGACTGAAACCAAAACAGCAACCGATACGTAAATACGAGATACGTTGCGTAACTGAGTGCAGACGTAATATATCCATAAGTATTACGACTCAGATTGCCCGGCGAATGTTACATTGTATTGTTTAATTTATTGTGTACAATCAACAAATACACAAGATAAATTTGTTGCGAAACGACTTTGCCAAGTTAAAAGTGATCATATTTTAAATGCCATTGCTTAAATTAATTTTATTTTTTAATCTAGTATAACACATTTCATTGTTATTGTAACTCGACGTTTTTTTATGTGAAAAGTTGTCAAGTGAGCAGGTGGTCTAACTGATGTTGAGTGGATACCGCCGCCCATAGATATGTACTTGTGCTTGCAGATACATTGACGGCCTTTAGAAAAGCGAGCCCCGGTTACCTCACTCACCAAACGAAACACGAAAGTATAACGACTTCTTCTTTACGTCGGTTTTCTTGTTCTCCGGGTACTTCCCCGGACGCGCCTGCCCATTCGTGCAGCGTCAGAAGCTATCGCGTGGCCCTACCACAGTTCTACATAGTTCTACTATTTCTACAATTTTCTGTAACACCTTTCAGGTCGGGACACCATCCGATAATACTGACCGGGGACCTTAACTCGCCGCCAGATAGCGCTGTAATCAAACTGCTGAGCAGAGGCCATGTTAGGTGATTTCTGAGTCGTATTTATATGTTCTACACCTGTTTTTTTTTTTTCTAGAATAGCCTTTTTTTTTACCCTTGGCAGTAAAAATTGCCTTGGTTATAAAATAAGGATATTATAAATTGATTGGTAAAGACCAATCAATTTTTAATAACTTACGTGATTTGGTCACGGTACAATTTAAAATCAAAATAAAACCCATGTAATAGTTTCATTTGACCATCACCATCGAATACACTACATTCGCGTAAATACAGGAAATGATTAACATTAACTTGGTTACACAAAATCAGAAATTGAAGTAATCTTTTGATCTCATAAAGTTAATGAGAATTTCGTTCTAACAGTTTTTTGAGTAAATCGCTGCGCTTAACAATGCGTTTGCGTAATGCAACAGAATCGGATCATATATTGGGGAGTAAAATTCACAAAAAGAATATTTTTTTTTATGTGAAAAGGTCGCACACGAGCTGGTGGTACACCTGATTTTAAATGTTAAGTAACCACCGCCTATTGAGATTTGCAACACCAGTAGGATTGCTAATGTGTTGTCTTTTAATAATATAGGCCCCGGCTACCTCAGTCATCAGACGAAATGCAGAAGTGTGGTGAATAATGCAATAGAATAATTCTTTATAGTATTTAACTTATAATAACTTTTTTAATTCCCTTAGACTTTTTCGTTCACCTAAAGTTTTACAACAGAACTGCAAATTTTGTGGTAGTATAAAAATTAAGAGGTCATTTTTGCCTCGGTATGGCAAGATCGCTTAGCTCAGTGGGTAGAATGTCTGGACTCGTAAACCGTAAGGCACAGGTTCAAGTCCTGGCTATCAAGTTTCATCTTAATTGCCGTGATTAGTACTATTAATTAAAAATACAAAAATGTTTTCCATGAAAAATTATTTTTATATTTGAGAAGAGAACCTGATGTTAAGTGATAATCGCCGCCATTGGACATTTGCAACAGCCGTAGGGTTGCAGATGTTGTCACCTCTTAATAAACTGGACTCCAGCTACCTCACTCACCAGACGAAACGCAGAGGTATAATACTTCTACTACACGCCGGTCTTCTACGAGGTCGTGGTACGTCCCGGGACGGATCTGCCCATTCGTGCAACAGCGAAAACTGTTGCGCGGCCCTAGCGCAGTTAAAAATCATCATAACAAATCTCGCTTTTGTGTTCTCTTCGTATAACTGGTAAACGAATCCTTCCGCAGTACAGTCGGAACCGACTATCAATTGGAATAAGTTAAGTTAGGTTAAGTTAATAAATAATACTGCATTGATAATGAGTCCTAACGGAAGAATGAAGACCTACTTCGAACGAGTTAGCAGCCGCACAAAAAATTAACTCTGCGCCTTAGGAGTTGGTTGAATATCATGTAGCGTCACAAACCGTTGTAAATAGTAAAGTTGTTCTCGACACCAACGAGTAGTGGGAGCGAGACGGGAAACCATTTAGATGGTGGCGCGAACGAGAGGGCAATACTCTTCTCCCTCAGTGACGTGCGTCTTTTTTTAAAACAGCGGCGGCCCGTACGTATGCGTCGATCTATTTGCATCCAGCGTTAATTTTTTCGTTTGTTCCAGCGCGAGCCACTTCCGTGACAACTCCGATTGGAGGCGTATCGGCGTGACGGACAATTGCCAGCACCTGGCCGTCTACCTCAGCCGGCTGAAGGGCGCGGCCACGGACGACAGCATGATTAAGGTGGATGCCTCTGTCCAGTAGCTCACCCGATAAAAGTCCGGATTGCGAAGACCAGACGGAGACCGCCTACGGGATCCTCGCTATGAGATCGGGAATCGATCGCCTCACTGCTACCTTTATTAATCGATTATTTTCACTCACTGCTACCTTTATTTTATTAATCGATGGAATATTGATTTGATGTAAAACATCAGCCTTTATGTGTCCCACAGCTGGGCTAAACGTCTCTGCAAAGCGGGTGTACGTATCATCACCAGCCTATTTGAGTTCACTGCTGAATATAGGCGTCCCCTACAAACTTTGGTGGCACGTTCCTGAGCCACCTGTATACACGAACTTGCCGCACATTTGCACAGACCGTCACTACAACTGGGGGCCGTCTTACACTACGATTGCCAATGTGAGGCGGCCGCTCGAGAACCTTTCTCCCCTTCGATATCGGTTATCGATTCTTCGAGGCATACAGCCGGCCCATTGCCACTTCAACATACTAAACCTCTGTGCTATATCGAAATGTATATTGTATAATTATTATAACGAGATAATTTCTTACCGACCACCTGATAAATCAGCACTAAAAATTGCAATCAACAATTTTTGTATGAGGGGGTGGCAAGTGAGCAGGCGGTTTACATGATGTTAAGCGAAAACCGCCGACTATTGACATTTGCAACACCCTTAGGGTTGTGCTGTGAGAACGTGGCGCTTACCCCGCCCATTCGTCCCACAGTGAGGACTGTTGCATGGCCGCACCGCGGTTACAGTGCTTTAGTAAAATTTCGCATTTGCAACATTATCTAACCGTCTTGAAACTGTAGACTAGGTGATTAAGAAGTTGATTTACAAAAATATTGACCTCCAAGTTCAGCCATAATATATGTCATGCAAATATTCGTTAATTAGTATTTAAAAACTAGTGTTATATTTGATGTAAAAAAATACAATTATTATAGATTAAATTAGTACAAGATTTTATAATATGTACTTTAACATGTCAATACTTATTTTATTTATGATCAACAAATGCCTTAACCGAGTAAAATGTGTGTTTTAGAAGCCACTCCCTTAGGCACTTTTTAAACTTATTAGACGGTTCATCTTTTATGGTCTGAGGTAGTTTGTTAAAGATTGTTTTGCCTATCCAGTAATAATATTATTATACTTCACGTGATATCGCGGAACGTGCCGCGGTGTGCCTTTGCGTGCCGTCCAATCTGTATTTCCCGCGTGACGTCCTGTCCAGATCTACAATTCGGAGAGTGGCGGGGAGGGCGAGGTGGTGGGGCGGGAGGGGCGAGAGGGGCGGGGGGCGGCCGACGGCGAGGGGGTGAGCGAGGAGCACGGCGGACTGTTCAACAGCGGGGAGCTGGGCCACGGGCTGCGCCTCGCCTCAGTCTATGGGCAGCGCAAGTCGGACGGCAGCTTCGAGGCGACCACCTTCCAGGACTACTGGCTCACCGTCGACTACATCTACTTCAGGTGGGAGCGGTCACCGTCGCCCGTCGGACTGCGCGTGACCTATCCCGATCTCGCAACGTGTCGCATGCAACGGTCTGAATGGCGAACGTTGACTGTAAATTTTGCCCCTCGGTTAGCCTCCGTGCTGGGTGCAAGCGTTTCTGTACGAACTGTTTGCTCGGGTCGGTTACGGGAAATGAAAGTAAGTCGGGCATCATCTGCCACGCGTACCCAGCAGCTTGGCAGACATTCTATATCTGAAATATCTTTTTTTTTATTTTGTCAAGGTGGCAAACGAGTTGGCGGTTCACCCGATGTGAGATGTTAACCTCTCTATATTAAACTAGTGAGAAAATAATTTTCTTTGAGTGTCTACGCGGTTAAAACCCTGCTGTTTCAAGTCTTCTCATGCGTTACACGAATTGGAAGATGTGACACCATAACAGTTTAATAATTATTCTCGCCGGTTTGAGCACATTTGATAAGCGTCATAGCATTATCCTCCATCAACCTAGGAACGGTCGTCACGGCACGTGAATCATGTTTGTAAGACATGGCTAGGACATGGCTGACGTCAACCCTCTTTGGGAATAAACACCCAACACTTGACCGTGGTAGGGCCATACAACAGTCATCGTTGTTGCACGAATGGACCAGTCCGTCCGGATAAGTACCACGATCTCACAGAAGACCGGCGTGGAGTGGAAGTGTTATAAGGTGTTTCAAATGTCGATGGGCGGCAGTTTAACATCAGGTGAACCGTCAGCTCTTTTGCCACCTTACATTGAAAAAAAAAAAAAAAACCAGATCCCGGACAACTGTCTGCGGCCAAACAAATATTTGTCCCGTGTCCGCATAGAAGCAGTGAGCGCCGGCGAGGTTCGGCGTCGTCATCGATTAAAGTCCCGTTCGCCCGCAGCCGCTGCAGCGCCCTGCGGCTCCTGGAGCGGCTGCGGCTGCCCACGGAGGCGGAGTGCTCGCGGCTGGGCCAGCTGCCCAACCACCAGTACGGCTCCGACCACCTGGCGCTCGCCGCGCTCTTCGAGATCAGACGGCCCGGCGCCGGCCCCAGCTCCAACTTATAGCACACACCGACCCTCAGACCCCCCGCCCCCGAACACCGCACCGGATGCACCAGGTTCGCCCTGCAGGCACGAACGGGCGTCGCGCAACCTCATCACTCGACGAAAGCTTGGAGTCGGATGCTGTATGAAGGGTCGACGAACGGAATTCACGCAGTAGCGACGGGTGGTGGCGTCTGTCCGTTCCACCGCCGACCGTGTCAACGCATACCGTTCGCATGCATATTAGTCAAGTGCCAGCAGTTTGTTGGTGAAAAATAACGCGGCATCTGTTCGAGATGTTCAACCTGAACTCGGGAGACGGTCTTAGAATTTTACATTTTATAATATTAACGCCGAACGCAGTTTATCGCTGCGGTAAATAGACAATTAAACAAATAGATATTTTAAATATTTACAGTACAGTTAATAGCAAAGTAGTTATTTATTTATATTGACGGTTCACGATTTTAATAGAGAGTATTCCTCTATGTATTTAGAGCGTATTTAGCATGTTTCGGAAGCGATAAGATTTTATATTTTGTATTATTAAAGCAATATCAAAAATATTTTCATAAATCGTATGGCTATTAACCCGATTACCTATTTTTATTGTGTGCTTACGATGAGGTAATACACTTAAGATATTTTGTCATGTTTAAATAAATCGGTGCCTTTCAGGCCCATTGTAGAGCGGAGCCAAGTATTGCGTACAGCCTTTTATGTCGGGGTCGCTAGTTTTTGTCTTTGACTATTCGCACTAGTTACAGTAGTTGTTGAAGAATAACAATAATGTGCACTAAATTGTAACGCGTCTAACGTTACATATTATTATATATTTCGACGATTATTGATAGAAATAATAAATATAAAAGGGGTTTCAGTAGTTTAAAAAGATACTATTTTAATTAAATTAACGATATGGAGCAAGTAATACATTGATATTTAGCAGAGTTCTTAATTTTTGACTTTCGAAAATAGTTATTTCTAGTGTCTAGTTTTTTATTATCGCCGGCGGTGGTTTCACTGTATGAAAATTGAAGCTAATTATGACGTTAATAAAAAGTTGAAATCATTGCTGCGATTATTGAAAAATTTTAAAAATAAACCACGTAATTCATTGATAATTAATCTATATACGTGATTTAATTGTGCCTTTGTATTTTCTGTGTCGCAAGACTATATGTTGCCTACGTGAAAGGTAACGGTTATTGAGAAAAAGGAGTGCGCTTCTGATTTAAATTTTGGCAAAATAATATGGACAACAATTTGTTACCAAAAGTACAACCACATTCTAAATTTCATCTAATTAAAATGATATGATTGAATAAATATCTTTTCTTTAAATAACCCCGGACCCCTATCTCAGACATAACTTATAATTTTGACTATATGTATGTGTGTCTAAAGTTGCACTTAGTTGCTATGCACCACGGAATCCACAGCATTGATGACGGAGTAGTTTTATTTATTATTTTTATTACAACAAACTTCCTTAAAATATTTGGTGGTCCTGTACACATTTAACATTATTAACGAAATTTAATGCTGGTGAATTTGGTAAGCGGTATACTAGACGCTGGGTGCGAGATTCAATTTTTTAACTACAGACAATTACGAGATTACCCGGGATTAATATTTGTATGAACTACAGAAGATTCTACCGACTGTTGGTGTATGGCGTTGTTTAATTTGTATACAAGACATAATAATAATAATTATATCCTACTTTCGGAGTATTTAAAACATAAGAAGGGGTCTATAGTGATGATATTTACTCTGTAAATGTGGTGGGTAATATTTAACAGAAACACTTTCCTGCGGCAAACAGAGGTATGACTATTCTTCATACTTATGATATGATATTCGAATTGAATACTTAATTATTATATTCGAAAAAGCGGTTATTTTATATTAAAATAATTTTTAGTTAGATATCACGGTATTTTGACGATATTTTGAGATGTCCAATAGTTATAATCAAAACGTCCGAAATCAGTGACTATAGCTGTTAGTAGGATAGCTGTCGAATAACTGTATTTTAAATAACAATAACAGTAAACACCTAGTTGCGTATAATATACTCTAAATTTGCAGATCATTCTCAAAAAGATTTTATTAAAAAACATGTTGCTTAGTTGAATAATAAATCTATTAGTGTTGATGATGAAATGAATGCGAGAGAATACCGTATAAAGCTGAGTCTGAGGCTATACAAACTGAAAGTGATGATCTTGAAAATAGCCCAGCTTTTAAGACAAATTCTAACAGTTTTATCGAAACTTACTACAGAGAAGAGGAAAGAGACATACTTCAAGAATGCCCTTTGTAGTTTCATCTGATAATCATAGAAATAATAGCATTCAAGCCGTTAAATAATTTTTCTTAATTTTTTTTTAATAATAAGAATCCTATGTCCTTTTTAATTTCCCTTTTAATTAATACCTCTAACGATATGTGTACAAAGTTTCACGATAATCGGTTCAGTAGTTTTGCCGTGATACACTCACGGCAAAACTACTGTTCAAACAACAACATTCAACAACTTTGACAAAAATATTTTATTTTTTGTACTTTTTTATTTTTTGTGTAAAATAAAGTATATTTTTATGGAGATATTTATTTCTTTTCTCGTCTGGTTGGGTTCGTAAATAAAAATAAACACTTACGAACAAATACTTGTGTTTTGTGTACAATAAATATATAAATAAATAAATAAAAATTAAATAATAATTTCTTGTATTTACGCGATTACACATTATAAATGAAACTAATTTTACGGATTTATCGCGTTTATTTTTAATTTTAATTCCCGACGTTTCGAACCCTTTACAGCGTTCATGGTCACGGGACAGACTGAGGTGTTAGACGTCTGATTGTCATAGTTAACCCGAGCTACCGTCAGTTTTTGAATTATTAATTTTGTGTCCGATCTATGCAGAGGGAGCTAATTGTATCTTGTCTTGCAGTAGTGGTTCGTTTGGGCCTAGATTTAATTTTATTGATGACAGGATCCCAAGCTGATGGTAGTACCCAACCTTCTTCTCTATTGAAATTAGGGTGTTTTTTAATTTCAATAGCCTCGCGAATCATCCTTGGGAGGAATCGGTGTTCTTTTGCAAGGATCTGTGGTTTGTCAAACCTGATGTAGTGGTTGGGCCTATTCAAAATGTGCTCACAAACTGCAGACTTGTTCGATCTATTGTGTTTTATGTCAGCTATATGTTCTTTCACGCGGGTTTTTATTGCTCTTTTCGTTTGACCTATGTAAGAGAGCCCACATTCACAGCCAAGTTTGTACACTCCTGGATCTTGCAGAGGGATATTACACTTGACAGATGGTAAAAACTGACTAATCTTCTTCAGCGGCTTGTAGAATGTATTAATTGAAGCCTGCTTTAAGATATAGCCAATCTTGTCGGTGACTCCTCTGACGTATGGTAGAACAGCAGGTACTCGCTCCACTGTGGCTGGTTTCACTCGGTCACTGTGACGTAGGCGCGGTGCTCGAAGCTTGTTGTCATGCAGAACTTGCTTGACATGTTGAAGCTCAGCGGCCAGGTGTTGTTTGTCACAGATCCCTTGTGCTCTCTGAAACAAAGATTTACCCACGGTAGCTAACTGGGATGGATGGTGGTGAGAATCACCGTTTAGGTATCTATTTGTATGGGTTGCCTTCCTATACACAGTGTGACTTACAGTGTTATTTGGATTGCGGATGACCAAAACATCTAAGAAAGCTAAAGAGTTATTATGCTCTAATTCCATAGTGAATTGTATTTTGGAATTTACTGAGTTAAGGTGATTTAGAAATGCATTAACTTTACTTGTTGGTAAAATGGTGAAGGTGTCATCTACATACCTCTTGTAAAACCTTGGATAAATGGGAGCTGTGCGAAGGGCCTTCTCCTCAAAGTCTTCCATAAATATGTCAGCGACAATGGGAGATACTGGGCAGCCCATTGCTACACCATCTATCTGTATGTAAAATTCCTCCTTCCAAAGCAAATAGCCGGATGTTAGGCAATGTTTAAGTAGTAATGCATACTCTTCCGGCATGTTATTCTCTTTTAGCTTTCTTGTTACAATTGAGATGCAGTCTTCTAATGGTAGGCATGTAAATAAAGACTGTACATCAAAACTGACCATTGTTTCATTGTCAGCAAGACATAGTTGTTTTATCTCACTAACAAAATGGTAAGAATCCTTTGTGTATGCCCTTGTGTGTCCTCTCAGCGGTGAGAGAATTCGTACTAGATGTTGAGCCAGTCTGTGAGTTGGTGAGTCGATCTGGCTTACAATAGGGCGTAATGGTATGTCTGGTTTGTGTATTTTAGACAACCCATACAATTTAGGGGGTTTAGCACATGAAGGTGTCATCGATTTCACGTCTAGATTTAATTTTTCGGAGTATTTTTTAATGAGATCGCTAGTTAATTTAAGCGTTTTAGTGGTTGGGTCTGTTTTGACCTTTTTATACGTGCTTACATCCGACAACAGTTCTTGTATTTTCAAATTATAATCCGACGTTTTCATAACCACCGTAGCATTTCCTTTATCTGCGCGGAGAACAGTTAAATCTTTGTTGTTGCGTAAGCTGTTTAACGCGTTAAATTCATCTTTAGGGAGGTTAGACTTCGGTACCGAACTTCGACGTAATAAGGACGAAATATCTTGTCGTATACCTTCTAAATCTCTTACCGATGTTATTTTTATATAGACAGTCCTCGACACTACAGATTATTTCTTCGTACGGGATTTTTCGCGGCGTTATTGCGAAATTTAAACCTTTCGATAACACCTTCAAAGTAGATTCATCCAGTGTTTGTTGTGCACTACATCAGGTTTGACACCCAACCACTACATCAGGTTTGACAAACCACAGATCCTTGCAAAAGAACACCGATTCCTCCCAAGGATGATTCGCGAGGCTATTGAAATTAAAAAACACCCTAATTTCAATAGAGAAGAAGGTTGGGTACTACCATCAGCTTGGGATCCTGTCATCAATAAAATTAAATCTAGGCCCAAACGAACCACTACTGCAAGACAAGATACAATTAGCTCCCTCTGCATAGATCGGACACAAAATTAATAATTCAAAAACTGACGGTAGCCCGGGTTAACTATGACAATCAGACGTCTAACACCTCAGTCTGTCCCGTGACCATGAACGCTGTAAAGGGTTCGAAACGTCGGGAATTAAAATTAAAAATAAACGCGATAAATCCGTAAAATTAGTTTCATTTATAAAAATCAAATGTATTTTACTAGCTGACCCGACAGACGCTAAGTACACACGACTTAAAATCCGACAACAACTTATAAAAAAAATTAAAAAATAAACCATTGTAGTGGACCGAATAGTGAATCTAAACCATTCTTGAATTTACATGAAGGCACAAAATAAATTCATTAATATCCGTCCAGCCGTTTAGGAGGCGTTCAGTGTCATAGACACTTGTCTTACTTACAGGAGGATTATCTCTTACCACCTTCTCACAAAAAAGAACCCCGACTGCTTTAAAAATTGGATAATATACCATCTGTCATTCCCGCTAATAAGACTGACCTAATTGCACCTCAAACGTTGAAATCCATCAAAAGACCTAACTGACGTGCAATTAATGTATGGATGTGGTGTGCACAGGTGTGTAAAGATCGTTGAAAATGGAAATTCGTAACGCCTACCTACCCCGTCATTGACGTCAGTGTGCGTGTAATGACGACCCAAATGGCGTAGTGAGTAGTGTACCTACCTCCTGCGCCAGAGGTTCGACCCCACTACTGGAAAAATATTGTTTGTTGAACATAGTGTTTTTCCAGTGTATATATATATATATATATATATAATATGTGTTTATTTACAAAAGAAAAGTATGTTTATCAGTTATCTAGCACTCATATTGCAAGCGTTGCTTAGTTTGGGACTAGATAATGTTGCGTAAAGATGTGTCCTAATATGGTCACATTTTAGGTAAACTCGGTGCGCACTGTTCACTTCGGACGCTCGCATTGGCGTTGCATATTGAAATCAAACAGTCCATTGTCGACTTCATCGACAAACTGCTCCGATCGGACAAATTCGACAAGCCCTCGAGCAAAATTGCAGAGAAGGCCGTCGAGAGGAGCAACGAGATGCACAACGTCGCAAACAGTACAAAAGACGATACAATCTAGAAATTTTAGATATAAACCTGAACATTTGGCTTTGAACTCTGAACATTTCACTTGGTTGTAAAACTTGATTGATTAAATATTTACAACTTTAGAATAAAAATCGGTTACGTCGAGTAAAATTACGAAATTGAGGTATGAAGTATATTTATTTTGCTTTGCTCAATTCCAATATTTTATGCTCAACAGTTATTTTACTGGATTATGGTTGGTTGACAGATGCTCATGAACGGGTCACGTGAGATCTAATCAGTTGTATTCAAAACATGACTATAGAGCATTTGGTACTCATAAATTCTCATGCGTTAAAGTGATTTATCGCTTGTTACGGGTTGGCTTGGCTAAGAATTGAAACTCACGGTTAAACATCAAAGTCACTTTATTGAGTTGTTTATACATTTAAGATTTACATGTTGAAGGGAAAATAAAAATAGATATACAGTTAATACAGCGTTGTAGAAACATAGGTATAAAATTGGAAAAAGCGTGTTACTCGGTAACGATGCGCGTGGCCGTCAAATGCTTAGTTTGGACGTTAGACCTTCAACACTCCATCGTGACAATACAATTAATGATAATCAGATAATGCAATAACTTTACTTAGGTAGTTTGCGTCAACAACAGCATATTTGATTAATTACGTTAAGGACGCGGACGCGTTGACAGTTCACAGCGATCATGACAGATCATGCCTTGTTGCACAAACGAGAAGCCATTGATGTAATTTACCTTACCTAATGCCACGGAGAGTGTAGAAAATATTATTAATAACTGTTAAATCACAATCAGAAGACAATCGATACAATACAACAGATACGATTATACCGGATATATTCAAAATTATATCGGTACATTCATTCATAGTCTTACTAGGTTTTAAACAATTATTAATGATTTCAATTATTAATGATTTTTAATGATTTCAATTATTTCAATTCGAAACGGATATATAATTGCAAAAGATTTATGTAATTTAACGAAAATAATTAATGATTTCAATAATAAACCGACAAATATCCAACGTCCACACTAAGTATGAGCAGTTTAACAATACGTAGCGGTACTTAGACATGTAAAGTTTAGTACTTATAAGTTAAAATTATTAAAATCTTATGGTAGATACAAAATTTAGAAACAATTTCGTAGAGATGACAAATTATATAATTACAATTTAAGACTAGAATAAAACTTATACATATATAATGGACGAAACATATAATGGTAAAGTCAAACTCTACTAAAACATGTAACAAACATAACTTAACATACGTATATTATATTTATCCATACTATAAAACGTACAATGAACCAGGACGCGCCATATTTGTGTTTCGCATAACATAGGGAGTCATCTCTCTGTTATAACATGATTTCTTTGTCCACTACAAAGGGCAGTAACTAAATTTACAGTATCAAGTAATGCTACTCCATAGTTTGCGGGAGAAGCATAACAGTTACAGTGAAAGTGTCTTGTGGGCTATTAGCCCTCATACCGTTTCTAAAAAGAATAAAAACATTCACTGAAGAGTGATTAAGTGAAGTTGTGTATAGCGAAGGCTATACTCAACTTAAACTAAATAAAGAGCGGTTGCAGCAGGAATGAAACTTAACGAGCTAGACGTCTAACTGGTTGTACGACTTTTCGGTATTATCATCGTCCCTGTGAGGTTTATTAACACACAGTAGCTAGTATAGGTGCTTTACACGGTTACCGACCAGTTTACGTCTTCTTAAAGCAAACCGCGTCGCCTTCCTGCAGCGGCTGTTATAGGGCGCGCAAATCTTAATTGATGAAATTCGAATTTCCCATGAAATTCGTCAACCACACTCAGTAAAATCCACCTATCGGAGAGGGTTGTTCCGGCCGCGGTACACAGCTGAGTTCGAGTTCGGTGTGGTGGCTATACATTTTTATATGTAAAATGGTAGAATTAATCGCTTAACAAGATTTTTGCACTTGACGAAACATGCGCCGAGCTCATCGGCCAATTACAGTATTAAGTTTTGCGCGCCCTGTAAATTGTGGTCATAAAAAAAGGAACGTGTATTAAATCACTAAGCATTCGGCTCGCAAGTGTGACAACTTGTACAAGTATGCACAAGTTTCCATTTTACACGCGATTGGATGAATTCCGAATTATTGTTGCTGCTACTGAAGTCTTCAAGATTTCCGTTAACGAGAAAGTGAATAAGCATTTGCCTGTATCTCATTGATCATTATGTTAACGTATATGTTGTAGAAATTATGTCGAATATATCAATTTGTGTGTCAAAAGAAAACTATGTTTTGTAATCTACTGAGTAAAGATTTAAGCAGCAACAATTATATCGAAGTAACGTTGCAGCAATATGGGACCTGTTAATGTTTCTTTAATTTAAATAAATTAAATTATTACTTAATAATAATGTGTTGGTGATCAAACCTATACAATATAAAAGTTCCATAGGGTCTAGACAATGCCTTCGACCAATACACCTATTATCTAATAATACTGGATGGATATTAATTTATTAAATTATCTTGAAAAATTCAGATTATTTCATAAGATCCCATGTTTTTGTAAGTATACTAGTCGAAAAGCTCTTAATATTACAAAATCTTATTTAAAAGTTACTCGTAAGAGGGTAGGTAATTAGCTGTATGCAGAGGCTCCGCAACATTATCCTAACTTAGGTGATTCTGTTAATAATCGAATATGCTTATAATTTTAAATTGAAATACAGTTAAGCTCGTTTTAGCGAAATTTTGCAAAAATTCAGTTTCAATCGAATTCGTACAATTTACGGCGTTCATTAAGTAGCTGAGCATTTGAGACACGTGACATTAACGAATAATCAGGATGTTGTGTATACTCTTTTAAATCTAGCCATTTCAAATAAAGAAAAATATTAATATTATGCTGAATTTACAAAAATCTGTCCGTTATTATTTCATTAATTTCCATGTAAAATAATTATAAATTTAACATGTTTATTGATGCTTAATAGAATAAAAGTCAATTCATCATGTGATTATATTCCAATACATTATGAACACGCTTATACCTGGACGGAGGGGTCAAGTGAAAATGGAAAATTATATCTATTAGGACAATTCGCTTTAATAAAATGCTTTCAGTGTTTTATCATTAATTTCGTACCAGATTACAATTACAAATACAATATTCATAAATGAGCAACAGTAAATACTTATTCATGTTTGAGTTAGCGTATATATATGTATATATATATATATATGTACATATACCAAAAGATCGAATTTAGGTCCCATTTGCGTGCCGAAATTCATACAACCGCGCCAGCTTCACACGACGAGCCGAAATAAAAATAATTGTACAGCAGAAGAAATGCTTTGAAATACTACAACACTGTTAAAACCTTTGCAGACATCACCTAACTATAAATCTAAAAACAAATCAATTTTACCAATTACTGCTGGTTTCTACAGACCATATTACATACAGTCGGTTAATCAAAACGGACATCACCAGACTTTTCAATAAATTTAAAGTTTGCCAACTCCGCCCTAACTACAAGATTGATATTATTGAAAAAGACAAACGTGTTACCGTCAGCAAAAGGTATGTGGATAATAAACTACCGTGGTAAGATTAATAATAGAATAGAACACAAAACCAAGTCAAGAAACGCTTAGTGGGGGACACAGGAAAGCGTTACATTATAATGTGACTTCATCCACTAATTCCCACTACCAATAGATGAAACGTTGTGTTTTGGGCAGCTAGAATATTTGAAACTCGGTTATTTAGGAGTTATGTTGAGCACGCGACATCACATTATGTAAATTGTTTAACATATAGCTCATAGCCACATCAGAAGTCGATCAACTGCGAAGTGGGAATTAGAGATCGATAAAATATATTATTATGGGTCCTTGATGACTTATCTTTTATACTGACATATTTCATGCAATATCAACTAATAATACTGAGCGAAAATCATAATACGCCTTTATATACGAATACGGCGTACCTACAATTTTGGCCAACATGAGTAATTCACGAGTAACTCTAACCATCTCATGTATTTCTATGACGAAGCATAGCTATTCCTTCCTTTGTCTGATCTGATCTGCAACAGTTGCCAAAGATTCCTCCACCGCTGTGTTTCACCTTGATTTAAGGCCCGCAAAACGTGTACCTAGCCTTCCTGATTATTAACACCACGCATCGGTGCAACAAATCGGATGACATAAATGTATAAAAGCATCCTTGTTGCCGGTCGAATGCCGTTGACTGTTCTAATAAGCAAATTTGCAAGTGTTAACGCAGTCTACAAAACACGAAATCGTCAACGCCGAACCGGTAATCTGGTTTGTTTTGTTGCACCGCATAAAGGCCCATTCCAACAGACCAGTCATCTGGACCCGTATACTATTTTAAAACAACGTACACGACATGAATTCACTACTATTAAAACTGTAACATCGACACATCTAACGCTTTTCTGCAACAGCCTCGGACACCTGTTTCTAATTTCGTTTTCTGGGATAACATTTGTGGTACAAATCACGCAAGCAACGTACAATATTATGTTAACGTACGATGACCAAGGCTACAACTGGCATGCGCGGAATGTTCAAATACCTTCTTACGTCGTCACATAATAATTCAATTAATTTGCATAATTGGAAAGACAATATAAAAAGTATGCTTCTTGCACTCAATTTTATAGTTTCCTTTGGTTCAAACCTGTAATTCGCACCACAATGATACCAGAAAACGAAAAGATTATACTCGTTTTACATACTACGGTAGGATGCGAGGTACATCGAAGACGAATGTGAAACGAGTATAATCTACGACAATATTCATTAAATACCACATTGACATATAAACTATGTAAAATACATCGTAATATGTATTTTAATAATTGCGAAGGAATGCTTCGAGTTCTTGGAACAGTTTAAATAGACGAAACTCTTAACGTATTGGCCTCAACAAAACTTTCTGTTTTGATTTCAAAACTATTTATCGTGAAAGTGTTGGAGTCGGAAGTTCTATAAGTCTGATTGGAATGCAGGTATTTTCTACTACACAAGAATTGGAATGCTTTGTATCTATTGTGCAATAAGCGCTGTTACACCACGTGTTAAATCCTACAAAAGTGTATTTATGTTATTAGTGCTTTTTGCCAATTATAAAATGTCTGTTCCAAATTTGAATGAACTTCAAAACAACGATTAAAAGTTTCGTCTACGTAAATTGGTAAATATATTAATTTAATTTTATATTGCCAGCTTTACAAAGAAATATGCTCGAAAGGGGGAACTAGTCTAAATTAGTAAACCTACTGCCCTACATTAATTTTAAATATATGAGATAAATATCATGTCTTTTATCTAAATGTTTAAACGCTATGAAATGTGTTATAATGATATGATGATTATTTCAAATGTACTCTAGAACTAACACTGATCGGTTACATTGAGATAAGTCTACGTTTTACTCCTCCCGAATTGACCGGGTATCAACTATGTGGGCAGGCGAGCCGCTGGTTCAAAGCTTACTGACGCCCCGGCTTTTGTGGACCACGGATATTAGGCGTTAGCGGCACAATGACATGATTATTTTGTCGCCGTTGAAGTGACGAGTGGTACGCCTCGGATGCTTTAAACTGCCTTCAGATTTATGTGTACGCTGTTGGACGGATCTGATGGATCAATTGATGCTGTGAGTACGAACTCTCAATGATTATCGGTTGTCTCATTTCAATGTGAAATACGCCAGTCGATTTCTACAATCTGATGAAATGTATTGGAAAAGATCAAAGTTCAATTATTGCGAGAAGTGACCATGGTTACCATGGTGACGATTTTGGTTTATAATATGACATTTTAATAATAGAAGAATTATTTGATTCCATACGGAACAGATAAATTATATAGTCAGAAAAAATTATATACCAGGTTGAATTTTGTCTTTGGTCTATAATTTCTTAATTTGACAGCAAATAATATAGTATGTAAAAAATGTAAAATGTAAAACAATCTAAGAGATCCGTTTTGAGCAATGGCACGTGTTTAGTGTAGCCCTACATAATCACCCGGTATATTGTACCGTCGTGATGCTTCCTGTCCATATACAATTCTTTAAATTTTGCCCATAATCTAGAGCCGAGCTTTCGAACAATTGACACATTTCGATACTACTTAGACTAAACAAAAGTTACAGAATTGTACAACCGGCTGCCAACCATACTAATCTAAGATCACCGAACATTTAACAACATATATAATATTAAAATCACGTCTTATTGGATATGTCTCTAAGATAATTTTAAACTTTATAATAACCATAACTCATTGACTTCTCAGCGACAGCTCAGCGTGACATTTAACTAGTGAGTTGAAAATTTTAAATATGATTGCGGTGACTAGTCAATTTAAATGCAGAAGTTACTCTACTTTACACGTATTCCATAGATAGTTATCATTCGGTAATTAATATATGCGCATAAGACTTTGTTCCGTTTTATTTTCTATTTGATTTCGTTTTGTTTGCAAATTCGTTCGTTTCCTTTAATCTGTCGCTGGCTCCAGATGACTCACAACCGTTCATACTTTGCTTAATGAATAACATATAAACACTGATTAACAAATGGACAACATTGATGAGTTAAATCTACTTTTCAACAGTTCTGGCGCTGACGCTAGATCCGAGGCTGTTACATAAAACACGTGGGATGGGGAGGTTTGGGGACAGATACTGAATATTGATATATATTTACGACATACAACACAAATTCCTACAGCTACGAATCCAACATTCCGACGTCGATGACGTATCAGTGAACCTCGCACTTAATGCATTTTCACAAAACTGCGCCTCTGAACTTAAAATCAGTCACTTTCGAAACATATCATTCTGAGCTAATAAAGGGCTTCGCTTTATTGGTGTCGCTACACAGTGCTTCTCAAGCACGGAGCGGCCTTGAGGCTCCATCGCGGCTGGAGCGTTCGCATCGAGCAATAGCGTCCTTCGCTCAGGAATGTAGTGCGCGTCTATCTCTCTGCATACTTGGATTCGTTCATAAATATTTCGGCAACATCCTTGGTATGAACCGGTTGTATTTGCCTTGAGTGTGACAAGTCAGGTTTATCGTTTGGCGATTTTAAAAGACCTGCATCAGTCATGTCTCTGTCGGTCCACTTTCGGGTGGCCACAGGGGCCGGACTAAAGCGGGTGGTTCGTCTTATCTGAGAAGTAAAGTCCGTGATTGTTGGCCGCGACGAAGGGCGCGGACGTAGTGCGTCACGCGCGGCGTCACTGTTGGGCCGTTCGGGCCGAGTCGCCCGGTTCGCTATATATACAATTGTTACTACATACACATGCGGTAAGACAATCATCTGGGAGGTGTTTCCCAAACGCGGAGACATTACACTAGGCCTATTTTCGATACAATATTATCTGTCTCGAAAAATCAATTCTAACATTAATTGAGTGATGAAACGCGGAAAGTGTTCAAAGCGGGGTATAAAAGCGATATCGACGTACATATTTACAACGGGCGTCGCGACGCCTGCGGTGGATCGCGCGCGGGGCAAGCATATTCAAAGATTCCATAGTATTCGCAAGCACTTCGTTTCTAGCGTTGGTGGAACGATTATTCGTATCTGCTAAAGGGCCGCTTGATAGGTAGAAGCACAATAAAAGTTCACAATGGTGACTTCAGACGCGGCAGGCGGGCGGCGAGCGCGGCGAGCGGGCAGGCATTTGTCCCCGCCACACCGCCCCCGCCGGCCGTTGCAGCGGAACGAGCTCGAACGCGCCTCCGCGCCGGCCCGCCTTCTCTGCAACACCACAACCAGAACACTGCAATGCCGCCCGCTACGCTACACTAAACGAACACGGCGCGCGCGATATCCATCCGATTTGGACACGGGCCACCTACTTATTGCACGTACTCGTCTGCAACGTACAATTGTGCGCGGCCACAACGCGTGATGTGCTACAAAACTGGACGACGCCAGTTACCAATCACACATAGTTTACTGTGACAAAGCTCGACTTGGAACTCCAGCTTTTCATATTTTTTATTAATCTTGGCGGCTACATTGTGATTTATTCAAACGCGAGTAAATCACTCGGTCAATGAATGAATGGTAATAAAGTACAAATCTGCAGAAGTTGAGAACACTTAAGACATTATTACATTTGGTATATCGCGTGTTACCGGTAGATCCACAAAAACGATTAACACAATTCTATAGGGAGGGGACGTCACGCTGAGCGGGGATTCAAGCCATGCTGCTTCAGACTCTGACACCAAAACGCGAACAATTTATCAAATCACTTCGGTCTGTACGCCATTAATAACTTATAAACACTAAATCGAGCCCGACGGAACTGTGCGTGCTACATAAAACAATGAAAATACCTAGTCTCTTAATTTATGATAATTTATTTACTGGCAGTATCGAAAATTTTGATATTTCATTCTACATTTAAAAAATAAAAAAAATTGTATGAATTCTGTCGGACTCGAACAGCGCGCAAGCAAAGACGTAACACTAAGAGCCTGTATCTACGATAGTAACGTACGCAGAACCATGCGATATTCCAGGAACATGCGGTAATAATCACACAAGTATACAGTTCCGATATTCTAATTTAAAATTGAAGAGTTAGTGAAGCATAACTATAACGGCACTGTACGTTTCTGTACGTTTTAATTTATTTTAGGGCACGAATATTAATTACCTTAATAAATTAGACAAGAAAACATTACCAATTGAGATGCCCTATATGTCATAAAAGCTTTCATGGTAACGATGTTTCGGCATTTGAAATATGGCCATTGGCAATTCTGGAACACAGTGGCTACAGGCTCAACAATCACATATAACATTCAGAAGAGGAGAACATCAAATACGGGTCACACGTAAACAATACAGTCTAAACCTCCGACGATTCTTTAAATTTACAATATATTTTTGATGAATAACACTAGTTTATGAAAGATTTTATTATTTCGAGTTTTTATTATTTGTCGTTTAATTGATTAAATTTCTGGAATATATTTGAAATTTTGTAAAACCTCAATCACATAAACGGTCATAGAATTTCGTCGGAGGTTGTGAGTATTCATTAAAACGTCTATTTATCTTTCCAAGATAGTAATGCAAATCTTTAATTTATATAAAGGCAGGAAGGTCATTGTTGAGAACAAAACAGACGTTTCCATGATACAAGTGTCTGAAGAGTTTGCTTGAAGACGGGTAAACACACTAATCCATTAAATATTAGGGACAGCACTGTGGAGGATTGCGGGAGATTCCGCAGGCCCTTCCGTATTTTAAGGCCAATCGGTTTTTCTTTTTTCAATTCTATTATTTGCGGTTGTGAAAAATTTTGGTGGCGAGGCGGGCGGATCTCTCTCGGCTAATATTTCACAGAAATCTGGTTGAACACATGTGGTAAAATTTCCGTGAAATAATAGCATGAAGGGACATGCAGTTTATTACTTTTTGTTTTTGACTTACTTATCTACTGTCCCGAGTAATGGTGAACTTGGACAGAGACTGAAGAAACGAAAAAATGCATTAATATTAAGTTACAACAACAAATAAGTTGAAATGATTTCGAACTGTCAAAATTATGTTTTGTTTAGAGATTGAAAAGGCCTTATTAAAACAGAACTCTATTACTAAATAATGATCGAAATCAATCAAACCGTTCTGACATATTTTTGTTATTGGATTTGTCAGGCATCTTTTTAAAGTTAAGAAATCCAAATTTTGAGTTATAAAGAAAATTTATCACTTTGATGTTGGTTTTTTTCTTCTATTGTTTATTATTTATCGACATGTGTGAAACTTGGTAAAAGGGCAGTAAAAGCAAAATATTTTGATTTTTTGTTAACTATTTAATTTTAACTAGTTAATCAGACAGACGGTCGCGCTGGCCCTTGTTGGTTGTATTTGCACTCGGACGTAGTGTGTGCGAATCGAGAGGCCTCTTGTTTGTGTGTATCCTTTCAGAAATGGGTGAGTGTACCAAGTGCCGTGGCGGTCGTCTCACAAATTGTAAATTGGGCTAAGGGCTGTGCGGCTCGGTGGGCCACGCTCGCATCGATTCGGGTGGTCTAGGGCCCGTGCACGTGGGGGGCGGGGGCCTGTGACGTCACAGGAGGGGTGGCCGGGCACTGCCGCAGCGGGTATCGATCCCGGCGCGCCCCGCACTCATTCAAGCCACCGATCGAACCCCGAGCCAATGCGGCGTGTCAATGGTATGCTAAGTGCTTCCATTCACCACCGCTTCGCATGTCGCACCAACTCGTATGCACGTCTATTATCCAGTTCATATTTATTTACTTGTCAAGGTCAGTCGACCGCAATCTCTTGTTTTGACCCAGTGGCCATTAGTTCCACAAGTTTCATTTGAAACATTGACCTGTGTTGTTCGTTTCGTGAGCACAAGGAATTGGTCTTTTCTAATACTAGAATGGATTTCCTATTTTTGTTTGGATTTGCTTGAATGAAACAAGTTTTTATTTTAACTTTTACATTTGAAAATTTGCTATCAGCAGCTATAGTTTTTATTATAAAGTGCCCTTCAAATAGATTTAGTCACAGAGCATAGAAAAGCTTAATTCCCACTCACTGTACACCTTAGGCATCTTTGAGGCCTCATACTATTAAAAAAAAGCAGACGGATTATAACAAAGTGCACATTAAGAAGTGTGATTATGATTGTGCACAGTAAGTGGCGATAATTTAAATAAAGAATAAAGTAATGGCAAATTTAAAAGAAGTTTAATACTGCATATATATTTTCACATTTTGAATTTTTTTCGTTAATGTTAACTGAAACTCAAAGAAACATTGAGTTAGTTCGTCTTATTTTTGTTCTAACTTTATTAATATTTTGCAATTTTTAATATGTTTAATTCTTATTTAATGTGTTGAATCGAAACGGGCCCCTTATTCTTAAGCCCATAACGTTTTGGAATCCTTTATACTTTACGGACCGAATGCTCTCTTAGAATTTCTTGAGTAGTAACTTTTTACGAGCATTCAAGCTTTCAAGTAAGAGTTCTTTCAATGGAGGTACAGAAGTGTCGTTTATTTAAGTTATTTTCCTTTTAGATTGTAAGATACAACTAACAAGTCTAATACACGCATTACAGGTACATTGAGTAAACATTATTAGTAATATTTTTATTAAAAATATATTAAAAAAATTACCTGTATATTATAAATATGTGAAAAAATATGTATTATAATGTTATGCTTATATTTATTTAGTCGGCGAGTCCATTTCTCATTCATATTCTATGTAATGACAGATACAAATTGTACCGAGTAATTTGGTTGAGTGATTAGGTACTGCAATTTTCATTACTCTACAAAGTACATAAGTTTCCAATGGACACTACCTTAGGTTAAATAATTAATTAAGCGAAATCGATAAAAGACTGCAATTTAGGGGAATGATGTTACGTGAATAAGATTCGCGAGTTATCTTATTGCTGTATATGTTCGCATTTCTTGACCGAAAGAGAAGTGAGGACTGTGCGAGAGAGACGGCATGCTCACCTATTGGTCAGACGTCGGTCTCTATTGCCTCTGCGGCCGAGGCGGCGTGCAGGTTGTTGACGCGGACGGTGCAGGTGGCGCGGCGGCGCGGTCCCTCGCGCAGCTCGCACTGTTCGCGCGGCCTCGCACCGGAAGCGCCCTCCTGCGCCATTGCCTGCTGGCGCGCGAGCCGCAGAGCCTGCGCCTTCTGTTGCTTCTGCACCTCCTGCTGCTGCAGCTGCACCGGAGCACGGTTCCATTAGCAGCGGCTCGATGAACAATGCCCCTTTTGGGTCTGACACCGCGGCGGCTGTGCTAATGTTAATTAAACGTCTGTGATTGCTTATTTCGTACTGCGATATGATGTGTACGGACACGCGACAGTCTTCGGCTGTTGTACGAATAGGTAGGTCTGTCCGGGTGAGTACTACAACCTCATAGACCGGCGCGAAGTGGAAGTATCGAAGCCGTGTATAATTTATTAGAAGGTGGCAACCCTACCTGGTTGTGGCGGAGCGCGTCTTGGTGCTCCAGGGCAGCGATGTCGTCCATTGCGCCAGCTTCCTGCTTCTCTAGCAACAGCCGCTCCTCCTCGCGCAGGCGGCTCAGGTTCTGCTCCAGTTGCGACTCGGCCACCAGGGCGCTGTCGTCCAACTCCATCATGTCCGACGACGAGTCGTCGCTCACCGAGGACTTCTTCTGTATCGGACCTGAAACTGCACGCGCCCATCACGTGAAGCTCGCATCGGCCCTTACCGACGACCTCGCGTGATTCGAAGCAACATGCGATGTGTGAGCGAATGACACGTGTCGACCTGCGAGTACTTGGAACTTTCTTAAATGGGAATTGAATGTTGGGGAGTGTTTTAGTTTGAATCAAAGGTTTACTTTTGATAGAGAAGAAATGAAATATTGACTCTTGATAAGGAAATCGTACTAGATGAAAGATTATTTAAATTTCAATTGAGTGTCAAACACACTTAGTGTCAAACATTTAAATTTCGCGTCGCGGCACATTCGCTTCCGCATGGCGTGGCTCGAGATATAACTGGCTACAATGTGCTGCATGTGTTTCCAATTCGAAAGTGATTATGAAAAACAATAGACATTCAACAGCCTTTTTAATTTAAAAAAAATGAAAGTAACAGAAAAATAACATTGTGACTTACTTCCAGTCTGACATCCAGGTGCAAACATGGCGCATAGGTAACAGCTAAAAGAAAAGAAAAAGGAAACAAACAGAGAGAAGCGGACATTTATATCGCGCTACTTGAATAAATTGACAAGTCGAGATATCCATTGTCGGGAGGTGTGTAGCACGACGTGTGGCGAGTTAGCCGGATCAAAAGAAGCCATAAATCAAATTGTATTAAAGCTTCCACAACAAAATTCGAGGTCGGGCAGGAGGGCCGTTCTCGATTTATCAGTTTATCCGCGGCATGCAGTAACGACCCCGCACCAAGGAAGTTTCCGACCACGTTGCGTAACACTGCGGTGGTTCGTAGGTTGAAATAAACCCTTTAGGACGCACCAAAGGCTTCACTTTACACGAGCGCCCGTGTCGCAAGGTGTTAAATACTATTTATCAGGTTTCTTCTTGTAAGATTTTATCCGCATTTACCTTACCAATTACCGTGCTTAGGAATGGACGATTGCGTGGTTAACTTAACTGGCCCCGTTGTCCAGTCATTCGCATTCACTTGTATAATATCATATACATGTCATTCTTACTTAGGTGATTATTAATGTATTATAGTTTATGACGATGATAAAAATGTGTCATTGTGTCATTCTATTATCGTGTCAACGGGTTCATTTTAATTTGAATAAATAAAAGTTACGTTCTTTTTAGTGGACCTCACAACTGCCTACTTCTTTAGATTCATGTTAATTAATAATTAAGTGATTAAACATAGTATAACTGCGTAGAAAACTAGGTTATTAATAGAATTAAAATGATAGATAATTATTCTTTCTTTCAATGTAGGTAATGATATTTATGAATTAAATTTCGAGATGTTTTACTATCCACGAATGTATGAAATTTTACTTATTATAATAATAGTTTTATAAACGAGTTATTGTACTTATTATAAAATTAAAACAAAAAATCAGGATTTGAGGAATGCTGCTTCAAGTTGCATCTTTTATTTTATCGAAGAAAATAAAAGCCAAACTGTAAGCATACAGTGCCGGTATTCGGGTAAAGGGATATGTACAATAAAAAAATAATAGAACACACTCGGAAATTCCCAGGTAAAGCGAAACTCGAACTTATGTAGTACACTCGTCGCGAAATATTCAACTAATCAATTAGAAACAACCTAAACCATAACCCGTTAACGTTAACGAATACCACTACTGTTCATCGAACATTACTTTAGAAATTAACAATTTTAACGGATTTTTACATCACTTAAACTACTATTTACATCAACACTGCACTATTTCGCTTCTTAAACGATAATATCACAATGATCGTCTCTGTCGATTAGTTTTAGTCCGAAGTACTAAATAACAGAACGACACTGTCATACAGTCAATGATCACGGCAGACTTCGTCCTTCTCATCGTCCTTCCCACCTGAAATTACCGAAAACGAACGTAAAAGAAACAAATAAAAAAAAGCGAACCATGCAAACTTATGAAGCATCATCATGAAGCTTGTGTCATGCTGATAAAAAATAAAGGAATAGTATTTAAATACTAACTGTTTGGCAATTCACCACAAGTATACTAGTTAACGCCTAAAAATACCTACATAATTATGTGTAACACATTGTTTGTGTTAAAATTAATCTTAAATTTTTAGGCGGACAAATACAAACTAAGATATAAGCACATTTATTTTAAAGATGGGACAAATTTTAAAGCTTTTTTATATAACGTAGTCAATGTGAGCTTGTGCAGTTCATTACGTGATTCCGAATGACTGATGTACGTACTCAAGTAGGGCTCCCCCATTGTACCAGGCAAATAGGGGCAACTGGTGACGTGGTTGAAGTTTTGCGACTGCATTTCCTCTTGATCGGTCTCACGGTGATAGAAGTAGTTGAAGTTGGACACGATGACAGGTACAGGCAGAGCAATGGTGAGTACGCCAGCGATCGCACAGAGCGATCCCACGATCTTGCCCCACACTCCAACGGGCCTGTTTGGGAAGAAATTGTGAAATTTCAAAAGTTGCCGGAATTGCGACGGTTACGAGAGGTGTTCAGCCATATGGTAGGTCGATATTTGATTGTTTGATTTAAAGGGCGATTCTAATGATGATGATCATGCTTACTTATGATACGTACCGTTTTGAATCGATGGTTAGCAAGTCACAACAAGGGGCACCTATTTAAGTAATAATCTCACAGACGCTAATAAAGTAAATTCGTTGAGACCATTCGCAGTTTTAAGTTTAAAACGCGAGCAATACAATATCATTCGTCGTCTCCCACACACGCCAGCAAGTTATGGACAGACCGTAACATTATACTTATCGCAGAGCAATCAAGTATATCGCCAGCAGACTAGTTTAGGGTAATGTGAGAATCTTAATATATCACCACCATTTTTGTTTGCACAAAGCAGCATGTTGATGTATATAACAGACAATTGGCTACGCTGTATATGTCACATAAGTATCTATCTTTTTGTTATAGTTTGTTGTTAAATTAACATAAAATGAGTCATCTATTTATACCTACCAACTCAAAATTAAGGACATAAATCATGCATCACTTTAAAACTAACATGTAATCATTCACATGAAATAATTCTCAATCGAAAATGGTGTGAAAGCTGGTGATCAAACGGCAACGAGAAAAAAAAGCATAGAAAATAAATCTGAACATCAATTTTACATAGCAGCACGGAGTGTAAAATTTGCCATATACATATAACCTTAAGGATGTCGGAAAAGGGGTCACAATGCATTCCAAATCAAACAGACAGACAGACAGGAGGAGTAAATATTTAGAGGACCTAACTAATACGATAAGTGTATACAAGCAACATAAGTTGAAGAATTAAAGTATTTGTTATGATATCTGGAGCACATAGACGTTGTGATCACCATTTTCGACGAGCTACCGTTTTAACACTCACAACAGCTAGAACAAGGGTAACACGTAATATATTTTAGCAAAAGCGTTACAGAGGATTACATACACAGACAGAATCGCCTTGAAGTACATCAACAAGACCACTTCAACTCGATTCTTGGAGGCATCAGCCCAGTGCCATGTGATCTCTTTGAACTCAATCGAAGTTGAAGTGTATCGTGACATTTAAAGCAGCCATTGATAATGGCGCGATTACGCTTTGGAAAGGGCGATTGTAACACCGACGACAGGTTTCCTGTTATAATCGTTTCTAGTTACTGCTGTTTAAGCAATGGAAAATTTTACAACACTGCTTCAATGTAAAATTGAAAGTGGTTCTGGACGGAGATGACATAAAACGGTAGAATTAAAAAAAAAATAAAACAATGAACAAGACATTAACGGACGTTTGTAAACGTGCAAAAAATTTTTTAAAATAGTAAAAAAAATATTTCAGTAAGTTCTAAGCGAACCAACAATAATAAATAAAACTGAAGCAAAAGTAGTTACATGAGATGGCGTAAGAAAATAACAACCGTGTTAAAATGCCAATGTAAGATTGTAGGATAAAATGAAGTGTCGAGAAGGCAAAGATGAATTTTAGGGTGAAGTCGCTGAATCATACGTCATGTCTCCGTATCCTACGGTCGTCATTGTCACGACCGCCCACCAAAACGCATCGGGTATGGATTTGAAGAAGCTGTTCTCACTTCCGGCTTCAGCGAAGTACACGGCGGAGGAAAACAGCACCACACCTTTAAGAACAAGCACACCAACGGAGTGTAGTAGTGGGGGTAGGATGGAGGGGAGCGATTGCGAACGGGCGCGGGGCTGGACGCGCGCGGGTTACCTCATGTCGCCATAGCCGACGGTGGTCATCGTAATAACTGCCCACCAAAAGGCGTCGGGGATTGAGGAAAAATTGGTATCGGGGCGATCTTTATCAGCAAAGAATACTGCGCTGGAGAACACGACCACCCCTGCGAACACAAAACAAGTTGTGCACGCGAGTAATGTACCAGCCCGCGTCTCCCCGCAGCCACGCTGCTGCCTCGCTCCGTGTCGTACTCTGCAAATTTGTTGTTACCTTCCTGCCTAATGATTAAGAGGCCGCAAAACTCTAAATGTAAAGCATTATTTTGCAAGAAACCCTGCTCATGTTTAACTTGAATAATTTGCAGTTTATAGTTACGAAAATAATTAAATTTACGGTTATTATATTTTAAGAAGTAATATATATTGGAATATAAACCAGGATTGGTTTTAAGTTAATTGCTTCAGCCTTATTAAGTTGTACAGTAAAAATTTAGACGGCCACTTACCGATGAATAAAAAGAATATAAGAAGTCCGAGTTCACGCATAGAAGCCTTTAGGGTCCTTCCAAGGATCTGAAGACCCTTAGAGTGGCGAGATAACTTAAAGATCCTGAAGACTCGCACCAGGCGAATCACACGGAGAATTGCGAGACTCATTGCTTGATTGGTGGACTTGTCTTGAGGGGAGACAGGCGCGCGGGGTAAGTTCAAGGTGTCCTCTTCTTCAGCGACGACGGTGGCCAGAGTGATGAAATAGGGAATAATAGCAATTATGTCTATTATATTCATAACGTCTCTGAAGAAATTGAACTTGTTCGGACAAGCTAAGAACCGCACTATCAACTCGAACGTGAACCAGATTATACACAGTGTCTCGATGAGGAAGAATGGATCCGTAATGTCAGGTACTTCGTCTTCCTCGATCTTGGTGCCGTTGGTAGTGGTGTTGAACACTTTGTAGTGCTTGAATTCCGGCAGGGTTTCGAGGCAGAAGATGACGATGGACAGGAGGATCACGAACACTGAGATGATGGCAACGACGCGGGCGGCCTGCGAGCTCTCGGGGTATTCGAAGAGCAGCCAGATTTTGCGCTGGCGCTCGTTGGCGGGCAGGGGTTTCTCCTCCTCCTTTATGAAGCCCTCGTCTTCGCTAAAATTGAATCAACATTGTAAATCGGTAAGAAAACGTCCTTAATATTTTACCTTAATATGGATGAATAAGAATCAAAACTGAAAAAAATCCGTACCGGAATTTGTTAGTGGCCTGTTCGCCAAGTTCATAGAACTTAATCTCTTCAGAGAAAACGTCGAGTGGTACGTTGACGGGGCGACGAAGTCGCCCCCCGCTCTGGTAGTAATACAGGATGGCGTCAAAAGATGGGCGGTTGCGATCGAAAAAGTACTCGTTCCTGGAATTATATGTTCTTGTTAAATCACCGAATATTCCTACGTCAACGTAACAGACCACATTAATTAACGAGAGCTGCAAGAACTATTTATTTTTATTATTACTTACTGTTAAAGTACTAATTTATAATATGTAGTATTATATAGTTATAAATACTTACCTCAAGGGATCGAAGTACCTAATTCTTCGAGCGGGGTCTCCTAGCAGGGTTTCCGGAAATTGGTTTAGCGTTCGGAGTTGTGTCTCGAACTTCAGTCCGCTTACCTGTGGAGAGTGACCAACCATTTAATTCAATTTATTCATTATAATAAATATAAAATGTGCCATCATTTGAATGTATTTCCTTAAGTAGGATAGTAAAATAAGTTAAATAATAAGTAGACATTGATAACTGCGGAAAAAAAATTTGATACCTAATGCACGTGATTTTTAAACTGCGAATGTGAAGCGAATACACACTTTTCCATTAATTTGCTGAAGAAAACTGTGAAGGAGAAATTCGAGGTAGTGTTAAAATAAAGTAAACGATGGAACACGAACAACGAAAACACGTGCCGAGCGTTCATTTTATTTACCAAAACAAATCATCAGCAGTGAAATAACGTTTGATTAACACTTCTTTTTATAGCCCCGAAGGAATTCGGATTCACGGAGTGAACATATTTTCTGGTCGACAAGGCAGATGGCGTTTAGTGCAAGATAACAAGCAGTTACGCGGTGATCCATCAGACTTAAACGCTAATCAGCCAATGTAGTACTTAATTATATTTGTTCTCGCAATAAAATTAGTGATAAAAATGTCCTATATGTTAAAGACTTCCTTATACACGAAATATATTTTGGTAAACACATTTCGTTGGGTCACATATTTTCGGATGACCGTGTAAGGTGACGACCTAATCGGATAAGCGTTTAAAATGGGAGGGTTCGTGTTAATAAAACTTCGGTCAGTGGCGCAGCGGCTGGCCTTGAAGATGTTTTTAACAACTACGATAGAAACGTCCCGCGGTGACGCGGCGCGGGCTACGCGACATGTCACCTGTCTGTTCCGCGCGTTTGAACGTTATTTTCTACCGATTCGCTTGGCAACCGCATCGCGATCCGGGCCCGCCTCATTGATTAATAATCACCGAGTCTAGACCCCTCTATATTTTTAATGTGGCTCGGAACATCGCGATAGTATTCCGATTTGCGAATGACTCATAGACGTTTACTTTGAACCGTCTAACGCTTGCTGCGTGCTAGTTGGCCCTAAACGTTGCTCTTTTAAACATGATACAAGTAAGATAGAGAATTAAGGAATTAAATTATTCCGATAGTAGAGAAACATAATCAAATGTCAACTTTAAAAAAATATAATGTGAGCGTGTGAGATGGTAGCAGAATTTTTATTCTAAGCATAACAAAAACTTTGAAAAGCTTTTTATTTCGGTTTTTACACAATATTTACATAGATGAAGTCTTTTTATATACATTTGAAGCAACTGGTCACAAGTGGTAAACGTTAGATTTTTTTTTATAAATCACAGACGAAAACCTAAATAAATTTGTGAATAAATAATGATATTTACCGGTGACGGTAAAATAACACGAGGGTATGCCGAATAAACCACAGTAGAATTTTATATTCTGAAAAATAATAATTTACGTACTTTGTTTATAATACTGCCTTTTAGATTGTCAACAGTAAAACAATATTACAGTTGTAAAATTATTTCCAGCTGGTCCTAAAAATTGCACTGAAAATACAGCACGCTGAACAGAGCCGCGCCGCGGTTATATTTAAGACAAAAACAAAGTCTGTTTCCACGCGTGGTTTTATGTTAACATTAATTTTCTAACATTTATTTTATTATATTATTCAATTCTTTGTAACAATCCCTCAGAGAATTCGAATTGCTTCTAAGGTTAATTATTAAAGGCTTTGTAGTGTGGTTTAAAGGTCAAAGTTCTTGTCACGTTTTGCAAAGTAGACCGCAACACACGATATATTAAGATTTTTGAGGTTATACTACTTTTGGCGCTTTAGGGAAAAATGATGAGAGTAAATTTTTACGATGCGCGCACACACCGTCACGAAAAATCGACACCCTGAAGTTAGCTAGACATCTGCGTATGTTTTCGTGAGAACTGATAAATGTATACACGATACTTGTTTTGTGACATTTAAATAAACTTTATTTTACTATATAACAGTAGTAAAACTTTCAATGTATCAAATACCTTTTTTCTATTGTTAGTGTCGTTTTTTCTACAAACGTGAAATTGTGAGAACTGTGCTAGGCCACGCGACAGTCTTCACAATTGCACGAACGCATGAGCACATGCATGGCCGTACCCACAGCGGAGGGCCCAAACCCGTGGGTTCTGACTAGCCCACCGGTTCTGCGTCAGAAGAAGCTTTAATAGTCTCGAGACTGAAAGCAAAAACATCAATTAATACAAGATATAAGAAGTTGCACGAAGGGCCAGTTCCGTCCGGGGCAAAAGCACGGCCACACATAAGACGGCGTGAAGTGGAAGTGTTATCTATATATATATCTGCGTTTCCAATGGTGAGTGAGGTATCAGATAACTGGTAAACAGACCCACTTCATTACAAGGTGGCAACGCATTTGCCACCCCACGGGTATTGCAAATGTCCATGGGTTACTTATCACTTAACATCAGGTGAACCGCCATGTACTCACATAAAAAAAATATTTGATTCATACCATATATAGCATAATCAAAGTGTGTAGGTATGTAATATATAGTGAATTAAAAATCCACAAGTTTTTGTACTTGCGAGTTATATTTCGCATTTAACTATATAAATATTAAACCGATGTATGGTCACAGTGGTCGTTTCGACTTCCCAACGACCCCTGCGATTGGCTTTAAGTCCAGCGACTGAGCATGCTGCGGCGGAACTTGAATGTTTTTCTGCAAGTCATTTTTGAGCCCCCTGGCTGTATGGCAAGGTACGTAGTATACAGGACGTAGATACGCCCTTAATCTTATACAATCCACTCGAAATCTAAATCGACGAGTAGGAAAGGAAAGGAAGGGAAGGGTCGCTCTTCACAAAATAGTATTTTATCACATCGCTCGTTGGGTCACTGTACGCGCTACATGCATCATGCATCGCGGTGACGTCTATTTCCATGACGGATGGAAGGTTCATCAGGCGTACCTGTGCAGCCTGTTTCGTACACATTGGAGGCCAGTCGAGTTTTGAAGGCTTAACCCTACCTCTCAGGCTACCACCTTAAGTTAACGTCTTGCGGTCAGATGCATGAAATGATTTTACCGAGCAGTGTTACTCTTTCCAGACCAGGATGCTTTTCTGCGAGGGGAAATCGCTGTCACGGCGCTAGACGTTTATTTACGCTTCGGCCTACAGCAAAAGTCTGCGCCACCTCCGACTGATTGATTTCAACCTGCCGTACCTCCTACCGCTCTTTGCATTTCATGCGTTGTTCAATGACGTCGTTGCTTATAGTCAATGCACTTCTTTACATTTTTTAAGCTTTAAAAGGAATAATTTTATAAAACTAAAAAACAGTTTTAAATCCCTTTCACTACGCAACGGAAAAAATCGATAAAAATTAAATTAAATAATTTCGTAATTTAATCAATCATTAAATTAGGAAATTCTTAATCATACTTATTTTGACTGCAGGCATAGTAAATTGGGTGTAAAATGAAGAGTACCTAATGGATATTTTATTTCAGATATAACTTAGGTAATTTTTATTTAACTGGCTTTATGTCAAAAACTTCTACCGCAACACTGCATTGCAGCATACCTCGGCGTGACTTGGCAAATCCAGCATGCCAGCCTTTTTCGAGGCCATTTGTTATCAAATTTAGTGCTTTAACTATGTAATTGTGTTCGCATCCCATTAAGAACCGCATCAGACAGTGTTTCGGCGGGAATTTCAAACAACTGTCCATATAGTGAATTACCGTTATAGAACGAGTTATATATAGTTGTGCAAAACACCAAGTAAAATATTACAAGGCTTGTTAGGCGTTGTGACGTTATATATCGCGAATGTTTCATGCAAGTGACATATTATGTACGATGGTTTTTACTTTTACGCCAACATTGTGAAATTTAATAAAAATACCATATCAAGTTTGGTTTACTTTGACTGAAGTACTTACTGTTACTTATTAAATATTAGTATTCAGAACTCTTTCGGTTCTTGGAATCGAAACAGACGCAACACCGACCGGCGCGGACTGGGCTTTGATGTGTGCCGGCTACAAGGGAAAAATTGAAAGGAAAAGCAAACGAGGCCGTGGCTCGATGTGTATACAGAGTTGGCCACGTCGAGAACGTACCCGATTCATTTATAACTAATAGTAATGGAGTTTTACTACGCGTAGCGGCAGTCATTCATCGGCACAGACATCGGCCAGTGGAAGGCCAAGGCCGCGGCTTCGGCTGCTAACGAGGTGCGGAATTCTAGGGCCATTCACGTTAAGCGGCCGTAAAGCAAACCTTAAGCGGCCGCTTAAGCAAAAGTGCTGCACTCGTCTCGAGCCCCTCGAAACCCTTTGCTTATTTCGAGAGGGGAAATTTGTATAATATGCGCACATAATTGACCCACTCCGCTTTGGGAAACGAGCATCAAGCGCTCGCAGCGTAATAGAGAGCTGCGCGAAACTGCTCGTGGAATTTTGCTATTTAATGAAAAGCCGTAGGAATGTCATTGCGATAATTCCCCGTGGGCACGCATAAATTGCGATTGTTTTTTTGTTTTGATTGGTTCTTTTACTAAGTATCCCGTATTAACTTGAATTTAATAGTATCGCGAAAGACGTACTACTGTAACCAAGAAGTTATCTTTTGATGTTAAGTCCCATTCAATTATGTTATTCAAAGTGTTGTTGATTAACAGTTTTACAACGAAACCAAATGGGTTGTAAGTACCATATTGTAAGTTGTGTGTACAAAGCTAAATTACTTTAAAACATACTAAATTGCAGTGGTGGATAACGTTACAGTAGGTATCAAGAAACAAAACGTTGTTTGTCTAGTCGTGATCTGGGTGATTGGCAAATGTTCAACCGCGATCACCAAGCCGACCAACTACCGTCGCTGGGGCTCTCGTCAAATTACAAAAATAGTTCTCGACGGCTGATGACGGGAAAAGGCAAAGGAAATCGATTCCACATAATTATGCTAACGACCTTTAGCGAACCGCGCTGTTGCGTTGGAATGTTGAATCGCGCAAAAACACGATGTCAATGAACAGTGGGGCTTCAGTTTT